TTTACAGGTGTGCTTGTTTCGTCAATGACCCCGCCACTTCCCTGTTTTGTCGGCACTGCCCTACTGCTCTGCATCCCTTCCAAAAGCTTGCGCTGCGCTGCCGCCAGCTCGTCCACATCCTTGTGTGTAACAACTATCGGCGATGCTGGATACCTGATCATTCTCAGTGAAATTATTAGAATAAAAGTTTGCCGTTTTTTTAAATGACTAAATTTGTCGTGATCGCTCGTTCAATATGATAACGCACGTAGCTTGGCGCAGTAGTTTTGACAAATATTTTTAATGGCAGTAAAATGAAAAGATAATTTACAGATGTAGCGGAAAATGTCCAAGACACCTTTTTGCGCGTCCAAACAACACACACGCGGAAATTGACATTGGTTATCAGCACACCTTGAGTTTCAGCGTTATGGTAAGAAGATACAAGTCAGATGATTCAAGAACAAACTTGGTTATACTCCGCTTTGTTGTGCTGCAGGTACCGGTCCAACAATCTGCACAGTTTGCAGAATGACATGTACATTTTCTACGCAGACATCGAAACAGGATATTGAAGAGTGTAAATTATGAAATCGAAAATGAAAAATAATTAAAAATAAAGAAAAAAATGTACAGACGGAGGATAAGAATAAAAATAACAATACCTGATAGAAAAATTAACGTTTCTTAATATCTCAACAGACACACACTACACTCGTGCCTCCTCCCCTCCCCCAGCTCAGACGACTGCAAACTTCACCTGCTTGGCAGGCCGCATCGCCTCGACTGCGGTTGATCCTGACGCAGCCGACGGACGGCTTGCTGAGCCAAACAACGACGCGCCCATTGCGTGAGTGCCAGACCGACGGCCAATATTTAGCACGCTGCTGGTGCCGGTGTTATTGCCGCAACCCGGCTCGTCGACCTTGTCTGTGGACTCGCAATCACTCGACTGCGACGTCAAGGGCGTATTTTCATCCGAAATGGGCGTCAGGCTGCCAGTCCACATACGGGTGATGTGTCCAACAAGACTAGGGTCGACATGGCCGTGCTGCTATTGGTGCCAGAAGCATGCTTATGCTGCTCCTCCAGCATCATGACGAGCTCGCTGTGCTGCTCTTCAGCTCGGCTATCAGCGGCGCGGCGTTCTCATGAAGCTGCCGTGCATGCTGAGCGGCGGACTCGGACGCACAATTGGCAGCGCCCTCCCCAAAAACAGCCGGCGTCGAGTTGAACCACGCAATGACAGAGTCCCGGTCGATCACCTCGTTATCATACAGCGCGCGCAGCAGGACCGCATGCCTGGACGTCCGAACGGCTTGGTTTGCCTCGGACAGCTTATCCAAAAAGTGCAGCACTGTGCCCTGGTCCTCGGCCGTGATGATCGAGCTCAGCAGCTCTGTAAGCCGCAAGGCGGCCTGCTGTGGCGAAGGCGTATACTCGCGCAGCTTTTTTGCCAGCGCGATGGCCGGGCAACAGTCACAACTGGGTGCTGATCCTCATCCTGCTGCTGCTCCTCGGGATTTTCCCCAATTGACTCGGCCAGCTGATACAGAGACTCGATAAGGGCGCACAAAATGGATATGTGGCCGGCCGCAAACCTGGTCGATAGTGACTGGATGTTGACAAGCATGAACCCCTGCGTAATACCACTGCGCGCTCCTTGCAGCAAGTGTGATGATGCCCGGCAGACAAACTTTGCTATCCGCTGGTGGCAGGCAGCAGCGCAATGCACTCCAGCTCCCGGTCCTCTTTGCCCTTGAGGAGTCTTCGACTATGGCGGGTGCGCTGCCGTCGCTTATCGCCTCCAATATCCTCTGCGGGCTTTGAGAGGCAATGGTCTCATTGGCGCTGCTCGCCTGCTCGTTGTCCGCACAGTCGGAAAACCTAGAACCGTCCCGGCATCTCTCATTCTCGTAGCCATCGGCGGGGATGTCTTCAATGTCGGCGGTTATGTCCAGCACACCCGTCTTGGCGTAGTACCGGTCGATGACAGCCTTTGCTGGGTCGATGTGCGCGTAGTCTTCAGTGCTGAGAATATTCTGCGGTGTTAGCTGCAGCGCGCTTGGCTCGACGCTGTAGTCAGACAGCTCAGATTCGGCCTCGGCCTCATCCTCATCATTCTCATCCGCAGTGCCGTCGCTCTCGTCGTCAGAAACAAAATCAGACTCGCTTTCGGACTCGGACTCGGAGCCAGCATCGGTTGCACAGTCAACCCGCGCGCCCAGGTCATCCACGTCTGTATTGAGTGTGCAGTGCTCATCCTCGTCATTCTCGCTAAACTCGTCATCCGACGCCTCGTCGTCGTCCTCGTCGTAGTCGTCGCTGCTGTCACTTTCGCTGTCGCAGCTGCTATCAGATTCATCGTTCAGCTCGAAATCTGAATCTCCGGCGCGTGCCCAAGTAATGCTGACGCCATCATCATCGGCATCATCATCCGTATCGTAACCTCCGTCTTCAACAGAGTGCTGCCAGGACCTGGCCTCCGTATTGATGGGCGTCAAAGCAGAGGATGCAGCAGGCGATGTTGCCGACGCAGCAATTGAAGCCACTGCAGGGCTCGAGATGCTGCGGGTAACTTTTGGTGGTAGCAATTGTGAGCGCTCGCCGCCGTGGGGTGCCGCGGACGTCAACGGCGAGTAAAAGTCGCTGAACTCAAAGTCATATGCGTTGTTAGTCGCATTGCGGCCAGAATAGGATGTCACCGATTTGGTCATGCCGCTACTTGAAGCCGACGAGAATTTGGAGCTGTGGCACAACTCGCCGTCAAGGTCACTCAGCTCATCATCGCTGTTCATGCAAAACTGCCGCCTGCCTTTGCGCTCAAGTTCATCGCGCTTGGTAAACTCCTCAATGATAATCGCTATGTCGTCCTGGTGCGTCTGGTCTTGGGCCGCCAACTGTGCAGCTCGGGACTGGCGCTCGGCCTGAAGAATCTCCTGCACCTCGTCGTAGGCCTCCTTGATAATACGGTTGGTAATCTCCAGCTTGCGCACCCTGCGCATCAAGTACTGGTTGGTCTCGAGCAGCTTGCTATCAATAGGAGCAACAGCATCTACATCTGCGGCTGCATTTCCAGAGTTGGAGTGTGGTGCAATGGCGGTGGCTTCGTTGTGTAAGTGAGAGCCATTTTTATTCACACATGCAGCCGCTGCCTCCTTTGATGCGCCATGGTGGTGATGGCTGAGTCCAGGTTCGAAATTAGCGTATGATGGCGGCATGTCGCTGGCCGTAGCAAAAGACAAATCCGAATATCCTGGTTTAGCGTCCGACGCCGCGGCGGCAGCTTGGAGCTCCGAGGGCAAAGATATTCCGCTCACCAGTTCCTGCGCTATTTCGGCGGCCTGCTGGAACGCTCGCGGCCCTGCAGAGGCGCGCGAATTAAGGATGTAGCATAGTGCACTGGGAGACTTGGGCTGCCAAGCCAGAGACTGCCAGCTGCGCACTGAGGCAACCGACGAGACAAAACAGCAACGGTCCAAACAACACTTGCACTTACATGCACACGACTGGCTGGCACGGTCAAAGCCAAATGTATCGCCGGGCTCTGGCGAACGAGAACCTGATGATGAATCTGAGTCCAGCGGCTGTTTATCCGACTCATTTTTTTGCTGCTGTTTCCCAGTCTGCCGTGTCTGCTGCTGTGTATCAGGTACCTGGCCGATAGACCCCGCACCTTTGACTGTGATTGCGCTGTTGCACATGTATTTGCGCATACTGCCTATATCAAGAATTGTGCGGGTGAGATTGCAGCCGCCGTTCGGACACGCCATAAACAGTGAGGGCATGAGTATGTGCGCCAAGTCGGCCACAAACTCAACTGCCGACTGCACTGGCGCTGGAATCATGCAGCATATGTCCGTATGAGCGTGTTTGTGTTCGTTTATAATTATCTGTGGCCTCCCCTCTGAAAAAATGTGCTGCTGCTGTAGTCGCTGTTCCTTCTGCTGCTGCAATTTAGAGTCGTCGGTGTGAAAATCGTGTCGATCATCCGAAGTGCCCTTTGCGTGGTATTGGTCGGTGCTGGACGTCTGGGGCGCCGGCACGGCACACGTGGAACCAGGACCCATGTGCAAAGCGAGTGTGAGCGTGCGTGTGTTGACGCACTGTAGAGATAAGCGGGGTGAATAGTATAAAAATGGTGAATTGAAATAAAAGCAAGCGCCAATTGAACACGGTAAAGTTGTTGCTGTTGCTGTTGCTGCTAATGAGTAAAAAATAGATGCGAAAAATAAATAAAATAGAGTTAAAGTAAAAGTAAAAGTAAAAGAAGAAAAGGCGAAAAGACGAAAAGTAAAAATAAAAAGAATTCGAGCTGAAATAAAATGAACAGAAGACACAGCTGACTTCCAAGCGCCAATTTTTTTGCGTGTCTGCCTGTCTTCTCGCTTGTAAATATTTTAACAAAAAAAGCAGTTTTGTTTCCTGTGGTCTCCCAAGCGCAGTTGATGTGCGCGCGCACGGATAAGCGACGGAAAGCAGTCAAAAAGTGGCAGAGATTAAAAACTATTATTTTTTCTTCAAGCATGCCCAATCCCAGATGACTAATATCTAAAAGCAGCGAGGGGGAAGGTGGGGGCACGGGGGAGCTGAGCGAGTTGCCCAGTGGAGGCAAACAAAAGCCCGGATTGGCTGAATTACAAAACTGGCTTCCCCCTTCCCCTCCCCCAAAGCGCTTTTGTGCTGCCTTTTTGTGAGAAAATAATGCACATCGAAAATGTCGTCCGCTTGTCTATACACGTCATCGATGATTTGTGACCGCTTTCAAAAAAACTTTCATTTTTGCTGGGTGCCCAATCCGAACCAAATATAAACACGGCACAGAATAAGTCTCGAAACAGCCGTTGTTTTCAACGCACTTTTATTCTGGCCGTTCCGCGCAACTGATGTGAATTGAGATAATATGATGCGTTCACACGTGTATCTATATTGACATTTGCGATTAATAACTCGATCAATTGACATTTTTAATTGTTTTTTGATTGTTCGAATGATTGATTGGTAAATATTATTAATTAAATTTAGATCTTGATCCAAATCTTCCGCGAAACACACATGCGCAGGGCAACAATGCTCAGTGTGGCGACCAAGTAGATGCCGCCGCAGAACAGCGCCACGGCGCCGTAACCAGAACCGCTCTGTCCGATTTTCTCATAGAACACGCGAGCAACTACTGGAGCCGCCGTAGTAGTCAGCACCATACCGATGCCAAGCAACCCGACATTGTTAGCGAGTCCATTTTGTCCGAACAGCGTCACCGAGCACAGCGGAATCATTGGAGTAAGACTTCCGGCAAACAGCCCAAACGTACACGCGAACGCGATCATAATGAGGAATGACTTTGCTGGGAACCACAGAAAGAAGCACGCCAAGGTGACAAAAAAGTGAGTGAGGAAAAACATGTTGATGTTCCCAGCCATATCAGCAATATAACCTATGGTGATGCGACCAATAATAGTGGCGCCATTGGCCACGCCTGCAATCAGCGCGCCTTGCTCACTTGTCAGCCCAATACCAATCGAGTAAACGGGGAGGAAGAAAAGCACCACGTAGAACGCCGCCTCGGCCAGCATCACGGCAATATTGAGGTACCAGAACTCCTGCGACCGGAGAACTCCACGCGTACTGTGCACATCCCGCACACCAAAGCTGCGCACAGACATGCGCTTCTTGGCGAGACTGCTCACCTTTTGATTGCTGAACTTGCTGTTGGGTGTAATCATATCGATGTTATCCTCGTCTTCTTGGTCAAGCAGCTCTTCGGGCTTGGTTGCCATGCCCAGGCTTACCAGCGATATTCCGCAGACTATGATGGTGCCAAAAATTTTAACTGAGCCTGAGAGGCCATAGCGGTTGATGAAGAATCGCGTTAAGGGAGAAAGAACAAGACCGCCAACGCCAGAGCCCGAGTGAACGACGCCCATGAGGAAGCCTTGGTTTTTGCTAAACCAAGACGAGGGAATAGTTGATACAACAATAAACACAGTGCCGATACCAGCGCCAGCAAGAACGCCTTGAGTGAGTGCAAGCTGCCATACCTAAAAATTAATGATTACAGATAACCAAAATAATCGATCAAAATTAGTGTGTATATCCAGAACTGAATGTTGTACTTGGGGCGTTAACTTTATATGGTTACATTGTTTTTTTTACCTCTGTGCAAAATCCAGCTGTAAATAGACCTACGCCAATGAGAGACCCGCCAATCAGCGTTGTCATTCCCAGTCCAATGCGCTCACACAGCGACCCTGCAATGGTTGTGAACAGACAGTTTGTGCCCAAATGTATAGCGCCAATTATTATAGCCGGCGACAAAGAGTCCTTGCCATCAGAATTGTCGTTACTGTACTTGTTCTCGTACTCTTCTTCGTACACACCGTAAGAGTTTGTGGTTCCTGAGGCAAGGAACATGCCAGCAAAAGCGGCTATGACGACCATGGTGGCTGTGATGTGCGGGTGGGTAATGCTAAACGATTTGCTGATGCCAATCCTTGGAAGTTTGGCGTATGCTTTGCGAACTATGCTCATATTTGTAGACATTCTTGTTGGTAGTGCTGGTAACAGCCGTCGTTAAATGATAATAAGAATAATGAGGATACTATTTCTAGTCACGGATAAACCAGTCTGTGCTATGCCGAAAACAAGAAATAACGTATAAAGTATACAAGACTTTGTGCCAGCTAAGATCTTGAATAAAAATTGCAATGTAAAATGGTATATTATAAGTAAAAAAATAGAGAAATAAATGCACGATTCTTGTGTTAAATGATTGCGACAAAGCAGAATGTCATGAGCAGATGGCCTGCCTTTTGAACTAATTTTGAGTTGAGCCACAACCGTTCTGCGCGGCTGTACGCACATTCCCTTTTCCAGTCCTGGCTCAGTATACTTTTTTTTTTTTAAAAAAAAAAGAGTACATTAGTACTACTTGCAACAATATTTCATAGAAACAATTTTTATTTCAGCCAGACGCCTCCCCAAAAAAGAAGCTACTTTCAGGGATAATGCATTTTTTGCCACAGCCTCAATGTGCGCAGAAAACGTGAGACCAGAATATGTCTACGGTGTGGCTCAGGCGAACACAAAAAAGGCTGCACATTATAAATATAAATATCTTTTAACATTTACTAAAAAAAATACAGTTAAGCCATGCATTTTAATCTTTTTTATGTGTATATGTATAGTTTAAAGCAATATCCCGAGAAAAAACATTTCTCGGCTTTGGTCCAATCAAAAGATTAAAATGATTCAACCGATAGTAATATTAATATTGGAGCGGCACGTATAACGTATGTGAGCCGTGCATCTTTATAGCGTTTATTCCGAATTTTGCGCTTTAAGAACTTGAGGTGTTTTAAACCCGGGTCTTTCACCCGCACCCTTGCTCTTCCATTTTTCTTGTTACTATTGTTGAGCTATATTATTTTTATCAAATGTGGCTTGCTTCTTTTTGTTGCCAAGTTGGTATAATTAGCGTCTACGGATGACAGCGCTATGACATCATTTGAATATATTAAGTGATGTAGATTGGCAATGAAGCACAAATAATGCATTGACCAAATGCTTTGCACTACTGTCGAAGTATCGGTTGGTCAATTGTGAAGATAAAGTTTGTGTCAAATACAGGTGTAGTTGGGTTGGGTTTTATGCAATGGCAAGCGACATTTCATATTGATATTGAGCTCAAAATGACACTGTTCCATGTCTTGCATTTAAAGGCAAATATGTCATGCTAATATTCCATTATAAACAAAATCACTTTATTTAGCAACCAACTTGATTAAAAAGTGATGGCGCATTGTCATATTCAGCACATATAGTTTGGCAGGACAATTGACGAGAGGCATTTGCACAACCCTTAATTATTTCTTCCACAGCGCACATATTGCTATGTAGCCCACTGACGTCATTGCAGTAAAACGCCTGCCAGAATGGTGCAATATATTGCATGACGCGCGTTACTGAGAAAAGTACAGGTTAATTGAAGAATAACTTCTCTTTAAAAAAACAGCAGCATATAATGGCTAAAAAAACTACGCCGACCAGGAAGTAAAAGCTCGAAGCGACATGTTGATCCAAAAAACAAACAATATTAAAAATCAAATTGCAAATCAAAGTGCCAAAAAAATATTTTATTATTATTTTTATTTTTCGGGGTGTTACCTCTGCAGTTATTTTTATTCGTACTTTTAAAATGGCACGAGAAAAGTGCTTCCGGTGCTCGGCTCATCCGCCCGACCATCAGTCATATTCTTCGCCTCAGCATAATGCTTGTTGAATTTATCAAGCTCCTCACGAGCAATCTTTAGGGAAGTCTGCATGATTTCGGCCAAAAGAGCGGGCGAGAACCCGCGCAAAACGCCGCCCTTTTGCACAGCGCAAATTTCCATATTGGGGGACACCGAAATAGTCATCCTGGCCTGGGCCACGGCCTCCTCCTGCTCCGAAGCATCGACGACAAATCTTCTGCCAATCTGGCTGAAAGTAACAGACACAGGCATGTTCTCTGCGCCTGCAAGTTCGGTCATATCCTCAGGATCATCCACGACATCGAATTCTGCCTGCATAACGCCATCCTCGTCCGGGATAGACTCAATGACCACCCGGGGCAGCTTAGTTGACATCAGGGCGGCCCTGGTAGCCCACACAAGGGCATCAATAATCCCACCCTTGACGTCCAACACCAGGGCATCCACGTGGAGCACCCAGTAAGCCTGCTTGGGAATAATACAGAGTTTTTCGAAATCAATCCCGCTCTGAGGGCCGTTGAAGATCCGATCCAACAGCTGTGTCAGCTCAATATTCAGTTCCTCCGCCCCGCGGCCTTCGAATTCTTGCGCGGCGCTGGGCGAGCACTCCACGTTGCACACTATGGTGCCGCTGGTTTCGGGCACGTTGTCCCCGGGTGTCCATGAGTTCACTTCGGCTTTGATCCCCACAAGGACGTCGGTGCCAACACCAAGGTTGCCTATGCGGCAGCGCGCGCTGCCGTTGGCTTGCGAGATCATACCCGTGCGGAGGGTCACTTCGCGCCGGTCTAGGCTGCCCCGGCCATCTGCGCGGAACCCGCTTTCGACACCGCGGAGTATATAGTCGTGCTCTGCTGGAGAAAGTATCAAGCTAGCCATTTGATATTTATCCTGGAATGGGGGAGGGGGGAGTTAAAAAAGGTGTATAAAAGTTTGATCCAAATCACAAAAAATAAATAAAAAATTCTACTTGAAAATTTTGCCAACATTGAAAATTCAATTTGAAGAGTAGCACGGCTCACTCGCATCAAGGGTTTAGGTCAAAATACACGTGATATATTTTAAACCAAAAAAGCATTCTTTTCCTGGGGGAGCGATTACGATGATGGCGAATCGATCTTGGCCTGCTGGCCGCCATTGGTAGCTTGCCAGTCAGTGACAAAGTTCTGGTACATGGCACGGAACATTTCAATGCCCTCAATACTGCAGGAAAACTGGAAGTACGTGGTGATAAGCGCCACAATCTCATTACGCTTAAAGTCCAGTGAGGTGAAGCTGCGACTGAAAGCACGGTCCGGGTACGAGAAAAGCGCTTTCATCGCTGTGCCAATGCCTAGCGTCTGGGTCTTCCCCCATAGGCGGCACTTTTCGCACCCAGTGCAGTCCATGATGCGTGAGATGTTGCGGAATTCTCCTTGACCTCTAGCTTGAGCTCGCGACCGGTGGCGCCGAGGAACAGCTCGCTGTCGTCAAAGAGCACACCAGCCTTCTTGACAGAGTTGAGGATTTTTGGCAGCAGCCGCTTGACGGCCGCGTCGTCCTTTTTTGATCCTGTGGAGTAGTCGTAAGCGGCCAAGTAAGGGTGCATCTTCTGGATTGCTCTGGTGAGCAGCACAAAATTAAAGTAAATGTTCTGCAGGCGGTCCGGGAAGGCGCCGATGCGAGAGATAAAGCAGCTGAGGTTGGGCTCCCATTTGCCCGAGGTCGAGTTGAAGTAGTCAGCGCAGATATGCGCAGAGATGGAGGCGTGGAGGCCCGAAACCATGCGGTAGAACATGCGGTACTCGTGCGGAATGTCTGCTGGCAGCGTGACGCCGCGGTCCTCCTCAGCGAGGCTCTCGAGGAAAGGAGCAAGGTCGCGGCGCTTGCGTGGTGGCTGGATAAAGGGCATGGACTTGCCGTCGACGTTAACCAGTTGGCTGCCCCAGCCGCCGGCCGTGTCTTGCAGATAGGGCGGAACGCCAAAGCAGTTGTGCTGGTAGATGCTCATCCAGATTGCGTTGGCGCCGGCGCCCGCGTATCCGGTGAATCGCTCGGGATTGTCGACCAGATCCAGCCACACGCCCTCGCCGTACGTCTCGTCGTTGACTATGGCAAAGTCCTTTTCAGTGTACTCTGGCCGCTGGCGCGGAAACGAGCCCTACACATATACAATACAAATGGATGAGAAAGGCATGTTTTTTTTTATTTTATTAGTTTTTGGTGGCTGTGCGTCAAAAGTCGGGCGATCATGGCGGCATTTTGTAAAAAAAAAAACCTGTGACGTGGCATAATCCCAAGCATAACCACAATCCCAAGCTTTAGCTGGAGCAAACATAAGATACTTACCAAAAACGGGCCAAAGCTTGCCTGGTCGACTTTTTGGGCCCGCCAAGCCTTGGGCACTTTGGACTCATCCATGGGCTGCACAATACAGTCTCTCTGGAAACACGAGCCCTCCGAATTCCAAAACTGGCACGGCTTATACAGCTCGACCTTGAGCGTGCGGAAAAACTTTGTGCGAATAAGCCTCTTTAACGGACCCGACACCTTCCGATTCAATGCCTCGATGCCGTCAAAGTCGCTGTACGTGTCCATAACGTAGCCCTCAGGCTTGCAAATATTCTGGCCCTTGGATTTCTGCAGCACATGGGCCATGAAGCCGACGTTGGCGCTGGGCTGCTTTGCAGTGGGCTGCGGCGAGAGGCCTAGGGCGTTTGGGGGGTCGCGCGCAATGTAGGCGGTTAGCGCGGCGGCCAGTAGTGCGCCGATGCGGACGCCGGTCCAGAGCCATTGTGTTTTGCTTGGCGCTGCGCCTTGGTCGGGAATGCTGGCGGGCGATGCTGTGTCGGTCTTGGCGGGCTTGGCGGTTTTGCTGCCATTGCATTGGCATTGCATGGCATTGCCATTACCGGTCGACGTTGATGTTGATGATGTTGATGTCGAGCGTTTTTTTGACATGTGGGTTAGAGTTAAGACTTTACAAGTATAATAAACAAGGGAATAAAATGAAATGAAATGTGCCAAGTACGGTGCGTTTGAATTTAATATAACAGCAGAAGCAAAAGAGAAGAAAAAGAAAATAGGGGAGGAAATGGGCGTCAATTAAAGAATAAGCAAGGCGTTTAAAGGTCAAAAGGAAGGTCGTAAGATATATTAGCGAGGGAAAGAAATAAAATGTGGGCTGACAATTATTATTATCTTTTCACAAAGCTTTATAGGTTTTTTTTAGTTTGTCGTCAGATGGGATGTTTAAAAAAGGAAACGAAAGACAAAGTGCAGATGCGATTTTTGCGCACATAATGCCAAACATTAGCTCAACACTGGGCCCATTCCCACAGCCGCAAAAAAATCAAAAACTAAAAATCAAAAGTGTAAATTTATGTTAAGGGGGAAAGGGGGGAAAGGCGAGCCGCATGGGCACTCTGAGACATGCTAGTTTGAGAAAAGGGATATTCCAGCATCTCGGAATTAAAAAAGGCAAATAAATGCCCAGAGTTGATTTTCTATTCGGGATCCGCCCTCCACTCACAACGCTCCAACAGTAAATTTTTAGAGCATCGTGGCCTTTTGAGTTTGGGTCGTTTTTTTGAGTTGGTGTGTGGGGAAAAAGGAAAGCAAAAAAAATAGGGGGCAGACCACGCGGCACGCGCTCCAGAAAAATAGCTATTTTCCACGCTCTTTTCTATTGCTAAAGAGCGCAGCGTATGCGATAAAAAAGACCTGAAACTATCCTTTTTTCTTTTGCCGAAGGCTCAGAAAAGCTAAAAGTCACGTTACCTTGGCGAAAATACAAGAGAAATTTTGGCATGCCCTTTTCTTCTTCTTTTATCCCCTTTTCCCCTTGTTCAGCCGCTGCTGTCACTGAGCAGAGGGCAGGCATTTGCTGATTTGCTGTTTTGCCGGCCCACAAAGAAAGTGACACGTTTGCTCGAGCAGGCTGTTTGGTGCCAAGGGAACGCGGCGACACCACAGGGCAGGGCAGGGCAGGGCAGGACTGAGCAGGGCAGAACTGAGCAGGGCAGGGCAGGGCAGGGCGGGGTAGGTTATAGGGCAGCAGAGCTCGGCTTTGCAGTGCGCTTTGGGGAGGGCGCGCCATGGCACTGCCGTCATTTGTACAGGCCTCCTGCATGTGTCGCAATTGTCAAGCCCACTCCACTTTAGCGCGCTGCCCACTTGTGTATGCCCCCCTTCCGTATCCTTGGCTGTAGAAATTGCATTTTCATGCTGAGCTCAAAATTTTGCTACTATTTCTGTGCTTCCATTTCTCTCTCTTCCTCTTTTTTTTTCTTTTTTCTTTTTCACTGTCCAGCATTTTTAGTCATCATATTTCTTCTACTTTCCAGGTTTCTTGTTTGTTTGTTTGTTTGTTTGTTTGTTTTTGGCCTGCTTTTGTTTGTCCAAGCCTGAGTTCCTATTTTTATTTATTTCTTTCTTTGCTTGTCCGTTTGCTCAAGACCAGCGGTTATTGACACAAACACACACACTTTCGTATATATATCCCTTTCCCCCTTTTCTCTTCCTTTTTCTTTTTCTTTCTTTTCTTTCTTCTTTTTTTTGCCCTTCGCTTATTTTTTATATTATTATTTTTGTATTTCCGGCCTTGTCCCACGCCAAATGTTTGGGCGCCTGAATGCAAAGCTTGCACATTTAAAGGCTACTTCACAGCGCGCACAAACAGATAACAGCGCCGGCCTTTCGCTTGCATCCAGCACGGAACCCCCAGCATCCCAGGTAAACTCATCAGCAGTATCAGCAAACACCAGCAGAGCGGCATCGCCCCTACCATTAATCAGCTTTCAAGCAGCGCGGGCAGCAGCAGCAGCAGCAAACCACACCACAGCCAAGGGCCTGGCTCTGAGTATCCCGCAGAGCCCCTCTATCCCCGATACGCCGGCTCTTAGGAGCTACCACTTGTACGTAGAGACGCCATTAGAGAACGCCTGTGAGCCAATCCTCTCCCCCACCGAACCCACCGCACCCGTTGCCCCGCCCTCTCAGCACCAGCCTCAGCTTCAATCCCAACCCCCGTTAGCGGTTCGCTCGCTGTCGAATAAGCGTCGCTTAAGCAGCCCTCGATTCGAAAGCACTGGGCTTTTCCACAAGCCCAAGCACACTAAGGTCGATTCAGCCAGTGGCTTTTTGATTGAACAGAACGCGCATTCAGCCGGGCCTCAAATTATTCCACTCCGACACTCCCTGTCTCTACACATTTCGAGCACGCCGGCGAATTCAGCACAGCCGGAGACTTGCATAGCCAGCAGCAACCCAATATCAGCACCAACATCAGCACCAGCACCAGAACCAGAACCAGAACCAGCACCAGCAGTACCCGTATCAGCAGTACCCGTACCAGCAGTACCCGCATCAGTACCACCACCAGCAGGCCTATTCTATTAGCAACATCACTCACGCGCAGCAGAGCCACTACCCGAACCAGCTCATGTCTATGCTCAACCAGCCCGACCAGACACCACAACCGCTCTATTCACAGCCGCTGCCGCCGCCGCCGCAGGACTTTGGCGGCGCCCAAGCGCAGCACCCCATGTACATGCAGCCGCTGCCACCGGTACCTGGCGGCATGGTGGTCGACAGCAATGGCGTTGTGCAGATGCTGAGTGGCACATCAGCGGCAGCTACCATGGCGGCCATCATCAGCGGGTGCGGCAGCGAGCCGCCATCAGACGGCCGCACGCTGGACGACTTCCAGCTGCTGCACACGCTGGGCACCGGCACATTCGGGCGAGTGTTCCTGTGCCAATCCAAGGCGACCAAGCGCTTCTTTGCCATGAAGGTTCTGCGAAAGTCGCAGGTGGTCAAGCTCAAGCAAGTTGAGCACATCAACAACGAGAAGAACATCCTGGAGGCGGCGCGGCACCCGTTCATTGTGCAGCTCGAGTGCACCATGCAGAACGAGCGCAACCTGTACATGCTGATGGAGTACGTGCCCGGCGGCGAGCTGTTCTCGCACCTGCGGCGCGCCGGCCGGTTCCCCGACGACGTCGCGCGGTTCTACGCGGCCGAGATTGTGCTGGCGCTGGACTACCTGCACAGCATGAAGATCATCTGGCGCGACACCAAGCCCGAGAACATCCTGCTGGACGAGCGGGGCCACGTCAAGTTGACGGACTTTGGGTTTGCCAAGCGCGTCGAGGAGCGCACGTGGACGCTGTGCGGCACGCCCGAGTACCTGGCACCCGAGATCATCCAGAGCAAAGGCCACGGCAAGGCCGTCGACTGGTGGGCGCTGGGCATCCTGATTTTTGAGATGCTGGCCGGCTACCCGCCGTTCTACGACGACAACCCGTTTGGCATCTACGAGAAAATCCTCGAGGGCAACCTCGTCTTCCCAGCGTTCTTCTCGCCGGCCGCCAGGGACCTGATACAGCGCCTGCTGACGCCCGACGTGAGCAAGCGTCTGGGCAACCTGCAGGGCGACGGCGAGGATGTCAAGACCCATGCGTGGTTCAGCATGATTGACTGGCAAGTGCTCGTGCAGAAGCGCATTCCGCCGCCGATCGTGCCGCCGCACAGGCACCCTGGCGACACTTGCAACTTTGACAAGTACCCGGAGCCGCCGCAGGAGGCTGCCCTGGAGCCTGGCGTCGACCCATACCGCCACCTGTTTTCGACCTTTTAGCGCAACCCCCGCAACTCAAAATAATCAATTATAAGCCTATGCCATTTTACTCGAAACCTTATTCAGCGCGAACTGCAAGCTGCGAAATGGCGGATGAGGCGCACTCGACGCCACTCGAAAAAGGCAAAAGGCAAAAGGCACAATAGCCAAATGCGCATGTATGCAGTGGTGTAGTGCATCAAATGGCAAATTGTGCGGGCTATATATGGATGCAAGGGGCTTGACAGAAGGTGGATCCCAGCTTCAAGGCAAATTACCAAAGCGGCATTTTATTTTATTTTATGTTACTTTATTTTATATTTGTGCTTGGCTGTTTCCAAATTCGGAACGAAAAAAGGTCCAAATTTCTAAACAGGAGACCACGGGATTATTGCCTCTAGCCCAATAAAAAACACGTCATCCATCCATTTTTATTCCCGGTTACTACTTGTTCAGCATATATCCCCGTTGACATTGCCAGGTGTATACGCGACATGCAAATGCCATTCTCGACTTTGCATATATAGTGCTGTGGAAGAGTTAATTTAAACATTTTCTTTTGGGAGCCTATAATCATTTGTTTGTGACACTTCCTGCTTCTCATTTTTCTTCTATTTTTCTCAATCCCTGTTTTTTTATATATTAGATTCTCAACCTTTTTTTTTTTTTTGCTTTCAATCAACGTGTCAATTAATAAAAAACATTTTTGTTGCATTCTTTTGTGGTTTTTTATAGCAACCTAGAAAAAAAACTCACAAAGAGTCCCTGTCCCTAATTTTTTTGTTTGAAGCGGTCCCTCCCCACCAACTTCTTTTTTCTTTCCTGTGTTTGTTGCATTTTCATTTTTATATACTATTTATTTATTTTTCACATACTGTCTCCGACTTTTTTTATTCCACTACCCCTGTTTTGCGCTCACTCCTTTTCTCTTTTTCACTCTTTTTCTTTTTCTCCCTCCCTCCCTCCCCTTTTTTTTGCTCACTCTTGCACCTAAAAAGTAAAATAAAACAAACAAAAAGCCATTCTTGCTTTATTTTTAAACTTTTATTCAACCAAAAGAGTTATTCATAGCGCACACTGCTCTCAAAAAAATTAAACAAAACAAGGCGATACGACTCGCCAAAAATTTTTTTTTTATTTATTTATATTTTAATACTCAATTGCTTTTTTTGTTAACTTATTCGCATTTCCCAGCATATTAACGCTTGCATTTCAAACCGGCCACGGCAAGCCCAAAAACCCGCACAATGAGACCCGTGAACTTGCCAATTTCAAACACAGTCAGCCGGCAGTCGCAAGAAGGCAGTGCACAGAGCAGGAAGCAGCAGAACACGTCCAATACACGCACCATCGGCATATCCTCCAGCAACAATAGCCCGCACAACGTATCGCCCCCGAACCAAACAATTGCGCAGCGGCCATCAATCGAGGTGCGACACGACGCTGTAATGAACGGCCCGGCCAAGGCACGCATGCTCTGGCGCGAGAGCTTCACGCCGCACGAGATCGAGAACAGCAGCATCAACGAGAAAGAGGTCAGGCGGCAGGAGGTCATCTTTGAAATAATACACACCGAGGCCGACTATGTCAAGGATCTGCGGATAATCGTCGACATTCTCCTCGGGCCCATGCGCAGTCTGCGCATTGTGCCGGCGGACCAGGTAGAGCTGATATTCGGCAACGTGCAGGAGATCCTTGAGCTGCACGAAAGCATCAACACTGCGTTCATGGAGCGGCAGCGCAAGCAGTATCCGGTGGTCTGGGACATATCCGACGTCTTGCTGCCGTTCGTGCACCACTTCCGCCTGTACGCCAAGTACATCTGCAACCAGGACAAGGCACTGGGCCTTGTGGAGGAGCTGAAGCGCACAAGCAACAACTTTGCAGTGTTTTGCAAGGAGCGGCAGCGCAGACCCGAGTGCCGCAACCTGCCGATGGAATCCTTCCTGACGCTGCCGTTCCAGCGCCTGCTCAAGTACCCGCTGCTGCTGCGCACCCTGCTGAGCTCCACCGAGCAGTGGTCGCAGCAGCACGCCAATGGCCGCCTGGTGGCCGAGCAGGTGGACGCATGGATTAAAAAGATCCAGGATGCGCGTGCCAAGCTTGAAAGCTACGCGTGCCTGCAGGCGCTCTCTGCGTGCGTATCCGGGGTCAACTGGGCGCCGCTGCTTCAGGAAGAGCACCGGCTGATGCACAGCGGCACCGTGCGCACGACCAACCCAAAGCTGGTCTCGTCCAGCAGTGTGCTGCCGCCGGATGAGGTGGCCACAATGTGGCTGTTTGAATCCTTTGCGCTCATTGCGCGCGCTGAGCCCATGCCGAGCGGCGCCAAATCAATGCTGCCGCGCAGCTCCTTCCCGGGCCATCGCGGCCCAGACGCCTCCACAGCGCCCGCGAAGAGCAGCTGCATGCCGGCGCCAAACACGCGGTACAGCGTGGTGCTGGGCCCTTGCAAAGTGGTCGAGGTGCTCGAGCTGGCGCAGTGCAAGGGCGCGCCCGACGCGTACCTCCGCGCCATTCCGTTCGAGCAGTCGGCCGAAGCAGAGGCCGTGCAGCACACGTCGGCGGTCGTGCGCTTTGCCTCCAAGCCCGACTACATGGCCTGGCGCCCCAGGCTAAATGCCCACGTGTGCCGCACACTGCATAAGACCCCGTCCCTGTCGGCCGACGTTTTGGCCGACGCCATTGCGCGCGCCAAGTTTTTCGACAGCGACGAGCCGCCCGCGCAGCTTCTCGGCCAGGCGCGCAGCCCGCCGTCAAGCGGGTTCCCGACCGCGCAGCCTAGCGCAATGACCAGCGTAAGCGACATTCCGACAATCAGCGTGCGCGAGGTGTTTGTGAAGTTTCCGGCGACAGTGCAGAAGGGCAAAATCAGGCGCGGCTGGGACTTTCTGTGCAGCAAGACTGAGGACATCACGGGCCAGGGGATCAAGCGCCAGCTGAAGAAGTACGGCGGCGGCGGCGGCAAGCGCAGGGCAACGGATCTGGTGCCGGCACCGGCGCCGAACCTGAAGCCGCGGCTGACGCTCGGCCAGCGGTCGCTTCGCGGGTCGCCCCAGACACACTCCCAGCCCCACCTGGTACCGCCGCCGCCGCCGCCGCCGCCACTGCCACTGCCACTGCCGCCCATGCACCCATCGCAGGTCTCGCTGGCGGCGTCGCAGGTGATATCGACGCCCATTATTGGGCCCATGTCGCCGTCGTATGTCCACATCCCAATGGCACCCGGGCTTTCCGCTGTCAACGGCGCTGGGGAGGAAGCAAATGCTTTAAAGGCTGCCAGCCATATTGCAACTGTCATGCCGCAGCGCCGCCGCCTGCGCAACCAGACCTTGCCTGCGCTGGGGATTTACCACCCGCAGGTGGCCGATGTCTCGTCAGCCACTGTAGACACGACAGGAAACAGCAGCAGCACCTGCCAGCGCACCCTTGCTGGCTCGGTCGATAATATTGTTTTGCAGTCGTACTCAAACTACTCGTGCCGCGGCACAGGAGACAGCGAGGACATGGTGATTTCGTCGCCGCAGGCGCAGCAATTCTCCAAGTTCGAAGTAGGCTCGGCCACCCTGACCTACAGCAACAGCAGCAGCTACTGCAGCGATGCCGTATCAGCAGCAACAACCTTTGCTGGCACCACGCTGTCTGCCAACACCGTGCGCCCGCCGCCGCCGCCGCATCAGCTCCACAACGAGACCTACGGTGACATGGACATGTCTGATTCGGACATCAGCTACTCCGAGCATTCGCCAGAGTTCCCGCGGCATATAGCCGAGAGCTCCGGCTCCACGCTCTTCCATCCGCCACCGGTAGTGTCGCAGTCTCTGCCGCAGATGCAGCAGGCAGTGGCAGCGACAGCATCTGCGGCAATGAGAAGCGCGGATCCACAGGCTGCCGCCCCGCTGCGAGTGCGCATGTCCCGTGTCTCGACAGGCTTGCGCATGCCAGCGCCGGTTTTTGAGGTTGGCTCGGCTAAGCTCACCTACGGAAACACCGAGGCATATGCTGCCTCTACTGCCGAACGGACTTTGCCCAAGCCAATGCACCTGAAGTCGCAGAATGAGCTGAGGACGTGGGGTCGAAGGCCCATGAGGTGATGAGCAATATGCCAGGGTTCCAGTCCGACCAGTGGCACTCGTACGGCACAACGGGCCATCTGCTGCCCATGCGCAGCTGGCAGCCCGTGGACGCCGACGAGCCCTCAAGTGCCAATTCTACGGACTCATTCTGCATTGTCAATCATGAACCAATGCCGCCGCCGCCGCCGCCAGCATTGCCGCCGAAAACGCAGGCATTGAGGAAGCAAACGCTAGGTCGGTCGGTCTTTTCCGGAAGAGCTGCTAGTTCATACAATTCTTAACCATGTGTTTTCTTTTTCTTTTCCACTTTCATGTAGCTAATTTTTTATTTTTATTTTTTATTTTTCTTCTCCCCTGTCCTTTCCTTTCCATTCCATTTCTCCTTTTCGATTCCTCTATTATAATGTCAAATTTCAAATGTTTTTCTTTCTTTTTCATCATCATTCATATACAGGTCGGCAAGTTAGAAGCCGAGTTCGGGGTCGTACAGATCGCCGTATGACTGCAGCTGGCGAGTATCGGTCACCGGGCGAGAGATAGATTGCGGCAGCGCGCGAACACTAGGATCGACCTTGGCGGCATTCTGCGCAGGCGTCTTTCTTTTCGCAGCCATTGATTTCTTCTTTCTAGACTTGGCAAGTCGCTCCGCCTCATCATCCGAAAACTCCATATCATCAGACGCGACCTCCTCGTCGAACTCATTACTGGCATCCGTGCCCTTCACCCGCAGCCTCTCCGTGGCCAGTAATTTGGACCAATTTGAAGCAAAATAAACCTGCTCGCCGACTTTCCCGCGCTCCTGAGCCTCATTTGCCGAGTTAAACCGTACTGTGTACATGGGCCTGGTCACGGGGCCAAACACATCAAAGACTAGACCCAGAACCGACCGATCACTGAGAATAACCAGACTGTCCGAGTCCAACACATGCTGTTCACCGCTTACGTGCGCCTGGATGATAATCGAGTTGTCCACTAGGGAGTGCACGGTGCCGAGTGCGCGGAGATCAATGTCTTGTGGCAACTGTGTGATGGGCGGAGCCGCGATCTGTGGGTTAAGCACCTCGTGTCTGGTCAATGGAAGATTTGCCCCTCCGGTCATCATATCATCTTCGTCGTCGTAGTCCATCTCCAAGTCTGCCATTAGCTTGTTCGTTGACTTGCTGTCTTCCTCCATTTCTTCATCTGACGAGCTGTAGTCGGAGCCTGAGGTTGAGCTGTCTAGGTTAGACTCATTATCAGCATCCTCCGGCTCATCTGCTGTGGATTGGGGTTGGTTGAATTCGCAAGTTAAGGGCTCGGGCAGGTTGAGTTCACATGCTAAAGTCTCGGGCTGGATCTGGGCTTGAACCTGGGGCTGGGGCTGGTTAGGATCGACAAAGGCGTTGGCGGATTTCACCGTCTGTAGTAGTTGTGCTATTTCTTGGCCAACTCGGCTGCCGTCCTGCTGCTCTGGATGTGTCAGTGCTGTTGATGTGGACTGTGTATTCAGCTGGTTGCTAATACTGGCCAAGGAATCGTTTTCCATATTTTTTTCCTTTTCTTTTCTTCTTGTAAAAGGAAATTATACAAAAATTAAATAAACAAAAAGGTTGTGCGAAAAATAATGATATTCGTAATAGAAAAATAATGAAAAAGATGAGAAAGAAGAAATAAAAAAAGGTTGGTTGTTGTTGGCTTTGGGTGTAGAAAAAAAGTTACGTTTCAGAAATTTTTTTGGCTCTAGTTTATTTTCCCCTTGATCATGGAATATGATTTTCGGATATTGAAAATCAAATCAGAGGAAAAGGATACTTGCCCTAAGGTTAAATTGCGACACACAAAACAAAAAAATGGCACACAGATTAAGTTTATTATAGGAACAAGTTCAATGTGACTACAACTATATCGACAAACTCAGATGCCAACTTTAATTCAAATTATATGGCTAGACCTACGAAATTAATGACATCCAGTATGAGTCTACTTATTACTGTCACTGTAGAATCCAGAATAGCTTTTGACTGCTGAGCGGACAGAACAACAGCCCTGCCAATTGGTTGTACAGGGCTTATAGCATCCATATTCAAATTAGAACCTATCTAAATTTGGATTTGGCTGGTTTGCGCAGGTCCAGCATGTGGTAACGATAAGGTAGAATACAAAACAGATGTAATAGTAGCAAATCTCATTGTTATATTAAAATTAGAAAACTGAGTAATAAATGTAAGAAAACACCATTGAAAAGGCCTGTATGCTTGCAAATACATTTATTCATCTCTCCAATCCCCCCCCCCACATTTCTAATAATATTTTAAAAATAACTGATAATAATTGAACAGTACATTTGTTCCACCAGTATTTCGAGTGCCATTGCTTTCTATCCAATCTAACAAATAACTAATAAAATAGAATTACTAATAAAGTTTTTAATAAGCGGTTGTAACTTTGCATGCCTTTACTTGATAAATGCAAATAGGTTTTATTTTATCAAGAAAATTTGACAATTTGCAATATCCGAAAAGATTGGTGATCGTCAAATGTTATGTTGCTATTTTTTGATTCATGTGAACAATGATAATTTTTTTTGGCAACAGGTGCAAGTGAAATGCAGATGGGGCCAATAACACAAACTATTTAACATAAATATAGGAATTTTAAAAAGTAACTATTTATGGTTGTATTGCTTCTATTGGCAGAAGAATATTCCAAGCACACTTTCAGATACGTTTTTTGGCACCAGAGTAATATTATAAATATGCTTGTATGTATTAATTATATTGAATAGCTTTAAAACAAACAGTTTGCATAAAATATATTAGAAATTAACAATATTGTTAAACTGTATATGCGTCTGTAATAATGTTTGTATAAATTAAAACCCATACCAAACGCATTAGGGTCCAGAAACATTTTCCAATACACTAGTAACTACCCCAATTAGACTTGCTATGGTACCTAACAGTCCAAGCACTAACCCACTAAGAGCGCTTAAAATTGATTTTCCATTAGTAGCAGGCCCTTCAGGAGTCTTAATAAGTGCTTGGCCATAGTTTGCTGCGGCCACGCCTACATTCGGAGCATATGCGAGCTGGCTTTGGTTGGACTCAATAGTTCCGGCATGTGCTACCGAGGCAGCAAGAAAAAAACGGGTAATTGTTGCAAGCTTCATTATTTGATGTAAAGTGATAACTGTAAAAAATGGTTTTGTAGCTAAAAGATTGACTATAACATATAAAATATTGGTCTTTGGGTGTTATACTTATATACTCTTGCAAAAATGAAAAATTTTACAACAGTCGCGTGCCAGATGCTTAGAAATATATCATTATTATGCGCAGCAACTTTGAATATTATCTGTCGCAAAGACACATGGGGAATACGGCATGTGTGTTGCCATTTGAATCGATGAATGGCTTAAAGAAATATGATCAGTTATTTTGTAACTCCGGATGACAATCTTAGCATCGTGTTAAATGTACTTTATACAAAAATAACTTTTCAGTACATAAGCTACCCACTGTTGCAAACTTTTGTAATAACATGATCAAATAAAAGCGACTTTATTGAGTATAATTATGCCGCTAGGCAAACGAGACGGAACATTAAAATTGAAATTGCTGATTTTCACATCCATTTCATTTTCAATAACCATAGTTGAAAAGTGGTGAATTATTTTTACAAGTAAAATAATAATTGACTAAAATTCTTTGCCAATAATATATTTTTATCACTATGCATTCATTTCTTTGTTACGCAGCCCAAGGATATGGAGGTAGACGCTGAGGGCGAAAAATATGAGACAGATTCTCGTCAGCTCACAGATGGATCTGATATGGACCAAATCACAGGTGATCAAATTAGGCGCCACACTTGACATCCGGACATACTGCCTGTCCCGAAATGGATGTGTTGGGCGCAAGAATACAGACATGCCAATTATGCCATACCAGAGACCCGGGCTACTTTCATAAGGACCAGTTCACGCAAACGGAGCACACGACTGCCAGTGAGTGCCACAAAAACAAGGAGATATATATAAGGCGAGGCCGGCGATAATAGCACTTTAGAAAGACTAGTAATAAAACTCCTTATAATTCCACACCCATCATTTAACACTATCACAGTAGTGCTCCCCACCCACCTCTTACATAACAATGTTGACTAGATTGAGCACTTTCAGCGCGTGCCAAAGAAACAATAAAAAATAGCAGGTGTAATCAATGCAAACTTCATCAGTATATATTGATAATTTACGGAAAATGTATATAAGTCAGAAAATGAGCACTTGCACATTGAAAGAGTGAACATATGGCAATATACTTATATAAAAATTCTACACAACTTTCAAGTACTGTATCTACTTGCTTACAATACAAATTGCTTATCATTTTGCACTGGCATTTATTATAACACGTGTTACAGTGGCATGCAAAAAAGCCCCAACACACAATCTTTCCATCAATCATAATAAAGCTTTTGGAATATTATTAAATTTTTTGATTGAATGAATAATCTGAGTAATGTCGTTTACATTTTGATATATGAAATAAAAATGGATAGCTTTCCAAAGTATATTATATCAAAAATTATTTGCACTGATTAGTTTTATTGATCATTTAACATTATATTGTTAGCATGTGCGCGTATATGACTAAAAGTGATGCAATACTTTATTAATACTTTATTGTTAAAAAATGCACTTATCAAAATCATGTAGTTTTGTTACTGTTATATGGCTAACTGAGTAAAAGCCAAGTACAAAAAAGACGCCTGATAAGCAAGCACCTAGACTCTGATGCGCCAAACAAAAACGTCTACACTTTGCCCAAAAAATATATCTATAGATCCACTTAGTTGTTTATGACAAGACAGGGCTTTGTTAAAAAACCAACAGCTATAACCGCCATAATATGTAAATAAACCAATCCGTGGGCTGCCTGCAAAGATGAGTAGCCGCAGTAGAGGGTGCCTCATTGGCTTTGCGCCCGGCTGCTGCTGCTGAATCTCTGCCAAATAACCTCCACTTAATTTCCTACCTCTGGCAAAAAGGAGCTAACGCACTGTTAACGCACTACCCTTTAACAGAATATAAAGGTAGGCGCGTAAACACAATCTCAAAAGTTTTTTCAATGGTTGGTGACTTTGTTATAGTGATGTTATATTAAACGCGCAACTATTTAAAGCCATTCAAGGTTTTCTTTAGCGATTCCAAAATTACAATTAATAAATCCAAAACGTCGTTTACAGTGGAACCTAAAATATAATTTATAATAGAAAATGCGTTTCCTTCAAGGGAATTTGTTATATTACTAAGAGGGACTTTTAATTGGGGCACTGATGCAGCAGTAGCTCTATTATTAGCCTGTATAAATTCAATAATGGCCACTCCCAAATTAGGAATACCCTGGACCTGGTTCTGGCTAGGCTGTGCAGGGTCAGCACGTGTCACTGAGGCAGCAAAAAAAATGATGGGCGTAAGGGTGGCAAATTTCATTATCAAAAATAGTTGGTTACTGTAAGTCAATTTAATAAATATTTTATAAACGATGTACAATCAAGTCATCATTTTAACTTTATATAGCCAGCTTATTCCACACAGAATGTAAATAATGGAAAAGTTATTTGCGCCATCAATGATTTAAACTGTATTTGCAACTAAGCCATGTATAAAAGAGGCGCATTTGAATGCAATTGTAAAGCAATTTGTTTTTGGGACTTATGTTGCGAATCAGGGTAGCTTTTTTGTCATTAGACTAGTAATTAATTAAAACTGAAAAGCAACCTGCCAATTAATAGTCTGGGCATAAGCTTTTGTAATATAGTTATGTGAATTTTATGTAGCAAAAACAAATAAGAAAGTAACCTCATTAAATATGCAAAAAAACGGTGCAAAAATAACAGGGTGAATGGCCGTAACCATTTTTTGGCCAATGTCTGATAACCTTTAAATTGCCGTACAGCACTGCCTCGAACATGCTAACAATCAATTGTTAACATGTTTACTCAAAAAATGGCTAGGTAATTTAAATACAAATGTTGATACCTGTTTCTTGTTAAAACTGCATTCTTCGTTACAAAAATGCATTTTTCAATAATATTGATGAAGCATTGCATACATGTGCGGATGCTATCATTACCCAGAAAACATAAAATTGTTCAGCCATGAAATGTATAAGATTTTCACGTGCTAGTACCTACTTGGTACACTACTCACTGTTTAGAAGGGCTTTAAAATTGTAAAATCCAATTCCTCGTTGCTGGCTGGCTCTACATCTACATTGACATTTTAATTATAGTTTATGTATTTATTAAAATAAAATAAAATAACACACATGCATCTAGTTATCATGTAAAAAGGCTTCTAGTTGGGTGTCAATGTCTTAAAAATACTGAGCCATAACCTTGGCTGCAGGCTTTATTGCAGCCGGAATTGTGGCTGGAGCCTTCAGCTTGTTGAGTGCATCTATTATTCTATTCAAAATTCCAACCAAAGCATCAACAATAGGGGCAGTAATAGGGCCCAATAAAGGAAGCAAAGTAGTAGTTAAAAGGTTAGTTATAGAGTCAAGTGGGCTTTTTAATTCAGAAATTGAATTGCCAACAGAGGCACTAACGGCATCAACAATATTGTTAGCTGCTACAATGACATTAGGGGCGTTCTGGTGCTGGGGCTGGAGCTGATTTGTGCTTATCTGGGCAGGTTCGGCATGTGCCACTGATGCTACAAGGAAGAAGACTGGTGTAAGGGTGGCAAATCTCATTGTATAAATGTAAGCTGTTAATACGCAATGTTTAATAAAAATAATGTATTATAATAATGATAAGCATGGCGTGCTTATGGCCTTTTATAGTTGTAATTTGTTGCGGAAATTCTTTCCAAAATGTTAACAATAAATGCAAAGCTATATGCAAATAATTGTTTAAAGCGCATTGGTTACATAGCCATATGAAAAAATATGCTACATTGTTGGCAATATCGTTATCGCTTTTCTTTACAAGTTGATTTTGCATAGAATGGCTTAACTTGATAAATGTAATAGTTGGATTGAGCAGTAATCAATGTTTGACAGAGGCAATAAAGGTGAAGGCCAGTTGTATAATGCGTGGCGCTTAGTTATCTGGAGAAAGCATATGTGGTTGTGTTGATACCATTGAATTACTCAACAGTACTTTTTGTCGTGCTCTATGAAAATTTGAGTATAAATTAATATATTCAATTATCAAAAATTATTTAAGGAATTGAAAAATGGGGGCAGTGCTGTAAGCATAATGGTGTTCCTTGATGTCAGCTAGCAATAACAGAAAATATATAACGGCCATGAGGACAATCTTAATTCTTGAAAAGGGAAGATAGTGGCTTGGAATGTGTGTTGGGCACCACATTATTTGTAGCCTTATCGATTTTGAAAAATGATAATGTTTCTGCATAACAATTGTCAAAGGAATATATTCGTATGTGCCGCGCGCATGTGGAAACACAGTTACCCAATCTGTAAATATATAATACACATAATCTTTTAATCTGTAGTCTCCACAGTTTTTATTTTAAAAAATTATTAAGAATGTGGCATAGACGTTTAAACATATTTTGGATTTATTTATTTATGTCATAATTAACTAAGTGGCTGGCCTTACTTTCATAGCTCCAAAAACTGCTTGTTGAGTTTCAATAAGTCCAACTGAAATTTCTATAATAGGTTTTAAAGCGGAGCCAAAAATAACATGTAGTGTGTTTTTTGTGGCGGCTTGCATGTAGTCAGCTACGGGAGTTAAAAACAGGTTTAATAGTTGGCCAGGTATGGAAGCCACTATCTTGACAGACTCAACAGGACCTCTAATAGGCTTTTTTTGGCTAGACACAGTCTCAGTTGGTTTTTTGTAGGTCGGTGCAGACCTGACATGTGCTACTAAAGCGGAAAACAATATAAACAATATAAAAGCAGTGAATCTCATTTTTATTTTTTGAGTAGCAATCAAAATAACAGGAGTAAATGTTTTTTCCAATAATATGCGTTGTCTTTTTGTAATAACTCTGTACAATTCCAACTTTGATGTCAAAACATTTTTAAAATAAAATTTGGCAACCATATTGTAACTTTGAGTGGCTTTACTTGGTGAATGTAGTTGGTTATATTTTAAGTAGTAATACTTTTTTTAGCAAATAGAAAATATTGATTTAACAAGAAAACAATAGAGGCTGAAAATAAAGGCTTCACTGAAATGATGCATGCCGCTAAACAAGCTTGATAGCGCTGATAGTTTGACCTTTGTTGTAATTCTGCAAGTTCAACCCCATTACATAATAAATATCCAAATTAGACAAGTAAAGGACAATAAATAATTATCTTGTATCTTGTATATTGTTAATTTTGTTCGATAAGATGTTGGTCACATAACAATTTATGAGCATCTAAAAATGTATCATCTGACCAATAAAATATTTCTACGATTTTACAACTTAAAATGTTGGATATTTAAATTTTAGGTTTGGTTTAAATTTGTATTATTATTATTATTATTATTATTATGTAAAAGGGGGGCGTAAGGAGCACCATGGTAGTAGTGTTAAAAAGTGAGAGTATGCTTTATAAAAGGTTTTATTACTAATGTTTCTAAAGTACTACTAGCGCCGGCCTCGTCTTATATATGTGCCTCGTTGCCTTTGTTGTGCACATTGCCAATTGTGCACTCTGTTGACGAGAACTGGTTTTTTGTGAGCAGACCGGTATCTTGGGAAGTCAGTGTTGTGGTTTTTGTGTGTGTGCATTATGCGTGTGCATTGCAAAATCGGGAGCATGTCTGGACACCATTATGATGGTTCCTAATTTACGCCTGCATAATCCAATTAATACCCTGTCAATCGGCATGCAGATGGAAACTTGTTTCGCGATTCACAACCTCAACATCCACTTCCATATCTTTAGTCTGTGCAACAGTATTTATAAAAATTATTAATATATTATAGCCAAAAATTGCAAATATATTTTAAACACTTACAACAAAAAAGCTTTAGTCGAGTTTCTATGCGGAAAAATTGCTTCGTTATGCAAAATATAATTAAGCAGCCAGTGGTGCTTATGGTGCAGGGTCTTCAGAGCGTCCAAAATGGAAGTAACAACACCCAATACAGCCTTTCCGGCATCCACAACAGCATCTGATATAGCGCCCAAAGGTGATACAATACCGGTAATAAGATCAGAGACAATGCTTAGAATCTTTGTCGGGTCATCGCTCGCGTCGATAGCAGCCCGGTTAATGGACTGAATAAGGTTGGCGGTGGCAGCATCCAGGTTGTTAATAGTCTGAACCTGGTTCTGGTTGGTCTGCACGGGTCCGGCATGTGCCACGGAGGCAGCAAGGAAGAGGATGGGAGTGAAGGCAGTGAGTTTCATTGTTGGTTTTAATAACAAGTAATTTGTGGTTGATTGAATAAAATGGTTGATGATGTTTGGCTGTGAATGTTGTATCTTGGTGTTATATTTATAGAATTTTTATTTATGCTTGCAAATATATGTAGCAATTTGTAAACAGTTACGAGTTCACTTTACACAGTCCAATTTATTTATTCAAATTGTCAAACAAGCATATGACAGAATACGTGACAGTTGTATACATTCTTTTTACACACTTTTAGCTGAATTGTCACAGCTTTTCAATAGTAATCGTTACTTTGGGTGGCTTCACTTGATAGTGCGGTTAGTTTTTATTCAGTATTAATGTGAATTTTTACTAATGGCATTACAAGTGCATCATATAATTCAAAAGCTGGAGATAAAAAATGGAGGCTTTAGTGAGATTATGCATGCTGTCAAACAATCCTGATAGTGCTGCATATTTTTATTGGTTGATGGCGATCAGCTAATTAACCCGGCTTGGCTGTTTAGCCACACAAACAATAAGTCACACAGTGACCAAAGCAATATGCTCTCTATTCTTTACCTTTCACAGTACATAGCACTTAGTTATTAAATATACTTTATCTACACATTCATAGAACGTCTTATATTCCAAGCTTTATTTCTAAAAAACGGATAATTGTCGGAAGATAAATAGTTTATATATTTTTAGCTCATTTGCCAAAATATCGGTCATACATTATTCCATCATTTAGAAATATGACTTATAAATATTTCCAAATAACTGCATTTCAATTTTTGTTAAATATTTAAACTGTTTTGTGAAAATAAGTTGGAATTTAATATTCTGTTAAGCACTGCTGTTACATAATTTGAATATATATACATACTTTATACTTGTTACAAATTTGTATTTGTATTAGTATCAATATTAATATTTAGTTATTAAAATAGCTTGTAAAATACTACAAATGTATTCTCTACATCTGCAGCAAAACACCTTTAGTTGGCTGGCTATGCAAAAAATTATTTTCTATATGCAAAAAATAATTAAAGAGCCGGTGGTGCTTATGGTGCAGGGGTCTTCAGAGCGTCCAAAATGGAAGTAACAACACCCAATACAGCCTTTCCGGCATCCACAACAGCATCTGATATAGCGCCCAAAGGTGATACAATACCGGTAATAAGATCAGAGACAATGCTTAGAATCTTTGTCGGGTCATCGCTCGCGTCGATAGCAGCCCGGTTAATGGACTGAATAAGGTTGGCGGTGGCAGCATCCAGGTTGTTAATAGTCTGAACCTGGTTCTGGTTGGTCTGCACGGGTCCGGCATGTGCCACGGAGGCAGCAAGGAAGAGGATGGGAGTGAAGGCAGCGAGTTTCATTGTTGGTTTAATAAAAGGTAATTTGTGGTTGTTTGAATAAAATGTTTGGTAATTATATTTGGGGGTGATTAAAGTCTCTCGGCGTTATATTTATATTCCTGTCTTCTCTTATTTTGCACATACAATTACTGGTACACCGCCAATATTTGAGTAGTTATTCTGTGTCACCCAAATTATTTGAATGATACTTATTATACAGCCATGTGAAGCTGTGGCGCATTTGTATATCAATAACCACGCAAATATTGGAATTCTGTTTTAACTCTAGACACAATATATAATTTCGGCTTTCAAGGCTCAGCATAAATGCAACTGTGGTGTTTAAAGTGGTGAAAATATCATTCTGGTGGCCTTTAAAAATTCATGTGGTATTTCGCATGTGAAGGCCAAGTAATGGAGGCTTCAATGAAATTATGTACGGCACTCAAATGGCTTCAACGCGCAGCAGTGTAAAAATATGAATAGCAGAATCCATTTCGTCAAATTTGTCGCAATTCAGCCAACCGAGGTAAGGTAAATGTAGCAAAAAATATCAATAAAAATGACATTTATATGCGGTGCTACTGCTGACGCCAAAACTCAATGCTAACACTGAATTAGTTCGCCGTTAAAATATTGGCGGTGAATATATTCGGGAAAAGAGCATTGTACACTCATTTTTACATGACGCCATAGTTACATTCACGTGTTGCACTGTACAAGAAGCCAATCCATTTGACATGCAGCCAAAAAATAGTCAATGCAACATTTCACTTTTTTATTAAAAAATTATTTGTTGATTGATAAAAGCGACAATGTGGATATAATTAAGTTAAAAATTGACAAAAGAAAGCATTCCTCGTTTAATTACTCCTGGGCCAGGTACTTCTCGATGGTCGGCTCCAGGCTCTCCGGCCCGCTGGTCGATGCCCAGCGCTCGACAACATTTCCATGACGATCGACGAGAAACTTTTCAAAATTCCACTTGATCCGCTTGAGGCCGAGAATACCGGACTTGCTGCTCTTCAGGAACTTGTAAATCTCGTTCTCCTTGTCGCCATTGACATCCGACTTCTCCATAATCGGGAACGTCACGCCAAAGTTTCTCTGGCAGAAGCTTCCAATTTCCTCAGCGCCTCCGGGCTCCTGGTTGCCAAACTGGTTAGAGGGGAATCCCAGAACGACCAGGCCCTTGTCGGCGTACTTCTTGTTCAACTCTTCGAGTCCCTTGTACTGACCGGTGAATCCGCACTTGGATGCTGTGTTGACGATGAGAACGACTTTGCCGCGGAGCTGCTCAAAGGGGAACTCCTCCTCCTGAAGCGTCTTGAATGTAAAGTTGTAAAACTCGCTGTTGTCGGCCGCAGAGGGAGCAGTGGCTGCAGAGGGGGAAGCAGGGTCAGACATTTTTGATATGACGGTGGTGTGGCAGGTGCGTTTAATTTGTGTAAAGGCAGTATATGAGCACGAAAAGAGTGCTGAATTAATAGATGAATGAGTTGAAGAGAAAGTGGTGGTGTGGATTGACGAGTGGACGAGGGGATGTGGCCCAGTTTAAATACCCTGGATGGCGCGCCGATGGCCCTAATCCTCGCCGAAGCGATGATTGGTCGCTTGGCCAATGCCAAGAATTTTATAAGATCTGATGCCATAGCCAAAATCCTTGATTCCGCAATCTACTAAATGCCACTTTTGCAAGGTGCAATATGCGCTAGCGTATTTGTCAGCTGCACGCGAAAGAGGACAGATGATATATGGAGATATCCAGGCGAGTTAGAACTCCGTGTGTTTACGCTCCGGCGTTGTTTTGGCGATTTTCTGGCGATGTTCTAACGTTGTTCCGGCGGTGTGACCCTTGAATATGATAAAAATCGAATACAGTGTAAATTAAGGCAGAACACAAATCAGCTGTGTGTGGAAAAGAGCGGCGAGTATGCAGCAAAAGCAAAACAAAATAAAGGAAAAAGAAGGAATTGTATTCGCAAAACTGTTAAGATATGAAAAGAAAAGTAAAAAAGAAATCCAAGAGTACGCTTTCACAACAGTCGAACAAACGGTGGAATCGTGACGAAATCAAAAAGGAAAAAGGCTAGACAGGAAGTGAAAAAAAATCATCACCAAACATCCTCCTCATCACTCTCCTCCTGCGTAAACCGGTTCAGTCCTGGGCGTGCGGAGCATTGGACCTGTTGCCATTGGGGTTGTTGCGCGAGGTCAGGGCCGCCGCCAGCTGAGCCATGCTGTCTGCCTGCTGACCAGCAACGCCGTTGCCGTTGGCGCTCGCACGGAGTGCGGCTGCAGGGTTAGGGGCGGCGGGTGCTGCTGCTGACGGCGGAGCCCTGCCGCGAACGGATGCCTCGGGGTCAGGATTCAAATAGTTTGACGGCACCCAGCCCTCGATCCCCTCGCGCAGGCCGAGCCACCAGCCGTTGGCGTTCTTGTCAATGATATCGTAGATCTTGCCAGCCTCCAAACCCAGCTCGCCGGGGTTTTGCGGGGGGAAGTCATACAGGGCCTTATGGCGGGGGTTTTCTGGCTGGATTGGGGGCGCTGGTGGTGGTGCCGGCGGTGCGGGCGGTGCAGACCGACTTGCGGTGGGCGCAGCGACAGCGGCTGTGGCTGCGGGGGCTGCCTGCTGCACGTACTGGACTGGCTCAGGCATCTTGTATTGCTGCTGCTGTTGCTGCTGCTGCTGTTGCGGCTGTCTCAATGGCCGTTGCTGCTGTTGCTGCTGCAGGCGGCTGGCAGTGTTGTTGTTGGAAACCTTGGGCGCCGTCCGGGCAGTGTGCGGCTTCTTATAGTTGTGCGTGAAGGACGACTCCCTGGGCGCCAGCACGGCTGAGCGGCTGTCGGCGGGCGCGCCCGTGCATATCTGCACGGTCTTTTTCTCAAAGATGGCTGTTTTGGCAGCCTCGTTCTTGACAAACTTGATCTGCGTCGCCTTCATCTTTTTGTTGCGGTACGAGATGGTCGAGTTGACCTGCAGCTTGATCTTCCCGCGTGACACAGAGTTGAGCCATGTCAGAAGCTCGGTCTTGATAATACAGTTGATGACCAGGTCGGGCTGACTCTCCAGGTGGATCACAGTCCAGCCGTCCTGGTACGGCGACATGGCCACGTCCTTTACCGTGGAGATGGGCGTCTTGGACTCAAGCACGTGCTGCACCAGGTTCTCTCTAATGACCACAGCAATAATGATGATGCTGTCCTTAGTCATAACGAGCAGGCGCGGCATCGGGATGGCTGAGCGCATTGCGCGGGGGATCAGGGCATCAATCTCGCTAGTAAAGACTGCCTGCTCGCTGCCAATACCGGCGGCGTCGCGGATGAGCTGCCCGCGCGTGTTCTTGCCGCAGTTATTGACACGCAAGTAGTCGCCGGCGTAGATGCGAGCGCTGATCAGACTGAAGCGACGGCGCTCCTTGCGCCCGCCCAGCAGCTCGTGGCCCTTGTCACGGATCTTGGCCAGCTCCAAATACTGGCGCTTCTGGCGCCAGAAGCGCTGGATTTTGGCCGCGTTCTTGTTCTTGAACGTCATGTACCGGCGCCATGCGTTCTGGATGCGCGACGCCATTGTGTGCCAGTAGCGCTCGCGGCGGCTCTCCAGGGCCCATAGCGTCTCGGGGTGGCGGATAAAAGCCTTTGTGGTTCCAATCTGCCATTCCTCAGCCGAAATGCCAGTGTCCTTGAAGATCTGAATACAGGCCTCTTTGGCCTCGCCTGTCCAGATGTAGTCGCCAGCGTACGACGTCTTGGGCGACAAAAGGTAGAAGCGCTCAACAAATTTTTCAAATGTCTGGCGGTAGGCGTAGCCGGCGCGGCGAATGCGGATGTTCTCGCACAGACCCAGGTACTTGACCTGGTGCAGGACGCGCTCGTTGTCAAATTCCGACGGGCTCTTGTTCTCATTGGGCTTGATCGTGCGGATGTAGCTCGGCTGGCTCTGCATGAGCTTCGTGACCAGCTCGTTAGCGCTCTGCTTGATGCGGTCACTGGCGGTGGGCGGACGTTTCTTCGAGTCCTGGTCCAGGGGCTCCGGGAACAGACCCTTGAGGAACGAGTTTCCAGAGGACTTGCACAGCTCAAGATGGTCGCGCAAAAGCTGGTCTTTGTTCTTATCTGTCATCCCAGTGGTCTCGTAGGTGACATCGCCGGCGTAATGCTTAATGATGAACTTGCCGTCGTACTGCATAAAGTGCTTGCTATGGGTGCAGGCATTGAGGCGCTGGCCCAGCGATTGGTCAGCAGCCTTGGGGTCGGCGTGTGCAGTCGCGCACGCATCATTCATCGCAGCAAACACGCCTGGCGGCCGCTTGGCCTCGATGAGGTCGCAGACAATCTTGTTGTTGAAGTAGTCTATGGGCTTCCACTTGATCTGCTCGCGCACGTACTCCTCCTGCTCGGCCTTGAGCGTCAACTCGATGAAGATCTGCTGCAGCTTCTCGTTAACATAGTTAATGCACAGCTGCTCGAACGAGTTATGGTCAAAAATCTCAAAGCCATAGATATCCAGAACACCGATGATGTAGGAGGACTCGGCGCGCGCCTGCATGGCCTGGTTGACGCGCACGACGATCCAGTCGAACAGCCGGTCGTAGATGGCCTTGGCCAGGCCGTCGCGTGCTGACCGCGCCTGCGCGACGTTGAGAGGAACCTCGTAGATCGATCCGCGACGGCCTCCGCGTGACGTCTCCATGGTACGCGAAACCATGAGCTTGCTGACCGTCTCGGGGCCACCTGCAGGAGGTAGGCAATAAATCCGTAATGCCCTTATCGATGATGACCGAGTTGCCGTCGTCACCCTCAGAGAACTGCACATTGCCCAGCCAGAGGATGGTCGCCAGCATGCAGTGGATCTCGTCCTGCTCAGCCAGCGTGATTCCAATGATGTTCATCGCCTGCAGCGTGTCCGCGTACTCCTTCTTATCGTCAATGTTGGGCACGTCAAGGCAGCCAGCATTACTGGTGTACAGGTAGCTCTCGGGTCCCGAAATCCCGAATCTGTCGCGGTATGCCTGCGACGCTGCCTTGGTGAACTGGTAAAAAATATGGAAGTTGCGCTCGTTTTTGATCTGTCCCACCACGCGGTTCTTTTCTAATAGATAGTTGGTGATAATGGCACCCACGGGCTCGCCGCCATTGTTGAACTGGATTTCGAGGTACTTGCCGTGGCGACTGGAGTTATTGTTACGCAGAGTCTTGGCGCAACCAAAGCTCTCGAGCAGCGGGTTGGTTGCCAGGACCATGTCCTTGATCTCCTTGATAGACATCGAGTCGCCACCGGACACTGAGGCAATGTACTCCATGATTTTCTTCGCTGCCTCTGTCTTTCCCGCACCTGACTCGCCCGAGATAATCACGCACTGGCTCTCCTTGTACGCAATCATGTTTCGGAACGCTCCCTCGGCAATGGCGTAGACGTGGGGTGGAAGCTCCATGCGGTTCTTGTTTTCGTAGCTCTTGAGCACAGGCATTGTGTATATGCCTAGGTCTTTGAACGGATTCACGCTGATGAGCACGTTCCCGATGTAAGTCTACAGCAGATAACGAAGAAAGGACATTGTGAATTAGAGAAAGTGTTCTATTTGCGACATTATCGCTTTTGAGCTATGCGCTGTTGGCATTCCCATTCATATCCTCCTTCCACGCAGAGGATAACTTACGTAAATATCGGCGTTTGCAAAGCGCATCTTTAGGTTCTCGTTAATCGCCTCGTTGGTAATTTTTGACAGCATAGTCATGTCGGAGACACCGGCCTGTTTCTTAATGTTGGTTCCCTCTGACCAGTCGGCCTTCTTCATACGATTGCCGCGCGCCTACACAATAGCATGGTGGAGACAGCATAAAAGTATGAATTTCGTTTTTAGTTCAGGTGAATTATTTTTGGGACTATGGAAGGAATTGTGTGAGATGCAAGTCGTGACGACGAAATTCATGCTTCCCAGAGCACCACAGTCTGTAGCTTACCATTGTATTTTGCCGGTAGATAAAGGCTGTGTTCTATGGTTGGAAAATATATAAGAGTTGCCAAAGTGGGGGAGAGCCAGCCGGCTAACAAATACAAATAAAAAATAGAGTGAATTCGAAATTGTTTTTAAAATAATAGAGAAAAAAACAACAGGAGCAAAGGTGAGATAAAAAAGGAGGGAGAAGTGCAGAGAAAAAGTGCAAATCCTTTGTGTCTGGGTTCTTCCCCGCATATACAAACACATGTGTGTATGTGCACGCTTGCTTTTGTATTCTTTTCCTTGGCATACAAAAATACAATTCTGTCAAAAATTTTCTATTTTTACCGCTTTGACAAAAAAAGACGAATTGAGATGATGGGAGTTGAGGACAGGGCATGCGTGTGCGCAAGCTTTACTGGGCTCAGGGCCACTTTTCTGTTAATTTCCAGCGCAGTCACCTGCTCCAGTTTACTAATGGTTAACATTTTTGTTTCTGACGCTCGATGCCGATGCCCAATGTTGGCGAGTAACTGTTCGCATCTGCAGGGCCTTTTTTGAGCCTAAATTATATTTCGAGCTGCTCGTTTCTCTTTTTTTCGACTTGAGTTTCTCCAAAAAACGTGGTGTATTTTTTAATATCCGCATGGTCACATACTTTTTTTGCAAAAATAATTTCTTTTTTATAATCGACGGCCAGCTGGCGGTCGTGCAGAGCCAAGCATTAGCACATTAAAACGCTGCTTGTCTGTGCCTTTTTTACATCTATCCCAAGACAGGCATGAGAAAAAATCTCTGATGATGACGATGATAATAGCGAATGAAAGCAAGCGCATTGATGGTGATTAAAATTTGAGCCAATCGGTACCAGCGCACGTGCCATATTTTTGTATTAATGCGTGCTTTCTCTGGCTGCGGCTGGTGAAGCGTGGACTGGAAAATTAAAAGTTTGGGAGGAGGGCATAAACATTTTGCTGGTTTTATTTTCCTTCTTCGCTTACACTGAATTTAACTTTTTTGTTTTCTTTAACTTGCTCCAAAATTATTTATTCTTATACTCTCTCTATTTTTCATTAGCATAGATTCTACTGTCTAAACGCTCTTACAACAGCGTTTACTTTTTTGTTGATTGGAAGAAGGTAAACAACAACCATAAAAAAGTGCTGATCCAAGAGCATCATCACACAGCAAACCGAAAAACAGTGATTAGTTGGCGGCCCACGTTTTCTCCCTACTCCTCCGCGCAGCTTCCTTTTATTTCTATCTTTCTATTCGAGAACAAGTCGTTAAAAACGTCTCTTTTTTATTGCCATTTTCACTTTTTTGTTTTCTTTTGTCCTTGTTTTTATTAACAACCTTTCTCAGTATTGCACATTTAGCAACGGAACGCAACATAGCACAGCACAGCATACCAACACGTATCCTCTGCATCTTTACCACCCTCACAAACAAACAAACAAACCACGAAAGGGGGGATAAGCAAAACCATGATGAAAGCCCGGCGAAGAAGCACCAAGACGGTATTTGGGTTCGAAGCCGACATGCCTGTCCCACGGGCATACAACACGTTCACAGAGGACGAGCTACGCAACGCCCTAAGCAGCGAGCAAGACCAAATTCACCTAATCCAAACCTGCGTATTCGATCCCGACGTCTGGGTGGATATCTTTGCAGAGTCGCAAAAAAACCCTGTGGTGAAACGCGCCCTGCGGATAATAGTGCAAATGGGCACACTGTGCGCTACACTGACCGGGCAATATACTTTGGCGTACACACAGGAGGAGATTCTGCTGGATCGGCTGCGGCTGCGCAAGTCAGTGGAGAAGACAGTGTTTTACTCGACAGACGACTGCTTTGTAAGCGAGTTCCGCAATAACGGATCGGCTGGGTGGACAGAAGGGCGGGCGGCCGTGCGCGTGGTGGATGCCGATGCTGTGGATGTGGCCGTCAAGCTTTTAGAGCTACGACCGGATCATACACGGCCACCAGCCGTCCTTGTGTTTGGGTCCAGGGGCTCGCCAGGGGGGGCGTATAAGCGCGGGGCTGGGCAGCAGGAGGAGGAGCTGGTGCGGCGGACATCCCTTTTGCACAACCTCGAGGACCCCTATGGCTTCGACCCGGCGCGGGCCTGGTCCTACCCTCTGCCGGAATTCGGCGGCGTTTACTCACCAGACGTCGTCGTCCTGCGCGACTCCGAGCGTGAAGCCTACACGTTCCGCGACGACCCCGTCTACCTCTCTTTCATCAACGTCGCGCCCTACTCCAACGTGCATGTCGACGAAATCAGCCATTATGGTCGCAAGACCACGCGCATCGTGGAGGATACCGCGCGCAGTTACCGGAGGAAAATGGAGGTCATTTTGAATATTGCCCGGGATCAGGGCCATCAGTCCATTGTACTGGGTGCTTTTGGCTGCACCGGCTCGTTGACTGTTGTGCAGCAGATGGCAGAGATGTGGAGGGAAGTTATTGACACGTCACCGTATGCTTTTCGCGAGTTCTTTGATGACATTTCCTTTGCGTTACCGGCTTATCAGGACCGTGCGGCGGGCACAGCGGACGATTCGCCTGGCGCCGATAGACCGTCGATAGCGACGACGTTTGCGGAGGCCTTTGGTGTCAACATCGATGGCCTGGATTTCTTCTAGGCCCGAGCAAAATACTTGGCTTGCCAATAAAAAATTGCACGTTGTGTGAAACCATAAGACCAGCCTGACATTGGGGATTGGAAAGGATTAGATCTACGTTGTTTTATTCAAATAATAAAACCCGATGGTAGTTGTGCGCATATCTAATATTTTACTCATTCATATATTGACAAAAAAATTATCATAAATATAAGCATATATTTTTAATCAACTTCCCCTAAAAGAGACATTATCTGCGACAAATGGGACTTGCAACACCAGACACCCAGCACCTGAGAGATACCAAATACTCGACAGTCTACGAGCCCGCGGAAGACACCTACCTGCTCCTTGATGCGCTCGAAAACGACCAATCCACACTCCACTCGAACCCACCAACGATCTGTGTAGAAATAGGCTCTGGCTCCGGCTGCGTCTCCGCATTCCTCGGCCAACTCCTCCACCCAACTCGCGCCCTTATCCTATCCATAGATATTAACGCGGCAGCCACCGAGGCCACTAAAGAAACCACCCTAAAGACGAATTGCTCGGCTGCATTTGAGCAATGCAGGACGCGGTTTGTGCAATCCATGTCTGATAGGTTAGCGGGTGGCGTTGATGTGCTGCTGTTTAATCCGCCCTATGTGGTGACGCCGTCGGAGGAAATTGATGTGAGTGCGGAGGCGTCGGCGTGGGCGGGCGGCGTTGATGGGAGGGAGGTATTGAATTTTCTGCTGCCGATGGTGCCTCGGCTGTTGTCTCCTGGAGGCAGATTCTACCTCGTGGTTATTGAGCAGAACAAACCCTTGGATATTATCCGACAGTTAGCCGAGCACGGAGTGGTCGGAGAGCGGGTGTTGGAGAGGAGGGCTGGCATAGAGCATTTGTCCATATTGCGTTTTATCAAAACCACTATTTGATTTAAATATGACAAAAAAACATTTACTTTGTTTTTGGTTTGTTTTGGTTTGCTTTTTTTGTCTTGAGAAACTCGTCGACTTGAGCTCGGTGCGGAATGGACGTCACGGCGCCCATTTGCGTAACAGCGAGGCCGCTTGCATAGGTGGCCACGCGCATGGCGTGCTCAACCATGGATGGAGTCAGCGATGTCACCGCCGACCCGATGCTTTCGGGGGAGTCGCCCTGTTTGCGTGCCAGCTCAGCGGCAAAGTACCCGACCCATGTGTCGCCTGCCCCCGTTGTGTCCTTGACCTGGTCCTTTCCAACCGGTGCACATGCCATGCGAACCTCAACAATATCATCGTCACTGCTGCTGCTGCTATCACTATTGGTGTTGTTGTCCTCAGTAGCATGTATGGCGATCTCGTGCGTGTTCAATCTGCTCCGCCGCACCAACCCAAGACTACCCTTGCTCCCCAGCGTAACGGCAATGACATGGCAGTCCATCCAAAGCATGACCTGCCGCGCCAGCTTTGCACAATCACCAAACCCACCACCATCCGCCTCCTTCCCTTTCTGCTGGCGCGCAATTTCTGCAAGCTCCGACTCATTAACAACCAGTACATCAACCAAACCATTGGCCACCACACGCGAATCCACAGGCGCTGGATTCCACAAAACCTGCATCCCAGCATCCTTCGCCATCCGCATAGCCTCGACCACCGCGGTAGTTTCATTGGTCAACAGCAGCCAATCCCCCTCTGAGGAGTTCACAGCCAGAGCCTTCCGCGCATCGTCCTGGGTGAGCATGTGGTTGGCACCTGGGAACAAGAAAATGGCGTTTTCGCCGGCGTCGTCGACTTGGATAATGGCGCGTCCTGTGGGGGCTTTCTCAAGCACGGTTATGTGGTCAATGTTGGCGCCTGTGGATTCAATGAGGGTGCGGATCCAGAGCCCGTCGGGCCCAATTTTGCCTATGACTGTGACGTGGCTGTGGCCGGAGCGCGCTGCTGCGATGCTTGCGTTGGTGCCTTTACCCCCGGCGTGCTGCTGCCGCTTAGTTGAGGTCAGGGTTTCGCCCGGGCGCACAATGTGCGGCACGCTGTATACCTCGTCGATGTTAATCGAGGCAAAGCTGAAGATTTTGGGCATCATGAAAAGCTGATATAAAAATGAAAAAATGTATGTATATAAAATTGCCGGAGAAATAAAAAAGATGGAAAAAATTAATGTAAACTGGAAATAAAATAAAAAAGAAAGAATTCGTCGTCCTCCTGGGATCAGGGGAGAGATCTAGATTGAAGTAAAAGGGGTCTTGTTGCATTCACTCAACGCGCTTGTACCGAACAACATCGCCGCTGACACTGATGGTGGCATATGCCTGGCTGCGGTCGTCTCTGAGGATCTGGACCTGATCCACACTCAGCGCAATCATTGCCATTCCTCCCCTCGCTGCCGTATGCGCCCTGGCCAGCGCCTGCACCTCAGCCATAAACGAAAACACAAACGCGCCCATGCCCACCGGCCCCTTACTCACCGAGTCAATGTGGACCTCCTGGACAAAATGCAGCGAGATCCGCCCCACATGCGCTGTAATCTGACGTCTTGGCAGGTATGACAGGGTAGTCAGCTCAATGCATTCTGGTCATCAATACATTCTTCTGAATGCAAGTCCGCCAGCAGAGAAGCTGCTTCTGCTACGGAGGCATCGCGGTGCTGCGAGTTGTTGCTCTGTGCGGCACTGCACACACCCATGCTCTGCAAGGCCGTGCGCAGGGCTGCTTCGTCGGCCACAGCATTACTGGTGGTGGTGTTTGGGGGGTTACTTGGCGTGGCCAGATGCGTGTTGACGAGGTAGCGCGGCAGCAAGTTGTGCATTTCGCCGACCACCGTCGCCGTGAGCACTACCTGGACGTCATGCGGCGACTCGTCCATGACTTGCACCTTGTAGTCGACGCCGACAATGGCGCAGCGCGAAAAATACGTTAGCGTCGTGTACAGCTCCAGATATATCCCGTTAAAGAGCTCGGCGAGTTGCCGGTTCGGGTGCTTGCTGTAGGGATCGACTGTGTTGCGCTTCACCATAACCAGCGTCTGGATCTGATCCGGCCGCATGTCGTGCAGCGCGTGCTTGCGCGCCGCGTCAATGTCATCCGAGTCCGAGTCTGAGTTGGACGTCGATTCGGATGACTCTGCGCCTTCTGACGAAGACGACGAGGAGGAGGAAGAAGAGGAGGAAGAAAGCTCTAGCGGCTCCTGACCGGCCCAGAAGGGCTGCTCAAAGCCGTCTGTGCTCCCCTCAGCGCCAAAGAACTTGCGGAACAGCGGCGGCCTCTCAACATTGCACAGGAGAAACGAGGGCGGCAGCGGGATGTCCAGCAGCGCCGCCATCAGGTCCTCGTCCGCGTCATCGTCGATCTGCACGGCCACGCGCGCCCTGATATTCCTTTGCCGCCGCGCCTCCGCACGATGAGCGCGTGAGTTTGTCGAAGACGAAGAGTCCGACGACTCCGACGAGTCGCTGACCTCCGACTGCGTCTTCAACAGCGGCAAAACATTGCCGTCCACCCCACGCGCACTGCGCCCTAGTGCGCCGGCTCTGCCGCCGGGCTCGTCACCGAGGCTGCTGTGGCTGTGGCTGTGGCTACGGCTGGGCGCGTCCTCGGAGGGGTTCTCGCGCTTTCCCAGCATGGCAATGCTGGGCTTGCTCCGCCCGCCGCCGATGACTCTGGACGCCGACCGCGAGTGCTGGACGCTGGAGATGCTGGTGTCCCGCTGGCCCATCGGCCCAATACGCTGCTGCTGCTGTTGCTGCCGCTGTTGCTCGCGCAGGCGGATCATCGCGCGGCGCTTCTTGCGGAAGGCGTGGTCCAGGCGGCGGCGGTTGGCGTTGGACAGGCGCATGATGCGGTCCTGGATGCGGATGAACGAGCGGTCCTCGTCGTCCAGCACATCAATATTGCGCTTGATGTGCAGCGGGCCGGGCGTCGGCAGCCCCGTGACATACACTGCAGTGCCTGTGGCCACAGCAATAATCATGTCCTCGCCGATAGAAAACTGGTACTTGAGCCCAAAAATCGCATTCATGCCATGCACGCTGAGCTTGTACAGCAGCTGCCGGTGCAGGTCGTAGTGCATGAACGGCAGCGCGTCGCTGATGTGCGCGGCGTACGCTTCGCCGCTGAGCTTGCTGTCGGGCCCGGCATTGGGCCCCTTGCCCAGCCCAAACCACCGCTTACGCTCGCCCTCTTCGGCCATCGCCCCACTGGCCTTGGCCTTGGACTCCGGGAGATCACTGTTTGTCGGCACCCTGACGACGCTCTGCACTGCAACCGCATTCGCCATGCCGACCTTGGACCCGGGCCGGCAGATGTGCGCCTCGATCATGCACGACTCGCCGTCGATCACATCAAGCTCAAGCGGAATATCGATGGTCGTGAGCAGAATCTCCGGGACCGCCTTCTTCTGGCAAAATCCGCAGCGGAAGAAACGCATTGGGTATGGCAGCTTCTGCCGGTCGTGCGACGCGTGCGCCATGCGGCAGCCCAGGGGCTTCTTGTGGTGCTCGTCGCTGTCGTCGGCAGTGCTGTTGTTGTGCCCACGGTGGCCTGCGTGCGCGTGGCTCTGGGCCTTGTGCGGCGTATGGGGCGTGTGCGGCGTGACTTGTTGATCAGCGGGTCGGACCATTGGGCTTTCCTCGGTATGCCTGGCTTTAGCCGCTAGCTTGCTCTCCAGGTCGCCGTCCAGATCGAGCACGGCCGCGGTGCCGTACGCAATTAGAATGATGATCTCCTCGCGGATGCTCACCTGCTCCGTGTACCCGATAATGTGCGAGCAGCCAATAGCCAGCGCGTGGTGCTTGATCTCGGCCCGCAAATCATCAAACCACAGCTCTCTGGTGCGGCTCTGGTCGTTCTCAATCAGTTTGACCGATGTCGCCGACACCAGTCCGCCGAGGCGGTGGATCACGCCGGGTGGGAACGACTTGAACGTCAGAATCTCGCAGGCATCCGCGTACTTTTGGTTGCGCACATTGTCTGCACTCTGCAGCGAGCTTGTTGACAGACTGCTGCTAGTTGATTGCGTGATCACGCTGCTGGAGTCCGAGTTGTGCTCGTCGCGCGTCTCCGAGTTGGCGCTGATCGCCGACCTGTCGGTGGCCGTGCTGGGCCGCCGGCTCCGCATGGCCATAGCCGCCGTCGCTCCGCCGCTGGCATCGGGCGTTTCGCCGGTCAGCGGCTGGGCGCCGCAGTCTCTTGCGCCGATCGGCACCAGCGCTGTTGCGTCGGCGGTTTGAAACGCCGCACACTCATTTGTCGACGACGTGCGGCGTCTGGCCAGCGCCGCGTGCGCACCGCCTATCTGCACGGCGGTGCCAACTACCCTCCCGGTGATGCTCTTCTCCTCTTCCTCAAAGTCAAACCACTGCCTGTAGCCCACAATGGCATTGGCGCCAAGCTCCAGCGCCTTCCTGCCCATGCGCCTTCTCAGAATTCCTGTGATCTTGTGCAGCACGCGCACACGTGCCTCGTTCGACGCCCGCGGCGTTCGGAAGCTGTCCGTCCAATGGTACTCTGGGTCAATATGCGTTACGATGCTGCTGATAAATCCCTGCGTCTTGATGGGAATGGACGGCGGCAGGTAGGGCGAGGGCGTAGAGAACACCTGGATGCCGGCTGATGAGTTGTTGAACGGGTTGACGTCGCCAAAGTACTGCAGGATGATCTGACATTTGAGCTCGCCTCGGATCCCCCACATTGTGTCGTAGATGGGGAACCATCCGCCGAGTGTGCGCGTGTACGTGTTGGGCACCCCTGTTGTTTCGCCGATGAAGCCCTCGTGCGAGGTGTCCGAGGAGTGGTCGGACTCGGACGAGTTCCTGGACGGAGCTTCGCCATACCCGGACCTCATGCTCGCCGCCAAGGCGTTTCTGCCATCAGCGCCCCCATCGCCGCTCGCACCCGTGGCTGCGTTGTACGAATCCACCTCGGCCACACGCTCCTGACCTTGCTCTCGCTCATGCCTCTTCTCCTGCTCCTCATCATCGTCACTGTCAGTATCACTATTCGCATAAATGCTCTTTGTGCTGCTCTGGCCAATACTGCGCGCGTACTGCTCGTCAATCTCAAACACATCTGTCAGCAGTGAGTTTAGATCAATGTACACTGAACCAATCAGATCATTTGACGTGATACTGTCGTAGTCCAACAGCCGGAACTCGAGGGGCTCGTTTTGCAAGTACGCGTCGTCGTTGATCTCCAAGCGAAAGTTCTCGTTCCACACGGGGTCGAGTGTCCTACGTGCGATTGATGTGCGCATCGGGTACTGGTTGGCGAACCGAATTTCGACGTAGGCGTCAGCCTTGGATGACTGTCGGTCCATGACCGGCAGTGACCGCGCCCTGACAACCTTGATCTTGAGCAGACAAGGCATATCAGGAGAAATAAAAATAAAAAGGGTAGAATGTATAAGAAAAAAATGAAGGAAGAATGTATTATATTGGTTTTTTCTTTGTGGTGCACCTGCCCCCTCCGATGATGATGATGGCCATCTTTTTGCACTCGACAAATGAGTGTTATGGTATGGCGCATATTCTATCACCTGAAAAAAACATCGATTGAATTTTATAAATTCATTGATTAATTCCATGTCGATTTGAAATATATACATGTACAAGACCTAAACAGCTGTAAAAATTGCTTTAGCATTATGCCACAACGTCTTTCTGCATAATTGAGCCACGTGCATTTGAGTGCATATAATTCTGAGCACGAGTCGATGTTGGTTCAAGGTCGGACAAAAATTATCTCTCAAAACATTTGAAGCTCTTATATGTTTGGGCTGCAATATGTACAAAAAAAGTTCTACGTCACCAGCCACGGATATGTTTGTTTGCCAACATGACAGTGAAAATCACTTGTATTGAAAACATTATGTTGTGACATCATTATACACATCCTCATACTTTATTCCATGCGCATTCAGTCGATTTGTTGTACAGAGCAAGCAAGTGGAATATAGACATTGGAAAATCCTATCACGAGGAATTTTCTGTTGTGTATCTTGTTTACTATTTCTATTATTTTTCTTACCCCAAGACGAGTTTTTTTTGCGGCGCATTGTTTTACGCATTAATGAAAAACAGGAGAAAGAAGGAGAAAAAGAGAGAAAAAAGAGTTGCAGTCAGCAAGCAGTCAATGTGTATTCTTCATTTCTAGAGCAATGTGACTTTTTTATAAGCGTAGAAACCATTCGCTTTTCCAATGAAAGTGATTTTTTGTTGGTATTTTATTTTATCCTTGTATTTGTTATATTAAAACTGCTGGACCCTTTTTCCTTTATTTTTCTCTCCTATTCTCCTTTTCTCCTTTTGTATTAAATTATTTCTACACTTACAGTTTTATTTTTTGCTTCTACATAATATCTTTCATTGTTTACCATGTCCACCTACGGAAACTCTCGTCCAGCGCTTGGCGAAAACAGCAGCTACTACGCCGCCGAATACCAGCCAGAGCAAAGAGCCGGCCAAAGCTCTCAATATTTGCCCCCATATGAGCATTACAACCAGGTTGCAACAGAAGGTAGACAGGACGATTACCACAGTGAAAAGGTTAATAATGTCCAGGGATACAATACAAACCATAACGATCAACCAGCGTATCAGCATCACGGTCAACAGGATGGTGAACGTAACTTCAAGGATCACTTCTATAAGAAACCTGATCCAAATTACTCTGGCTTGTACGGAACCGACTATACTCCAGAAGTGAGCGTAAGTATTTTTTGTAGTAAATATTTGCAATACTTTTTTTTGAAAAGGGTCTTGCAATTGCTGTTATTATGAGCAAAAACAAAACGAGTAAAGCGGATTTTTTATAGACATAATGCCACTTTTGAACGGTGTACATGCTTGTGCATTGCTTCTGCCTTCACCACATGACTAATTGTTTTTGACAAAAAATACATGTCAGTACTAAATCTATGGTTAATTATATAATTTGTAGAAGATCAGAGTTGCTGCCGTCGCCACTGCCGCCGTGGCCGCAGCCGCATGGCTTTACAGGGACTACAAGAAGAGCAGGGATAACAAGCGCAACGACAAGTACCAACACAATATGCCGGGCCATAAAAGCCAGCATCGCAGGAACAACAGCAACTCAGCTCCAGGGATTCGGTCATATGAGGATACATATGGCCACCATGGAAAATATTAAATATTTTATATGGCTTTTTAATTGACCTCTTTTTCTTATTTGTCAGAATTAATTTGGAAAAATCATTAAGTTTCTGCTTTTTTATATTTAAAAGCTAGCATCAGTACGCAAAGCAGTAGCAAAAAAGAACGTATCTGGTAGTGAAACCCCATTGACAAAGCAATATATTTTAAAAGGGATGTGATGCTGACGTACACTTTTACCATCAATGAGACAAAATAAACTGAATTAGTTTATTAACAATTATATGAATGCAACAGGATGGTACACGCACATATGTTTGTACTTTATAAAACTTTAACAAAACCTTGTCGTTTACTGATTTATTGATATTATAATAAAAAAAGTGTTGGCATAATTTTCATAAATGGCAACCAAAGCTTAAAATTAATAAATAACATTGAATAAAATACCAAATGAAGCCATAAATCAAATTTAATTCAACCTTTCTATGTAAATATTAATCGTTTAAAATTGCATAATTAAGAAGAAAAACTTTTGCATACAATAAAAGTAAATAGCGGAAAATGGCTCATGTGGTGCTTGACTGGGTCGAGTTGTTTATAATGAATCCAACCCTCTCATAATGAAAATTTTGGATGTTTATTTCTCAAGTGACGTGCATTATGAACCTTTGTATAACAAGCAAAAGCAAATAAAAACATTGTTTTTAACTAAAAAAGTTTTCTCATTTGTTTATTCTGGAGTATTTGCCTTGTTGCAACCTGGCGAGGGGGTGGCCATAGGGTCCCGACAGGGGAATGTCGGGAACACCCCCAGCCGAATTGAAACAGTATAAATAGCCAACATTTCTCACAAATATGTTTAAATTATTACTTTTGAAAATAGCGCATACCTACTAACCCACCTGTTTACATTATTATATAACTAAGCATATAATACCAAATTATTAACTAAACTAATTTGCTATAATGTCACATACAAAAAAAATACAAATAAATCTTACCTATGGCTCATCCAATCCCCTTGGCTCTTCTAAACCTTGTCCTATGGATCTCCTGCTTTCACCAAACGCAACTGTTGGCACTGTGCTAAAGCAGATGTCCAATATATTCTCATCTAATCAAGGATATGAACTTGCGTTATTTCATGAAATTGACTCACAAAATCGCTTGGATGAATTAATAAGAATTTCTGAATTAATAAATAAATCACCCCATTTTGTTATAAAACAAGTAGTTTAAAAGATTCAAAGTAAATAATACAATGCGTTTGGTATACTGCTACTACAGATGACTGAAATGACTGCCACAACTGTTGTACATGTCAATGTATTTTCTAGTACTAATTCGGATTTTTGTGCAATTTTATGGCCACAATGTTAGTCCATATAGTTAGAAATTACGACCGCGCAAGTGGGTATGCCAATTGCACACAGGTAAACGTTTATTTTTAACAATCACTGTGTGGGCACATTTTTTATTTTATTTTAAACATGGGGAATAATGTCATGATGTTATATGGCACAGTTCCAGAATATCATTATTTTAATAAATAAATGTTTTAATAAAAATCAATGTAAACAATGTACGTGCAATTAAAAAATAAAACAAAATAAAAATAAAGAACAAAAAGCAGCGCATGTGGTGTTTGACTGTGTTGAATTGCGTATACTTTAATTGATTTTATTATGGCAGACATGTGGATGTTTATTTTTCAAGTGACAGCATTATGTACTCTTTATATAATGATAATTTTTTGTTTTGCAACCAATTCTATACCTTTTTTGCAGTGCTCGCGTGGTATGCGCCAAATAATAAACCAATTTTCATTTTCTCCATTTTCTCGTTTGGCTTTTTTTACTTGTATATAATATGAATGCCTACTTATTCATTCATTGACCACTTTGAATTATTATAGTTTTCAATTCAATATTTAGCAGCAACTAAACCAATTTTGCAAAACAAAAAATGGAACAACAGACATATTACAACATATCGGTTACTAATTACGAGCATCCACATGTAGCCCAGGGTCCACCACACGTTGACATGTTTGCTGTTTCATCAGGCACAACTGTTGAGAGTGTTATAGAGGAGTTAAGGAAAAAATTAAAGCCAAGACATGAATGTAAATTTGCGCTGTATTGTATTTTGGACTTACCAATTCGTCTGCATAAAACAAATAGAATTTCAGATTTTACCAACGTTACAAACAACTTTATTGTTAAGCAGGTACCACTAGGCTAGGGTATGCATACTTTTGCATACCGTTTAGTTTTCCAGTACTAAAAATAACCTTAAAACATTAGTTGAGTAGCCTAAATGATGTTTTACTCTGTAAATCGTAACAGTGGGCCGAAAGCCGCCATAACGTATTTCTTTGATTATCAACGTTGGTACAACAATAGTATGATATTGAAAAATTAAAAAAGGAATAAAAAAGGGATTAATGCAGAAAAAGGAAAGTAATATACTATTAGTGTGCAATCTCGTCCCAATTACGACCCTTGACAGCCTCCAGGGTATCAGCAGTGGGCACAGCACCGGTAGTAAAGTATCCATCTGCGATCTTGGCCTCAATCTCCACTTTTGAGTCCGCCGGCATTCTCTCTTCAGGGATAGACACACGCTCAATAATCTCAATACCAGACTCTACAATGGCCTCGTATTTCATATTCGACATGGAGATGAAGCGATCAATGCGCGAGACACCGAGCCAATGCAGGATATCCGGCATCAGCGCCTGGAAGCGCATATCCTTGACGCCAGCAACAAACTCCGTGCGCTTAAAGTAATTCGCCGCAGTGTCGCCACCTTCCTGGCGCTTGCGCGCATTATACACCAAGTACTTGGTCACTTCGCCAAGCGCCCTGCCTTCCTTGCGGAAATAAACAACGACACCGACACCACCGTTCTGTGCCTCGCGCGCGCACTCCTCGATCGAATAGATCAAGTAGGGCTTGCAGGTGCAGATGTCGGATCCAAAGACATCGGAACCGTTGCACTCGTCGTGGACGCGCATGGTCAGGCGTTTGGTTGGATCCGAGATATGCGCGGGGTCGCCGAAGATATACACGGTGAGGCCGCCGATCGGTGGCAGGAAGACCTTAAGGTCCGGCCGCGTGATGAGCTCCGGGTACATGCCCCCGGTGTCCTCGAACAGTGCGCGGCGCAGGGTCGATTCCCCAATACCAAATCGCTTGGCGACACCCGGAAGGTGCCAAACGGGCTCCGAGGCCACCTTGACGACCTTGAGCTCTCCACCCTTGGTGATGATGTCGCCGTCGCAATGCAGGATACCCTTGGCAATGGCGTCGTCGATCTCAGCTAGCTTCATGTGCGCCTGCGTAATGGCGATGGTCGGACGCACGTCGATGCCCTTCTCAAGGTGCTCGTGGTAGTGCTCAACAGTAGCATGGCCCCAGGGATCCATCGAGACAATCTTCTCGGGATCTGACCATGCTGGGAACGGCCCAATGATATGGGTGGGCTCGGTCAGACCAAAGTCCGGCCGGTGCGTCGGTGACAGTGCCCCAATAGCCACTGCGAGCGCGCGGTAAATGCAGTAGGAGCCACCGCCGGCGCCGATGGCGTTGCGCTTGCCAAAGCTGTCTTGTTGGCGGGAGACCACTACGGGGCCGCGCTCGGCCGGGGTGGCTGCGCCCCAGGTGAGCGGGATCGGGTCAATGCCTAGCTGCGACGGGTAGGTTGTCAGAACGACGCGTGAGGTGTAGAGCTGCTGGGGTGAGAACTCTTCCTCCTTGGGAGACTTGTGGGACTCAACGGCCGGATCGGCGGCCGTCGGTTGGGTGCTTGCTTCACTGGAAGTCATAGAGATGGTAAAACAAAAGGTTTACAGTTCTTGTGCGTAGGAAAGAAAGATTGGAGATGTGTCTTGTAGTTTGGTCTTGGAACTTTGTTGACTTATTAGTTTATTATTTTACTTGGCAGAGTAGAAGGGAAGACGGAGCAGAAAAGGAGTAGAATCAAGAGGGGAATTTTGAAAAAAGTGAACGACGAGAATGCAGCTGACCATTTTATACCCGTTCAATAGTAATACAATCTATCACTATTGTTGATGATTTATTCTCCGCTCAAGAGCTAAATTATTCATGTTTTTATTTTCCCATCGATTCCAACATTTGACTCATGTGGTCAAAACAATTAAAAAAAACTTAGTTTAGTTTTTCTGCTTTGTTTGTTCACCTCGTCCGCCAACCTATCATTTGGGAGGCAGACAAGGGAGATATGTTCTTGAACAGCGAACAATCAAGAGAAATTGGTTCCCACACACACGTCTCTTTCTCACACACAAAAATAAAAAAAGCCGACAGTTCGTGTATCACATTGCCAGTTTAGATTGTCCTTTAGTGCAACATATGAGTGATTTGCAGCCAACAAAAATGCATATATTTGCGCGTGTGTGGGAAATCAGAAAGGGTGCGCTGGGACTTTTTTTATTTTATTTCCGCCTGGTCTCCCGTTTTACAAAAAAGAAAAAGTTAAATCATTTTTTGGAACATATCGGACAATTTTTTAATAGCACGGCTACGACCTTTATAATGATTGTGTCCCTAGCTGCGAGAGGTATCCAGAATAAAAAATGAGCGAGAACAAATATGTGTATCTATTCAATGCACTTTGATTTCATCTCCTTTTTTGAATAGCAAAATTAATTATAAAACACTTTTATTTACCAACGTATTATCGCAAAATGCATCTCTTTCACTAAAGTTACTGCTGTGGCGCGGGCTTTACTGTTTTCTGGCGCTCGTCGTTCATCCTCTCGGTATACTCAGTCCTAAAGGACTTGCTCGTACCCATGGTCATGCCTAGTTTCATCTCAGCACCAAAGTCCGCAGCCAGCTCACTCTCCAACCCTGTGCCCTTGTACATATCAACGATCCTCCGGCCCCTGCCAACAATCTCCTTATCGGTCACCTCCAGCCCCACCAACAGCTCCTTGGCCAGAACCACAGTTGACACATTCTTCTCCTGCGGAATAAAGTGCGGGCCGATCTGATTCAACGCAATGAAAAAGCACATCATGACCTGCTGCAGCACCTGGGCGATCTCAAAGCTGGTGCGCCGGGGCATCACCCAATGCAGGACATGAATAACCGCGGGCTCCGTCAGCCGGGTCATCATCAGGACGTCCAGGGCGAGGAAGCAGGCAATCGCCAAGTAGCGCCAGTACGTGCCGTAGACGCCAATGCCAAAGACCTGTACGCCGATGCTTCCCAATATGTACACCAGATAGACGCCCAGCCGCCGTGGCAGCGCTGCCAGAATAAAGTCGCCTGTGGACTTGCAGGACGCGCACGCAACCGCGGCTTCTCCGGCGCGGTCATAGACAAAGCGCATTATGGGGTCGGCCAGCACCTTGTAGGCGCCCTGCACGTGGATAAACAGCCCCTCGCTGCCGGGGTTCTTGTCAGGATGCAGCACGAGCGACAGTCGCCGAAAGTTCGACCGCAGCTGCTGCGGTGCGTAGCTCCGGGGTCCAGCCCGAACATCGTGTAGTAGTTGGGCGCCAGGCCCTTTTCGGTGCTCCAGAGAGTATATCCGAGGTACAGGAGGATAACGAATATGTACGAGAGCCGCTGGTGCTGCGCGTGCTTGGCTGTGTTTGGGTGTGGCACCAGATGTGGGGAAAACCGCCGGAGGATCCAGTGGAACGCTACGAGCGTGCATTTTGCCGCGAAGGGCGGGAGTAGCATCCACCCGAATATGCCGCCTATGTCGCCGCCTGCCATGGTTCTTTTTTAAAGTGAAAATGAAAATGAGTCTTGAATTGAAAATATAAAGGCTAATGTAACGCAAAATAGATAAAGGTAAAAATAAAAAGTACAAGTGCAGCTAAACGAAATACACAACACGGTTACCAAAAAAGGAGGATGCCGCTGCTCAATGGAAACGGGCCGTAAGCCTTAGCAAAAAAGCAGCCCCTTTGCATTATTTCCCTTTGTGGGTCACGGGAGTCGCAACTTAAAAAAGGGCACAGTGTACTGGCTCGGCTCGTAATTGATGCAATGCCCGAGCTGATACTTTTTGGCCTAATAAAATGCTGATCTGATTTTTGATTATTGATTTTTCCATCAAAAGCAAAAGTCGTTTTGCATAGTAGTGATAAGCAGCAAGCTTATTTTGTTGGTCCTGTATCCTTTTCTTTAGATCATTCGTAACAAAACCCTGTGTGTTCGCCCTCGTCTCCCAATTGTCCTTTTTTCAATTCTTTGTTCTCTTTCGCTTTGACTATCAATTCGATATTTTTAATATAAACTTTCAAAAGAATTTTACTATTTTCTCACACCTCTATTCCTTTTTGTTATTGGCCTTTCTTTTTTGATCGAAACAAAAAGAATGTTTGTTGGAGCCGCACATTTTGCCCGGTCTGTCGTCAAGGCGCCAAAAACCTTGCGGTCGCCGAAACAGCAGTCCGCTCGCTGTCCACCACACGGCCACATACTCAGAAGAAAGGAGGTAAAGAAAAAGAAACAAAAGAAATTTGTTTGCCTTGTTGCTCCAAATAACACGTTTCTATAAATTCCAGAGCACAAGATTCAAACAAAAAATATGCGCATCAATGTTCTCTGTAGCCGATCGCACACAGTCAACGGCGTTCACAAAGAAGGAGGGCGGCAGCAGCGGCAGCGGCAAAAAGCTGCGATCGGGCACAGCGACCTCGGTCAACCTGCTCAACGCCAACCCGACGTACTACATTGAGCCGGCGCGCATCCAGCTCGCGACGCTGAATGCCAACACGGCGAATGACTCGCATGTGAACAAGTTTATGCAGATCGACGACGCCCTGCTGCAGAGCATCGGCAAGGGTCATTTCCCGGGAACGCTCGGACGGGACTTTAAGCTCTTTGGGCGGCCGGCTCTGCTGTACCGCCGGATCACGCAGCAGCTGGTGGATCGGCTGACGGGCGCGCCGGCACAGCGGGCGACGGTCATCGATGGAAAGAACGGCTCTGGGAAGAGCGCCGAGCTGATGAAGCTTGCAGCGGTGGCGGCGGCGAAAGGCCATATTGTGGTGTACGCGCACTCGACCCTGCCCTGGGTCAACTCCAGCAGGCCATATGCGCCAGCCAACGAGGGCTCGCTGTTTGTCCAGCATGAGCTGACTTTGGAGCTGCTCAAGTCCATCCTGATGCTGAGCAAGGAAGCTCTGGCGCGCGTTGCGCTCGGCCGCGAGGTTGTCCTGGGAAAGAAGACGCTGACTGCCGAGCAGACGCTGGCCGATTTGGTGAGCTTTGGTATTCACACGCCGTCGCTGGCCCACGATGCTCTGGACCAGCTGCTCGCTATGGCCAGCGCGCAGACGCAAGTGCCTCTGCTTGTTGCCCTGGACAACGTCAACACGCTGTGGTGCAACACGGCGTATAGGGACCAGCAGGATGCTGTGTTGCCGGCTGAGCGTCTGCGGCTGGTGCGTGCGTTCCTGCCTTTCTTTGACAGCTCTCGCGCGATTTCTAGCGGCTTGGCAATCGGTGCCACGTCGTACTCCGAGGTGCGGTTTATGCCCAGGGATCTGAAGGAGAGACTCAACCCGCCGCCCATGGTGCCCCTGGCCAACCCCGACGTTGCCAGCGACCCCAAAGTCACCAGGCCGCTGACCGATGTCCCGTTCGATGTCGTCAAGGTCGATCGCATGACCGCGCAGGAGGCATGGGCGCTGATGGCCTTTTACCACAAAACCAACGTCGTGTCGATGCCCGTCACCGAATCGCTGGTGGCCCAGAAGTGGGTTGTTGCCGATGGCAACCCGCGCCAGATTTTTGGCAGTGTCACTTCGTACTTTTGAAGAAAAAAGGGTGTGTCGGCTTTTGATATCCCCGCTATTGAGAAATCCATTTATTTATAAAAAATATGAGAAAAATGAGAAAATTAAACAAAAGAACAAAAGCTCTATTATTGTTTCATTTTTGTTTAGTGCTGGTAGTTGAACAGGCGCAAGAGGTTGCGCTGCAGCATAGACACAGTGACCTTGCCGACCGAAGGCACATAGATCGACGCGACGTCCTTCACCTCAGGCTCGAAATTACGCACACTAGCAAAGTTAACCGCAACCACGCCCTTTTTCAGCAGCCTCGTCGGCAGCTTATACGCAGCAGTCGGCACTCCAGTAATAACCACATCACACAGTGGAATAACGTCCTCAGGCTTCAGATCAGTTACCGTCGCCGTATGGCTATTAATAGACGCGCCCTGCTCGCGCGCGTATATTTGGATGTCATTAATATCGATCGAGTAAACCTTCGCTCCGTCATTAGCCAGCAGCGCAGCCAGCGGCCTGCCGACGACCTCACTGCGGTTAACCACAGCGATGGTTTTCCCGCGCAAGTGGTCGCCATAGGGCAACCCATGGTCATATACGCCGATATGATCCAGCACCTTGACCACAGCCAGGGGCGTGCATGGCAGGATGGCTTTGCGGGTTTTCTCCTCGTCCAGGTACCTGTCGTTGCCATAGAGCTTGCCGTTGTAGACGACATTCAGTCCCTCGACGTCCTTTGTCGGATCAACCAGGTCTTGAAGCCGCTGGTCGCGATCATCGCCGTATACTGGGTAGTATACGAGGATGCCGCTTACCTGCGGGTCTTGGTTGGCATCGTGGATGGCGGATTCGAGTGATTCGCGTGGTACTTGGCGGAGCTCAAAGTCGAGCCCGGCTTCGGCGAGGTGCTTGCTGGAGGACTGTGCGTATTTTTCTGCGTACGGATCATCGTTGGCAAGGAACCCAACGAGCCTGGGCTTGGTCTCCTTTTGGCTCACCTCGGACTTGATCTCAGAACTACAAAACGGAAAAAGGTGGGGGAGAGGTGATGAGGTGTAATTAGCTAAATAATGTTAGGCCGGATGAAGTAGGAAAAAAATAAAGATCTAGGATGGGTTTTTGCTTTCAAAACGGAGGGGTGGAATTGTATTTGGGGATTTTGTACTTACGTGTAGTTAGAGGCAACCTCAGCAGCAAGGACAACTTTGCACGGCATGGTTACAAGTTTTTTATTTGAATGATGGGTTGGATACTATCAAGTTAATGAGAGAAATAATAAAAGTGTTAATATACAAAGAGAGACCCTCTTTAGAAAGTAGGCTAGAAAGAAGAGAGAGACATATTTGTAGCGATAAGATAAACTCACAATCCCCACTTGCTCGCCTCGTCTCGTCTCCAAAATACCAATTTTTTTGTGCTGCATATGGAAAGAAGGCTGGGGGGTTGGTGATCATGCATGCGTATTAAGCGGGCCCCCTCGCAGGTGTGTGATTGGGATTGAGTGAGCCGAATCAAGATAAAACAACTGGCTCGGGATTTACCAGAGTGAGTGAATTTGTTTTAAAAAAATGCCAAACTGAGCCGAGCCACAGAGCCATGAAATCTAAAAAATCGCAGGAAAATAAATCCTGCGCACGCTTCTTGTCGCTTTTCGGCCTTGAAGAACACGATACCGTTACAAGCAACAGCGTTAAACCTCAATTCATTTCCCATGTAACTCGCTCTCTTGTCATTATAAACCTCTTCTACTATTGCTGTATTTCGTACACCTTTATTTTTGCTGTATAATACATATATATTTTTTAGACTTAAAAGAACAGCGGCGCTCGGATAATAAAAATGGACGTACAACGGCTTGTTGACGCATATATAATTGGGCTCGGCGACAACGCCGACAACACAGAGTTCCGTGAAGCCCTGGTATCCCGTACGTACACAAAAGCAAATGAAACAAAGGATGAATGCAACAAATTCACAAGCAAACAGGCGGTATAGGAGAGATAAAGTTTAAATTTGACTGACTTGGTTCTGTTCTTTAACCGTTACACTCATTTTAGGCATAACCAACGGCGACATTTCGCTTCTCGAGCTGGTCCAAGCACTGGGGGAGTACTTGGCCAGCGAGGAAGCCAACCGGCGCAGCAAAGGCCTGCATGTACTCTCCGATGTCCTGAACGATCTCCCCGAAACTTCCATTCCTTCGCAGGCGATCTCCCGACTGGTCCAGTTTTTCAGTGCGCGCCTCTCCGATGCCACATGCGTTCCCCAGGTGCTTACAGCAATCAATGCTCTCTTGCGCCTACCCACCTTCACCGATGAATTCACTGCCGACGTGCTCAATGCATTGTTCAAAGAGGTACACGTGCAGAGCTTCCAATACTCGACGCGCAGCGCCGCATACCAGCTCATTGAGCTCGCCATGGCCAACAACCCGCGGGCGGTGCAGCAGATGGGCGATGCCTTTGTCTTGGGCTTTGCGCAGCTGCTAGATGGTGAAAAGGACCCGCGGTCCTTGATCGTCGCCTTCCAGATTGTTCCCAAGATTGCCGCACTCGTGGATATCCGGAACAACGCAGAGGACCTGTTCGAGGTTGTCTTTTGCTACTTCCCCATCACATTCAAGCACCGCGACGGTGACCCCTCGGCCATCTCGCCCGAGTCGCTGAAGAACGCTCTGCGCGCAGCCATCACTTGCTCGCCACATTTTGGCAAGATGGCAGTCAAGCCGCTGGTCAACAAGACGACAGCAACGGCGACGAGCGCCAAAATTGATGCCTTGGAGACTCTAGCTGCTGGTACTCACCAGTTCTCTGCCGATGCTTTCAAGAGCGAGCTAGAGGTGCTTGTTGAGCAGATCCGCGAGGATGTGGTCATGTCTGCGGACGAGAAAGTAGTGAGCGCGGCGCTTGAGACCCTGGAGGCCGTATACGCCGTGATCTCACCATCGGCGCCCGCTGCCAGCGAGATTACCGAAATAGGAGAGTCATCTTCCCCGCTAGACTACGTCCTCAAGGAGGCCATGTTTCAGCTGACCGGCGATGGGGTCAAGAACCCCGAGCAGATAGGCAAGATCCTGCGGTCCGTCGCGCGGTCATCCGCATACAACTGCTCGGTGGTCTCTGACGCTGTCCTGCCCATCATTATCGAGCGCCTGGAATCGGCCGATGTTCTGACGGTGCGCCGTGAACTGATGGATGTGCTCAACTACGTGCTTTCCGCCAGCTGCGACGTCGAGAAGAAGGCCGAGTGCCTGGATGCTGAGAAAACCAACCTGCTCAATATCTACCGCCCGGACACATCGATCCCGCTGGACAAAGAGTACAGCTTCTTGCACATTGTGCGCCTCAAGGGAATCACGCTGCTCACGCTGCTCCCTGGCTTCCTAAATGAGAACGAAACCGCCGTTGCCCTGCAGACCCTTGCTCGCGCGGCTATTGAGCGCAATGAGGACGAGAACATCAACAAGGAGGGCACGCATCTTTTGATCCAGCTTTCGCAGTCAAACTCTGGCCAAATCCAAACCGTCGTCTTGCCCATGTTCTTTGCAGCCCTGCGCGGCAACATGGTGGCCGCTCACAAAGTTTCCCGGCTTTTGAACGCTCTGGGTGCACTTGGCGTCTCCGCACCCAAGGTTCTTACCCCTGTGCTCGCAGGGCTCGTGGCACTCATTGTCTCTGGTAACTTGGCTCCGCCGCATTGTTTGGCAGCCACATCAACCATCCGCAAAATGGTTGAGACCGTCGTGGTGTCCAAAGATTCGCTGGACCTGTGCTCCGAGCTCATCAGCCTTGTTGTCAGGCCGTTGTCGGACTGGGTTTACGGTCTTGCTGAAAAGACAGCTGCTGTCGATGAGCACGCTCTGTCGCTGCTCGTGCTGGAGATCGCCCGCACCACGGTTTCGGTGTTCAGCAAGCTCGAGGCTGCGACGCAGGAGCAGTACCTTGTGGATTTGTTTGCACAGTACCAGGCTGCCGCTCTGCAGACTGGTAGCTCCCCAGCCACCTCGGCACTCTGCCGCCTTTTGCCGCTGTTCTCCGCCGCCATCTGCTCGTGCTGGCCGCAGACCAAGTTGCCGATCGACAACCTGGGCGCATTCCTCGAGAGCCTCGCGGCCGCCTGTCTGGCCACCGACAGCATCACGCAGCGTGACGCAGGCTTTGAGATCATCGCATCAGTTATCAACAAGACAGGCGATGTCAAGAGGCGCGGCGAGCTCACACAGGTTATCCTGAGGCAGGCGGAGTTGAGTGATTTGAATTCTCAAAGTGTCTCGCCCGTGCTTCTTCGCCACTGGATGGCACGCGCGCTGGTCAGCTGCAACGATAAGAATGGCTATGACTGCGTGCACTGGCTCCTGGATCTAATCTCCCACTCCTCTGTTCATTCTGTGGCTGCCGCCGAGGGATTCAGCATTATTCTCGGCGAACACGACTGGTCGGTCACCGCGGCAACCCACGCTGTGTTCCGCATTCTCTCGAAGCAGCGCTTCTACGCTACCGTTGTGCCCTCCATTACAGCCAAATTCCAGAGCACCACTGATGATCAGGTCAAGACCAATCTCCTCGTGGCCCTGACTAATGCCGTGAAACATATGCCCAAGAGCGTCCTGATGAACGGTATCGAGAGCATCGTACCCCTACTGCTCTCTGCCATCCGTTTGACTGCCGGCAGCTTGAAGGCTGCTAGCATCCGTACTATCATTATGGTTATTCTGGAATCCCCGGATACTTTGCAAAACTGGTTGGTCGCGGACATTGTTCCTCTGCTTGTTGCGTCCATGACACAGGATGATCCGGCGAATACGGTGGAGGTTCGTCGAGCGGCCAATGATGCGCTGTCGCTTGTGCCCGAGAAGTACCAGTACCCTGTTTTGCACACTGTGCGGAAGGCTGTGCTGCGCGCGTTGGCGGCTGCGCGCGATGACCGCAAGCGGCTGGTTCGCCAGGACGCGACAAAGGCGTACAACAAGTGGCTCAGCCTCGGCGAGTCGTAAATAGCAAATATTTTTTGATTGGTTATAGCATGTCAATTTGTTTACATGTCACAATTATTACTCTCAGATATTTAAAATTCAATTGTCACCAGATATGAGCAAAGAAAAAATATTTATAAAACTACGCGCCGACTTCCATCGCCATGGATCCGGCAGTGACAACGGCGGCAGCAGTAGAACCGATAGAAGTGCCTGTGCTGGGCTCATCAAAAAGCAGCGGCCTCCTTGTCGGGCGCACATCGCGATCATAGTCCATCAGCAGCTTGAAAACACCTGTACCCACCGGCATCTGCTGGCCCATGATAATGCGCTCCGACACACCATGCACCATATCGCGCTTGCCAAACACAGCGGCATCAAACAAGTGATCCGTAGTCTTCTCAAACGACGCCAGCATCATGACCGAGTCGTTCATCTTAGCAATACCGTACCGAGTGATTCCCAGAATCTCGCCCTTGTAGCACATGAGATCGCCGAGCAGCATCAAATGGCGGATATCGATAGAGATTCTGTAGTTGTCAAAGATTTCGGTCAGCTCGCGGATCATGATGCGCCGCGCGGATTCGATTCCAAGGTAGCGCAGGTTATCCATCATGTGGTTGCTGTAGGTATAGCGGCCGTCGACTCCGTCCGTTGTCATGGCCTCGATCAAGCTGTAGCCCTCGACACTGAGCGTGTACCCACTGCCGTCACTCTTGCGGATAATGACTGAGCGCTGGGCGGAGGGGACTCCGTGAACAATGATCTTGGGCAGTGCGCGCTTGAGCTTCTGCAGCTCGTAGTGCAGATCCTTCGGGTCCTTTGAATTGGCATACACGTTGATACGGCAGGGGCGCTCCATATGGACATTGTTGCCGATCTTGAGCTTCGGCGCAACGCTGATGGCCTGGCAGATATTGGGCAGTGTAAGCTCGAGCTGCAATTTATGGATGGCATCCATGTCAATCTGCACGGCGATGAAGCACGAGGTCGCAGTGTACACTTCCTCAATGGTCTGCGCAATGTCGCCCAGGTACGTGCGCTCGATGCGGCCCTTGACAATACGTGCCGAAGAGATGTTGGTGTCATTGATGAGCTTGCACTGGACGACCGGTGTGCTGATGTTCTTGGCTGCGTTGATAATCTCCTTGATGCGCGGCACACCCATAGTGACGTTCATACTGGCAATACCGGCGAAATGGAAAGCCTTAAGCGTCATCTGTGTCGTCGGCTCACCGATACTCTGCGCGCCGACAGCACCGACTGCAGTTCCGGGTCCACGCGCGAGCGCTGGTACTTTTTGATGCATATGTCGAGGAAGCTGTCGAGCAATGTGCGCGTCACCAGGAGCTTGTTGTCAATGACCCGGCGGGTGGCTAGTGGCACCTGATCGTCGGCCTTGGCCAGAGACCATGCCAAGATGGCCTTTGACTTTTCTTCGGGCGAATCCGCCGGCTGCTGCGGGCGTTCTTAGGCTTTCTGCCGCGCGACTTGGGCTTGGCAGCAGCGTCGCTGAAAATGTGCTCGGGAGCCTCGTCAAATGCATCGATCCCGTATGCCGCGCGCAGAGATGCAAGGCGGCCGGCGAGCTCGTCGTACAGGAATCCCTTGGTGTGCTCGCGCCAGTCCTTGTTGGTCCAGTCGACGAAGCGGGGCTCCTTCAGCGCCAAGTCGACAATGTGGCGAATCTGGAAGGGCGCCAGGCGCTGGTCGTCCTCTGGCAGCTCCACCGTGTTGCGGGTGTACTTCCAGTTGTGCATGTAGTTGACCGGAATGCCATCGCCCTCGAGACAGTACGGATCAAGCGAATCGCCGCCGTACTCAAACTGGAGCATATTGCCCACTGAGTTGCGCACCGACGAATCATACTGCACACGCAGATCCTCGAAGGCCTTGACCAGACGACGCTGCATGTAGCCTGTCTCGGCAGTCTTAACCGCAGCATCAACCAAACCCTCGCGACCAGAAGCAGCGTGGAAGAAAAACTCTGTCGGGTACAGGCCCGTGAAGAAACTGCTGGCGACGAAGCCCTTGGCCTCGGGTGTGCGCGCCCTCTTTAAGAAAATAGGCAGGGTACGATCCGTGAAGCCGTCAGCAATACGGCTACCACTAACAATCTGCTGGCCGACACAGGCAACCATCTGGCACACGTTGATAGGGCTTCCCTTGGAGCCACACGTAGCCATGATGAGCGGCGCGTTGTAGCGAGTGAGCTCCTCCATACAAATCTTACCCGCCTTGTCACGCACGCTGGACAGCACGCCGGACATCGTGTCCTCGAGGGTCTGCGCAATGTCGCGGCCGGGAAGCGCCTCGAGCACTCCCCTGCGGCTCTGCTCGATGAGACCGTCGCACTCGGCGTATGCCTCCTTGATGAGGTCGTCCTTGCGCTGGCGCAGCTTCTTTCCGGGTGTGACGTCAGAAAGACCAATCGAAAACCCTTGGTTGCAACTCCACCGCGCCGAGAGCTTCGCCAGCCGGTTCATCAGCGACGCAGCGTCGTCCGTGCCGAAATCGCGCAGCGCAATGTAAAAGATCGACTCCTTCTTGCCGTCACCAACGACGCTCTTGTCCAGGGTGCCGCACATCATCTCGCTGTTGCGGATGATCAGTAGCCGTCCTTCGGGCACAGATCAGGAATGGCGGTCTTTTTGAATGACTTGGTCTTGGCCTCCAGGTTGATCTTTAGCTTAAAGTCCTTGTTCGGGCGCATGAGGACGTTGATGACTTGCTTTCCGGACCACAGTGTGCGCGGCTTGATGATGCACGGGGGGGGATGTCGATGTGGAGGTTGGCGTCGAAGCAGTACGAGACGATTTGAACAAATTGCGACCGGTCATAGAAGCGCTCCTTCTGCGTGATCAGGTACGCGGTTGTGATGAAATCCTGCGTGGCACCGATGATGGGCTCGCCGTTGCGGGGCGTGATCATGTTATTCTTGACACCCATGAGCTCGCGCGCCTCGATGCGCGCCTCCTCGGTCTGCGGCACGTGGATGTTCATCTCGTCGCCGTCGAAATCGGCGTTGTAGGGCATGCACACGCACTCGTTGAAGCGGAACGTGCGCCAGGGCATGATGCGCGCCGAGTGCGCCATGATCGACAGTCGATGTAGTGACGGCTGGCGGTTGAACAAAACCACGTCGCCATTGGCCAGGTGGCGCTCAACAGTGTCTCCAATGCTTAATTTGTTTGCCGTCCGCTCGCGAACGTTGTTGATCAAGATAATCCTCTGAGAGTACGCGGCAGACAGCACAAAGTTGGCGCCCGGGTACACGTGGGGCCCGTTTCTAACCAGCTTCTTGAGCCGCTCCATATTGTGCGGCGTGACCACTCGGGATACGTGAGAATCTTCGCCACGCGGTCCGGCACAGCGACCTCGTCGATTCGCATGTTGGGGTCAGGAGAAATGACCGTGCGGCCGCTAAAGTCGACGCGCTTGCCCGACAGATTTCCGCGGAAGCGACCCGCCTTTCCCTTGAGGCGCTGCGTGAATCCGCGAATGGGCTTTCCGATGACGGCCACTGACACACCTGGGACATCACTGTTGATGTACATGGCGATGGCAAGGCCCAGGTAGTCCCATTGCTCCATAATGTTGACTGTGCTCGCGCCATGGCGCATGCCCGACTCAATCAGCGAGTTAGTGAAGATGATCTCGGACAGCTTAACCGTCAGATCGTCCTCATTGCTGGCCCCGTCCTGCGCGACCGACGGGCGGATGCACACGGGAGGCACGGGGATGCTGGTCCACAGGAACAGCTCGGGGCGGCCGCTGTTGGCATTGAGCCCCATCAGCTCGCAGTCCTCGTCTGAAATGTTCTTAAACAGATTGTACACGCGCAGCGGTGTCATCTCCTCTGACTGCGCCTTGCTAATGAACGACGTCAGCTGCGGGTCGGCCTCAGCAGCGTTGGCCAGCGTCTTGCGGAACTCTTCCTGCTCGTCCGCCGTGCGCTTCTGGCGGTACTTGTCGTGGACAATCTTCAGCGGCCCGGCCTTCTTGACCACGCCGTTGGTCGCGCCGCAGTGCGGGCAGTAGGTGACCTTTTTGCAGCGGTCGTTGACGCCCTTGACCAACGCGCGCGTCTGCAGACCGTCGATCCCGGGCATGCGCATGCGCCTGAGCGTGTTGCGCCGATCCCCCTCCTCTAACATAACACGCGAGCACGACTTGCAGATGTCCTGGAGGATCGTCTGCGTTGATCTGAAGTAACCAAAGTGAAACACCGGTACGCAGAGGTCAATGTAACCCCAGTGCCCGACGCAGTCAGTGAGGCGCTGCCCGCAGGTCAGGCATGTGTCCATCTTGTTGGAGACACCCAGGCGCAGATCAAGCACGCCGTGGGGCGCCGGCCGGTGTGACTCCTGGGTGTAGAGGTCGCGCTGGTTGATTTCGACCTCGGCCGCCTGCCGGATTTCGTGCGGGCTGGGAACGCCAAACTGAATGCAATGGCTACAGAAAGAATGAAAATGAAGGCAAAATTGGATAATAACTTAGTCGTTTATATTTTATATTGTATTTGTATGCCTGAACATTGGGTTTCGTTGAATAATTCATTTTTGTTTTCGCCTTTACTTACATTTGCTTGGGCGCCTGAATGAGCACCGGCTCCTTCATTGTGACTTAATAGGCAGGTATGTCTAGCACACGATTCTTAATTAAAAAAGGAGTGTGAATGTAAGAACAAATAAAAGTCAATAAATGCTTGATTGGGAAGACGTCGCAAAGCAAAAAGAAAAGAGAACAGAAATGTGCGCCTTCAATTAAAAGGAAAGGCGTGAAACACAAAAAAAACAATGTCAGCACATGGGAGAAAATTCACAGATTAAATATTCAAATCGATCAGCCTATTCAATCGCTGCCATTGCATGCTGTCATTGGTCCACTGTTCTGGAGAGCATACAAAGCTTACTGACGTTTAAATTTTACTTGTTTTGTTTTTCGTGGACCGACTTCAAAGCAAGGACTGTTTTCTTTTTAATTCTCTCGTCCTTTGCAAATACTTTATTATTTTTCCTCTTTTATTACTCTATCATTTCCCGCAATCTGCACGCAACAATGGCGAAAAAAGTGTTTGGGCTGACGACAGTCGACCAAACCTCGCTTCTGCGCATTGCCATCCTCGGCCTCATTTCGCTCGTGGCCATCGGGTCGCGCCTGTACTCTGTGATCCGCTTCGAGTCAGTCATCCATGAGTTTGATCCCTGGTTTAACTACCGCACGACGCGCTACCTCGTCGACAACGGCTTCGACAAGTTCTGGAACTGGTTCGATGAAACTGCATGGTACCCGCTGGGCCGCGTCGTCGGTGGCACTCTGTACCCGGGCATCATGGTGACCTCGGCAACAATCTACAACGCGCTGCACTTTGTGAATATTCCTGTGGACATCCGCAACGTCTGCGTGTTCCTTGCGCCGGCGTTTTCGGCCCTGACGGCGATTGCCACGTATCATCTCGGCAAGGAGGTGAAGAATGCCACAGCGGGCCTACTGGCGGCGGCATTTATTGGTGTCGCGCCCGGGTATATTTCACGCTCAGTTGCCGGCTCTTACGACAACGAGGGCATTGCCATTTTCCTGCTGGTGTTCACCTTTTTCCTGTGGCTTCGCTCGGTCCGGTTGGGATCGGCGCTGTACGCGGCGCTGACGGCGATATCATACTTTTACATGGTCTCGGCGTGGGGCGGCTATGTGTTTATTATTAACCTGGTTCCGCTCCATGTGTTTGCTTTGCTGCTCATGGGCCGCTACAGCAACCGGCTGTACGTCGCCTACTCGACGTTTTACGCCATCGGCACGCTAGCCAGTATGCAGATTCCGTTTGTCGGGTTCCAACCGACTTTCACCAGCGAGCACATGGCAGCGCTCGGTACCTTTGGGCTGATCCAGCTGGTTGCATTTGCCCACTTTGCGCGCACGCTGGTTCCCCCGCAGCAGTTTAAGATACTGCTGCGCGGGGCCATTGCCACGCTCTGCGTCATTGGGCTCGGCGGGCTTGTGCTGCTGACCATGAGCGGCGTCATTGCGCCCTGGACCGGCCGCTTCTACTCGCTGTGGGACACAGCATACGCCAAGATTCACATTCCCATTATCGCCTCTGTTTCTGAGCATCAGCCCACGCCCTGGCCCAACTTCTTCTTCGACCTCAATATGCTGATCTGGCTGCTTCCTGCCGGAATCTACTTTAGCTTCCGTGAGTTGTCTGACAACCACGTTTTCCTTATCCTGTACTCGCTGTTTGCCTCGTACTTTGCTGGCGTCATGGTCCGTCTCATTCTTACGCTCACGCCTATTGTGTGCGTGATGGCCGGTATTGCACTGGCCAACGTCTTTGAGATATACCTGAACCTTCGCGATACTAGGGCTATTGCAGTGGCAGACACAGGGGCAGACGCGCCCATGGCAGGAAATCCCGGCAACTCCGCGCCCGCCAAGGGCCCTGCCAAGACCATCGACGCCAAAGATGCCTCATCCGTTTCGTCAGTGTCCGAGAAATTCGTGCACTCGTCGCCCGCTTTCAAGCGCTTCTACGCGTATTTCCCAAAGATCGTGGTGATGGCGAACTTTTTGTACTTCCTGTGCATGTTCCAGTGGCACAGCAGCTGGATCACCTCATCGGCGTACTCCTCCCCATCGGTGGTTCTGGCATCACGCGCGCCCGACGGCTCGCAGCACATTATTGATGATTTCCGCGAGGCCTACTACTGGCTGCGCATGAACACAAAGCCTGACGCCAAGGTCCTTTCCTGGTGGGACTACGGCTACCAGCTTGCTGGCATGGCCGATCGCACGACGCTGGTGGACAACAACACGTGGAACAACACGCACATTGCCACGGTCGGCAAGATCCTGGCCTCCGACGAGGACACCGCATATGACCTCGCGCGCCACCACGACGTTGACTACGTCCTGGTTGTGTTTGGCGGCATGCTGGGATACTCTGGCGACGATATCAATAAGTTCCTGTGGATGATTCGCATCGCCCAGGGCGTTTACCCGGACGGATTCAAGGAGGCGGACTTTTACAACGCAAAGGGCGAGTATGCTATTGGAGATAGCGCGAGCCCGACTATGCGCAAGTCGCTGATGCACAAGCTCTGTTATTATCGCTTTGCCGATGTCATGGGCCCGCAGGGTTTTGATCGTGTGCGGAAACAGAAGCTTCCGTCGTCAGTTACCCTGGATAACTTTGAGGAAGCATATACGACGGAGAACTGGATGGTGCGCATTTACAAGGTCAAGGATTTGGATAACCTTGGCCGCGACCATCACGCTGTGTCTGCATTCGAAGGGCCGCTTTACAAAAAGGCACCATACTAGCATTTATTAACTATTTGCTCAATAAAAACACACAATTCGAACCTTTTACATAGCACACCATATATGTTTAACAAAACTTTCAAACCCATTTATTTACTTATCCAACTATTTATTTACTATGCACGAGTGTGGGCAGATGCCACCGGCCGGAACTCGACAGGATTCAGGCTCACCGAGTATCCCTCGTCGACAATCTTCACGTTGACATACCGCATTGCATTGCCAGCCATAGCTTTGTAATAGGCCTCAGGCTTGTAAGCAACTGGCACCGAGTCGCCCCTGACGATAAACGCGTCAGACCACGGCGAGTCCGCCCTCTGCTGTAGCGCAACAGCCAGCGTAACCGCTGTGCTCTCGCCCGAACCCAGCGGCAACGAGACCGGCACCGAATCCCACTCGAGCTGCCAATGCATCGGCGACAACGGCTTCAATGTGCCAACGGGCGGGCGGAACGAAACAACCGTCTGAGTGGGTAAACTAACAGTAACCAGGACATTGTGCTGGTGCGCAACCCATGACAAAGATGCGTGCATCTGGAGATTGAGCGGGAACAAGTGGTTGAACTCGATGGTTCGCCGCGCAACTGCCGTTTTCGATATCCTGGCTGATGCGTGCTGGCAGCGACCGGTCGCGGGCGCAAATAAAAGAGGCTTGAAGCGAATGACAAACTGTTGGATTCCCTGCCGGGCCACCGTGTGCTCTCTGACGTGCTGCGCCAAAGATATGAGCCCAGAGATACTGGCAGATCGACCCTGGGCTAGGCTTTCCATGCGTCGTATACGCTGCACAAACTCCTCGTATATCTTCTCAACCAGGCGTGGGTCATACTGCGACATCTGGTGGGCATTAATCCAGCACGCGTGGGCGAAAAGGCGTATGTAGATGAGAGCAAGTCGAGAGTCCAGATCGAGCCCCAATGTGCGCGCCTCGATCTCGTAGGAGCCGTACATGATGGAGGATGTGAGCTCGAGTATGGCTGGTCGCTGGAGCATATTGTCTGCCAGCTGCTGCGCTCTCAACATATCGCTGACAATGCGCGCATAGTGCACCACGGCCTGCCTGCTGTGGTGTACCGACATGTCGGTTTCTTTTATATCCCGACCAAGCTGGCCAAACTCTTTGATGTGCCGCTTGAGTGTGGCCTCGCTGCTCTCCATTCTGCTCGACGGACCGTCGCCTGCAAACAACGAAGGGTTATTGGGAGCAATGCACACTAGCGCCAATGCCTCTTGGATGCTTGCGAAAGACGCGGAGGCTAGGTGCTGGCAGGCCTCGAGCGAAAGCCGCGCTACGGATTTGTCGACGTGCGGGCGCTCGAGCATCTGCCTGACAAAGCCCAGCCTCTCCGGCACGGACTCGGCAACGTTTCCCGGCAGGCAGTCGCGGTATTTGTCACGCAAATACGGTAAGTGGTTGTACACGTAGTCCGGCAACACCGACGCCAGTCTTTGGCGATTAGTGCGGCTGGTATTGAATATGAGAATAACGTTTCCCGCGTAGATAATGTCGTCGATGCGAGCTTCGCGGCTTAGATAGTGCTCGCTAATTCCCAGCAGCGAGCGCACAAAGGCAGAGTCGATCATCTCTGAGTGGTTGCGGCCAAGCGCCCCAAGTACCCGGTATATGTGCATTTGATCCTCAGAGTACTTGTCAAGGCTGACCTTGAATGCCGCCATCAGCTGCGCCAGACAGTCGGACTTTGTCAGCGTAGAAACAGCAAGGAACGCGTAGATGCCCTCACGCATAATATGGCTCGAGTCCTTCATCGCTGACAGCACAATGGACAACTGCTCGTCCGTCAGCCTGATCAGCGCCCGCTCGCCAATGGCAACCAGTGCTCGAATAGCACATAGGCGCACGCGGTCGCTGCTGTCGTTAAACATGTCGACCAGAAAGTCGACGGACTTTGCGGCAAACCCAGTGCTGGCAATGCTCAACTCCGTGATGGACTCGATCGCGGCATCGCGCACCTCCTGGTACTCATCCTCCAGGCCATGGACAAAGGCGCCGGCGGCTCCCGAATCCAAAAGCCTAAACTCCTCCGACTCTACATCGGCGTCGCCCTGGGGCGTCGGAATAAAGCCGCGAGACTTGCCGCCCCTCACGCCGGTGTTGCGCCCGCGATATCCGCTCGAATGGCCGCCACGGGGCACAAACCGGCGCAAATTAGACATGACCTGTTTGCTGAATGTCTGCGATAAAAACTTGTTGTCAACATTTTTGAAGCGGCCGAGGATCGTGCAGGCACGCTGCCGCACAACAACCGAGCTGTCGTTGACCATATCGCAGATCTTGACGAACGCGTCATCGAGAAGCCGGATGGAGTCTGACACCTTGTACTTCTGGATCACCACGGGGTACTCCGGGTACGCGCTGCTGATCGCCCAGATGAGCTCGACCGCGACCAGCCGCACCTGCTCGAAATCGTCCTTAGTCGCCACAACGCACTCGTCGTACATTTCGACTGGCAGCTCGACGCCCATCATGTACTCGCGCAGAATCGCATACAGCGCCGTTTGCCGCACCTTCGGGTGCGCGTCAGTCGTGTACTTGCAGACTATGTCGAACACATCGACTGCAATCGCATGTCTGTCCTGCGGCTTGACCATTGGTAGGATCGCCAGCGAGCTGCAGCGCAAGCGGTGTTGTGAGTGATTCAGATCGCTGAGAATGGCCGCGTCCAGCACGATCTTTGTGTCTGCGGGAATGGGCACCGATGCGAATATTCCCTTGAGCTCGTGCAGTGTGGCCAGGGTCTGGTAGATCTCGCACCGGACAGATTCGTCTGCCGCGTCCAGTGCGTGCACCAGCCCGCAAACGGCTCTCACTGAGTCTATCACTGGATGTGCGCATAGCTGTGCCATTAGTCGCACGGCTACTTGCTGGACTGCGCCGGGCAGTGTTGTTGTTTTTGCTGTCAAAAGCGCCCGCCTGCCGGCGATTAACACGCTGTCTTCGCTGTGTGTGTTTTTCAGGGCCACCAGCACGGAGTGCGCCTCAAAGTAGCTGGTGTATGGCTCGACTGACCCACTGCTGCCAGCTCTGTTGTCGGCGTTGACGTTGGCGCTGGTGTTGCTGGCGCTCTCCGAGACGATGCCGGCCTCTGACAGTGTCCGTTTATTTGACATAGGGCGAGAAGAAGGAAATGACCAAAATAGACGTATATGGGCAGTGGTTGCTGTGGCTGACTGTAGATACTGCTGCTGCCTCTAGAAATAATGTAAGAGTCGATTGGTATATGAAATTTCGGGATAGAAGAAAACAACAAAAGGAGTGGTTTGGAATAACGCACTTGATGATGTTTTGTGCTTCTGGGGCTGATCAGTTGATCGTTGTAATCAGCGTAGACGATGTGCATCGTGACTGTCTGAGCTTTATAAAGCGACGTTGACACATATCACTGGCCAAAGCTTTATTGGCATTTGGCCACCTCTTTCTGCCTTTTGCACGCAAGCATTATAAACAGTCCGGTTCTTTGTTTTAATTTTGTTTGCAACCATTTTTTATCTGCACTTTTGTATAATTTTTTGTATTTTTCATTTAAACTTTGCTTATTCTCTAGACACAGCCTCCGCCGCCAACAGTTATACATCCGGCCGATAATGCTCGACTACAAGAGGATTACGTTGTGCCTGTCGCCTGTACTGCTGGCGCTGCTGTGGCAGTTCCGTGACGAGCCATTGGCAGTGTGTACGTGCATATCTGCGCTGGCAGGCCTAGCAACATGGTGCCTGGTTCCTGCGACTACATCGGCCTTCAAGCGGGTGGGTCTGTCTGGCACAGATCTGTCGAAGCCCTCGCAGCCCGTGCTGGCTGAGAGCATGGGCGTGGTAGCAGCGACAGTATATCTGATAGCGACGTTTCTTTTATCCCCGCACAGTTCCGCAACTGGTGGACCACGCAGGACCCACAATCTGCCGAGCACAGCTCGCATATTTTTCCGTTTGACCGTCTGGGTGAGTACCTGTCGGCACTGCTGTCGCTGCAAAGCATGGTTTTTCTGGGCTTTGCCGACGATGTCTTTGACTTGAGGTGGCGGTTCAAGCTTTTGCTTCCAACCATCGCGTCTATCCCGATTCTCATTGTTTACTATGTCGGTTACGGCGTGACTCACGTCATGGTTCCTGTGTTTATGCGCCCCTGGTTAGGGACCCACATCGTCGACCTGGGCACGCTGTACTACGTGTATATCGGGCTGATGGCTGTGTTCTGCACCAACGCAATCAACATTCTAGCGGGCATCAATGGTGTTGAGGTCGGCCAATCCATTATCATAGCGCTGTCGATCATTGCCAAGGACATCGCCAACGTCAACAGCGGCAATGCGGAAGCCGACTACCACCATTGTTCACCCTATACTTGCTGCTGCCATTTGTCGCGGTATCCTGTGCCCTGTACTACTGGAACATGTACCCAGCCCGTGTGTTCGTCGGCGATACATACTGCTATTTTGCCGGGATGACATTTGCCGTGTGTGGCATTCTGGGCCACTTTTCAAAGACACTGCTGCTGCTCTTCTTGCCGCAAGTATTTAATTTTGTGTACTCTGCGCCCCAGATATTTGGTCTGGTGCCGTGTCCGCGGCACAGGCTGCCCAAAATGGCAGTTGAAAGCCCGCTTCCGCGCCGTCTGGTTGCAAGACTGCAGCAGGAAGCAAACTCGGACCATGCCTCAGCCCCACCTTCTGACTCTGACTCTGGCTCTGAAATTGCCGTCGGAGCCCTTGCGCACGCCGGCTCAGACGCGCAGCGCGAAGAATCTCCCAGCCATACTAGTGGCACTCACCGGACCTTGTCAACTGCGATGCTGAGCTTTGCCAAGGGCAAGTCTCTCAAGTCTACGAAAGATGCATCAACAGTGGCTGGCTCCCGCTCTCGGTCTCGGTCCTCGAGCGCCAGGGGCAGCATGAGCGGCGGATCCATGAATTCCACCGCGTACATGGTGCCCAGCAGAGCCTCGCTCGAAGGGGCAAAGCCACTGGGTCTGACTATAATTCGGCTATACGAGCTCATTGGAATTGCGGACGTCGAGCGGGACGAGCAGGGCAACATGGTCAGCGTCAACAACCTGACGTTGCTGAATCTGGTGCTGGTCAGGTGTGACAGCTCAATGAATCGCAGCTGAACAACCGCATCCTGTTGATCCAGGTGCTCAACTCTGTGTTGGCGTTCATCATCCGCTATCGTCTGTCGCACTTGTTTTATTTCTAAACCCCTGTAAATACACTTTGAACGAGCACGAAAGAGAAAAGTAATTCATATATATTTTTGTTTGTCTTTGAAACGGATTCGTGTATAAGCGCATCACGTTCCATGATCCTCTCATTTTTTGTTCACTTGGCCTGCTGGAACGGAATCGTTGTCGGCGGCATATTGGCCTTCTTCGGCTGCTTGGTGGCCTCGTTCTTAATGACAAACTCTGTCGGCACACCGAGCTTGAACCCAGCCTGGCGCAGCGCATCCTTCGCTAACTCATTGTTCAGACCAGGGCCCTTGAGCTCAAAATAATCTTGTCCTTGGGAACACGGCAAGCCCAGTAATCAAACGCACCCTTTCCCTTACCCATTCGAACCTCCGTACCCTTAGTGGTGACGGGAATATCAGGGAACACACGCAGCCAGATCTTCAAATCCTTGATCGCCTTCAGCTTGCGCTTCAGCGTCGCGTGAATCGCAGAGATCGTTTTGGCTGACAAACGTAGACCTAGCTTGACACGCAGGCCATAGTCTCCGAACGCCATGTAGTTTCCCTTGGTGCTTCCACCGGTACGCACAGGCACGCGACCCTTCTGCGCCTTCTTGTACTTCCGCCGGCGCGGCTGCAAGTTATGTAGTCCGCGAATCTGAATCGGCTGTGAGGTGTTGAGTGAGAGCCTCATTGCTGGCACGACGGCTGATGCTGATGTTGCGATCTTGCTAGTTGGTGCGCGCGCAAAGAGCGAGACGCCACTGCTAGCTACCCGCGACCGCAAAATGTTTCCTGCGAATCTCTGGGCCCACATTACGAATTGTACTAAAAAATAAGTCGATTGAGATTGGACACAGAATCAAATACAAGAGAGTGAAAAGGGAAGAATTCGAATTAGCGCCGCACACTGTTGTGATAGAAACCTTTCGGAAACCTTGTGTTTAAGTGAATGGGAGCGATAACTTCTGTGGAAAGTAAAACTTCTTAATCAGTCCGCCTGGAGATTAGGATCAGCAGCGAGCTTGATTCTTGATTATTGGGACTTTTTATGGGCTGTGACGCAGAAACAGCTGTCACTGGGGTCTTGAATATGAGCTTGATTCTTTTGACTTTTGCCTGATTTTCAAACGTCACTCGAAGCCTTGTGCTGGTCAGAGGGGAGGGGCCACATATTTCAACTTCCTTCCTGGCCGAAAAAGGTTGGTAGAAAAATTGACCGTGGAGAAAGTACCGAGCATGAACTGTTTGCTTCGCGTTTCGGGCTCTTATGTTTGTCGTTTTATTCTGAAAACAATTCCATTTCTAATTACGATATTTACACCTCTATTTACATTATTTTCCATAACCGCCCGCCGCAACACCTGGACATCTTGCAAGCCTCACACTCATGGTTGCAACAAAAGCTAAAGTCAGGGAAATTGTGACTTCAAAAGAGGGACAGGATCCTGTTGATATCAGCCAGCTGAGCCTTGGTATCGCACGACGCGTTTTGCAGAAGCTGGAGCCATCGCGTCTGAGCAATGGAAACTCTGACAGGACCGACACTTGCCCGCAGTTTTCCAAGACGTATCCATGCGAAAAATTATATGTGCTTATTGACAATCGCCGCTTTAGCAGCAGTAGCCGCCACTGCCATCATGACGACGACGAGCTGTGGAGATCTGGGGAAGAGGGTGACACGAATAGCGGATTGGACTTCAGCACTGCAAGCAATGCTGCTCAGGAGTGGCAAGAAGCCATCCACGGTACGTATCACGAGTCAATGTGTGCCATAAGGTCTTTGGATGTATTTCCTTTGATTCATCGGCGACTAAACACATCTGTACTACTTTTTGGTGTTCATTTTGTCTTAGAATCTCGGGACGAACCTATGGCCATTGATCACTCGGGAGATCAAGGCGAAGGAGTAGGACAAGTTGGCGACCTCGCTGCTACTAAAGTTGTCCCAGAGTTATTTTTGGAAACGCTGTCGCAATCGCAGATTGGCCCACTTGTTAAAGCGCTGGGCGGAGCCCCGGCTGGTGACCCGGTTGAGCCACAAACCAGCGCATCCACAGATATCCCACATTTGGAACAGATCAAAGAATCCGACGACGCGTGGCTCACAACACAGGAAAGCTTGTGTAAGATGACTGACGAACTCATGCTTGATCATGAGTTCGTGGGGTCACTGCCTGGCACCGCCGTCGGGACAGAATGCGACGAGGCAGGACACATCGAAAAGTTGAAACCAGTCATTATCAGCAATAATGACGGCAGCAATGAGAAAGACAGCAAGGATAACTATGCTGATGATGATGACAGCAGAGCGAACAAATTATGCACCCTCGCTGCTGAGATGCTGATTTACGATGATTCTTCTGATATCCTTGATGCAATTTGTGCGGCGCTTCCCAACCCAGAGACATTGTGTGCGTCTGACTTCGAGCACTCTCGTCTGCAGCCCAACCTGTTTGAGCCGGCACACACTCTGACGTCGCCTCACAAAGGTCCCAGCTATATGCAGTCAGTGTACGAATTTAGTTCAAGCAACTTTACAATGCCTGAGGATCCCTCCTTATGGCTGCAGTTCCAGCGGAAAAAAATACAGCAAGTGGGCCAGGTCCCATCCACATATTAAGGAGGTTCAAGTGCGACTGATCCCTCAGACTAGCACATGCTCGAGCATCAGCAAGTTCAACCAGCCCAAGTGCCGGGCTTGCATCGGGCGCGTGGCGAACAAGAGCTGCCGATTTATCAACGTGCGCTACATCACGCAGCTCGATATTGAGCTGACCAGTGGCACAAAGACCACCCGCTATCTGACCTGTCCAGTATTCCGATCGGAAATTGAGAAGACCCCAGCTGTGCGCCAACCAATCACGCCGATCTTATTGCCCGGACGCAACGTTATCGCCGACGATGAGTCTTCATGGACTGAGTTCCACGTTCTGTGTGAGACGGCAGGGGCTACCAAGTCAATGTTGTGCATGGAGCTGGCCGTTGTGTGGGACTTGCAAGTCAGCGGGCTGCGCGGATCCTGCGGGGGAATCATATCGTTTTTCAAGGTTCCAACCTTGGATCTGTCTGCGGAACTGGACTCTGACGCCATCATTGTCCATCCACTGTACGGCTGCGCTCCAACGCCGTGCATTGTGCCCAAGGTTCCCCTGGGTGCACACCAAAAGTGCGACAAGTGCGCAGTTCCGATCTTCTCGGCTTACTTTTCGTGTTGCATGTGCATGTCTGAAATCTGCATCTGGTGCTTTGATGCCTGGGATGACTCTGATGTGAGCGAAAACTACTATGTTGTTGAAAAAGGGACGAAGAAAACCAGCGCTTCTGGTGCAGACAACACTTTGTCATCGGCAGTGGACATGTCGTATTGCAAGAGAATGACACAAACTGGCGAGGATGGCAAAGTGATATACCATTGTACCCGCCATAAGAAGCAGCAGTTCATCTGGGTGTCTCACTACAGCGAGGACGAGCTCGAATTAATGCTGCGCAAGGTCAACAAGATTGTGCAGTACTGCAACCACCTGGATGAGACCCAGCCTGCTGGGTACAGCGCGATCTCGCTGTGCACAAACGAACTTGGGCTGCATGACCCCGACCAGAAGATCGACGTGATGTGGACCACCGAGCTGCTGGATGACATTGACTGCAATACGGAGATCATTGCCAGCATGGGTAACGCTGACTTTTGCGCTGATCAGACGCTGCGGCCAGGGTCCAAGGACAATTGCGGGGGCACCGGAGCGCTATGCGCCGGACTATCGGGTTCACAGTCGCATTATTTGGAGGCTGAATGGGCCTTCAAATTGCAGACAGAGCTCCTGGTGCCACCACAGCCATTGCCAAAGTGGCATCAGACGCCAGTGTACGCAACTGCCGCCGATCTTACGCTGCGCGAGTTTGCCCAGCTGTGGAAGAACAATCACGTTGTTGTCATCACTGGGTTGTTCAATGACCTAGAGCTGCAGGCATGGTCTCCCAATGTGCTTGTGCAGAGGCTCGACAAGCTTCCCGCACATATCTACGAGTTGGGCAGCAAAGATTTGTCGATTGGCAGCTGGACCCTGGGTCAGTTCTTGCACATGTTCAGCGGGGATACCCAACTCTCTGCTGCTGAGGAGTCTGAAGACTGGCCGGCTCGCAGGGACAAGTTGACATCCAGCCGGCTGCGCGCGTGTTCCAAGCTACAACCAGGCTTTGGTGAAAGCTCAGGGCAATTGAAGGGCACTGATTCCGCCATGCAAGGGAACAAAGAAAACATGGCAGCGAATGCGCCGGCAGACACGCCGGGTCCCAGCAGAAGGTGGCATTCAGGAATGCCGCGGGGCAAGGGGGCAGCGGCAGCCCAGGAAGTGAAAACTGCTGCCACTACATCCACAGCTGACACCCCCGGAGGCAGCAGCAACGAGGACGAAAGCGTAGGTTTAATGAAAAGGTTTAATAAGCTGCTCGATGCCACGACGCAAAAGCTTCCGTTTCCCCAGTACTCCTCGCAGGACGGGTCGCTCAACCTGGCCAACCGCCTTCCGACGCAGTACATGCGACTGGATCTTAGACCTGAGCTGCATTGCACATATGGTTCGCGGGACGTGGGAACCTGCGAGAATCTGCGACTTGAGGTTGCCGATATGATCAACTTGATGGTGTATGCGTCGGCAGAGCAAGATACGGCGTTGCTCCCGGTAGCGAAGGGCGTGTCTGCTGGAATCCCACGGCGTGCGTCTAGGGGCCGGCCACGCTTATCTGGGCAGCAAACCAAGCTGAGCCAAGTTGTTGAGTGGGCTGTTTTCCCGCCCGCTGTAATCCAGTATGTTCAAAGCTCATTGAGCGACACTGAGCAGTTTATTATCCAGATATTTGAACAGGGCGTTTACTTTGACGCTTCAAAGTGCAGGGAAATATATGGGGAGTACGGAGATGATGCGCGGAGCTACCTCGTGCGGCAACAGCCGGGTGACGCCGTGTTTGTTCCCGCTGGAAGTGCCTACCAGCGCTGCTCGTTTAGAAATACAGTGGCAATACAGAGCAAATTCATGTCGGCTGAGCACATGGGGACGGCACGCTGGGTGTCCAATGAGATTTCCAGGAATAAGGGATGTTTGTGGCGCAAGGAGATGCTGCCTGTGATGGATATACTGTGGTGGACGTGGATGGGCAGCCCTGGGGACCGCGATCAGAGCGCTGACAGGGTTATTTCAAAGTCAAAGAAGAGCCAGACGACGGCAATGTCTGAGGGAATGGCTGCTGCATATGTTAAGGCATTCATGTCTGCTTATGCGGGCGTGTTGATGTTGGTGGATGATGATTTGTCTTCTGCTGCTGCTCCTGAGTCTGGTAGTAGCCACACTCAGGGAAGCGCGAAAAAACGCAAGAGGCCAGTGACGACATCGAAGTCTCTAGCTGGTAACAGCAACGGCAACAATGACAAAGTGGTTGTGGATTCTTCTGGCGAACAGCCTGTTGAGTTGCCGGCTAAAACTTGCGTTCGCGGACGCCCACGAGGTCGGGTTAGTGGTCGTGTTAGTGGTCGTGTTGGGCAAAGCTCGTTGGAAGAGTATGTGGAGTCGATGTCAGAAGAAACACTCGAGTCGTTAGATGCATTGGAGACAGCTTCAGACAGCAGCGTCGCATTGGAAGAGTCGCTGTCGCCTGTGATCTCCGATTCATCAAAGCGCAGGAGGTCCACGCGCAACAGCATGAATAATGCCATTGGTGATGATCTTTAATTATTATTCATATACCTGCATTTATAAGTTATTTTACATATCACTTCACATAACTTTTGAATGAATAAAAGTTTTTACCCCCCCCCTTGCAAACACACCAAGAAAATTGTTTTAAATGTTGAATTGAATAAGGAAGTGCTAAAAATTTTTTGTAAAAGAAAAAAGTGGTAGGGGAAGAGGGAATAAAATGGGGAAAAGTAAAAAAAATTGGTTTGTGTATATTCGATTATTTTCAACCTTCTTTTTTCAATCTGTAAAGATGAACAGATTGTTAGTGGCAGCAACAGCAAGGGTGTTTTCTCTCGGATGCCAGCTCGAGTGCAATATCTTGCGGTTATAGTCAATGTTTTCAGGATCAATATCCTCCTTGCGCAATCCACCACGACCATTACGCGGGATACCGACCTTGCTCTTGCTCCCATTGGGACCCTGAACGCGCTTAGCCCGGAAGGCATTCTTGTCCGCCTGCAGCATAACATCGTTACTGGTCTCCTCCAGATCGTAGATGCTAAAGTAGTTGTTGTATGACCCAGTCATGGCATGCTTGCCGTCTCCACTAATGTTGCACTCGAACTTGTCAAAATGCAGTCGTTCTCGTAGAGGTCGCAGAGCTTGGGCTTGAGGTAGTCATGGACGCTGATTGTCCTCACCGGCTGCCGCTCCATGTTGATATCCCACAACCGCAGGGTCAGGTAATCGCGCGACAGAATGTATCGGCCGTCCGAGCTGAACCGCACATCAGACACGGAGGAGATAATCTCGGAGAAAAGTTCTTCGAAGCCGGGTCCTCGGGCTCCTCAAACTGCTTGGCATGCTTGTCACAGAGCGCTGACTCGCGCATATCGCACAGCTTGATCGTCCCTTGCTGCTGCTGTACATGAAGTAGTTGCAGGACTGCGGGTGGAACTCGGCAGCCGTGATGACCTCGGTCAGGTCCTCCATGTTGGCGGCTTGATGTCGACTATGTTGAAGCTCTGGTTGTTAATTCCCAGGTTCCACAGGTTGATGCGCAGGTCGTCAGCAGACAGATAGGTTTCGTCGTCCGAGTTGACCGAAATGGAGTTGATGTGGTAGGCGTGGGCGTTGGCGTAGATCTTCCGCGGAATCGCCGCAATGATGTTCTCGTGCTGGACGAGCTTTGGCAGACGCAGGCGCGAGATGTCCTGCGGCGGCGGGCGGTCACCATCGAGTAGGTTGTTCTCGGACACTAGCTTGAGCGCCTTCTCGCAGACCTTCCACAGCTTGATAGTCTTGTCGTTGGTCGTCAGCATGTACAGGGAGTTGTTGTTGGGCTTGAGCCATTTGATGCGGTTAATCTTCTCTTCGATCTCCAGACTCTTCAAGTAGTCAAACTCGGGTTCATGCGACTGGAATTCCGTGTAAAACTTGTACTCGCACCCTTGCTTCTACAGAATTGTGCGCGTCGTTTTTATTGTTGTTTTGTCACAAGAAAAATATGTTTTTTTGGGTAGGTGTGGTTTAGAATGTGCGCTGATTGTTAATTTTGGTGACGTTTGCACATTCCTGTTTTCAGGCAAAAAGAAGACAAAATAGAATAGACAGGCACTGTAGTGCAACTTACGTTGTCGCTTCTCTCGAAAAGCACGACACGACCGCCCTTATCGCCGGTAGCCAAGTAGTTTCCGGTGTGGTCAAACTCCACGGTAGAGATAATATCAGCTACAAAACAAAAATAAAATAAATACACTGTTAGCAAAGAATAAAAGCACAACATTGGGGGCATATTGCAATGCGAATAGTAGTCGCGGCAATTTCTCTTGTTCCTCTCCTATACACACGCCCCAAAATGTCAGAAGATTCCGTCTTCTCCCTTTATGTCGTTCAAATCAGTGTAAATTTTTTAAAGGACCGAAATAAGGCGCTGCGTTTTGCTGTGGGTTAGGGCAGATTGCAATGTAAAGTTGGCAACTGGATTAAGCTTACCCTCTGTGACATCCTCCAAATCGGCCTTGTCGCCAAAGCATTGAGTGAACTTCCAACCGCGCTCACTTTCCATGGGTAATTAAATGAGTGAAAAATATATAAAGGAAAAATATAGAAAAAAAGAAAAGGGGGATGCACCAAAAAATAAAGAACGTTTGTGTAATTGGAACTAAATGACTGGGATTCAAATGGAAATAGCAGAAATTAAAAAAGAGAGAAAAACACGCTGCGTATCTGTGTAAGTGTGAGTGGGTGTGTCTGTTGTGTGTAAAAGAAGGGGTGATAAATAAAAATAGGGGAGAACCAACAATGAGTAATTTAAAAAAATACTATATAGAAAAGACGGAAGGGCGCAAATAAGATTTGTTATTCAAATTTCTGTCCTGGGCACAGGTTTGGGGGGTAACGATGTGAGCGGGGTGTAAACGCTAAAATAAAAATATATTCTACTCTTTTTTGTTTTTAGAGGTGTTTTTTCCTATTGATTTGGAATTTGCTAGCTTAAAAAAGATGGAAAGAAATTTCGTCTATAATTTTATTATCGAGCGCTTCAAGGCCAGCCAAGTAGAAAAATACACGATTCTTGTGCCCAATTCTCATATTTGTCAGAACTGGCAGAAGCAGGAAAAAATAGGAGGCAAGGCAACTTGCACCCTAATCCCACCAAAACAGAAAATCTCTTGCTATGGGCTCGAAGAGCAGGAATAACAATAGAATTGATCGGTTAATCGTGACGGCATCCACTATTTCTGAGAAGAACCAGCTTTTGATGCGCCAACGGACGGCAGCCCAAATAAATCTCTGGCCTCTGGCATATCGTCTGAGTCAGAGCCATTGAGGTGATCCACGCTGTCGGCCTTTAAACCAGACTCCGACTCCAGCCCAGGCTCAGGCTGAGGCTGAGGCTCGGGCGTAGCAACAATAGAATATGTCTCTAGCGACTCTGGCAGCCCAGTGGGAATCGGCCGCTGCGGGCTCTTTGGCGGCTGGGGATCACGCCGCAGCAGTGTCTCGGTGATGCGCAAACCATTTTTCCGCTCCTCGACCTTAAACTTGTTCCGCACATCGTACCTGTTGCGGCCAGGCAGCTCAGCAGCGAGCATCTGGAAGTCGGTACCGTAGATGCGCAGCTTCTGGTAAAACATCTCGGTCTCTTCGGGCTTCCAGCGCTTGCGTGACGTGCGCTGGACAACGTATGTCAGCGAGTTTGTGAACTGCGTGCGCGCAGACTCGTCTACGACATCGAGAGGCTCGCCGGTGCCGCCAGCCATGTCTGAGCGATTGACCACGAGCGAATCCGTGTCAATGACCACTTGGCCGTCGACGATGCGCACCTGTGCGGCCATGCGGTTGACGGTCTGGGGCTGCGAATCAACTTTGCTGGGAACCGGCGGTGCTTTCACGACACCGGCTTGGGCCGGCGTTTCTTCAGAAGACGCCTGTGTCTCTGGCGGTGCATTTAGCTTGCGAATGACATCGTTTTCGCGCTCGATGAATTCGGTCGTCGGCTGGCCGTGCCGGGTGTCGCGGCAAAAGTATGCTATGGGCAGGTTGCTGATTTCTTCCGTTGAGAGTGTCGAGTAATCGGCAGCTGACCTCATCTGCAAGAGCGGCCGCGCTTCAGGTGTGCTGCTGCCTGTGCGTACACGCTTAGGTGGCCCTGGAAAGCGCGTTCCGCCGTTGGCTGAGCGCCGGGACGCGCCCAATGCCAGGCTGGCAGGGCTGATTGGCGAGCTCAGCGATGCGAGTCGTAGTCCTCCTGTGCTTGCGCCTGCGCCTGCGCCTGCTATGGATAAGGGGGCTGTTTGATTCATTACACCGCTTCGCCGTGCTGAGAGCTGCAACCGCGGCGGCTCAAACCTCGGTGACATCCCGCCAATTACAATGTGCGTCCCCAACCCTGTTCTCTGTAGCTGTGGAGACGCGCCAACTGAAGGAATCCCGTTTATCGATGTGGATGCGCCAACTGAAGGAATGCTGCCGATCGAACTTGATACACCGACTGAAGGGATGCCTCCAGACGATATTGATGCAGCTGTAATAACTGATGGCACGCCAATAACCGTCGAGCCTGCTGGAACCCCCCGCAGCTGCTCGTGGTGCATTTGTTGCTCGCTTGTTTCAATGTTATCTGATGTGTCCTGCTGCTCTGCCCCGGCGTCCTCCGTCTGGTTGACCTCGCTCGTCCTGGTGTTTTGCGCGCTCTGAGCCGTTCGCCGTGCCGGCCTAGGCTTAGCCTTTGGCGCAAACTTATTGTTTCCTTTAGCTATAGACCAGGCTTGACATTCAATGCATAAGAAAATTTAGTATGAAAGAGAATCAGCTGTTGAATTTGTGTGCGTGCATGCATGTGTTTTTTCTTGCAATACCCCTACCGAGCTCGTTCAGTTCACTTACAAACGCGCGTTGACGTGACAGAAGACATGGGTGTGTGAATAGATACAATAAAATAATAAAAGTAACAGAATTGGTAGCGAAGAGAGAGAGAAAAGAATATAAAAAGCAATTGAAAGGGACCACAAATTGGTTTTGGTTGCTCGCTTGCAAACTGGCGGTGATCTTTGGATTATCATATCGCTTGTGATCTGGCTATGCTGATTAATTGGGTCACGTGTGTCCTCTTTGGGCATTTTTGGCATATTTTTTGATCTGAGTGATGACAGTACCAAAAATAAAAAGTTAGCTTTGACTTTGTTAAATTCATAACATTATCTCGGATCACACGGTTCCCGGGTGCGTCGTTGCTCAAACAATTAAACAAGAGCCAAACCGCTGATAATCTTTGTGGTGCTCGTATATAATAGTAAAGCACGTGCATGTGCCTGGCGGTTCTGGGCCTTATTGGCTTGATTGTTTGAATCACTCAAAAATGGCACATGAAAATTCGCCGCACCCACTCAAGCATATGAAAGAGGAAACATCACATGCATGGCTTGCCATTTTGCGCCAATTTCCATCTCATCTATTGCTGATGTCGCAGGCACTGACTTTTTCTTTTCTTTTTTTCTGCGCTCGAACTTTTTTAATTATATTCCTCTCAGCACACACTCTCCTTTTATCCTGCTATTGCAATTTTTACTTTTCTTTATACTATATCTCTCATCCAAAGAAGAAACACCGAAGCAAACACTCATGTCGCAGCATCCTTCCGACGCACCCGCCACCACCAGCCGCGGCGTACTGACCACGGCCAACGGCAACCCCGTTGAGAACAACCAGACGTCGATGACAGCCGGTGACCTGGGACCCGTTGTTCTGCAGGATTTCCATCTGCTGGACAAGCTGGCCCACTTTGACCGCGAGCGCATCCCCGAGCGCGTCGTCCATGCCAAGGGAGCCGGTGCACATGGATACTTTGAGGTGACCAAGGACATCAGCCACCTGACGTGCGCCAAGTTCCTCAGCAAGGTCGGCAAGCGCACGCCTATTTTTACCCGCTTTTCTACTGTTGGAGGCGAGCTGGGCTCGGCGGATACTGCCAGAGATCCGCGCGGGTTCTCGGTCAAGTTCTACACCGAGGAGGGCAACTGGGATATGGTCGGCAACAACACGCCGATCTTTTTCATCCGCGACCCGATCAAGTTCCCTGACTTTATCCACACCCAGAAGCGGCATCCGCAGACGCACCTGCCGGATGTCACGATGATGTGGGACTTTTGGTCGCTGGTGCCTGAGTCGCTGCACCAGGTGACCATTCTGATGTCCGACCGCGGTATTCCTGACGGATATCGCCATATGCACGGGTTTTCGAGCCACACTCTCAAGCTGGTTAAGGGGGACGGCTCCTTCCACTACGTCAAGTGGCACTTCCTTACCGAGCAGGGGATCAAGAACATCTTGCCCGAGGATGCTGCGCGGCTGGCGGGCACCGATCCAAACTACGCGACGCGCGACCTGTTCAACGCAATTGAGCGCGGCGACCACCCGGCCTGGAAGGTTTATATCCAGGTCCTTGAGCCTGAGCAGGCCCTCAAGTACCGCTTCAACCCATTCGACGTCACCAAGGTCATCAGCAAGAAGGACTTCCCGCTGCAGGAGGTTGGCCGCATGGTGCTGAATCGCAACCCCGAGAACTACTTTGCTGAAGTCGAGCAGGCGGCTTTCTGCCCGTCGCACATGGTGCCGGGAATTGCGCCGTCCCCTGACCGCATGCTGCAGGGCCGCCTGTTCAGCTACTCGGACACCCACCGCCACCGCCTGGGCCCCAACTACCAACAGATCCCGATCAACCGTCCAATCTCTGGTGTCAACAACCACCAGCGCGACGGCGCCATGACCATCAACGGCAACGGCGGCTCAGCGCCCAACTACGAGCCCAACTCGTTTGGCGGCCCTGCCCAGAACAATTTGGCCGCCCAGTCGCACGCCAAGAACTTTACCGTTCAGGGCGAGGTTGCTCGTCACACCTACGAGGTTACTGACGACGACTTTGTGCAGGTCGGTCATCTCTACAACCTTTTCACTGCTGAGCAAAAGGACCGTCTGGCCAATGTCATCGCCTCATCCTGTCACAGGTGCCTGATTTCATTCAGAAGCGCCAGCTCAAGCACTTCTACCGCGCCGACAAGGACTACGGCCGTCGTGTCGAGTCTGCCCTCAAGGCTGCCGGATCCAAGATCTAATGGCTCTCGTAGTTTATCACATTTTCCACATTTTTTAAACATTTTCTCATTAAAATATATTTTAAACATTTTAAACACAAATTAAACCGACACGCGAGCCATTTTACGTCGCCACTTTTGCGCCTGGCTTTGCCTTTTTTGTTTTATTTTTTCTCGCAGCCGGATCTAGTGCCTTGGTATATGGTGGAGGCGGTGGCAGGTAATCATCCTGTGAATACGGCACAGGGCGGAATTGTTCAGGCCTCGGCTGCGGCGTAGCTGTTGTCTCCAAACCTTGCAAACTATCGGCAGAATTCAAATCTCGATTCCGATGGCGGCCTTGCTCCTGATTGACCTGCACCATAGGCGTAGGAGCACCCTCCCATCGGCAAATATCACAATGAAGCAGCGTGCGCTTGCGCGATATGGGGAATATCGGAACGCAATATAGAGTAAACCAGGTGCGTCGGTTCATGCTTTGGATCGCGTTGTTGTGGCATCGCGGACACACCACCAGTTCGCGTCCTAGTGAATGAACCTGGTTGTAGGTTCCGCAAAAAATTGGTATGAAGAGAAAATCGCACATAATTCCAGACGATATAAAACTGTACTATTATTGAAAGAAAAAAATGAATACTAAAGAGGAGAAATGTTGGATATTTTTATGTTGTCTAGGTATTTTTTATCTAGGTATTTTTTGTCTTAGATATTTTATGCGCGTGCGTTCGCAAGCTTCCAAACATGACTGAATGGCATATCTAGCACGACAAAAGAAACTGCCGATTGGTGGAATCGTATATAGAGCACTTGGAGAGACACCGTACCCTCATCCCACAGGATGGTAACTGCGCAAAAGTGTAAAAATAATATATTTGTCTTGACAACCCCCTCCCCCCTCTCAAAAAAAAACCTTGTGCACTTTACAAAAGCACACTTGGTCACGAACAAAACAATTCACGAAGCTGTTGTATAATCTCAACTGCACCAAATAAATAAAAGGTCACGCGCCGTGTTTGAATAACTAGGGCTGTGTGGTATCTGCAAGATGCGAGGGTGGAATCTATGTGTAACTCATTCATCCGTATGTACCAATTGCGCGAGTTACAGAAAAAAGGATGTTCTCATCTCCTGGATATCACAAAGCTTTGATTAGATCCAGTAATTATTATATGTATTAATATTAACTCCCATCACAACTGTGATGCATCATTCGCATAATGCGCCTTCAATTTTCAGAGACAAAGAATAAACATTGGACTGTGGTTCCAAACACAAGTCGCTCAGTTCCTTCCAATTCACACATTTTCTTTTTTTTTAATTATTACCGGCACTTTGAAATTTTATAAATCCATACCCCCACTCTTTCTACATTTCTACCTTTATTTTTATACTCACAAATGGATACCAGTAAACCCGAACCCACATTCAGCGAGCGACTCGCTTCACTCGGGCCCACACTTCAGTCGCAGATAATTGTCGACCTCAGCTCCTGGGAGGACCGGCAGCGCAACGAGCCCGCGCGCAACGAACCCATTCGCAATGACTCTAGCCGCAGCAAAAGGTCCTCCAACAAACGCACCCGTCTCGCACCCTTACCCGAAATAGCACACACCACTTTGGTAGAACTTCGCAAAGTACGCCATGAAATTTACGCAGCAGTTGATGGCAAAGGCGATATCGCGCGCGAAGTGACCAGCTGGGCTATCGGTGTCCTGTCTGTGTTTGTCTCGGTCGCTGATTTGAAGGAGAACAGCAACTTGAATGATTTGCCCTTGTTGCCCGGCGCTAGAGCCGTTTTCCAGCTGCTTGTTTTGGCCGTGGAGAGTGAGTTTTCACGCGTTGGGATTGAGGCCGCTGAGATGGCATTTGTGGAGACGGTGGTTGTGGAGACTAGGGACCAGCGGGCCATAGGATGGCTGCTTACCCAGTATGGCTCGTGCCACAAGGCTACTTTCCCCAGGTGCTTGCACCTGTACTACATAGCACAGCTTCCAAAGCTTATAGGCAATAGCAGCAGCCCGGCTACGGCGGCTGCAGATACTACTGGATTGGCCCAGGCGATAAATGATCTGGCAGCGATGTATCCGGAAGAGAACTCAAAGGCGTTAAACCTGATTCTTGGAATGTACCGCGACTTGGTAGCCAACCAGACAACCAGCGGTGCCACCACACTGGGGATTGCGGAAGGTGACCTGCGCCGGTTTGTTCTGTTTTACTCGCTGCAATCGCACTTGGGAAAGAAACCGATGCTTTTGAATAGCAGCGACGCAGGGTCAGCTGGCAGTATGACCGACGACAGACAGTGGCTGGCAGATGCAGTTCGGTTCGAGATGCGTGCGGAGTTTTCAAAGTTCATTGTATACAGCGACGACTCGCTGACCCTGCAACCTCTGGCTAGCGCTATCGAGGTGCTGTTTGGCGAATCGACTCGCGTCAAAAAGTTATCCGACCAGCCGCTGGACCTCAGCCGGGTCATTGGCGTGTTCTCACTGATTAGCACTATTGTGCACGGATCACAGGCACACGCAAGCGACCGTGCTGGCACCGAGGATGACAACTGCGATAATAATTCCGAAGATGTAGAGATGAAGAGCGTGAGCGCTGCAGACTCCTGGGAATGGTGCACCACGTTCATCGACGCCTGCCGCACCACGCTGCTGCGGCTGATTTCACGCGAACAGGAGCTGGCAATACTGCACCAGCTGCCAAAGACAGTTAAAAACATGCCGCAGCCCATCCCCAATGGCCTCCATGAAGCTGTTCAGCGCGGAGGGCGGACGTACAATAACGGACCGATTTCCATTCCAGCCGTCACACAGGACGAGGGAGACTCCATATGCAAGAGCATTGTTGGCATCATTTCGACCACCGCATTGGCAGCCGCCTCAGTGCACGGCGATGCAGCAGCGACACTGATGCCCGCGCAGCAGCTCTTTCAGACTGTGTGCGAGACAGTACCGGCGCTGTTCGAAATACTCGCTGTGCGCATGGAGTCGCTTGCGATGGCCAAATCGCTCATCCGCTTTATGATCGAGGAGTGGCCTGTGCGCATTTTGGGCTTTGAGTGCGAGGGAGTCAACGCGAGCAACGTTCTCGCCCTGTACCGCTCGCTGCTGGCTGTCGGCGAGGGCCACCGCGGCGTGCTCCCGCAGCATCTGCTCAATGTGTTTGGGTCAGCGCTGGGTACCAACCGGCGGCCCAAAGCGGCGCGACTTCAGCACGCGGTTGATATATTGTCTGCAGCCGTCAGCCACCGATCCGCAATGGATGATAGCCCGGAGCTGGCGCAGAGCTTGGATTGCGTGAAGGAGGTTATTGATAGTCTGCGCGATGTCCTGGTGGCTAGCTGGAGGCACCTATGGAACCACTGCTTTGCTGTCAAATTACCGGCCGCTGATAGACTAATTATGCAAATCGAGCTTGTGAGTGCGCTGACGAAGAACCTGCATTTGACTGCTGGTGCACCGCTGATTGACCGGGAGACAATGGCCGAGTGCGCATTGAAGGAGCTGGTTGTTGTACAACTTGCTTTGAATGGACAGGATGAGGACGCATTGGATAATGCGGATTGCCTAATGGGTCTTGCCAAGGCGCTTCTGGGCCTGGTGATAGTCCTGACCAATACTGCGAGTGTCGAACGGGTTGCCATCGAGCGCCTTGTGCGCATCCTTCTGTTGCCGCGGTCGCAAGACGACTCGGAGCAAAATATGCTTTCGGTATTTTCGGTCGGAAATGGCGAGCAATCCGCGCCCACAGATGCTGCCCAATCAAAACAGCGACCGGACTCTGCACTTATCAACAACCAGCTTAATCTCAGGACACTGCTCAAGGGCGAACTGATATCTGCTGCTGCAGGCATCCAGAAGAAAAAACCCACATCCCGAGACAATGAGGCCCAGACATTGGCCATGGCCGAGCAAATGCTTTGGCAAAACGCCGTGCGTCCGATGCCTAAATACCCGCGCAGTGGCATGCACCGGCACAGCCACATTGACGATTCTTGGGCGCTTGTGCGGCCCAAGCCCAAGTATTCCGCGGATACTGACAGATCACCCCGTTATCCACTTCTGGTGTACTCGCTTCTGTCATTAGCGCAAGCAGCGCCCTCGGGCATAGATGTGCTGGGAACTTTGTTGATGGAGTATTATGCGACTCGTTACCCGCCATACCACCTGTAATGCTCGACCAGAGGCTCGGTTGCGGACGCCTGCACTTGCGTGCGATCGAGATGGAGCTGCTGCAGATATTCGGCAGAACGCTGATTTCGAGTTTTTGCTTTTTGAGATGATACGTCGCGGGACCACAGTAGACATCCCGGCTGTCAAGCAGTTAGTCAGCGCACTGCTGGTCGCCCTCATTGTTCTGTGGAACGGCGCCCTGGCTGAGCCCGCGAAGAAGCGACTGAGCGACTTAGATTTCACAGTTAGGCTGGTTTCGCAGGTCGTTGATGCGGGGGATGCGAGTGACTTGCAGTCGGCCCATCATTTGTACAAGCTGTTGCCGCTGATCAGTGGCAGTGATGTTTCAAGGATCCTGCATGTGTGTGTGTGGCGGTGGGTTGTGCATCGGATGCCCGGTGCCGAGGATGAGTCGCAGCGCTTGTTGGGCCATATTTTGCGCAAGAACATTGTTGAAACAGCGCCTTTATTTGGCCTGTTTTGTATTTAGCATGTCCTTATTTACGTAAATTATCAGTTGCTTTTTATTATTATTATTTGTTTGTCTGTTTGTTTGTTTGTTTGCTTGCTTACTTGTTTGATTGCTGAATGAAAATGATATAGCAAAAGACAAAATGTTGCCTGTCGGTCTGAAAATGCGCCAAGGCACAATCAATGCTCAAACATCTATGATGCACAGATGCCAGAGCACTTTGTGTGAGGGTGTAAGGTGTAAAGTGATATTTTTTGAAAAAAGAAAAACACGTGTGTGGTAATAAAAAACTAAAAGAAAATTGAGAAAGAAAAAAGATGAAGATTATAACATTCCCGTATAACTGTTGAAAGGAGAAGGGTGAGGAAAAAGAAAATAATATGCTTAGAGGATCATGCACTTGTTTTTTTTCTTCGTTGGAGTAGGGGGGGCCAGGACCGCACGGATAGCCTCGTCAAAGACGTTCTTCAGACCCTTCTGCGTCAGGGCCGAGCACTCAAGATATTTGGAGAAACCCATATCCTTGGCGGCATGCTGTCCCTGGTTGAAGCCAATGGGCACCATCCTCTTTTGCGCCAGCTTCTCAATGGTTTCCTTGTCCTCGCGCAGATCGAGCTTGGTTCCGACCAGGATGACGGGCACGTTGGGTGCGTGATGTGAGACCTCGGGGTGCCACTTTGTCCGCACATTCTCGAACGAGGGAGGGCTTACAAGGGAGAAGCACATTAGGAAGACGTCAGTCTGCGGGTACGACAGAGGGCGCAGACGATCGTAATCCTCCTGACCGGCGGTATCCCAGAGACCCAGGTTGATGGGCTTGCCATCGACCATGACGTTTGCCGAGTAGTTATCAAAACTATTGGTTTATAACATGCACCAACAAAAAAAGGGCCCAACAAGTTTTTTTGTGAGGAATCAATTTAGTATATTGTTTTTCTTCATGTCTAAGCGGGTGCTTACTTTGCATGAATCCGATTGTGTGATAAATAGGTTCGGCATCAAATTAAGGAACATCAACAGTTGTCGCAAAAATCGGCGCACATTTTATAACTCACAGTCGCATCTGCAAATAAAAAAGTGTGACCAATATCAAGCCAAAAGACATTCGCTGCTTGACTATGAAGAAAAATTGCAAAGGCAAAAAAAGCCTTGCCTTTGTTTTGCTTCATAGTCGTGCAGAGCATAGAGCGCTCGCGTGCGCATCTATGTTTGTGTCTTTAGTCAATTCCAATTACAGCACAGCAAAAGGCGAAAAAAGCAGCAATTGGAAAAAAGGGGAAGAGGGATGCAATACGATTGGACCAAACTGATGGGTACCAAATAAGAAAAAATAGACCGAAAACAAAAAAGTGCGTAAATTTCAAGCGCAATTGCTCGCTTTCGCCTTCCCCAACGAAACGAGAGAGGGAAAAAGGGCACGGCAGGCGAGAGCAACTATATGCAGTTCGACAACATACGCACACATGGTAACATGTTTTTTATTGATTTTAAAAGAGCGCACAATTGGCAACGCGGTCTCAAAAAACTTACACTGTTGGGATGTACTCTCCAGGGAAAGCATTGGTGGTGTAGCTGATCAAAAGGCATGTCTTTCCGACGGCACTACAGGAAGTAGAATTGAATCATAGAAAGCAAAAAAAAGATAGTCCAGGCTGGTTAGTACATATGGCACGGAATTACAAGTGCAGACGAGAAGCATACAGTTCGGTCGCTGCCACAGCTATTGTTTTTTGGTCAAGACACTGCAGTCCGCTTAGCTTGATTTTGCGACTTGCTCAGCGTCATAGCGCGTACTACAAAGCTGTTGTCCGGCGGCGCTGTTATTTCCGACCTGTTGCAAGGCTCGTGTTGCAAGCAAAGCAAAGCAAACAGTAAGAAAAAAGTATATTATAAAACTTACCCATCACCGACGACTACGCATTTAATGGCCTGCATTGCTGATTTTTTTGTTCGAGTCGCTGCTTCGAAATTTAAACTACTGAAGGGCACACTGGTTTGTGGCGAGTAAATAGTCTAAGAGAGAGTCGGAGAAACCGTTTGATATACACAGAATGAATATGAGTAAATAACTAATACAATAAGCGCGAAAAAGAAAGAAAAAACTAAACTGGGTTGAAAAAAGAAGAGGGAAAGGAAAAGGATGAGGGCAAAAAATACAAAGTAATAAACGGAAGTGATTTTTTAAGTGCTACTCGTTTTTTTTCTTGTTGGTACTTTTTTTGTGGTGGATTGATAAAATGGCAACAAGAATAACAGGAGTGCAAGAAAGAGCAAGAAATAATAGGAGATTGAAGGATGTGCACAAAAACAAAATAAACCAGGACGATTACCAACAAAAAGATGAACGAAAGTAAAAAAAAGCAACCCATCGCATATATTTTTTGAAAGAAAAATTCGCCTTGTAATTTTTTATTTTATCCCAAGCCCTTATTTTTTCCTTTCTGGCCATGCGAAGTGGTTATTTGCCTGGAGACTTGGTGGTGGTGGTAGCAGTTGGTGGTGGTGGCGGTTGTAGCTGGTGCTCAATTAATCCAACTTTTGGGCCACCAAGCTGCCAAGAGAGGCCGGCGACACCAAGTATATGGCACGGTGTCGCCAGGATGCTAGATGCTAACGTTCCAGTTTGATAGCCGAGAAGTGCAGCAGGCGAATTGCAAAACGTGGGGTTTAAACCGAAGATGAGAAAAATATGCATTTCAGCTTTTTGTTATTTTTGTTATTTTTGTCGCTTACCTGTTTAGTGTGCTTGGTTCCTTTTTTCTTTGAAAAGAAAAATAGCGATCAGCTTGTTGTAAGTTGTGAGCTGAAATATAATTTTTTTAAAAAAAAAAAGCGCGCTGATTATCTTCCAAGACTCTGTGTGCGTGCTTAAAATATGTGGCTTGGTTATGTTGTTTTAAAAAAATACGTGTGATGCTGAAAGACTGGGTGAATGAACAAGTGCAATAAAATAACACGCTATTCCTCCTTTTTGTACTTCAAAATATTATTAAATAGTATTAAATAGTATTATATATAGTTAAGTTTTAAAATGTAGCAAGTATTGACAGCGAGAGAAAAGAGGAAAGGTGATAGAGTCTGAGGCACTTGCACCATATGTTGCCTTGCATTCAGTGCCTGAGGTTTAAAAAGGAACGATATCTGCAAAAATCTTCTATTTTTCACTTTTCTGCACTCCAAAAGTGTCTTCTTGTTACCATGTATTGACACTGCTCCTCTTCATATCTGCTCCCGTTCTCGCTCTTGTTCTTGTTCTCAGCACCGGTGAACAGCTTGAACAAGCACCTGGATTGATAAAAAAAAAGTGGTTTTTTCTGTTTACCTGCTTGCAGATCGATGTGCAACCCGCGCTATGTTTTGTTCGGGATTGTCGCATCCCTCCTCCTTCAAAAAGATGAAAATCTCTTTAACTCACACTTGCATTTTATTCCTACAATCTCCCAAGAAAAAGAAAAAAGAAAGCTATCGATTGCTTGTTTATGCGTGAACACATAAAAAAGATATATATATATGCAAATATATAAATTCAAATATATAAATGCATCCCGATATACTATAAATAACAATGAACTCTATTGTATTAGTTTGATTAATATGGCTGGATTCTGATGGCGTGCGCACCTTGCAATTTCAGATAGCACTTTGAATAAGATTTTGCAAATAAGTGTGCGTATTTTTCAAGTACCAAAAATGGCAACGTTTTTGGCATGCGCTCAATATCGAAATTTTGGAAATATGCGACAAATAATCAAGAAAAAAGTGCATTCGGACGCGTTAATATTTGTCAACTTGCACTACTTCAAAAAACACATGTTTTTTCGGTGGGTTTTATTGCTGTGTTTTTGTTTTGTTTATAAACATGCCCAAATGATTAGCACGCACAACAAATACACAACCAGGCATGGTGTCTCTTCGTCCAGGGCACTATACCTAGCCAAACACGTACGATCATGCGCGAGTGCAGAATGAACATGTCTATTTTTTCGTGTCCTTCCATTCTCTGGTGCGCCAAAGTCCCTACGGCATAGTCAAACAAATCATTTTCAATTAGCCCAGCCAAGCTTGCGACAGACATGGGCATGGGAGGGAATGACAAAATACCAAACAAATACTCGTGATACAAAAATTTTAATGTGATCATTTGAAACTGTGAACAGAAGTGTATTAACTGGACCCAAACAACAGGGTCCAACACAAAAAAGGCGTGACTAAACTTTAAGCAAATCAAATCAAAAGATTTACTCCTCGTCGTCGTTGGCACCGCCGGCAGCGGCAGCAGCGCGCTTGCGGGCAACACGGCCGGGGCGGCCTCCACCGAAGGGCGAGTTGAGGGCAAAGTCGATGTGCTTCTGGGAGTCAAGACGGACAATGAACGAGGGGATGTTCACAACCTGCTTGCCGACGCGGATGTGGCGCTGACGGATCAGGACACGGGCGTGGTGGATCGACTTGGCGAGACCCAGCTTGAAGACCTGGGTCTGGAGACGGCGCTCAAGGAAGTTCTCGACGGTAAGCTCAAGAACGTAATCGAGCTTGGCCTTGGTCTCATCGAGCACACCAATGCGGATCAGGCGGCGGATAAGGGCGTTACCCTCAAACAGGCGGCGGGCGTCCTTCTGGTCAAGCTTGAGCAGCTCACGGGCAGCACGACGGATGTTCGACAGGGTGTAGGCAACACGCCAGATCTCGCGCTTGTTGCGGAGACCGTACTCACCGCAGAGCTTAAGCTCGTGGTCGAGACGCTCCTTCTCGAAGGGGTTGCGGGGTACCTTGTAGGTCTTCGAGTCTACATGATAGAAATGCAAGAAAAGGAGCAAAGTGCACAGAAAAAAAGCAAAGTGGTGAAGGTACTCCTTGTGTGGTCAATACCTCAACAATGCCATTGATCCACAAAACACACGCATTCTTAATGTTAAGCAGTGTTACTGGCGTGATAATCCCAGTTACACATCGAGTGATCGACAACCGCAGCCGTATAAATAAATATACGCCTGTGCGCGGCTGTGCAAAAGAGACATCTCGGACCGGCAGCAGTGACAAGTCGCAAGCAAAAAGAAAAGGTACGTATGCGCGCGTGTGTTTTGTAAATATATAAATGACAAAAAAGAGGCAGACCAAAAAGAGCACTTTCCCGAGATCTCATAGCCTCACAGGATAAAAACAAGGAAGCGCTCAGCTCATAGAGCCAAGACATATTTCCTGTTCCTGTATTATGTTCGTCCGTGTCCAGAGAGCCTTGCTGAGCATCTCTTTCAGAGGTAGCTAGGAGTTTGATGACTAAAAAAGCCAAACGCAGAACAGCATCTGGGGAAGTGGCTTTGCTTCGTCTGCCCTAGCAACAAAAAAGAAACAAACACCCTCTCCCGCATTGACAGGCAAAAACAGAGAGCAACGAAAAGACCTGTGTGTTAGACAAGTATTATTCTCCCGTTACTCAGTTTATCTGTCCACATACAGGATAAATGCGTGCTTACTCCTTCTATGCGCTTGTTATGACAGAGTCCGTCTTGGAATTCACAACCCTCTGTGCTGTCCCATGTGTGCTCTCGTCAAGTATGTCCTCTAGCTACGCTCTGGTAATACATTTTCTGGGAGGCATGGTCTACGTAAAAAGTGAGAAAGTACTATATAATTTCAACACAGTGCAAAAGAAAAAGGATGAGTCTCAAGGCGCCCTCGCCGCACTAGCTGCTTTTATTGAAGAAAGCCCCCTGGCCATATCTGTCACCAACTTTGTGTGTCTCGACGACAAATGAGTGCTGCGAAAACGCGCAATGTAAGCTCGCTAACTATAGCACGCACAAACAACCCCTCCCTTTTTCCCACTTTGCGCTGTAAATTCGAAAATTTTCTCTACCACCCCCTGGCCCGTTTGCCACCCCCAAAATCAAATCATGATCACACGTAATGCCCGCCATTGGCCAGATACTATCACGTGAATAAAGTTATTTGCACGTGCGTATTGTCCAGGGTACCCCCGTGGCCATTTGCAGCCACTTTCCTGCTGGCGTTGGTCGATTCGAATGGCTGTTGATAGCTGTTTTTGCTGTGCTTGGCTCGGCTTGCGTCGTTGCACCCCGCTAGTCCCGCTCACTGACTGCCTTTCTCTTCAGTGGAACGCAAGCTGAGGCAAGCTTAAACAGAGAGGAGAGAGCCGAGTGGGCGCGGCTTGGCCTGTCTGGCCTGCGTCTGGACAAAAATGGCGCTGTGAAAATTTTTTTGAGAGCCTAATTTGTGGAGCCTTTCTTTTTATATTCGGGTTAGACAGTTATTTTTTGGCTGGCAAAATTGCAATGGCTCGGGCAAAGAAGAAAAAAAATAAGCGATGGGAGTATTTTTTTCGTTTGAACGAAGGAAGGGCGGAGCGTAGAGCCTTAAGAGTAGTCTGATTCAAGTAGCCTGCCAACAGAAACCTCCTTTTTCCACTTCTCTTGTACCGACCCTTTTATAAATTTAAATAGTCAATTAAGAAGGTAAAAAAAGCAATATTTTTTAGGCCAGTCTCTTGCCCTTTGTTATCCCACCGTTCAAATGGTGGAAGGGCAACAGACAACTATTGTGAAAATTTTACTATGTTTTTCATGATTTGAGACCCGGCAACCACCAATTCAAGGCGGACAGCGACGACAACGACGACAGCAGCAACATTAGAATTAATGGCGACAGTGCTAGCGGCCGCAGCTGCAACAGCAAGAGAGGCAAACATAGAGTAGACGCATATTAATTGGCCTGTTGATTTGGAAGCCACTCGCTCGATTGGAAGAGCAACTTTTGAATTGCTGCAATTTGGGATCCGTTATTGTTTTAGCACAAAATAATTGAGGCGGGCAGCTTGCAAAGCTTGTAGCAGCTGGGTACCGGTGTGCTTTTTGTTTGCATTGCAAGATCGGCATACGAGCAAGACACTAGCCCTGGTTGTTTTTCTGCTGAGCAGACCAAGTAGAGCGACGGGCAACTACTAGCAACAGAAGCAGCAGTCGGTTTATTTCGGTGGTTGTGGTCGTCGACTAGCGCTTAAAATCAGGCCGGGGGTCCGCTGGCCGTTTGATCTGCCAATGACATGTAACATGGATGTCGAAAGCACTTATGAAACACTTGCATTAACAAACAACACTTTTTTATCCAATGTTTTTACCACCGTAGTATTAGCCATGCCTCACTCGTTCGGTTATCGCGCCCGTACCAGGTACATGTTCGCCCGGAACTTCCGGGAGCATGGTCCTCTCCACCTCTCGACCTACCTGAAGGTCTACAAGGTCGGAGATATCGTTGACGTCAAGGGTAACGGTGCCGTCCAGAAGGGTCTGCCCCACAAGTTCTACCACGGTAAGACCGGTGTTGTCTACAACGTCACCAAGTCCGCCGTCGGTGTGATTATCCACAAGCGTGTCGGTAACCGCTACATGGAGAAGCGCATCAACATCCGCATTGAGCACGTCCAGCACTCCAAGTGCCGTGACGACTTCCTGCGTCGCGTCAAGGAGAACGCCGCCGCTGCCAAGGCCGCTCACGCTGAGGGCAAGCGCATCTCCCTGAAGCGCAAGCCCGCCCAGCCCCGTGAGGCCCGCTTTGTCTCCATCCAGAACAACATCCCCACCACGATCTCTGCCATCCCCTACGACAGTAAGTACCAACCACCATTGTCATTATTATTGCTGCCATTGGGAACAGCACCCTTTAGTGCAATCAACACAAACATGCTCTTTGAATGTTTTACTAACTATTTTATTACTTTTCTGATGCCCTCTGTGTTTCTTATTTTTTTCTGTAGCCCTTATCTAAGTGTGTTTCAGCACCTGGCCTGTTCTGCAAAGTATTACTTTTGTGCATTTGTCGCACAGCGATGTTGCATGGTTTTTCTTTGAATACAATTACCATCACTAAACAAATATTGACTCTTGCCTTTTGGAAAGAAATTAATAACCTCCACTCATGCACACACGTATGACATTGTAAAAGATTGAGATATTAACATGTCGATTTGATTTCATACTAGTAAAAATAAAAATTTTATCATGAAAATATGTGGCGCGGGCCAATTGCCCAATTTTTTTTTGCTGCTGACCAAATATTTTCAAATTTTGGCTGATCCAGATCACTTTTATTTTTCTTTCCTGCTTCTTAATTTGCAGCCCAACTTAGCATGACCATCGAGATGAGGGTTTTCATCATGATTCTTGCTTCAAGTACTGTCTTAATGACCTTGTTCAACCGCATTAATTCAAAAGAGGGTGAGTGGAAGGAATAAACAAGAAGCCATACTGCCTGCTTCTTTTCTCCTCTTGTGATTTAGTTTTCTCTTTCGTTTTAGTATACCTTCTGTACTACACTTATATTTTTGGTATCTGCACCCTATTATACGTACTTTAAACACAATCTATATTCGAGGGCTCTCGGTTTGACAGACATACTGACAGGCAGATAGATATAGAGACAGACAGTTGGATGGCGTCAACAGCAGCAGCAGCAAAGGCGCCGACAGACGTCCAAAAACCCCGCAAAAAGCACGTCCCAGCGGCTGTTGAGAGGCATGTCGAGCCCTGGCTGCACTTTGTTGCTGGAGGACTCGGTGGCATGGTAGGCGCTATTGCCACCTCTCCACTCGACGTACTGCGCACTCGACAGCAGCTCTACGGAATCAGCACAGCACAAAAACTCACAGGACGGCCGAAAAACATTGCACTCCGCGCCGTATACCCCTTTGTAACAACAGCGCGATATCTGAAGGATTTGTGCGTAAAGGAGGGCGTGCGGGGATGGTTCGCCGGGCTTGGACCGTCCCTGGTGGGGATTATCCCGGCTAGAGCAATACAGTTTTTCACATATGGTAATGGAAAGCGGTTCCTGGCCCAGCATAATGGCGGTAAAGAGACACCGTTGATTCAATTGTCGGCAGCCGCAATTGCCTCTATGGTCACAACCACGGCCACCAGCCCCATATGGATGGTCAAGACACGGATACAACTTCTTCCGAACAAATACGAGAGCAGCCTGGCATGCTTCCGCTCCATTGTACAAAAGGAGGGTCTGCGCGGGCTGTACAAGGGCACTAGCGCCGCGTATCTGGGTGCCTCGGAGAGCGCGATCCAGTGGATGATATACGAGCAGCTCAAGCGTGCGATGAGCAAACGACAGGGCGCTGGCGGAGATAGCAGCGACGGCAAGACCATGCACGACTGGTTTGAGTACTTTGGCTCTGCAGCGTTGGCCAAACTGCTGGCATCGATGGTTTCGTATCCGCACGAGGTACTAAGAACTAGATTGCGGCAGCCACCGGACGATAAGGGCGTGGTCAAGTATCGTGGGCTGGTTAATTCGGCCAAAATCATTCTCGCCGAAGAGGGCACCCGCGGATTCTACGGCGGCCTAACACCGCACCTCTTGCGCACAGTGCCTAATGCATCAATTATGTTTTTGTCGTATGAGCTTGTGCTGTATTATTTTGGCACTCCCCAGACAAAGAATCACTAAATACACTTACACATTTGTGTATCTTTGTTAACTTGTTAACTTGCTTATTTAAATGTTTGGATTCCATACATGGTATGTATGTATATCATGTCAAAATGTACTTGTATATTGGAATGATTTTTGGCCTACTTGGAAGTCCGCATAAACTCGACCATGCACGCCGAGTATCTGATGAGTCCGTCGACCGTGTTCCATTGGGACTTGCACTCCTTGCGCAGCGTCTTCAGCAGCGGCTCGATCTCGGCCGAGTTTTCCTTGATGATGTCCGCAAAGACGCTGAGGAAGACCTGGAGGTACGCCTGCACCAGCTCAAAGTCACGCTTCGACTGCAGCTGGGCAGTGGACGCCCGAATAAACGCCTTGACAGCCTTGAGGTTGTCGTTCAGTGGCAGCGTGCGGATCTCCAGATCAATTGCTGATGGGTTGAGCTTCTTGAGGTACTCGAACACGGCGTTGAACGCCATTGTCTCCTGGGCACGGTAGAGTGCACGGGCCAGACCGGACTGCGCTGACACGGTGGAGATCTTGGTGCGATCCACCGGCTTCTGCTCAGCACCGTCATCTGTCTTAGCCTCAAGATCGAAGCGAGGGGCGAGGCCCTCAACTGTGGGCAGGAAGAACGGCGCGAGCTCGGGCGCCTTGGGTGCGCGCTCGGGTGCGTTGCGCTTCTTGATCGTTGCCAGGCTTAGCAGCGTCTGCCACTTAGACTTGGGTAGGCTTGACAGCGTCACCATGTTGTCGGTGAGCTGCTCGGGATGTACGTAAACACCAGCCTCGGCGCTCTCGTCGGCAGCTGCGGCATCTCCAGACTGCTCAACGTCCTCATCGTTGGCAAATCCTGCTGACGTGGGCATGGCGACAAAGTTGGCGCCCGAGGTGGCCTCGTCGTCTTCGATAGTGTTGGGGTTTATTTGGCGCAAAGTGACCTCGGTGAACTGAGTGCGGTTGGCCCACAGATAGATTCCCACACTGTCCATATGAGCGGTGGCCAAAAAGTCGCCCGTTGGCGAGAACGTCAACGACACAGGCACGCTCTCGACGCAGAACCAGTCAATCATATGGCCAGTGGGAAGATCCCACGTGCGGATAGTGCTGTCGAGCGAGGCAGTGACAATCCACCGGCCGTCGTTGCTGAAAGTCAGATCGGTGATGCGGTTGCGGTGGCCGGCAAACTTGCGCACCACGCGCTGTGACTCAGAGTCCACCACGCGCACGCAAGCGTCGTCGCACACGCACGCAAGCAGGCCGCTCTCGCGGTGCAGAACCAGACGAGACGGCGGCGACTGTAGATCAACGCAGTGTTGCTGCTGACCCGTGGAGAATTCCCAGATACGCAGCGTGCCATCCAGAGAGGTCGAGTACACCTGGCGGTTGCACGCGTCTGTCTGAATGCCGGTGACAGGCTTGCTGTGGCCGGCAAAGGTGCGGCGCGTCAATCCGGACTGCATGTTGATCATCACGATGCTACCCGAGGCAAGACCGAGGAAGCCAAAGTTTCCGCATGCGCTGATAGCGACTGACTTGATCATGGACGAGTCCGGCGACTGAACCGTGTACTTGCCCAGCGCCTTGCGCTCCGTCGACCATGTGTGTGCGTCTTTGCTGCCCTGGTGGCAGGTAATCACATCATCCCAGTCCCTGGTCATGGCCGGGTTAGACGCAAACTGCGTGACCTGTGGCAGGCGCAGCTGACTAATCTTGATGTTCCGTGTGCGCGCCTCATGGGCCAGCGATCCTTGGGACATCTCGACACTCTGCGAGTCGCGGATCACTGAGAACAGCCGCAGCGCGCGGTCGCGACCGGCGCTCAGAATATTGAACCCTTGCTCATCGTGGTACCTGATTAACTGCGGCGCAGAGAAATGGCCGCTGCGGTGACGCAGAAGACGGGGAACGCCGTCTTGGCCGTCAAAGAGCCAGTGCTTGATCGAGTTGTCGGCGCTTGATGTCACCAGCATCGGCTGCCCGGTGAGGAAGTCAATCGATGGGATCGAACTGTCGTGTGCGCCCTGCAGCACGTGCAGAAGGCGCTTGTTGTTGAGGTCCCATAGGGCCACATCGCCCTCGGCGTTGGCAGTGGCCATCATTGGCACGTCGTCCGTGCGGAATGAGACTGCAGTGACACGGCCCTCCTGGCTAAGCTGCATGACCGCGCGATCCTGCTTGACATTGTGCAAGAGCACGCGCCCATCGAGCAGGCCCAAAGCCAAAACATCAATGACCGGCGTCTGAGCCATGCATGAGATGCCGCTGCCAAAGCTCTTGAATTCGTACAGGCACCGGCGAGTCTGGATATTCCACACCTGCATGGTTCCCTGGGCGCTTCCAATGACAACCTTGTTCACATATGTGCTCGGGTGCACTATAGACGTCACCTGGAACGACTCGCTTTGGAACTCGATCTCGGTAAATAGCTCCCGGGTGTCCTTGTTCCAAATGACCACTGTGTTGTCCTCGCTGATCGCCATGATGTGGTCGCCAAACTGCATCAAGTTGCTGATCTCGCCGCGGTTCACAGCCTCCAGATCACACACCTTTTTTCCGCGGCGGCAGACCGTCACCTGGCCGCCCGAAGACGCAAAAGTCTCGTCGCCGATCGAGATGACCGATGTGATATCGGCGGCAAAGTGCGGGCCTACGAACAGCAGGGTAATTTTGTCCGCATCGTACACATGGAATGACCGTCCAATACCAGTTGTAATGAACGCCGATTGGCCCCGGTACTGGATAGAGTGCGGTATGTTGCTGGTAATATAGCCAATGGCTCTGTACGGATCAAACAGACGGCTCCCCGCCGGCTTTTGCTGCTGCTTCGTGGCTGCGCTTTCGGTACGCAGCTTCTTTTCGGTAAGACCTGCCATGGCTGTTTCTAATTGTTTTTTGTTTGCTCAACCTAATTGAATTTTGAGAGAGCGAAAGTGGAAATAAAGTTTGTACAATGAAAGTAGCAATACAAAAATTACAAAGTTTGTCAAGTGCAGTTTTTCTTCTTGAATATTGGAATTGTTACTTGAGCAGCAGCTTTTTTCTCTTTGGGTGTGCAGTTTCGAAAAATACGACTGCTGAAGAAAAAAAAGATGTCTGATCTGATCAAGTTATTGATCCGATGATTATTGTTGATCATCGCTGCCTACTTTGTGTTGAGCTGGCCAAATATTGAAATGTTGTCAACAAAAGCCCAGATGATCGAGTGTGTTTATAGAATTCATAACAAAAAAGACTACAGATGCTATTGGAGTGTTGGTATTACTTGCTTTAGTCCCCACATTGGTGTAAATGTAACCAGCAATTCAATGCGCAAACTTTGAATGTCCCTTATTCCTCTTACTGAAGTCCTATTCAGCTGGCAATCAAACTGCCGTGTGAATAGCTACTTGTATATTGTTTTCTGGTTGAAAAACAAGAATATACTATAAAATAACAAAAAAGTCGTTGCACTGGTTGATAATTAAATTACATTTTTTAGCTGGTTCGTGTTCTTGGTCAAGGCATGCGCATGGCTGGCCAGTAAGTTCTAGAACGCATGTTTGTTGTTTTGTCCAAGTATGAATATACTCGCAGTGGCTTGTAATAAAGCTTCAGCCATATCTTATTCACACATTGAATTGACATCAGACAAAGGAGACGTTACCGATGGTTTGGCATTGGCAACAATAATATATTAGACCGCCATTTTTTAGTTGTAGAAATTGAAATTCTAAATAATTGCGTGTGCGCTTTGATTGTGATATTTGCTTTCTGATTTTTTGTTTAGTCACCTGAACTATAAGCTTTCGATAGAGAAATGACTATCCATTGATGCAAAGGATTGGTCATACAATGCTTGCGTTGTAAAAAAGGCACCAAAATTGACATTGTTCGGATTGCAGATAATGCAAATATCGATCGTTTGTTTTGCTCACACACAAAAATGTAAAACAAAGTTCATTGCAACAATCGCGCTTAGCTTCTTATTTGCTTTCTCTTCAAGCAAAATAGCATATTCTGGTGCAAATGAAAAATGAAAGACAATTGCAATGCAATATGTCCCTCGTATCCCTCTTTAGCTCTTGTCCTTTAAACGTGATTTGCATATTAGCAAACTTGAGCACTAGCAAGCAACAACAATAACAATATATTGTTATTCATTGCCTCGAAAGGGGGCGGCTCGAATTAGTAACAATCAATTAAATGATTTTCTGGCAGTTCGAATTGCGTTAAGAATATTGTACACAAGCTTGTTTCAAACTTTAATCGCCCCCCAAATGGCCTGCAATTCTGCTTGCTTGCTTTACTTGCATTCAATCAGTTGCCAAATGGGGTGCTCGAATAAACAATTGACTGGGCTTCACAGTAACCATGATATTCTGCAAAAGACCATTTAAATTGTTTTACTATGTAAAAGGAAACCATGTAACCGTTTAAATATCGGTCTGGTCTGCAGTTTAATTAACTGCTATGCGCCCCATTTGCTAACACATTTTTGTTCACTGGCTCCCTTTTGCTACTGCGAGCTTTATAAAGCCAATTGAGCCTAATTGCGTTTTCCATCCTATCACGTTTTATTCTGTATTCTTTCTCATCTTGCCATTTCACCCCTCTTCCTCCTTATTCTCCCTCTTCTCCTTCTGTCTCCTACGCACATACGCCCATTTTTATTTTACGCAAACCGTCTTTGTTGTTTAACTGGCCGCCTGTATTCCAAAAAATAAAAAGTTATATTATTGGATGCTAGACGCTACCACTTTACATTGCATGATTATTCTCGCAGACCGGACATAACTAAAACAAACTTACGAACAATATATACCGATAATTTAATTTACGTTTGGTTTTTTTACTGCCAATACCAACAAATTATATACTGGAATATCGCATCCGATATTTATTTCCGGGTCCTTTCTTCTGAAGTCCCAGTTTCAATAAAACAAACTCCTCCCGCCGGCTATTCCATCTTTTGACAAACTTTTTCACATTTTCATTTACCTCATGCACTCTTATCTACCGCTTATTTTTCTCTTCTAATGCCTCAAACACTATAATATTCTGCATATTTAAATATTCAATATTCTTTCCCTTTTATTCGTAGCATCCACTCCATATATCACTTCATATACCACTTTTAACGCCCTCATTCCCTTTCTTCAATTTTTAATTTTCCCAGACGCCTCTTCCACATCACCCAATTATTTTATACATCTTAATGACTATGACAAACCAAGACGAGTTGCAGACGCTCACGCGTACGCTCTGTCACACCCCGCACCGAGCTGTTCTTTTAAAAAATGCGTTCCAATTCCACTCTGACTTGGCTGGACGCAGAACCAACGGCTCTACGGTCACAGACCGCACATTGTTTTCGGTGTGCGAGCCACGCACGCGCGTCGATGTTCTGCAGCCACCCAACGACCCGTTTATCTTGGACAACATTTTCAAATCACAAAAAAGCAAGCGTCGCGGTCTTTTATCGTGGAACCCAATGCCGTCGACGGATACCTCGGGCCATATGGAGAGACCTGGAGGCTTGGCGCCCATGTGGGACTTTTCAAGGCAAATTCGCGCGCGAAACAGACGACGTAGCATCCTGGGTAACAAGGTTAGCTTTACGTCTATGCGTCGGCGGCGCCAAAAATCGGATGCTAGCAACTGCAGCGGTGGCAGTGTTGTGGGCGACCATACGCGCAGCATCAGTGACCCGGCAAGGGTCAGCCTTGTAGTATCCCCAGCAGTGCTGGAGACACCTAGCGCCCTGCGCTCATCCTTTTCTGTGTCCTCCACTTCTTTGAATGACGGTTCGACCACCGAGGAGGATTATGACGGGTCATCAGGCGCATCCTCACCGAGGTCTTTGCCCTCGTCAACCGCCACGATAAGCGGTCCGCCACACCTAACACCGCCACCAGCCACCGCGTACCGGCGTCTGGAACCATTCCCAAAGCTTCGGCATAACTCGAATATAATGGATTTTGATTTCAGGCTCTCGGACATGTTTTCCAACGAGGCCCTGTTTAATGAAGACAAAGGCCGCTTCAGCTTGGGCATTGCACTGAGCCACACTGCAACCATCCCCAGCCGGCCGACCAAATCACCATACACCCCCGCTTGCATCCATCCGGTGGCGAGTGGGCACGTAGAAGTCCAACGGCCGGAGCCAGTTTTTCTTCGCACAATCGACAGCCGCCTGCGCTCCCAGCGGTGCTTCTCGATGCCGTGTGCGCCACCCAAGCCGGGTTTTCTCCTCAGCAAGAGGAAGACAGCGTCGCAGCTAATTATTGGGCACAGGCTTGATGCCACTCCCGTATTCATGATGCAGGTTACATCGTGTGGGATGACTTCTCCTCCAACTAAAACCAGAAATGCCGAGCTGTCCAAAATCGAGGGACCTGGGCAGTTGCCGCTCCCTTCTACTGCTTCCCTTACAAATACCGCGTCCGTTTCTGCCTCCAATCCAGATATCTCAGGATCCTGCATCAACTCAAGTGGCAATAGCTCTACCGCCACTGCTGCGAGAGGCAGTAACGGCGGCTGGTTCATCCCTGCATCCATCAGGTTATTAAGGAAGCTTGCTGCTTGCGGACCCATGCGGCGCAAGCGACCCTTGGTGACTGGTGATTAAGCAATCTGTAGATTAGTTGATTTTCTATTTCAAACTGAGGCCAAATCGATTTTACTTTGCAAAATTTTTGTTTTGCAAACCAACTTACAAATAAAAAGAGATTGCGTGGACATGCCTCCATTTGCAAAAAATGCATACGCACTGAAGTGCAGCTGGAACGTCTTTTTAACCTGTTTACTCGCCTGCTTCCAGGAACCCGAATAGAATCCGCGATTTTTCCGCTTGCAATTTTGTACCACTTTTCTTGACTGACCAATTCAGATTCTGGGGATTGTGGATTGTGGATCGAGTGGAATTATTTTAAGCCTTGTCTTTGTGCCTTGTGGCCTTTAAGAATACTTGGCATGCCCAGACAAAGACAAAAGGGAAAAGTTCAAAGACAAAATAGCGTTTTTTTTTCTCGCTCTCGATTTTGCCTAGCTTTTATTTTCTATTTCAAGCTCTGGCTTGCCCAAAAAATAGATTTTTTTATTAGCTTGAGGTTTATTCTGTCCCTTTTTTGTCTTGTTGATATTTTCTTTACTATTATTTTTAGCACCCCTTCTTTCTACTCTGTTTATTTCATCATAATATTATTTTCTTTAGCTCACATTCATTGGACGGATGCATTCACAGCTGACAGGAAAAATTTACACTCATAAATAATAACAATGTCACAGTTTGACACAATTGTGCTCGCGGGCTCGTTCGCCTTGAGCTTCTTCATAGGATGGGTGTTTTTGGCCCGTCGAGTGCTCGAGTCGGTCGATGTGTCAACTCCGGTGTCGGGCCCTGCAGAGACGGCCAAGACCAGCCAGCTGAGCAGCGTGATGCTGGAGCCGCTGTCGCTGGACAGCAGCCACAACGTGGACCTTTTTCCACAATCACATCAGCAGCAGCAAGAGGAATTGAAACGCAAGCGGTGGTTTGACGGCCAAAAGGCGCTCGTATACGCCGTATTTTCTTTGGTCTTTGCGCAAGGCAGTGTTCTGTTTGAGCTGGTTATTTTCGAGATTAGCGATGTGCTGAGCAAGGAGGTGCGGTGGTACTACTGGCGCGCGGACCTTGGGTTCTTGCTGTTGACCATTGTCGTTGTGCTACCGCTGTGCCAGGCGTTTGTTCTCTTGTCGAACACGCGGAGGCGAGCGCTGAACCCGCTGTACCGGCGCATCATCTACTCGCTCGTGCTGTGGGCGGTTTTTTTCTATGCGTTCTGGAGCCTGGGAATGTACCTGCCTTTGGACAGCTTCTCGCGTATCCGTGAGGCGACGGGAACCGCCGACATGGTGTCGATTGAGCCGGTGACTGCGCGTGTGGGCGTAGTGGGTGTGGCCCTGATGGCTGTGCTTTCGGGCTTTGGTGCTGTTAACAGCCCGTACCGCCAGCTGTTTGTTTTCGTGCACAAAGTGAGTCCCGTGCAGCTTGAGGGCATGCGGCGGCAGCTGCATTACTCGCTAGGGCTGCTGGCGGATAAGAAAAAAATGCTCGTACGCATGATATCTCTGACTACCAAGCCCGAAGAGGCTGGTAAGGCCAAGGGCGCTCGCAGTGCGGTTGGCGCCTTTATGTCGTCGGCGTGGGGCAGCCTGCTGCATGCGGGTGGCTCTGGGCTGTCGAGGGATCGCGGGCTTGGCGAGCTGCGGCAGGAGATCGATAACCTGGAGCGCGTCACGCAGGAGCTTTTTGCCGATGTCGAGGCAATGTGCCTGGAGCACGACCGCTACGAGGAGTCAAAGACTCTGGCTGGCCGGTCGCGCAATGTGCTGGGCTACTTTTTTGCCATGTTCTGTGTCAGCAAGATTGCGATGACGCTGGGCGGCATCTTGCTCAACCGCGTTGGCCATTCGGACCCTGTCACCAGTGCGTTGACCTTGGCAGCCACTCATGTAAGCCCAGACTTTGATATGGCATTTTGGTCGCAGCAGCTGAGCTTCGCCCTAGTCGGCATCATGGTCATTGGGTCCATCCGCGGACTGCTGATTCAGTTTGCTAAGCTCTTCAACATGCCCTTTTCTAGCATGATCAAGCCCGCCAACATTGTGATGTTCCTTGCGCAAATAATGGGCATGTACTTTGTCTCCTGTGTGCTTATGATGCGCATGTCCTTGCCGCCAAAGTACCGCCCAATGATCTCTGCTGTTCTGCAGACTACTGGGTTTTACTTTTACAAGCGCTGGTTTGACATTATTTTCCTTGTCTCAGTCGTTGCCTCTGCGCTGCTGGTCTTTTTGTCACACCAGGAGCAGAGAGACAAGTACTCGATGCTTGGCCGTGACTACTATGACAGCAGGAATTCGGAGGAGTTTTCGGCTGACTCGATCTCTATTGATATACCGGAGAACCCGTTCACGCCATTTTCCTCGCAGCGCACATCGCGATCAACATCCCCGACACAGCTGCCGTCTCTTCTTTCGGGTAATGCCCGTGTACCACCACCATCTGCGTCAGAGACTGCTCGCAGCAAATTACAATGATAACACTAAACACCTTTAGAACAAGTACATATACATTTAATTCTACACAACTAATTTTTCTTTAAATTTTCTTGCTACTTTTAAAAACAAAAATTTTAATATCTTACTTTACATTTAATCGTGATGAGGTGGGGGCGTGCATCCAGGTCTGCAATAAAGCATATTCTGGGCAAGGTGATACAGTTTGTAATTGGTTGTATACTCATTGGCTTTTGGTTTTGTAATTTGAACTTGTATGTTGATTTGCCAAACGGATCCATTATTTCGTCCAAACATACATGGCATTTGCATTTGCGTATCCACTGCGAAAAAATAGACTGTAGCAAATACCCAACCTTCGGGGTAACCTTTGAGATTGTATTTGCGCACTTACCTTTACATTTCATTAAAAGGTAATGCGATCATTCGGCAAAGAGTCAGCAGCAGCCGGGTGCAAAGCCAAGGAGGCACCCTCTTCTGGGGCTACCCCATCCCCGTAGGCAGTGCACGGATTGATTCATTCGCATATTATGGATGTTATAGCCGTCAGTTGTTTAGCACAGAGCGGGACTTCGCCCAGAGAAAATAGATCTGTAGATCCACTTGCTTATATGACGAAGTGTAGACGTTTTTGTCCAGCACGTCAAATTCGAGTTGCTTGCTTATAAGGCGTCTTTTTTTTCGTACTTGCATTTTTATTACTGTACAATGATCGGCATTCCACGTGAAAAATGGACCAATTGACAATCGAATCACTAATTTAATCTGCAGATCATTGACTGTTGCAGCGATGCTGCATGGAAAAACGGCTGCAAAAGGAGCGAGAGGGCGAGGGGAAAAGGACAAAAAAAAAGCAAGAAAAAAAGCAAGAAAAAAAGCAGCTGAAGTCGAGGCAGCCCGCGTTGAACAGAGACGGGCAGGTTTTGTACTCACTTCGCCCTCTTTCCCCCTCTCACATCATCTCACTCTTTGCTCTTTCTATTTTTTTTAACCCTACTTTCATTTTTATACTGTAATTCTTTTTTGAAAAAAGTTTTTAACAAGCAAATTAGTTATTTTTGCTTACTTGTACTTTTTTATTACTCTCCTTCGTTCTCAGCCTACGCTTGCTTCTTGCACGCTTCTTCTATTCTAGCCATCACTCTACCTACTTACTAAATACGCAGCGCTTATCTGCCGGCGACTCTTTGGATATTCAGGCACGCATACGAACACGCTTTGAAACACACCTGTTTTGCGGATATACGCGCGTATAGGCCAACGGAACATTTGGGCACACCTTCGACTTTGCTGGCACTAACTTTTAGCACCCACAGCAACGCCATTCGCTTGGAATTGAGTGTCTTCGGGAACATCGAGGACTTGTTATATCCCCCCGGACCCAACGTATTGCATCGAGAGGTAAGGTTTCATATTTTCCCTCCCCCCTTCGTCAGTTAACGAATTCGGCTATTGAGAATGGCGCAATTTCAACTTGTTTTGTTTACTCGTTTGTTGGGGAAACCGACGAAAGCCATCGGTTGTCTTTATTTTATCCATGGCCTCTCTCTCTCTTTCACTAGCCATTGCGCTCTTTGTAGTGCACTTGTAATCCATCGTGCCTGGCGACTTGGTACTCTCACTACTGGACCGGCCCACCACACACGCACACGCCACAGCTTTTTTTGCTCCGAAAAGGTGTGCGGCACACCCCAGTTATCGTCCGCCCGCCCTAATAGAATCCGCATCTGCATCAACTGTTGATTTGCATTTCTTCGCTCTTTTTTCGACCATTGTTATTTTGCTTTCTTTTGTGGCCATTTTGCAGGTCCCTTGTCACTTGATTCGCGCTGAATTTTTTCTTTTTTCTTTGCCTTTTTAAAAGGGCTGCTCTTGATTCGCACAACAAACAATACCCCTTGCTCGGGTACTCTGCTCGCTGCTCACGCAGTCAGCACGCAGACAGGGCAACACCGGCCACCCGCATCGTCGTTGTCGTTGTCGTCGTCGTTGTCGTTGTCGTTGTCGTTGTCGTTGTCGTTGTCTTTATCATCGAGTCGGCACGATTATCATTATATTTTGTGGCCGCTCGGGTCTTCTGCATCTTGATTTATTTTTATTTCCCCTATTCTCTTTTTTCCCATCCAACATGATCGCTGGACACGCGCTAGAAAAAGAGACAAAACATGACACAGCTAAAGCAACCGCACTTCACTACACACACATACGTATACACGATTGTAGGTGGCCGCAGGTTAGAGGCCGCTCGACAACAAACAAAACACCAAAGGAGGAAAAGGGTAATCCGGATAAAGCCCTTTTATTAGCCGAACCAAACACACACACACACACACACGCACTTTTGCTTCTTTTTTCTTCATCCAAATGGCTGGTGGACGTCGTCGTCGTCGCAACAGCAAGACTGGAAGCATAAAGAGTTCCGGCAGTGATTTGACCGAGGAGGTCTTTCGTGCGCCACCGGTGATGCCCGAGGACTCGGTATCCGTCAATGGCGATGAAATGGAAGCTGAGGACGGGCCGGCCCCCACTGCCGACGGCCGGGGACCACTTGAGCTGATTGGATCCGACGATCCATTTGCCTACGACTCTGAGCTCGAAACACTCAGCAGCGTCTCTTCACACTCGTCGATTTCCAGTTCCAGTGGCTCGGTGCTTGATCACCCGCTGGACCTGGCCGCTGAGGGCAGCGCGCACGGGCACAACCACCACCATAACCACCACCACGAGCATCTTTCTGACACTGAAGAGATGGGTGACCGTGAGGAGATGTCGCTGGAGGACAGCATTTCTGGCGGTAGCAAGGCGCAAAGCGAGCAGCTCGATGCAGCCAAAAGCAACCAAGGTAGAGATGGGTCAGGTGACCATAGGATTTACACGTGCGGATCTCCATTCGGCGCCACCGCAAGCAACAGGGAATCGACGTCAGATAAGGCTGCGTCAGGGAGCCAGACTTCCGATGATGATGAGGGCGGGGGCGAGGGCGACAATGAGGACGAGCACATCCCGAGTGAGCGAATCAGTGCCTGTGGCGGATACTACCTTTCCAAGCCCAGCGCGTCATCCGCGGTGCCCTCGAAGCAGGCGGCTGGCAACACGATTCTTTGTCGGCGGGAGAGCGATGAAGACGAGATGGATGTGAACGAGGACGAGGACAGCCTTGCTGCGTTCCCCAACCTGATTAGCACCGCTCACACGCCCGATGCTGGTAGCAGGAGTCCGCGCACCGATGCGCAGGACGACATGTCTAATGAAATGGATGTGGACTTGGACACTGAGATTGAGCCACCGCGTCTGCCTGAAAATGGTGCTGGCATGGCGGGCAAAGAGCTGGCAGCCATGGATGACGAGGCCGGCGATGCGGCCGACGAGGACAACGGGAACGACGACGAAGAGGATGAGGATGAGAATGAGGAGGGTGAAGACGAGGATGAGGACGTCCTGGCTAACGAGGCGCGTCGTTCCGAGGCACTGGCGGAGCTGACCAGCATCGAGATTGAGTTTGCCAAACTGCGCGAGCGGTTGTATAGCGAGCGCCTTCGGCAGGTGCAAATCGAAGAGGAGCATCTTATTTCAGGGCAGCACTCTGATTTCGAGCGGCACGTTGAAAAGATCACCAGCATCCACAATGCAAAGCTTGAGCGGCTGGAATTTGCACATACCGAGTGGCTCAAGCAGAAGCAAAAGCTGCACGAGTCGTGGCAACAGACAGTCAACTACACGTTCCTGTTCCAGCGGCAGCAGCTACGGAGCCGGATGGCGGATGCCCAGCAGCGGAAGCTCTGGCGGCTACGCGACATGCGGGTACAGGACGACCGGCGCTATGGCGGCAAGGCCTCTGCGCGCTTCGGCGCCAGCGCGTACTCTGTAGACGAGGATGTGGCGCTGATCACGCAGCAGGCCAGCAATATCCAGCAGATCAAGCGCACGCGGCGGTCGGCACAGACAGCCCAAAAGTGTCTGGTGCATATGCGCAAGCAGCGTCTGGCGGTGTCTGGGCTGGCCCCCGAGGAGATGGACGCTGATTACGCGGCCATGCAGCTGCCTGTGTTCCCGCGCGAGCATGCCGGCGGATTTCGCCGCCTGTTTGTGCCGTCGACAGCGCCTGAGCCTGGGGCCGCAGCGGGAAAGAAGCGCAAGGCGCGCCAGCCGCGCCAACCCAAAAAGAAGCAGGCGCTGGATGCTGGTAATGGAACGCCCAAGGCGGTGCTGGGCCTGCCGCGCCTAAGCCAGCGGCAACAGCAACGGCGGCAGCGACAGCAACGGCGGTGCGGCCAAGCAGCCCCCCTCGGTTGTAAAGGCTGTAGTGGATGGCAGCCAGCGGGTGATCAAGCAGGCTGCTGCCAATCAGCAAAAGGCTCTTGGCCGCGTCAACGGTCAGCAGCAGCAACAGTCAGCATTGCATCCGAATAATCGGCCTCTGCCGCCTCCGCCCCTTGCTTTGAAGCAGCAGCAGCAGCCTTCACAGTGGCAGCAACAGCAACTGGCAGCATTGCCTGTAAATAATTATCGTCCGATATTGTCTTCCCTTGCTCAGCCGCAGAGCACTGCGTCGGCGCCGGCAACCGCCGCTGTCGTTGCGTCGCGCAAGGGCGAGCAGCAGCAGCAGCAGGGAACTAATCATGTGACACCAACCAATGGAGCTTCGGCGGTGGTTGCGGTAGCAGCGGCCAGCCCGGCAGCTGGCGGGACAGGAGTAGCAGGCGAGAGCGGTGGCAAGGGCGAAACGGCCAACGGACGCGGGTCGGTTGATATGCACGTGCCTCCTGGGAGCAGCGGTCCTTTGGGTCTCAAGGCCTGAGAGCTGTGGTGGCATCTAGGCGTTCTCCCTCTCCTAAGATGGTTTTACGGCCATTTTGTTCTAATATGAAAACCCTATTTAATGATTTTGGCTCATAGAAAACTGCGAAATGAGGTGTTTAAAGGCCGGGGTTCATCGGGGCTTCACTCTCACACGTTGCATTCATTGTGCAAATAAAAAACTGTACAGAACAAATGCAAGGAAGAGGGGAAGCTGCTGCGCGATTAAAGTCCGTGTGCAGCAGAGCAGCATGTGCGAGACCCGTGTTGGCAAAAAAATGACTGCAAAATGTAACAACGCTCCCCCCCCCCCAGCCCCCGTGTGGGAAAAGAGCTGGTGCGCTTGGCGTTCTTTCACGAACAAGCTCTCTTCGAAAAATTTGCTTTTACAAAGCTTTCTATAGAAGAGAGAAGAGAAAGTATAACCAATTTATCCATTGTATTTTTTTTACTACGGACAACCTTGTGGTAAAAAAGAGGCGAAAAGCGAAAAGCGAAAAGCGAAAAAGAACTTCGGACTTTTAAAGTAATGTGGAAAATTGCTAATAAACGAGGTGTTTGCTTGTTTTTTTTGTGTCAATGAATAAGCTCCTTTTTGAAGTCTCCTTTCTATTTTTGGGCGGCCCTTTTTATTTTTCTCGGCGGAAATCCATCTACCGCTCCATTATTTTTTCTTAATATCTCAAGCCTTCGTGCATGTCTCTCTTCCTCTTTCTTTTTTCTTTATTTTTCTTCACATAATTTTTTAATTTTATCTTTTCAAACTCTCACTTTTTTTCTAGCATCATTATAATGAACAACAACGAAAACTTTAGCCACGGATACGGCGACTACAGCCAGCAGCCGCCCCAGCAGCAGTTCCAGGACTACAACCAGCAACAGCAGTTCCAAGACTACAGCCAGCAGCCGCCTCAGCAGCAGCAGCAAGTCTTCGGCGGTCGCCCCGACGAGTTTAACCACCCGCTCCAGTATGGCCGCCAGTCATCGCAGTATGGCAACGAGTACCCCGCTGAAAAGCAAAACTATAACTACAACGAAGACCAGGGCGAAAACGAGGAGGGCGAGCGCGGCATCAAGGAGTTCTTCACAAAGACCACTGTTGATCCGTACAACCAGGAGCAGACCGAGATTCGTACCGGCCACGTTGTCGGCGCTGCCCTGCTCACTGGTCTGGTCGCCTTTGGTGCCAAGAAGTATATCGATAATAAGAAGGAAAAGCAGAGAATGCAGATGGGCAATGAAATTGGGGGAATGGTACTTTCTACGGTGGTGACCAGAAGAACTCTCCGTATGATTCGCAAATGGCTCCGCAGCAGCAGCAGGGCCCCCCTATGGGTAACCCCTATGGTGCTCAACAGCCCCCGGCTCCCCAGGGTAACCCCTATGGATCTCACATGGCCCTCCTCCCGCAGGCAACCCCTATGGCAACCCCTACTGAAAAAGAGACCACACTTGTGTTGACCCTTTTTCTGCCCTTTCATAACTCTTATTTCAAGTTAACTTTTTTAAGGCCTTTTTGTTTGTTTACTATTTTATTTCAAGCAACAAATTATTTCTGACAGCGTTTCAAAAATCTAACCCCTTTTTTTGCATTGACGCATATTGTCTATTATGCGCCGTTTTCTATTTATAGATATCAGATGAGGACAGCAAATCCCAGCACATGGTTTTTTTGCATGTCCTGTTTGCACATCTCAAGATGCGGACAAATTTTGCAATTTTTATTTACACAATTTGTTAATGACACAGCGAAATCATCTATATTTAAATTAGAAACCCAGAAACATTGCGCTCAAAAACACTTCTAGAAATTTAGCGCAATGTTTGGCTTTTCTCTCTCTCTGTGTTGTCTTTTCTGTACTATAATATTTTTATATATTTTATACACAAGCAAATAAATCTCAAACAATATTTCTTGGTGTTTGTATCCCGCAAGGACATTCACCATTACAATAACAAATCAGGCGAGCAAGCGAGCGGGGAATAAAAATAAAAGTTTGAACTGTTTTGTGTTTTTTTTGCAAACGGAAGCCAAGAAATTCGGTATAGAAGGAAGTTCATGCGGCAAAGGGCAACATGCCAAAGCGTAAATCATTTGAGTGGCAGCTACAATGCTAAAGAAAAGAAAAATAGAAAAATGTTGAGGAATAATGGAAAACAATGAGATGAGGAAGGGTATCCTAATAATTATTGTATTTTCTTTCTACAAACTTTGTGTTGAGAATACGTTGGCTATTTTAAACGCATTTACATTAACATGAGGAATATTTACCATTTTCTTGTCCGAGAGAAATTTTTGGGCTGTCCAGATTTTTATAAATTGAAATATCCAGCCAAGTCATTTTATATACATTTTCTTTTTTGAAATACTTTATTATTTACTGTTTTTACATCCATTAACTTCAAAACTCTCAATATACACAAAGCTACTCTATCGACTTTATTTTTTTTACATATTGTTGGCTGAAACATGTCTTTTTATGATCAATACCAGTATGCCGCCGATAACAATGACGATGGCAGCTCGTTTATGAACAAGGCCAAGGGCCTTTTCCGCGATGATGACGGTAGCGTTGACAAATCGCGCGTCGCATTTGCTGGTATTTCCGCCTTTGCTGTAGGTTTGGCTGGCAAGAAAATCCTTGAGCGCTTCAACCCGAGGAGGAGCAGAGCAGATACAACGAGCAAGCCCATCAGTTCTTCAACGCCGACGGCCAGCCCATTGGCCAGCTGCACGACGCCAACGGTGAGCTCATTGAGCAGGACCTGTACGATGCCAACGGTGAGCCCGTCGAAGAGGACACTTTGGACAAGCTGCGCAACTACTTCCGCGACGAGGACGGCAGCGTGGACAAGTCGCGTGTGTTCTTTGCGCTCGCCGGCGCTGCACTTGTTGGCTACGCCGGCAAGAAGTTGTACGACCACTTCAACCCAGAGGAGGAGCAAATATGTACAAGCAGGAAAAGCAGCAGTACTACGACGCCGACGGTCAGCCCATTGGCCAGCTCACGACGCCAACGGTGAGCTCATCGAGCAGGACCTGTACAATGCCAACGGCGAGCCCGTCGAAGAGATACATTGACAAGCTGCGCAACTACTTCCGCGATGAGATGGCAGCATTGACAAATCCCGCGTGTTCTTTGCGCTCGCCGGCGCTGCACTTGTTGGCTACGCTGGCAAGAAGCTGTACGACCACTTCAATCCAGAGGAGGAGCAGAACAAGTACGAGCAGGAGAAGCAGCAGTACTACGATGCCGATGGCCGTCCCATCCGCCAGCTGCACGACGCGAACGGTGACTTGATTGAGCAGGATCTGTACGATGCCAACGGTGAGCCTGTCGAAGAGGACACTTTGGACAAGCTGCGCAACTACTTCCGCGACGAGGACGGCAGCGTGGACAAGTCGCGTGTGTTCCTTTCTCTTGCCGGTGCCGCCCTCGTTGGTTACGCCGGCAAGAAGGTATTTGACCACTTCAACCCCGAGGAGGAGAAGAGCAAGTACGATGACGAAAGCAGCAGTACTACGACGCCAACGGTCGTCCCATCCGCCAGCTGCACGACGCCAACGGCGAGCTCATCGAGCAGGATCTGTATGATGCTAACGGCGAGCCCGTTGAGGAGGACACTCTAGACAAGCTGCGCAACTACTTCCGCGATGAGGACGGCAGTGTGGACAAGTCGCGTGTGTTCTTTGCGCTCGCCGGCGCTGCACTTGTTGGCTATGCCGGCAAGAAGCTGTACGACCACTTCAATCCAGAGGAGGAGCAGAACAAGTACGAGCAGGAGAAGCAGCAGTACTATGACGCCGATGGCCGTCCCATCCGCCAGCTCACGACGCCAACGGTGAGCTCATCGAGCAAGACCTGTACGATGCCAACGGCGAGCCTGTCGAAGAGAATACAATTGACAAGCTGCGCAACTACTTCCGCGATGATGATGGCAGCATTGACAAGTCGCGCGTGCTATTTGCGCTTGCCGGCACTGTTCTTGTTGGATACCTGGCAAGAGGATCTACCGCCATTTTAACCCAGAGGAAATGCAAGGCTCGTATGAGCAGGAGAAGCAGCAGTACTACGATGCCGATGGCCGCCCATCCGCCAGCTCACGACGCGAACGGCGACTTGATTGAGCAGGATCTGTACGATGCCAACGGTGAGCCCGTTGAAGAGGACACTTTGGACAAGCTGCGCAACTACTTCCGCGACGAGGACGGAGTGTGGACAAGTCGCGTGTGTTCCTTTCTCTTGCCGGTGCCGCGCTCGTTGGTTACGCCGGCAAGAAGGTATTTGACCACTTCAACCCCGAGGAGGAGAAGAGCAAGTACGATGACGAAAAGCACAGTACTATGACGCTAACGGTCGTCCCATTCGCCAGCTGCACGACGCCAACGGCGAGCTCATCGAGCAGGATCTGTATGATGCTAACGGCGAGCCCGTCGAAGAGGACACTTTGGACAAGCTGCGCAACTACTTCCGCGACGAGGATGGCAGTGTGGACAAGTCGCGCGTGTTCTTTGCGCTCGCCGGCGCTGCACTTGTTGGCTACGCCGGCAAGAAGCTGTACGACCACTTCAATCCAGAGAGGAGCAGAACAAGTACGAGCAGGAGAAGCAGCAGTACTACGATGCCAACGGCCGTCCAATTCCGCCAGCTCCACGACGCCAACGGTGAGCTCATCGAGCAAGACCTGTACGATGCCAACGGCGAGCCGTCGAAGAGAATACAATTGACAAGCTGCGCAACTACTTCCGCGATGATGATGGCAGCATTGACAAGTCGCGCGTGCTATTTGCGCTTGCCGGCACTGTTCTTGTTGGATACCTGGGCAAGAGGATCTACCGCCATTTTAACCCAGAGGAAATGCAAGGCTCGTATGAGCAGGAGAAGCAGCAGTACTACGATGCCGATGGCCGTCCCATCCGCCAGCTTCACGACGCGAACGGTGACTTGATTGAGCAGGATCTGTACGATGCCAATGGCGAGCCTGTCGAAGAGGACACTTTGGACAAGCTGCGCAACTACTTCCGCGACGAGGACGGCAGCGTGGACAAGTCGCGTGTGTTCCTTGCTCTTGCCGGTGCCGCGCTCGTTGGCTACGCCGGCAAGAAGTATTTGACCACTTCAACCCTGAGGAGGAGAAGAGCAAGTACGATGACGAGAAGCAACAGTACTACGATGCCAACGGTCAGCCCATTGACCAGCTGCACGACGCCAACGGCGAGCTCATCGAGCAGGATCTGTATGATGCCAACGGTGAGCCCGTCGAAGAGGACACTTTGGACAAGCTGCGCAACTACTTCCGCGACGAGGATGGCAGTGTGGACAAGTCGCGCGTGTTCTTTGCGCTCGCCGGCGCTGCACTTGTTGGCTACGCCGGCAAGAAGCTGTACGACCACTTTAACCCTGAAGAGGAGCAGAACAAGTACGATCAGGAGAAGCAGCAGTACTACGATGCCGATGGCCGCCCATCCGTCAGCTCCACGACGCCAACGGTGAGCTCATCGAGCAGGACCTGTACGATGCCAACGGCGAGCCTGTCGAGGAGGATACGATTGACAAGCTGCGCAACTACTTCCGCGATGATGACGGCAGTATTGACAAATCCCGTGTGTTCTTTGCGCTCGCTGGCGCTGCTCTAGTAGGATACATGGGCAAGCAGATCTATGACCACTATAACGAGGAGGAAGAGTCGGTGGAGCAGAGTCAGGCTATTCAGCAGCAGGCACAGTACTATGACGCCGACGGTCAGCCTATTTACGAGCTGTATGATGCCAATGGAAATCTTGTCGATCAGATTATATATAAAGCCGACGGCGAGCCCGTTGAAGAGGACACTTTGGACAAGCTGAGGAACTTTTTCCGTGATGACGACGGCAGCGTGGACAAGTCGCGTACTTTCTTTGCTTTTGCAGGTGCCGCTGCTGCCGGCTTTGCGGGCAAAAAACTTTACAACCGGTTCAGCAGATAATCAGGCTTCTGACAGCTCCACAGCACTAATTTTCTGATAATGCGCTGGTTTTCTTTCATTTACAATAATATATTGTCCAATTTATATTTGTGTAAAAATTCTTTTATTCAGCAACTCTGATTGGCTATACTTTGCAAATAGCAGGTATGATTATAATATGATGCTGCATTTTATATCTAATTTATTTATAAACAATTAAACATAAAAGCAAAGCTGGGTTATCAGCAGGCATATAGTTGACTTTTATTTATTGACCCGCACAAATTCAAATACTCCTTAAATATTTTGTGATTTGCTTTGCGTTAGCTTAACATTACTTTTGAAAAGTATACTTGTTAGTGTATTTAAACAAAACATAGATAATGGCTGCACATTATCATATGCCGTGCTCAATCTGACATTGCAAAATGCTTTTTTATTTGAAATTGACCAGCATGTGAGCGGCCACATAATGATGGGCGTGGAAACGGTCGTGTCTGCTAAACTAAAACGCCATTGTTGTCATTAAACTAGGCGTGTGTATTTTTCAGACAATTAAAATAGATAGCGTGACTTTAAAACGGCAGCGCCTCAACTTTTATTTGCATTGTATCATGATACAAACAATAATAATGTTTAAATGAACAACCAGCCAGCCGACCATTACGCCCTCCTTTCATCCTTGCTCCCCAGATCTGCTTATGTTTGTATTTATATCACGCGGAAGCACCATGAAACATATGATGCTTTCATATTCGCTCAAGTATAAATTGCCCTTTCTAAACACCTGATATTTAGTACATCTATTTTTTTAAAAAAATATTTCACATGGCACCAGCTTTTTGCCATCCATTATTGCATTTTTATTCAAGCCCTTTTAATGGCTGATTAATTGTTTTCGTTGCGTATATAAAACACTTTGGCGTAATAGTCCTAACAGCATATATAAAAGACAGTGCCATTCCCAAATATCTACAATATCGTATTTTAACATCATCATTATTTTATTTCACACTACTGTTTTACATCACCATTAAAAATGTCTTTTGATGTCAGAGATATTCGTGCATTGAATTATTTTGGTGGAAAACTTGATAATGACAAAACCGACGTGGATATAATGGCCTCAAACCTTTCTAGATACGCGTATTCTGCTGGCCTGTTTAGGACTTTTTGCCTTTTGAAGAACTATCGGTATAAGGATGCATGTGGCGGACTAGAATTCCACATAAATACAGTTGGGTCCAAATACAGCCTACAAAAGGATAAAGAGTTGGCCGATGCATATGTCCAATTGAAGGCGTATTTCGAGACATTTGCTTTGGTGGTCCCAGTATAATTTTTTATAAGCGCATTGGTATTGGCCGATTGATTTCGATATACGATTTCAATGTTTGAGTACTTTTATTCAGCGCAGCGTACTATTTTTATCGAACAAAAATTAAAAATGAAACAAATATAAGTTTACACAACCAAAATTTTCGGCATTTCGGATTTTCAGCACTACATGCGTACACACACTCTTTTCACACATGGCTTTGTTGTACATCCGCACGACATACTTGTCAAAACTCAAATATCTCGTCTATAAATAGAACGCAGATGAGGGTACCAAATCCGCGTTAGTATCTGCTGCTGAGATGCGGGAAATCATCATATGATAGGAAATGTTATCCTGGCAGCACAGTCTGAATGCATGTCTCGATGGCAAATGTTGATTGGCTAAGCAGTGCTCTCTTGTGACTTTTTCGCGGAACAGCTTGAAGGCCAATCAGGAACAATACGCAGAATGTAGAGCTTCTGCTCAACTTTTTGCGTTGATTTTTTCTGTTTCAGGAACTCGTGCCTGGCAGATCCAATTTTATTATTGCTGTTGGACCCAACGAAAGTAACTTGCCACTTCGCTATTCTGCCTGGCGCAAAATAGAAAACAATGGGCAAGCAAAGAGAATGAAGAAGAGGAGAAGGAGGAGGGGGTGCGAGATAGGCTTGTCAAAAAGCCTCTGCCACACAAAGTTTCGCTCCTTGGGATATAAGAAGACAAGGCACGCTGCAAATCATCTGAACAGGATTGGAATAGTGTGCATATGGAGCGAAAAGAAAAATAATTGGCCTGGATTTTTATTAATTTTTGTGCCAAATGTGAGCACTATGATACTATGCCAGCTGAGGGAATACAACCAAACAATCAAGCAGTATGCCACTTTTTGAAGGCACAAGGCGTTGGCCGCCAGACTTATATAAACCAGATGTTCAGCCGTTTTTCAGTCTTTTTTCTCATACAATTTCTGTTATCTCACTCGCTTTTTCTTTTCTCAATTATCTTCAAGACAGCCTATTCATTTCCCCAATGTCATACTACAACAACAACAGCAACCAGGAACATCACAACCAGCCCCACCACGGCCAGGGTTTCCACAACCAGCCCCAGGACCAGGAGTTTGGCGAGAGCAACAACTTTGATGAGGATGGTGACCGCTCTTTCAAGAGCAAGGCCAACGAGTACTTCCACGACAGCGATGGCCTTGACAAGTCGCACATTGCCCTTGCTGGTGCCGGTGCTGTTGCCGCTGGCTTTGCCGGAAAGGCGGCCTACAACTACTTCAACAAGGGTGACGAGCACCACGACCAGTACGCTCAGCAGCAGCAGCAGCAGGGACAGGAGCAGCAGCAGCAGCAGTACTTCGATGCTCAGGGCCGCCCCATCTACCAGCTGTACGACTCCAACGGCAAGTTCCTTGACCAGGATCTGTACGACGCCAATGGCCGGCCCGTTGGTCACGGTGCTCTTGCCAAGGTGAAGAACTACTTCCAGGACGAGGATGGTGTTGACAAGTCGCATATTGCCCTTGCTGGCGTCGGCGCTCTTGCCGCCGGCCTCATTGGCAAGAAGCTTTTTGACAAGTACAGCAACAACAACAACTAAATCTATAATGGCTGCAAGCTTGACCTGGATAATTTCTAATCTTATTTTGTGCTAAATGTATTTCGCTTTTTTTCTCTTTTCGCTGCAAACACCACTATTTTGCAATAATAAATCAGGGAAAGTGCGTTTGAATGACAATACAAAATGAAAAAAATACGCGTGATCTCTTGCATCGCTAAAAAAACAGGTTTTCCATCCCTAAAGTATTGCCAATTTTTTTGCTCACGCCTGTGTCTTGCAGCTTAGTGCACTGAAGGACGAGCATTTGCTTATTTATTTGATTTTGTAAGGGATAGGTGGCTGTTGAATTTGTTGCCTTCTGTATAGGAATATAAACACAGCAATTTTGTTATTTCTATTGATACATGTAAATTGTTATCTGTTGTTACATGTTGGTATTGCCATGTCGCTTATTCGAACTTTCTAAAGTTGTTAAACATAACCGAGTAGAACATAGCAACGCTTCGTTTACTTGTTTAAAAATAGGGTTTTGAAATGACTGTTACAACGCATTGCCGACTTGTTCTTTCAATAATCTGGGCAATAAATTTCAAACCTTAATCTGCCAAAGGCCAATACGGAATATCCCAAACATCTCCCGAATGTGTGTTTTTTTTTACTGTGTGGTAATCCTGGTATAAATAGGAGGCAGATGGAGATGAAGAGTTCGCGCCAGTCTTTGCAGCTTCTCACAGTACGCCTGAGTTGCGGATAAGCAAGCACATGGAGGGAAAATATTTCGTGATACAAAAGCCCCGCCCGCAACTTGGACACGCGTATCAATAGGCGAATGTTTTAATTGGGCTGAAATGGCATTCCTGCCCGCATCTATTTTTAGAAAGACAAGTCGCACCCTCAAGCAGACAAATGAAAGTAAAAAAATGAGATGATACAGTCAGGAAATAATGCAATTCACCGAGATTTGCATTGCTTATTTCGTTTGTTATTGCTTTTTTCTATTATTAATTTATGCCCAAGAGTGGCCAATCATTCCTCCCTTGTTCTTCATTGCCAGATAAGATTGTTTTTTATTGTTCGTCTGTGCAAGATGCTCTTGTAAAGCGTAAGTATCAGATGGCCTGCGCCTCCAGTTTCACCTTCATTTTCAGGATCTGTTGCAGAGTTGCTTGCATTCTGTCTGTCATTTTCATTGCAGATGCATTTGCATTGCTTTGACGACGATGAACAACAAATGCAAGGAACTCTAAAGATCTGAAATGAAGACAAATAAGAGGAGAGGGTCGGTGTGGGATATGCCAGCACATACATTCTTATATTTTGGTGATATAATTCAACGAAATTTCGTCTTTTTTACTTGCGACAAGTGATGCGAGCTATGTTGCAAATCATCCGTGCAGCGGGGGCAATAGTGTCAGTGCTGAGGTAAACAGAAAACAATGGAAAATGATCGGGAGATTTTCCATCCATCTTTTTCCATCCAAATTTAGATAGATGCAAATATTCTAATTGTAGCTATTCCCGCAACGAATTTAAACAAGCAAACCAACAAGCAACCAAGCAGCAATATAGTTTTTTTTGAAGAGCCCAAGGAATTGCTCGCTCCTACTGTATATAAACTGAGTATTCTGTCGACTATTTTCTCCTTGCCTTTTACTTTCCTGTTCTACATACAAATTTGTTATTCCTTTCACTTCTTTTCTTTCTCTAAATCACATTGTCACCTCCATCAATATGTCCCACTTCAACAACAACCAGGAGCACCACGGCGAGGATCGCCCCCAGCCTCCCCACGGTCAGTTCAACCAGGACCGTCCCAGCTCCCCCCGCGGCCAGCACCAGGAGCAGCAGTACGGTGACCAGCAGCAGCACGGTGGCCAGCACCAGCAGCAGCACGGTGGTATCGGCCAGACCATCTCGAGCAAGTTCAATAACTTTACCCATGATAGCGATGGCCTTGACAAGTCGCACATTGCTGGAGCTGCTGCTGGCGCTGCCCTTCTCGGTGCCGCTGGTTTCGCTGCTGCCAAGCACTTCAGGGGTGATAACAACCAGAATGACAATGTTGAGGAGCAGGATGGTAACCAGCAGTCCTTCAGTGACAGGATTGGCAACTTTATCCACGATAAGGATGGCCTTGACAAGTCGCACATTGCAGGTGGTATTGCCGGCGCTGCTATCCTTGGCTATGCTGCCAACGCTGCTGTCAAGCACTTCAAGAACAATGATTAATTGTAAATAATTTTTTTACTGTTTTCATTTGAAATTTCTCATTTAAAAAACATTTATTTCTTTTACATTGTTATCGCTATTATTAACTTTTTCTTTAACTTTTTTTAGTGTGGATGGAAAACCCCCCTTTGTTTATTTGCATTGATCCCACGCATAGTCGGCATTCCAAATACAGGTTTATTTATTGGTGTAGTCCCTTTACTGGATATTGTGATTTGCAAAACCAAGCGGAACACAGTCAAATCTGCTCTCATCAGACTTAAAAAAATTATCGGTAGGTCCGTAAGTTGGTTCGCCAGTTGTTCCGACTGGTTTGTACACCAACAACTCTGTAATTCAATTCAATTTTAACATTTTCCAATCAACATAATAACATAACATTAAAAGCGGGGTTTACAAACACATATATGTGGTCCTTTTGACCAGCTCCTCATGGCAATGGCATATGCCAATATTAACGGTCCTTGCAAAATTAAAGATATCCTCCGATCGACCTCTCAAAATACAAGTCCTCAATTTCTCAAAAGCCCTGGTAAAAACAAGCAACTCTCGGAGATTAAGCATTCTCGTAACCACCTCCACCAGGGACTCCAAAGCTGTAGAATCCCACACTCCCGATTCCTTACTCTCCACAGCACCAATCCACACTCTTCTCAGCTCCAAGTTTAAAGCAATCCGGTCACAGGCTATATGATCCTGAGGGCGGGTCAATGTGATTTTAATTTCCTGGAGATTCGGCAGGTGGCTGAGCAAACTGTTGAGGTCTAAGAGACTGATATTCCAGGTTTTCAAATCCAAAACTTGCAAGGTTGGGTGTGGTGGGAAGGAGAGGTTAAGCGCTGTGTAGTGTGGTGACGGAATGTTAATCGCCCAACATCCGAGGTACTTTAGAGAGTGGGCAGAGCGTGCTGTAGCGTTGAGCATGTGTGAGAGTGCAATGTTTGTCGGTTGTTCATTGTAATTTACCAGAGAGAGGTAGTCCAGAGCAGACAGCGTGTGGCCGCGCAACATTAGGTAATCCATGCTTGGCGGGGCGTCGGTCTTGAGGATTCTGAGGTGCGGCATGGAGGACTGCAGTATCTGCTCGGAAAACACCTGGCGATTCTCCGCGGTTAGCTCACCCTGGCCCTGGCTTTCGACGCCCACAGGTGAATGCTCGAAATCAACCCCGTAGCATAGCTCCTCGAGCATAGGGAACGGGGCTAGAGCATCGGCCAAATACTCTATTGGCCGTGCAGTTGGCCCAGGACAAAGCAAAAAGTACAGGCGTTTCAAGCGCGGAAACAAAGACCCACCAGTGATTGTTTTCTGCAATGGCCAGAACAAGCGGCACAGATCAGCGATCTCTGCGCGCCCCAGCGCAAGATACTGCAGCGCCGGCGCCGAGTGCCTCACCAGCCTTGCCATTCCCACGGCACCCAGCCCGGCACCTGCACCCAGGCTAATTGCCGATACAGCGGCACCAGAGGATTCCCCAACAAGTACCGGCAATACACTGCGCAGCTTCGTACCCAGCCCACCGAGCTCAACAAACACACGAACCAATCTAGGAAAGGCCTCCGCCAGTGCGCCATACTCAGACATCGAAATAGGCGATCCCACGCCCATACACAATCCCAAGCACCTTACGCCGCGACGCACCCCAGTGGAAGCCAAAACAAGCCGCGAGCCACACTGCGGAACGCCCGCGAGCCATCCGTAATGCTCACAAGCATGCAGCGCACGAGCGCAAGGTGCTCTGGAACCGCGAGTATCTGGTCTGAAGCGCCATCGTATATGGCGTATTGATGGAACTCTGCCAGTATTGTGCGGCGCCAGTGTTGGTTAACTTGCGTGATTTGGAGTTTGCGATGGTGCCGTATGAGTTGGATCATTGTGGGAAGTGATGGGTGCTGCGCTTGGTGCTGGAGGTAGTCCCGGTGAGTGTCGATTTGTGCAATGCCAGAGGCGTGCTTGAGGATCATCGCGAATAGTTCGGGTGGTAGATGCTCGATTCTGCGCGCTTTGGTGGATGTGGGATGTGGGTTGCGGCTGTGGTTGCGGCTGTGGTTGTGGTTGCTATTGTCTTTGGGCGATGTCGGCGATGTGGCTTTACTTCGGGACGATCCGCGCGTGCTGCAAGAGCGTGTGAGTGTGGACATGCGAGGTCAGAAAGAGATAATTAATCAAGGTGTTATATTGGTATTGAAGCAAATATAATATTAATATTCAGCTTATAAAAAATTAAAGTTAGGCCTAAAGTGAAAGGCAGAAAAGGCTCCTCCCAAAAATGGAATAATGACAACACACATATGCCAGCACAAAACAATGAGGCCTTTCCCAGCTGCCTAATCCGCAGCAAATCAACCATTGACCCAAGTAATCTAATCTAGCCTACCATCTTGGCCAAATCCTCCGGCGGGTACTTTGTCTGAGCAAAGCGCATCAGACGCTTCACCGACTGGATCCACTTCCTCTGAGTCTCATCGTTCAGCACATGTGCGACCTTGTTTGCATTGATATTTTCTCTCGCAGCGCGCGCATGAATTCCAACCTGCGTAACGCCCAACGGCCATGGCGCATTTCCAATCGACAGCTGCAAATATGCATCATTAGCACGCATGTACTCGCGATCCAGCATACACCGAGCAATCTCCGCAATCCTCGCCAAAACATCCAGGGGCACACGACGCACGCGCAAGTCACGAAACAGCGGCTTTAAGTACTCTGCAGCTTGGCGCTGTGTGGCAGCAGCCATTTTGCCCTCAGCCGACCGGCGCTCATCCTCCGGACGGTCGCCCAAATACGCGTCCCACTCGTAAACCAAGCGCTTGAAGTACATGTACAGAAGCGAGTGCAAGCGGTCGGCGTCGGAGCGCAATAGTTCTGGCGAAATATCTGAGACATCGTGGAGCATCAATTGCTCGTACTTGAGCTGCCTATCGGATGGCTCTGGGTGCATCTTCGTGTGAGCACGGAGATCGTCAAGCATGGCGCCGGCTTCGACTTGCGCCAAAGCCCGGCGGAACTCGTTTCGCTGCCCGTCGCTTTTCTCCTCGGAAAGCTCCAGCTGCCGCAGTCGCCGCCGCCGGGCCCCGTCGCTTTCGCCGAATAGCCGGATGGGCTCGCTGCGCGCCCGCAGCCGCTTGATCACTTCTTCTGCCCGGATCATGCTGCTGTCCGCTGCCGAGCTGTCATCTTTGCTGATGCTGCTTGGGTGCGCTGTGGGCTCGGCCGTGGATACCGCCTGTTGCTGGCTGCTGGCGGTAGCAGGGCTGGGCTTGGCTGTGGGCGCTTTGTCCTTGGCCTCTGCTGCTGCTGCTGCTGCGGCCTTGGATAGATCGCCTGCGCGCACATACTTTTTGCGCTTGACGCCGGCGGGTTCGGCGCCAACGGTGTCGCCTTGGGCTGCCGCCGCCTTGTCGTATAGTGACTTGCGCTTCTTCACTTCGGAGCTAATTGCCGCCTTGAGGAAGTCCATTTGCTAATGTTTTTGTGTGGTTGGTGGAAGGGGGAGAGAGGATTACTGAAAGCACATTGAATGTAATAAAGCCGGGGGGAGAGAGAATTACTGAAAGTACATTGAATGTAATAAAGCTGGGGGGAGTAGAAAGAAAAGAAAAGGAGAAAAAGAGGAGAAAAATTAAGGTGTAGCTGATGACTTGAAAAAAAACCAATGTCATGTGACAATGAATAATCTTCAAGCCAGCCACCAGGTCGATAAATGGCTTGGAAAAAGCAGGGGTTTCTTTACTTCCAAGCCATCAATCATTTCTCGGCCAGCTTTTCCATCTTTATAAAATTTTCTACAAGTGATTTCGGGCCACACAATGGAAAAGTACTCCAAGTGGCGCGACGCTGGCACCGGCATCCAGCCGTTCCTGCAGCCAATCCCCGCGCGCACGCAGCAAGCGGGTCTCCAGCGGCTCACCAACGTGGCGAAAAACTACGCTCTCGGGCCGCTCCTTGCGACCACCCGCATTCTCGCCCTCGGGCTCACCGCATCTCTCGACCTTGCAGCGTGCGCCATCGGCTCCCTAATCCCGCCATCCAGGCTCAAGCGGCTCTGGCAGCGGTGCACGCGCAGCGTCTGCGCGCGGCTCGCGCTGCTCATCATGGGCTTCTACACAATTGACACGAAAACCGTCAGCCTGCAAAAGGGCCGGCGCAGCAGCTCCAAGGCCAAGGCCACCGGCGGGCCGCAGTCCGGCGATATCATCCTTGCCAACCACGTGTCCTACACGGATGTCCTGTACTTGGTTGCCCGGTTCAACCCGGTCTTTGTCGAGGTGGACAATGCGTCGATGTATGCGCGGCCGATTAGCCTGTGGGCGGCGCTGCGGGCGCCTGGGCGGCTGACGCCGGCGCTGCTGCCGGCGAAGGACGCGCAGCCGCTGAGCAGAATCACGCAGAATGCGCGCTTGCAGAGCCTGGGTCCCCTGGTGGTGTTCCCAGAGAACGCCACGACCAATGGCCGTGCGCTGCTCCAGCTCTTGCCTGTGTTCGAGGAGGCCGAGAACCAGGACGAGAAGTCTGCGCTGCATCTGATGGCCTTCAAGTACCCGTTTGCGGCCTTCAGCCCTGCGTACTCCGTTGGAAACCAGCTTGTGCACCTGTTTACCTTGTGCTGCCAGGTTTACAATTCAATGGCCGTACGTGTGCTGGAGGATGGGGAGGCGCCGAGGGTTAGGGAGTCCGCGGTGTTCTGTGCGAACGACGTGGAGCCGGTGGATCTGGATGCGGCTGTTGCCGAGAAGCTGGCGCAGTTGTCGCGCCTGAGGATGACTAAGCTGTCGGCGATGGATAAGCGCGACTTCTTGGCCTTTTACTATAAGCGCGCAAAGGGATACCGCAGCATTTGAAAAGACCCTTCTTATAATTCTTTTTGACAAATCAATTTGTAAAAGATAGAACTTTTTTTAGTGTTTTGCTAAACACTATGTTGCACAAAATATGTGCAAATGCTGCCATGCAGCTTGTAACCGCTTTGGCTTTCTGCTCGACGCTTTCTTCCTCTCTTTCTTGCTCTTTTCCTCACAGCTATTTTTATTTCTTGGGTATCTTCACAATGTTGCGTCGTTCCCTGGCCACCACCATCAACCGGAGAGCCGCAGTAATACCAGCAAGAGCAGCACCGGTAGCGCACAGTTGCCGATCGCCATCGCAGCTCTTAGCGCCATTCTCCCACGCTACCCGCACAACCAAAACACCCAACCCACCTCAAGCCCCCTCCTCCTCCTCCTCCTCCACCCACCCACAATTGAAAGCCAAACCCCTCAACACACCGAATGTCCCACCGCTCAACACCGCCAAGCTCCGTCGGAACCTCTCCCCCTCGCAGCTCTACGAAGACGCACTCCGCTACGAGCCCGGCACCTCGATCTCGTCCTCGGGCGCCCTGATCGCCCACTCCGGCAAGAAAACCGGCAGATCCCCGCGCGACAAGCGCATCGTCGAAGAGGCCTCCACCGTCGACGATGTCTGGTGGGGCCCGGTCAACAAGAAGCTCTCCGAAGACTCCTTCTCTGTCAACTACGAGCGCGCCGCCAACTACTTGAATGCCCGCGAGCGGCTCTACGTCTTTGACGGGTTCGCCGGGTGGGATCCCAGGTACAGAATCAAGGTGCGCGTTGTTTGTGCGCGCGCATACCACGCCTTGTTCATGAACAACATGCTGATTCGCCCGACGGAGCAGGAGCTGGCGGAGTTTGGCGAGCCGGACTTCACCATCGTCAATGCTGGCCAGCTCCCGGCTAGCCGGCTCACCGAGGGAATGACCAGCCCGACTAGCGTGGCGATTAGCTTTGAGCGCAAGCAGATGGTGATCCTGGGCACGGAGTACGCCGGCGAGATGAAGAAGGGCGTGTTCACGGTGGTGCACTACTTGATGCCCAAGGCCGGCGCCCTATCCCTGCACTCCTCGTGCAATGAGGGCCCTGACGGCGACGTCTCCTTGTTTTTCGGTCTCTCGGGCACCGGCAAAACCACCCTGTCGGCGGATCCCCAGCGGCTGCTTATCGGCGACGACGAGCATGTGTGGACGGAAACCGGCGTGTTCAATATCGAGGGCGGGTGCTACGCCAAGACCGTGGATTTGTCGGCCGAGAAGGAGCCCGAGATCTTCAACGCGATCCGCTTCGGCGCCGTGCTCGAGAATGTCATTTACGATGAGCGCACGCGCGTCGTCGACTACTCGGACAAGTCCATCACGGAGAACACCCGCTGCGCTTACCCGATCGAGTTCATCCCCAACGCCAAGCTGCCATGCATTGGTGGCAAGCCAAATAACATTGTGCTTTTGACTTGCGACGCCTTTGGTGTGCTGCCCCCGGTGGCTAAGCTGACCCCGGCGCAGGCCATGTACCATTTCATCTCGGGTTACACTGCCAAGATTGCCGGTACTGAGGAGGGCGTCACTGAGCCTGAGGCCACTTTCTCTGCGTGCTTCGGCCAGCCCTTCCTTGTCTGGCACCCGGTCAAGTACGCGCAGATGCTGGCGCAGAAGATGCGGGAGAACAACGTCAACGTCTGGTTGGTCAACACCGGATGGAACGGCGGCGCCTATGGCGTGGGTAAGCGGATTTCGCTCAAGTACTCACGCGCCATCATTGACTCGATCCACTCAGACGAGCTGCAGGGCGCGGAGTACACGAACTATGGCGTTTTCAATTTGCAGATCCCCACGACTGTCGAGGGCGTGCCAAAAAAGGTCTTGGACCCGAAGCGGGCCTGGAAGGGTACCGAGGAGGAGTTCACCGCTACTATTTCTAAGCTTGCAGGTTTGTTCCAGAATAACTTCAAGGAGTACGCTGATCAGGCTACTGCTGATATCATTGCTGCAGGTCCTAGGTGTTAATTTGTTTCTAATTTCATTTATTTCTTATTTTGAACAAAATAGAAAAACAAAAAATATTGAAAATACACATTTTATTAACAGTAGTAATTGGTTCAATGGCATTGTCATTTTGTCCTAAACAGATTATATTATAATGACGAGACTATGTATTCGTTATCTGAAAAATTCAGGATGTTTAATATCAAAAGTCTTTGAACCCTCTGAAAACATTTCGTCCTTTCCTTTCCAATTATTTTCAACCATTTTTCCTTTAACAATTTCATATAATGAATACTGGACAAAAATATCTGTCTCGTTATGATTCAGTTTGAAAGCCGATAATATAGTGTCATTACACAAAGAGTCATGTGGTAGGTTTAATTTAACATCAAAGGCCTTTAAAACAATGTTTTTACCTTTTGTTTTGCAATCAGTTTTTTCAATATGAGCTCTGAGTACAGATATGCTTTTGGACTTGCTTACTTTTGATAATAATAATGAATAATAATGTTCACCAAAAATATGAATGTTTACACAATTCGAGGGTTTATCTTTGACATTTTTGACGACGTCGAATTTTTTTGTGGCTTGCTTCTGTTCCTTTGGCATTTTCATTTTTTTATAAAAATAATTGGCAGGCAAATATATAAAATTAACTGAGAAATACTTAATGTGGAAGATAATTTGTGGATAAAATATTTTAATGTGAATGAGAAGAAAAATGTAGGTGATGGGTTGTGCTTTATTTATACGAATTTGTGTTGTGCAAGTTTCCATTCCATACTTTTATGTACATCTTTTAGCGCTAATCTTTTATTTTCTTTCAGTATATTCCAAAAAAGAAGAAAATATTTATATAAAGAACTGAACAGTTTACTTCCTAGCTAATTAAGTTGCATTTTGCAATGGAAAATAGAAGTAAAGTCAAAGGAATTACTACCATCTATTTGTCGTAGTTGTTCCCCAACATTTAACTATATATTTTTTGGAGTAATTTAAATATTTCTCACTTTTCTCTATTACCAACTCAATTGCTTGATTACGCGCTAATTAGCGCTACCATTTTTTATTCTTCGCTGCATCAAACTAGTCAGCCGCAATAGTTTCTTTAGAAGTTTGAATAATTATTTTTTATTCAGAGAATGAATTTGCTATTTCAGACTATTAAATTTTTTTATGCACTCGGTCTGCTTCGCTATCTTTTCATTCATGCTTGTTAAAACCCGTTTATCAGGCATTGTGTGGATGGCAACTTGCTTTTTATTCATGTTTGCTACTACCGGCGGGCCGATCGCAATCTGCTAACAGAAATCTGACACCGCTATTTTAGCTCCTTCCCCTCACCCTATTGGAGCTTAATTGCTCACCTCTTTTTTTCGTTTTCCTAAACTCTTGACTTTCATTACCATTTTTTTTGAATTTTTTTTCTCAACTCACCACACCCAGTTTAATAAATAAAAAACTTTGAAAAAACGCAATATTTCTTACCATGCTCAACGTTGCCATTGTCGGACCCGGCCTTGTCGGTGGAGCTCTCATCGAGCAACTCATTGCGCACTCCACCTCGCACCGTTTCGCCGCCCTGCCCATCGCCATCGTCGGCCTGCTCAACTCCAAAAAGATGGCTATTTCTCGGAGCCCATTCTCCGCAGCTGATCTCAGCAACTGGAAGACCCAGGTTCTTGGGAGCTCCGCAGTTGTCTCCGACCTCCACTCCTTCACCGAGCAGCTCTCCTCGCTGGAAGGACCCACGGCGGTGATCGACTGCACGTCAAGCGATGCCATCGCCGAACAGTACCCACAGTGGCTGGCCAAGGGCCTCCACGTAGTGACGCCCAACAAGAAGGCATTCTCGAACGACATTTCTCTGTTCCGCAAGATCCAGAAACTGTCGTCGTCGCCACAGGGCCCGTCGGTTTACCATGAGGCCACGGTGGGCGCCGGGCTCCCTGTATTGTCCACGCTAAACGATCTGGTGCGCACGGGCGACGAGATCGTTAAGATTGAGGGTATTTTTTCAGGCACGCTCTCGTACCTGTTCAATAACTTCTCGGCACCTGGTGCTACCGCGTTTTTCTCTGATTGCGTGGCGGTTGCAAAGGCCAGTGGGTACACGGAGCCGGATCCCCGTGATGATCTTAATGGGATGGATGTCGCGCGTAAAGTTACTATTCTTGGGCGCGTCGCTGGGCTGGATATTGGCACGGACACTTTGCCTGTGGAGAACATTGTTCCAGAGGCTTTGCGCTCTGTGGAGACTGCTGATGAGTTTATGCAGAGGTTGCCAGAGTTTGATGCGCATTTCAAGGAGCTCAATGAGCAGGCTTTGGCTGCCGGGTCGGTCCTGCGGTATGTAGGTATGGTGGATGTGAAGGGCGGCAAGAGCGGCGTTAGGCTGGAGAGGTATCCCCTGGAGCACCCGTTTGCAGCGCTGAAGGGGAGTGATAATATTATTGCTTTCACTACTAAGCGCTTCCCTAACCCGCTTATTGTGCAGGGCGCTGGTGCTGGTGCTGCGGTCACTGCTTTTGGTATTTTTGCTGACCTTATCAAGATATCCGAGCGCTTCAACAAATAAAGCGAGTGTAGTGATTTTTTTAGTGCTTTCAAAAATAAAAGTTTTATTTATTGAAAAACAAACAAAAACAAAATAAATGGACAATGCGAATGGATGCATACATGTGAGATAAAAATAAAAAGAGGGTTCATTAAATAAGCAGCAACATTAACGTTTGCGCTTCAGCTGCGGAATGCGAGTCGGGTTCAACGAGTTTGCGACCAAAACCTGCGGCCTGCAAAGAATCCCAGGCGACGTCGTAAATTTCGGCCTAGGGATCATCGACCTTCCGCTTTTTACTGGCGACAACGGCGGCGTAACCGAAATATCTACGAGTAACTCGCGCTTCAAATCCAATTCCGGCAGTTCACTCAGCTTGACGCCTGCCGTAGACCCCTGCGTGCGCGGAACCAGCCCGACGTCCAAATCAAGCCCGACCTCTGACAGCGCATCGAACCATGGAGGAGTCCGGGGTCTCATCGGCACATATTCTGGCTCCAACATCAGAATCTCCGACTCCATCAGGCCGAAATTCCCGTGTATCTGATGCTGCTGTATACGCGGTGTAAATAAGCCCTGGAGACGCCTGACAGTCTTTGGAATCTGCTGGTCATACACCTGGACCATAGGCTTGGGGCGTGGGTTGAGGGGTGTTTGTTGAGTTATGCGAAGACCTGGTGCTTTGGGTTTGGTTGTTGCCCCTAGGGTTTTTTTATTGCTTGGTGTGAGGATGGTTTGGCGGGAGGGGGTTTTGCTTGGGTGTATGGTTGCTTGTGTGGGTTTGTGTGGGAGTCCCAGTGGCTTGTTTGGCCGCGCAATACTGCCGAGTCCGGCATTTTCCTTGTTTTGTGCCGATGCTCCTGCTGTGTTGAATGGCCCAAACATTTACGTTTTTTTTTTTTTAAAAAATGGCTTTGAATTTGATTTATTTAAATGAATTAAAAGACAAAAAAAGAAGAGGGAAGAACTAGAGTGAGAAACTGTCTTTTCTCATATTGCTTTTTTGTTTACCTTAACCTGTAATGTGTATCAAAGACAGACGGAACCCAATGACTATCAATATCGGATCAAATCACCCTTGATCGATAATTTTGGTTTTTTTCTTTCAAAAGGGTCGTATTAACCAATGTTTGGCAAACATTCACTTTGTTTAGAGGTTTGTGCGGATGCAAAGTCCTTTAGTTCTCTTTTTTCTTCTTCTTTTCCATCACATTCTATCTGTTGAATTTACACTAATATATATTTTTCATTTGCCCAACTTGTAAATACTATACATGTCTTCCTCTACACCCATAAAGAACGACATCACGCAAGAGTCGCAAAAGCTGCTCCACGCCGCAGCACTTAACATTGTGGCGCTAATCGACCACGTGCACAAATACGAAGGAACAGAAAGCACCAGCGCTGGATTCTCCGGCGCCAACCTTAAAAGATCAATCAACGAACTCGCCGACGCCATTGACAAAGAAGTCACCCGTTTCCTGATCGCCTGCAAGCCGCCGGCGCTCGAAGTCGAGATCCGCGCGCTAACCCCGAAGATCCTCGCAGGCTTCTTCCAGCTCGTTCAGCATTTCGACCGGATTCCAAAACTCGCAGGTAAAACCTACCTTGACGCCGTGCGCAAGGCGATTTGCCGGTCGCTTGTGGCCATTGCTATGGTGTTTAATTCGTTTATTGAGGAGCCAGTGGAGGTAGATAAGGCAGTGGTGGCGGAGATGTCATATATGGCGTCGTCGGGGATCTTCTGGGAGCACTGCAGGGCACTGGCACAGATTCCCACGGATAACCGGACGGCGGTCGTGGCGGTATGGGCGGAGTCCGTTGGGAGCCTGGTGAAGGACGCGGCAGAGGAGCTAAGCGAATCCCTGCAGGAGGCCGAGGCCGTGGATTCGAAGGACTCAAAGGATAGCGAGTACTCGGACGATAGCATGGATGACTTCGACCCAGAGATCCCCACGCACAGGGCTGCAGAAGGCCGGAAAATCCAGAAGCTGGTTAATGTGGCCAAACACACGTGCGATAAGATTGCACTGAGATGTATCCGGGATTGCGCCCAGCTGGATGATGAGCGCACAGTGTGGCTGGATAGGCTATTGGATTTGGGAAGGCCGGTTCAGAGCTCGGTTGATGAGCTTGTGGCGACTTTGTTTGCCGATGAGGACGTGTGGATGGCGCAAGTTGGAGTGGAGAAGGAGGCATTAACGCGCGCTTTGGGCGAACTGGTCACTTTGGCTATTACCTTTGTGGATGACTCGCATCTACCTTGGTTTGAACTTTGCCGGAAACAGTTGGATGCTGCAAAGCATACCTCCAATGTTGTTCGCTAGACCTTCCCTTTTTTGTTTACGGCGCAGAAAGTAATGCATATTAGAAACTAGTCTGTGTTTAATTGATTCGACTCGAACTGCTTCATGCATGTCAAAAAAACTTTTTTTTTCTCAATTTTGAAATAATCGTAAACATTTACAATTTCAATTCGGCCAATAATTAAGCAGGCTCGACATGCTCTTCCAAACAACAATAATAAAAAATCAATTGATTTACCCACTTCTTTCACCCTCTAGTTCTAAAAAAATTGCGGAGGGGGAGGCGAGTTAAATTATGCCCGAAAAAACTATTAAAAAGGGATTGCGTCTTTTGTTTACCTTTTGTTCCTCTTTTTTCATTAGAAAAAGCTGCTTATTACTTTTTTCTATCTCAAACTATATTTTCACAGCAAAAAAACATGACAGGAATCAATATTGACGAGCTTTCTAGTCTCAAGCGCAAGCAACTCCAGTCTCTGTGCAAAAAATACAGTATCAGAGCGAACGGAAAGAGCGAAGAGCTAATTAAACGTATTGTAAAATACATTCGAGGCGGCGGTGGCAGCGACGGCAGTATTGGTACTACTGGTGACAAGGACACAGTGACTGAAACACCATCGGCGGACGAGGACAGCGCCATTGGGCAAGATAACAACAACAATGAGGAGGAGGAGGAGGAGGATGCAGAGGCGGAGGAGGAATACGAGAGTGCTGACGAAGCCCTGAAGCAGGTCAATTCCCAGAGCACGCTTGCTTCCGAGCCCCAGGGGACGGCCGACAAGTCTGACGAAGCCTCAGAGGCAGCTTCAGAACCTGCTTCAGAACCTGCTTTGGGTATTGTTGACCGAGTGCAGGCCCCCACAGTGGCTGAGCAGGTTGTAGCCGAGCTGGAACTGCGGTCGTCTGCACTTACTGTGGATGAGCGCAAGAATATCCTGGACCAGTTCACTGCTGAAAATAATATCGTGCCTGTGACTCCCAGTAAAACACGTCAGATTGCGGTTCCGAAGTCTGTTTCCTTTGACCGGGTGCACAGCAGGATTTTTGAAAGCGATGACTCGATTGCCAACCATTGGGCGGCATCAAAGAAGGAGAAGGATACAGTTTCTGCTGCGGCTACCGCTACGCCTAAGGGTAAGCGCGCCAATGCGGAAGTTGAGACATCTCAGTCGAATAAGCGCTCGCGTTTTGAGTCCATTTCTACGCCGACTGTTCGGACAGAATCTCCTCGCCAGAAGCGTAGAGGTTCTAGCAAGATTGAGCCTGTGTCGAGCAAGACTGCGCGGGAGGATGTGACTGGGCCTAAGAATGCGGAGGATGACGGTTCGGCGGAGTCGGCAGCGGTGTTGACGGAGAAGGTCGTGGTTGCACCGAGTGCCCTGGTTGTTGATCCGAAGAAGCCGGCTGAGTCTGTGAAGACCGTTAAGATTAAGCCAACCACGATCAAGGCCCAGACGAATGCAAAGCCCACAGTTCAGGCAAGAAAGGATTTCCCAAAGGCTTATATTCTTAAACATCCCAGGTCATCAGTGGCACCCGCAGAAAGAAAGTCAAAGTCGTCCACAACATTGGCACTTTCGAGACCAGTGACTGCAAAACCAGTGAAGACTTCAGAGATGGCGCCAGCAGTCGTGAGCACGCAAGACAAGGCCGCTGTTAAGGGTAGCAAACCGCGGGTTCCCAATTTCCGCAGCGTAGAGTCGAAGGTCAAAGCATACATTAGCTCGAAGCCACCGTCACCAAAGGTCAAGGCCGTCAAATACAAAATTGTCGAGGCCAAGCAGGCGCCACAACCCCAGACAACAAAGGCTGAGCCGAAGCTGAAGCCGAAGCCAAAGGCTTCTGTCGCTGCTGCTGCAGAGCCTAAGACCCCAAAGGTAGATGCGAGCGGCAAGGAGGTTCCGGGTTACATGAGGTCCACACGCGCAACTGAGGTGCGCTCTCACAAACCAGAACCAGCAAAATATGGCAAGTCTAGATTTAGCCCATACAGCCGGCCGGCGACAAAGCCAACTGCAGCAAAGCTGACTGCGTCAAAGCCGACTGCGTCAAAGTCAGCGACAAAGTGATGTGATGTCCAGCAACACCAACAACATCAGCATATACTTGTCATGGCCGAGCAGTTAATTTTCACCTCATGTTTTTTACACTCAATTTAAAGGAATTTCTGATATTCAAACGCTCAAGAAACCCACTGCCAGCACAGATATTGATGCGGCAAGAATGGCGCCAATGGCCGATAGCTTTGAGGCGGCAGAGCTGCGGCTGCTGCTATCGCTTTCGCTGCTGCCGTCTCTTCCATCGACAAAGTCGGCAATCACGTTTCCGCTGAGGACCTTGTCGACCCACGAGCCGTTGGTGGCAATGGAGCCCTTTGTAGCCCAACCAATCCAGTCGGTGTACATGCCAGTGCGCGGGTAATGGACAAAGCCATTCGACGAGCACGGCGCTAGCGGGTCCGAGCGCACCTCAAACAGATGCGGCTGACCAACACTGACGATTCTAATGGACGAGCCGTCGGGAACAAAGAGTATGGTGGAGTTGAGGTTATACGAGTTGACCTCGTCCTTGTTCTTGCTGTTGATTGCAATGCTGGCGTCCAGGTCGCACAGCGTCGTGTTTTCGTAAATCGACGAGCAGAATGCTGGCGGTTGTTCCCAGGAAGCGGATGACCGTTGAAGCTCTTCAGGTCCTTCAGGCCGTATGCAGTAATATAATTTTTGTTGCACTCGCTGCGGCTGAGCGAGCTCACATCGGTGGTGCGCACGACGGTCAGGTCAATACCGCGATAAAGCACTTGCTGGGTGGCTGGATCGCTGCTGAGGTTCGGCGACGAAAATGACAGGGCGGTCAAACCAGCCGTGTTAGCCTTCGTATCGTCGATGAACAACGAGGCCAGGGGCACACCACCCATGGGGTGCTTGAGCGTAATAATGCCTACATCAAAATTCTGCTCGGCCTCCTCGATATACTGGCTCTGCGGGTAGTATGAGTGCACGTTGGCGATTCGACTGCGAAAAACGTCGTGTTATCGACGTAGTTGGCCACAAGGCCGAAAAAGGTGGAAGCGCGGAAGCCGGCCTGGTCCGGGTTGGGATATACCTGGGTGGACAGCAGGACGTTGTGCATGGTGGCTGAGGTGTTGACGGTGGGCAGGGCGACCATCAAATAGTCAGGCTTGAGCAAGCCGCTGACTTCCCTGGGCACACTACTGCTGTTGGAGAAAGGGTACAGGCAGCGGGCATCGGTGAGAATGGTTTGCTCTTTGATCAGTACGCCAAAGCACATGGCGTATGGAGAGGCCACGTAGAGAACGGAGGGGAAGGTTGTCATTTTCACTTGCTCTGAGGAGGCTGTTACTACGCCTGACAGGGCAAGCGTAAGGGTGGCAATTGCGCCGAGGACGGCGGACAGCGACATCCGGCGCTGCGAGGTACCCACTTGAGGGCCATGTTTGTATTAATAAATAAAGGAAAAAGCAGATGAGAAATGGTTTATTTTTCAATATTTGTTGTTACAAAACTAAAGGTATTAATAGATGAATGAATGAGAAAAAGGTACATTGTTGTAAGGTTTTTTCTTTTGCGCTAACGCACATAATGCCTGAAAACCAGATAAATAACAACAAACGCTTAAAAGCGAAGAAAAATACAGCTGATCAATTTTTTTGTTCGGCGTAAACCTGAATTTATACGGGTTGGCAAGCCAGTCTTGTCCGGCTCGCAGGGATTTCAAAATCGAAAAAGCCTTTGAACATATACGCGTCAACGATTGGTGGCGTAAATGCGGACAAATCTTGGATATTTCCCCCCACACGATCTTTATCGTTATCTTCTCCGTTTACAACATTTTTAAAATTTCATCTGCTATTTAAATCAATTTTAGTGTATTCTGGCAAATGTCCGACGAGGCTCCCGCTATGAACGCAGTCGTATTCAAGAAGCCGTACGAGGTTTCGTACGAGCGCGTGCCGCGTCCCATCAATCCCCAAGCAGGCGAAGCAATAGTGCGTGTGATGGCGTGTGGACTGTGCGGATCCGATCTGCATCCTTACCGAGGTGCAGAAAAGGGATTGCGCGAAGACACAATCTGCGGCCATGAGTTTGCCGGTATCATAGAAGAGGCAGGCAGGGGTGTCACGTTTGCCCGAGGACAGCGCGTGGCTGCCAGTTTCACCACAGCCTGTGGAACCTGCTGGTTCTGCACCCACAACCTGTCTAGTCGCTGCGATACCGTGCAGCTATTTGGATGGGTGAACGAGTCTGGCTGTGGTATCCACGGCGGCCAGGCACAGTTTGTGCGTGTCCCGCATGCCAACGGAACTTTGATGGCTCTTCCCGACAACGTGTCCTTTGACGAGGGCGTCTTGCTGGGCGATATTTTTGCCACCGGATATTTCTGCGCCAAAAACGCAATGTCTGCCCTGGCAGACTCCCAAATGACGCCCGCCGAAATGACCATCACCGTGGTGGGGTGTGGTCCGGTCGGGCTGTGCGCTATTATCAGCGCGAAGTTATTGGGAGTTGGCACTATTTACGCAATAGACCGTGTAAAGTCCAGGCTGGATATGGCTGCAGGAGTCGGCGCCATTGCTGTCGCTCCCGGAAAGTCTCCGCTGGATGTCAATTGTGCAGTAACTCAGAGTGGTCGCGGAATGGATGCGGTGTTGGAGGTGGTTGGTACGTTCGACGCGTTGGATCTTTGTTTCCAACTTGTGCGCCCCGGTGGCGTTGTTTCTTCGGTCGGCGTTCATGCTCACGACAAGGGATTCCCCGTGAGTCCCGAGCAGTGCTACGATAAGAACATCACTTTCCGCACTGGGCGTTGTCCCGCTCGCTCGTTGATGCCTGAGGTCTGCCAATTACTACAAAGTGCGGATATTGGCCGCATCATCTCTCATAGGGTTCCGTTGTCTGCTGCTTCGGAGATGTATCGGAAATTCGAAACTCAAGAAAAAGGTGTTTACAAGGTCATTTTCGATCCGTGGGCGTAAAAACAAAACAGCAATTTTTTTACAAATAATATAAATTTAAACAATGTTCTTATCGTCATGTACAAAAGTTGGGCATTTAAGAATATATACAATGCGATTAATTCGACTATTGTTTTATTACTGATAAAATTAGCTAATACAATTGCAATTATTAATCATTGCGGTTGATGAACTTCTTGCCAATGAGGCTGGCGGCAAGAGCGCCGACGCCAGCAAGGGCAATATGCGACTTATCAACACCATCCTCGTCCTCGAAGTAATTCTTCACCTTGGCAAGAACGCTGTGATCAACAGAATTGCCATTAGCATCGTACAGATCCACATCAAGGAACTTGCCGTTGCGGTCGTACAGCTGGTAGATGGGGCGGCCCTGAGCATCATAATACTGCTGCTGCTGTCCCTGCTGCTGCTGGCCATACTGCTGCTGCTGGCCGTACTGCTGCTGCTGGCCGTACTGCTGCTGGTCGTATTGCTGCTGGCCGTACTGCTGCTGGCCGTACTGCTGCTGGTGTCCATGATGCTCCTGACGGCGACCCGGGCTGTGAGGACCCTGCTGGAACTGGCCCTGACCATGGGGTGAGCTGGGATGGTTGTGGCCGAACTGGCCGTGAGGAGAGCTGGGGCGGTCCTGGCCGAATTGGCCCTGCTGGAACTGACCCTGGCCGTGGGGAGGCTGTCCTTGACCGTAGTGAGACTGGTTGTTGAAGTGGGACATATTGATGGAAATGACGATGTGATTTAGAGAGAAAAAGGGGCGAGTGGGATAACAGGTTTGTATGTAGAATATAAAAGAAAAAGGCAAGGAGAAAATAGTCGACAGAATACTCAGTTTATATACAGTAGGAGCGAGCAATTCCTTGGGCTCTTCAAAAAAAACTATATTGCTGCTTGGTTGCTTGTTGGTTTGCTTGTTTAAATTCGTTGCGGGAATAGCTACAATTAGAATATTTGCATCTATCTAAATTTGGATGGAAAAAGATGGATGGAAAATCTCCCGATCATTTTCCATTGTTTTCTGTTTACCTCAGCACTGACACTATTGCCCCCGCTGCACGGATGATTTGCAACATAGCTCGCATCACTTGTCGCAAGTAAAAAAGACGAAATTTCGTTGAATTATATCACCAAAATATAAGAATGTATGTGCTGGCATATCCCACACCGACCCTCCTCCTCTTATTTGTCTTCATTTTCAGGATCTGTTGGAAGAGTTGCCTTGCCATTCTGTCTGTTCATCCGTCCGTCAAGAAGCAATTGCCAAATTGGCAATCTGCAAGTGAAAATGGACAGACAGAATGGCAAGGCAACTCTGCCAACAGATCCTGAAAATGAAGGTGAAACTGGAGGGCGCAGGCCATCTGATACTTACGCTTTACAAGAGCATCTTGCACAGACGAACAATAAAAAACAATCTTATCTGGCAATGAAGAACAAGGGAGGGATGATTGGCCATTCTTGGGCATAAATTAATAATAATAAAAAGCAATGCAAATCTCGGTGAATTGCATTATTTCCTAACTGTATCATCTCATTTTTTTTACTTTCATTTGTCTGCTTGAGGGTGCGACTTGACTTTCTAAAAATAGATGCGGGCAGGAATGCCATTTCAGCCCAATTAAAACATTCGCCTATTGATACGCGTATCCAAGTTGCGGGCGAGGCTTTTGTACCACGAAATATTTTCCCTCCATGCGCTCGCTTATCCGCAACTCAGGCGTACTGTGAGAAGCTGCAAAGACTGGCGCGAACTCTTCATCCCCATCTGCCTCCTATTTATAGCAGGATTACCACACACTAAAAAAAAAACATACATTCGGGAGATGTTTGGGATATTCCGTATTGGTCTTTGGCAGATTCAGGTTTGAAATTTATTGCCCAGATTATTGAAAGAACAAGTCGGCAATGCGTTGTAACCGTCGTTTCAAAAAAATATATATTACAACAAACAATATATAATTATTTTGCACATTAAATATTAGAGTACACATATGTGTATCACAGTAAACCCAATTAACTTCATATCAAATAAGCCAAAGCAATTGTTTGTTAGCATTCAAATTCAACTCTACTTGAAATAGGTGAAATCCACAATATATTCTTCATATGCATTAGCGCCGAAAATTATAAGTTCCACCATATAATCGACCTCTTTCTTTAATAACATCGTATAAATATTCGTCCTTTTCCAACTCGTTGAGCACTATATTTTTTCCATTGCAAGCAAGTTTTCACCTTTTAACCGATGTATTTGATAAGAAGGCTATACCGCCTTTTCCTTCTAAAAGCATTATTATACCGCTGTATATGTTTCTAACCGTTGGATTTGCGGGCAACTCATATTTTATGTCGTCTTTATTAGGGCCCAATATTTGCAAATATACTCTGCGTTCTCTGAGTTCTATATTTTCTTCAGCTATGGTCTTTAAAAAGTGCATAATTTAGTGAAAGTGAATATTTGTATAAATCCAAAAAAGTAAGCTGGTGAAAAGTAGAGAAAACACTTTTTGTTGAATAAAGAATAAAGAATTAGGGTTAGCAAACAAGCTGGCAAAGTGACATATAATGTTGCTTTTTCGAATAAAATTTAAAAAAATTGTAAAATTTATTTTTACAGAAAAATTGAGAAAGAAAAGACATTGTATTTTGTATAATTAATTAGTCGCATTCTATTAGGTTGAATTGCATTATTCATTACTCATTTGGTCTAGATGCGTGCTCATCAGAAGCAGCAGCCTCGCTGCTGGCGACAGGCACGCGGGAATAGCTGTCCCTCGGAGAAGGCACAGTGAAGCTCCAGTCGAGGGTATACAGGGCAACAGCGGCGGCAATAAACAGCCAAGCGCGACCAGGGCCCAATACAATGGATATAAATCCATAAGTATACACAGTCATGATGGTCGGGACGCCCAGATAAAGAGTGATAAAAGAGGCCATCGCCAAACGCACCAAGATACTGCGATACCACGGCTTCTGGGCACCCACGGGGGTCGGATAAAATATGGACCATGGGGAAACCGCAACGGGAACATACAGCAAAAGCAGAGCCAGCGAGGCAATGCTGGTGAGTGCGTACAACCAAGAGTCCAACAGAGGTGCCCACTCGCCGGCAATGTAGATACCGTAGACGTAGACAGAGCCTATTCCATTAGGGCCAGCTGACGGAATAAGATGGCCGGTGAACAGAGGCATTGTGGCCAGGGCCATGGCAAAAAAGTACGCAGGCCAGTAGAGCCACGGGATGCTGGCGAAATACACCTGCGCGGTGAACTGCGTCCAGACACAAAACTTTGTGTGCGAGGAGAGCAGTGCCAAGAGAAGTTTGACAAGAACAAAGGGGTTGACAATATTGCCACGTGTAAATGTCGCCCAGATATGACGCATGCGCGCGTCGTCCTTGTGGTGCTCCAGGCGGCGGCGCGAAAGCCAGGCGTGCGGGTCCTTTAGATGGCAATGGACGAGACGCGGAATGAGCAAGAGGAAAAGCACCATGAGCAGGTAGCTGATAAGCCCCGAAATGCGGAAGATGTCGGCAAAGTTCTGCCGCATGATCCACCCGCCGCGCGAGTCGTTCTCTAAGGACAAGGGCTCGAGCGAGAAATGGAAGGGCAAGCGCACTGTCGTTGTTTTGCCGTCAGAATCAACGGCTGTAACTTGAATCTCGTGCAGACTCCCGTCGTTGTACTTTGCCGCGTCCCAGGGCACAACCCATAGGGGCGTCTTCACCACATCGTTGCCTGTTCCAGTCTCTTTGCCGCGGTACTCGGCCTTGTGCGGGTGCTCGTGGCCGTCGATCTTGACTGACACTGAGGCCACGGGCGAGTCGGTCCAGATGAGCACCCGGATATGCGTGCTGGTCAGCATCTTGCCCAGGGGCTCATGCTTGGGCAGCAGATACCGTGCGTCTTTCGGGTTAGTCACCAGCACCACGGGCGGATGCGGGATGGCCGCCTGTACACGGGCATCGAGAAGCTGCGGGTTGGGCATGGGGATTTGCTCAAGCGGTAAAATAACATCAACAAAGGCCACCAGGTCGTTGTCAATGGCGTAGACGCGGTAAACCGCGTGCTCCTTCATATCGCCGATCTCCAGCTCCCAATATCCGTCGTGTGCCTTGTACGCCTGCAGCTGCGCGCCAATGCCGCCGGCCAAGTAATGCAGGTGACCACAGAGGAAAACGCTGACGCCGTTGACGAGCTCGCCAAATGACTTGCGATACTTTCCATACAACATGGTGCTCACCGGGTAGTGGTTGAGCAAGAAAACGTGGCTCGACCCGCTGGCCTTCTCCATGCGCCGCTCGAGCTGCTCCATGCCGTAGGCGTCCAGGTAGCCAAAGAAATTCATTGGCCGCGCGAACCCATGTCTCGGACACCCGTCGCTGGCCACAAACGAGTATGTGCCAAAGGGCTCGCGAATCTGCAGCAAATAGCCGTCCTCCTGCACCGCCGAGTATTCCTTGTAGTAGTTGTCGGACGAGTTGAACGAGAATACGTTGAAGCAGTCGTGGTTGCCGCGCTGGTCGCGGTAGAAGTTGCCGTCCAAGCGGGTTTTCACGTGGGATTCATTCAGCGTCCGCTGGTACGCCTGCCATTCGTCAATCTGCTGCAAGGACGTCAGCCGCTGCCGGTCCTTTCCGTCCGTCAGGTCCCCTGTCACTGCCACCAGCCGCGGCGAAATCAGCGGGACCGCTGTGTGGAGAAAGTGCAGAAAGTGTATCAATCCTCCCTTGGCAAAGTACTTGCTGATGTGGAGGTCCGATGCATGGATGAATGTAACAATGCCGTCGTTGCTTGACGCCAACGGAGATGCGTTCTGTTGTTCCTTGTTGTTTGTAAGCGCCGTGGGGGGCTCAGTGGTAGCCTTGCTGCTAAAGGTTAGAGAGTCGCTGGCAGAGAGCGAAACTAGCGGCTGGTTTGCTGCCCGGTATAGGTGGAGTCCGTATGCCCAGAACACCAGCGTGGCTGCGACCAGGGACAGTGAATGTACAATGGCTTTCATGCAAAGACGAAGGCGACAAATTCAATTAGTAGAAAAACAAAAGCAAATAAATACGTGGAAATGAAAGAAAATAAGAAAAAATAGCTAAGCATAAAGCAAAAAGGTGGAAATATTACTTTTGGGTTTCTCAGTAAGTAGAGGCGCTGCTGCGCCTTTGCATTTTTCTCCTTTGTAAGTCCAAAAATGCAAAGGCGCAACATTGCAAGCAGTGGTACATTTTTACACTTTATGCAGTTTGAGTGATTCGCTGGGGAAAAAATATTGCTTGGCATGATTGATATTGATGTGCAAGGCTTTGTCGCGATATTGTAAAATGAAAAAAGGTTAAAAAATACGAGAGGAAAATAGCAAAAGAAAAAAGGAAAGAAAAGAAAAAATGAGAGCGCTCAGGCATTGAGCACACGCGCAGCAGTCGCCATGCTCGCCTGCTGGTGCTGCGCAGGGCCAACATTGCTTCCGGCCGACGAGGAAGGCTTGACAGCGTCGATGCTCGGCCGGCCCGTCGCAATCGACGACGTGCGCTGGAGCTGCTGAATGGCAGCCAGCATGCTCTGCACCGAAATACTATCGTCATCACCGCGCTTCAAATCGCCCTTGGGACGCATCTGCTGGCGGTCAGCATACTCCTGCAGCAGCGCCGTAAATGCCGACAGCCGGGCCTGCACGTCGCTCAGCTCACGCTCGCGCGCGGACACCTTCGCTTCAGCGTCGTGGCGCAGGTCGTTGGCCTCGCGCAGGGCATTCTTCAGCGACAGCAGCTCGTCGCGCGCCTCGGACCACTGCCGGTGCGCTGCCAGGTAGGCTGCGTGCAGCTCGCGAGTGCGCACGTCCGAGTTGTCCGAGGAGAAGCTGCCGCGCGGCCTCTGCGACGTCGTCGAGTCATTGCGCGCGCGGCCAGCGGCGGCAGAGGCGGCAGCGGGCGAGGCGTCGGCCAGCTGTTGCTCGAGATCCGCGATGCGGCGATCCTTGGCCTCGAGCTGGTCGACATTGGCACGCAGGCCGCGGGAGGAGGACAGCTCGTCGCGGGATTCCGTCCACAGCCGCTCGAAGTCGGCGGCGCGCTCGCGACTACGCTGTGCCTGGGAGCGCTGGCGGTCGGCTTCGGCCTGCAGCTCGGCTGTCGACGAGCTGAGGGTGTCGATGCGCGCCAGGGCCTCGGCGTGCATGGTCTGGATGCGATCGGCGCGGTCCTGGGCGGCCTGCACCTGCACCATGGCGGCCTCCAGGCGTTGGGTGCGGTCGGCGTCGGCCGCGGCCATCTGCTGCAGCATCGCGTCCTTTTCGGCAAACCGCTTCTCCATCTCAGCCTGCCGCGGCTGCTCCTCGGCCTGCAGCAGCTCGAGCTCGCGCAGCTGCCTGCGTGTCAGCTCGGCGTCGGTCTTGAATTCGGCCAGGGCGTCGTGCGACTGCTTGAGCGCCAAATTGGCGCCGGCTAGCTGGTTGCGCAGCGCGTCGTTGTCGTTTAGCGTGTTGGCGTAGAGGCGCTCGAGCTCATGGATCCGGTGCGTGTTGAGCTTGCCCAGGAGAGGCACACTGCCGGCAGTCAGCGCGCTGGCCTTGGCCTTGAGGAAGATGGCCTCCTGCAGGGCTGCCTTGCGCCCGCGCTCGGCCTCGGCCACGCGCTCGATAGCCACGCGCGACACCGTGCTGAGCTGCTGCTTGGTCTCGGCCAGCTCGCGCCGCATGCCCAGCAGAACGCCCAGGACACGCGTCGCCTCGTCATTGAGGAGGCTCTCGCCGCGCATGCTCTGCACCGATGCGGAGCCGTCAACGGACTCCTCCTTGGCCGACCGCTGGTAAGCGTACTTGTTCTCCAGCGTCGTCCACGTGCGCACCAGGGCGTCCTTATGCTCTGAGGAAATCGACATGTGCGCGCTGTTCCTGTTGTGATGCTGCTGCTGGGCCATGGAGCCGAGTCCATTGCTGGCAATGCTTCGGGATTGGTCAGCGCCAGGCTGCGGAGGTGCACCACCCTCGGGCGCGAACTGGTCGCTGCCGTCGCCACCGAGGATCGCCGCCGAGTTGCGGTTGCGCAGCTGGATCGTGAGCCGGCGGTCGTCGGCGCTCTGCGTGGGCGGGAGCATGGGTGCGTTTGCAAGGCTGTCGTTGGACAATGCGCCCAGACTGCCCATGGACGCCGAAGCAAAGGCTGGGCCAACAGGCGGGCTGGCGCCGGTGTTGACCAGACTCTGGTTGAGCACGATAGACCGCCGCGGTTGCGCCCGGCCCTTGCCGCCGCTCTGCGACGCCCACGAGCTGTTGCCACGCATGCCGTCAGGGTCGTCGTTACCCTGCGGGCTGATTACCTCAAAGCTGTCTACCGACATGTTGGCGCGCTGGCTCTGGTTGATGTCAAGGTTGGGCGCCAATGGCCGAGGGCCATTGTGGCCTGTGGGGGGACGCGGGATGCCCGAGTCGCTCTGGTTTTGGTTCTGGTACAACTGCTGCTGCTGCTGCTGCTGTTCTCGAGATGTGCTGCCGGCGACCATAGACACGGCACGCCCGCCTTGCTGCACGCCCTGCGGCTGCATGTTCTGCGGACTGCCCTGCATCTGCGACTGCTGCTGGGGGAGCATCGACCGGTGGCGACGGTTTTTGTCATCCTCAGCCTCCTGCTGCTGGCCCTGCTGTTGAGTTTGGGCGGGTGGCGCGCGCGGGCCATCCGGCTGGATCTTGATCTTGGACGTGTCCAGCGAGTAAATCATTGGGTCGGTCTCGTCGCGCAGCATGCTGCCGCTGTACAGGAGCAGGCGCGTCTTGACAAGCGAAAAGATGGGGTCAATCTGATGCGGCCAAGTCGACGCATTGACCTGGAATGTGTACCAGCGTTGGGACGAGATCTTGTATGCAAAAAAGTCATTCAGCGGCTCGCCACGCAGCGTGCGGCCGCCCATGATGACGATGCAGTCGTCGACGACGGCCGACGCGTGGCCGTAGCGCGCCGGGGGCGTGGCGCCATTGGGCGTCACCTGTGTCCACTGCCGGGTCTCCATCGAGTACTCCCACAGGTCGTTGTAGCAGCGGTCGCTGTCCATGCCGCCGAACACAAAGATGCTTCCAGGGTACATGCTGCACGAGTGGCCGGCGCGTGGGGCCGGCGCCGGCTGCTGCTGGTAGCTGCTAAAGTCCCAGTGAGGGCCGTTTTGCGCCGCGGCCTTGACGTCAAAGGACACGAGGTCGTTAAGGAAGTAGCCGTCAGCTGTACCGCCAAAGATGAACAGCTTGGAGCCAAAGGTCACCGTTGTGTGGCCCTTACGTCCAGCCAGGGCGGGGCCCTTCATGGGCACCTTGTACCAGGTAAAGTTGGCCATATTGTAAGCGTACAGAGTCTCGTCATACTTGCCCGCAGCATCCTGGCCTCCAAACACAAACATCGTGCGTCGGATAAAGGCCGCCGAGTGGCCCTCGCGCGGCGTCGGCATGGCGCCAATGGCCTCTACGCGGCGGACCTCCCAGGTGGCTGTGTCCATCGTATTCAGGTCGTTCTGCAGCCCACCGTCGGACTTGCCACCAAACCAGTAGAGCATGTTCTCGTTGAGCGCGGCAGAGAAGCCGCGGCGCGGAAACATTGCCAGTCCGCTCAATGCGCGCTTAGACCAGAATGACGATGATCCACTGGTTGGTCGCGTGGACTGCTCGCTTGTGCGTGATGCCGCGGGTGCACTCATACCGGCACCGTTGGGCTGCTGGGATGCCGAGGTCGGCCTCTCTGCGCTGCGCGCGTACATGGGGTTGGCGTTGATGTCTGTGGCCGAATTCCCATTGACCTTTTGTTGCTGCTGCTGCTGCTGTGATAGGCGCTGTCTGGCATCCGGCAATGAAGCCGACTGCTGTGGACTGTTCCTCATTTGCTCCGCCTGCGGTTGCTGCTGAAGAGGGGGCTGTGACGGTTGTGCGCTTCCATAGCCCGGTCCGAACCGTTCGTTCCCGTTGGGCATAGTTGGCGGCAAGGCCGCTGCATCCTTTTGCACTGGTGGGGGCGGCGGGGGTGGCAGCAGGATGGCCTCGGGAGTCTCGTTACGTATCAAGTGGCTCAGGCCTCCCCGCGTGTGTCCAAAGTCTGCCGGCACTCCCGACGGTGGTCGCGTCACGCTCTTGTTCTTCCTACTGAATATACTCGGCATCAGCCAGTTTTTGGTACCTTTTGTACTGCGTTCCACTGTAGACTCCAGAATTCAAAAGTTGAATAACAACAAAAAAATGAAAAATGAAAAGGTGTCCAAAAAATATGCAATACAAAAAATTGAAAGCAGCTGTTTGTGAAAAGTGACGAAAAAAGCTTTAAGTGCGTAGAAAAAAGGAAAAGAGAGGAGCAATAAAAAATGAAAAGGGGGGAAGGAGGATAGAAAGGAAAGTATGCTAAAAGATGGAACGGGGGAGTGTTTATTTCGACAAAAGACAACTGAGACAAAATACTGCCAATGTTTCTCTGTCTACTTTTTTAGTTGGCCAACACTTGTCAAGGCTGGTCTTATTCTAAGCGTTAACAAAGAAAACAAAAAGGCATGCAATAAAAGTAGAAAGCTGACTAAAAAAGCAAGTGTGAGTGAGTAAGTGTGAGTGTGTGTATATGCGTGCGTGCGTTATTTCCACTAAAGAAACTCGTATGGAAAGAGGTTGTTGGAGGAACAGAGTACAGAGAGAAAATAATGGATTTTTTAGGAGGGGGTTTATAAATATAAGCAGAGCGTATATGCTCTTTATACAATTAAAAATGTTAGCTGAACGAGTGAACGAGGAATGGAAAAGGACGACGATGCACACGCACTCGAAAGAAATATAATTATTGTTTAAGAATAAGAGTTAAAAAAATAAAATCTCTAGTTGGGAGAGAGAAAGGAAAGGAAAGAAAGAAAGGAAGACGGGTAAAAACGGACAAGACAGAAATGAGGATCACGTAAAGTGGGGACCAAACAAAAAATATTGGCGATAGATAGACAGACAGAGAGCGAGAGAGGGGAGTGAAAAATTAAAGACGATGTATATTCGCGAGAAAATGTGTGTTTGTCGATTGATACCAAACAGAAAGAAAGCGCAGAAAGGAAAGCAAAAAAACATGCAAAAGACCATCAGGCCTGTTTTTTTCTGCTCTGTTTTTTTACAGGTTTTTTTTATCTTTTAATGACAGACAAAATTTAGAGACTAGAGACAGTCAGGCAGAACAAGTTCAAAAAAATGCAGTTTGACCGCTTTTCGATTCCCCTACTTTACTAGCAACCATCTTCCCAATTGTTGGTGTACTATTAGACTGACTTTTCAAGAACACAATTTGTCATCCAGTCAACAATGCCTCCCGTTTAGGAAATAGACTCCTCGAGATGTATAAAATAAACAAACCATTTAATGTGTTTTTTAGCCGTTTGCAAGCATACTCACAACCTTTATCTTGGGTCACAATTCCGTCATGTGCCACTCTGCTATTCATGCAAGGTTTTGGTCTTTGCAGATTCAAAGTCTCAAAAGTCTCATTGATTTATGCGGCGCAACAGATAATGGTTTTGCGCCGATTCATCATTACTTTTTTATCTTGGGATCAATAGTAAAAAAACAAATGACACAATGTTCTGGTATTGCGTCTTGTCACTAGGTTCATTTCTTATTTTTTTACTGTTTTCTCGTGTCTGTGGATTCCCGGTTCATTGAGCGTTGTTTAAATAATAAGAAATGTTAATATGCGCAAAATCATTGTTCCCAGAATACAGAGACAATCAACCATTTTTTCTATACAATCGTCTCAAGTCCCTTGCTTCTTGGGCTTGAAAATATGCATTGAGTTGACTATTTCTCAAAACAAAATGCAAGTTCACACACGTACACACACACACGCACATACCTCTCCCTCGTGCGTCTCTCGGTCCGTATCCGCATCCACTTATTTTCCTTCCATGTATACTGCTAATGTTTCTCTTCTTTTGACGTTAATATTCACATCATGTTCTGGTTTTCATTGCTGTTGCATCATGCACTTTTGAATTCCCAATTTAAAGATATTATTTTCCTTTCTGGCTCAATAGTGTGAAGAGACAAAATAGGGATGCAAATCTCTTTAACGATCCGATATTATATATTTTTATACACCTCCAAAAAGTAACAGAATATTCGCTGTTCACTAGAGGCAACAATTGTGCATGGGATTGCTGTTGGTTCTGCTTTGGTGTAAATAAGCGTGGGCCCCGAGACACACGTCTGCAAAAAAGAAACAAGTTTACATTTTTAAAATCCCAAATCACGTGAAATTGATCGATCAAGAACAAATATAATCTAATCTTCACTTTTGCATTTTTACTCCTGTGCGCGATAAGCCTATGTGTTCGAGAGCATGCATGTGTTTAAGCGTGCGCTTATTTTCATTTTCATTTACACACCACACACACTAACAACGCAGATAGCGAATTGGCTTTCCAGGTTTTGCACCAATTTGGCATTGGTTCAATTTTCCCTTCTTTTTTCCCTTTTTTCAATTCGAGTTTTATTTTATATTCTTATCGATTGATATAGACAAATTTGAAATTTACCTTTTATATTTGAAAATGGCTCTTCGTTTTGCGTCCAAGAACATTCCTGGTAAGATAAGCGGTCCGGAATCGAGGTTAAATTTGAGCAAAGTGGACAGTTGAGAAAGTACCTTATTCTTTTTTTCTCACACGGGACAACACTAAATCCAACTTTCTCATCGACTTGTTTGAAATTACGTTTTTTTATAAGTGTAGCTATCGCCCAGCGCGGTCTTGCCATGCGTCTGACCCCCGCCGGTGTCTCCGCCGTCAGGTAACGTATTTGGAAACATACTTTGCGTGTAATAATACAAGTTGGGAATAGCTACGGACGAGTTACAAATGACATGCAACTAATCACCAAACCTACAACTACAACTTTTACCATTTTCTGCATATACTTATGTTTGCACACGCGCGCACGCATATACACACACAAACACACGGACGAACCTTGGATAAGCGCTGCACCCATTTTTATTCGCACACAAATATAGAGCGTACTCGACCCAGAACGAGCGCATTCCTGCCGAGCAGAAGGCCAACAGCATTATTGATGCATTCCCTGGAAACTCGCTGGTCGCCAAGACCGGCTACTTTGCCAGCGCCACCGGTCTGACCGCCCTGCTGATCTCCAAGGAGATCTACGTCGTCAACGAGGAGACCATCCTCCTCGTGGCCTTTGGCTCCATCCTCGCAGTCCTTTACAAGGCCATCAAGGAGCCCTACACCAGCTGGGCAGACTCCAGCCTGAAGGCCATCGAGAACCTCCTCACGACAGCTCGTGGTGAGCACAAGTCGGCGGTCCTCAGCCAGATCGAGGCCAAGTCGCAGCTGAAGGACATTGTTACCTACACTAAGAACATGTTTGGCATGTCCAAGGAGATCGCCACCATGAATGCCGAGGCATTCGAGCTGCAGCAGAAGGCTGCGCTGAATGCTGAGATCAAGTCTGTGCTGGACTCGTGGGTGCGTTATGAGAGCTCCGTGCGCGAGAGCGAGCAGAAGGCTCTGGCCGATAAGGTTATTGGTAGCGTGCGCAGCCAGCTCACGAATGCGAAGACCCAAGATGATATCATTGCTCAGTGCCTCCGTGACATCCAGGCTATTGCCAAGACTGCCTAAGAAAAAATTAAGTTTAGCCTTTTCTCCTCTTCTTATTTTTTTGTGTGTGTGCCTTGTAAAGGATAACCCTGAATACCATTTGTTTTCTTTCTATGATTCGTAACTCTGAAGAATAATAAGCAAAAAAACGCAAGTTTATATTATTATTGAGCATCTTTAATAAAAGAAAAATTACAAATGGTTTGTTAGTAGTCGAGCTCGGTCAGCGCTTGGCGGTACTCCTCAGCGCTCTCGTCGTCAGATTTCGGCACACGAGCGATCTCATCCTGCAGCCAGTGCTTGAGCTCTGCCGACGTCACACAGGTCGCTGGGTACCCCGCCCTCAGTGACTGCAGTGCGCGCGCATACGCCGAGCGGCGTACATACTTTGACGCAGCCGCTCCCGCGCCCCTCTCAACCTCAACATCCTCCAGACTGTCAATCAACCGCACAGCCAGGGTATTGCACCAAGTGGCAGCGTTCTGGGCAACCAAGCTGGCAGCATCGCGGGGCACCTCGGGGTTGAACTCGGGGTTGAACAGGTCCTCGATAAAGCGCACAATGCGCAGATCCAGTCTGCGCGCCTCATACTCGTTGTCGTCGTTGACAGCGGCAGCCATAGGGTTGAGGTCGCGCAGGAGGCGCAGACCGCCACGATCCGCAAACTGCACCAGGGCGCCGGCGTGACCGCGCACCAACGCAGAGAGAGCAAATATATGCTTACCGGCAGTGCGCAGGTCAGAATCCACGGACATGGCGCGCAGAAGCGAGGGAATAGCGTTAGCGCGGAAGGCAATATCCTGCAGCTTGTAGTTGTTCTGCACGGAGGCGCCGAGAACCATGGAGGAGAGACGGCGCACGGTGGAGGGCCAGGGCATTGATGATGCGCTGGGGTCGCTGAGCCGCAGGAATGCACTCACTGCACCGGGGTCGCGCAGAAGCTGCTCGGCATGCCGTGTCTCATGCACCAAGTCCTCGAGCTCCCCAAGGACTTGCATCAGAGAGTCTGTCTGTGTGCGGTCCGGTGGTGCATTTGCGGTGGAAACCAGCCGGTCGATGTACTCCTGCATCTTGGTGTTATATGCCAGGCTCATGCTGGGATGCGATGGCGGCGGCAGCGGCAATTGCGATTTGTCTTCGTCTTCTTTGTCTGGCACTATTGCCAGCGCTTTTGCGTCGGTGTCGGCTTCGTCCATGAGGCGTGCTCGCCGTTCGCCCGTAGTCATGTCTATTTGCACGTGCAGGCCTGGGGGGATGTCTTGGCCCAGCTGGATTATTTGAAACTCCTTGGTTGCCACAAATATGCGCGGGTAGCAGGTTTGGTCTCCGGATGTGTTCATTGAGCAGATGGTTTCATTGTCGATGCTTTGGATGCCATTTGTGCTGCTGTTATGTTGGTGCTGCTGCAGGACGTGTTGTCTCTCGGCGCGCGCCATTGTCGTGGAGTATGAGGATGCCAGAAAGCTGAGTGCGGCCAGGAGTGAAAGGGTGCAAACACGAACCATGATGGAAAAAGTTATAGTGTGGAAGGTGTAAAAAATATATATTTAGGTGTACAAATATAAAAAAAAGCTTGCTTTAATTAAAGAAAGAGAGGTGTGAAAGTGAAAATAACCTATTGCCTTTTCGTAGAATTTAATTATGGAAACGTGGCACTTTGTTAAGCGTTTATTTTATGCGCAGAATTCTGCAGGGAATGTAGCTTGCTTCCCCCCTTTGTAGCCGTTAGATATATTTATTTTTGCTGAAAAAAGAACGTAAGCAAAAAAAAGGTCCAGCTCAGGCTTGAAGACAGAGCCTGCTGATGTCACTTTAATTGCAGCTGCAAGATCTTTAGCCAATTTTTTTCTCAAGATTTTGTATTCTCGCGATTTGAAAGACTGTGCATATCCAAACTGGTTTGTGTGGCTGATTTTTATTGGGGAGCGTTTCAATGCATTGTTCAGGTGTTGTCAGAATCAGTGTGGGCTTGGTTCATTCTCTTTTCTGTTTCTATCTTTTTTACACTTTTTCTATCTCCTATTGCATCCATACTTTTCTACCATTCATTTTTACTTGGACGTTTGCAATCCTGCGCCTACTTTATAAGAACTAAAAGCGCCAAACAGCAACTTTACACACTTTCTTCTAACCAACGACAATGGGAAACGTAAGTGACAAACATACGATCCTTTCAACACACATTCTTATTTCACATAAACAAACCAAAAGTACAGAAACTAAACCCCCCCCACCAATCTATATCTTTTGTGATAAGCAAATACAAAAATTTTAGGGTGCCAAGGCTCAGCAAAAGCGTGAACGTTCCGCAAAAAACGCGCCAAAGGATGCCAACAGCCAGCTTAAAGTCAATGCTCAGGCGCAGTCGATCAAATGCAACGTTTGCTTCAGCACTTTCTTGTGCACTACTCGTGCCAAACAGTTGGAAGAACACTCAATGGAGAAGCACAGCAAGAAACTCGGCGATTGTTTTACAAACTATAAGGAATAGTCAAAGAAAAAGTAAACTAAAAAAACCTCATAATTTTTTCTTTAAAGTTAAAAAATCAACCAGATAAAAAATCAAATTATTTATTATTATTGTTGGCAAAGTGTTTAGAAATTACCTGCACTAAAGTCTTCTTCGGACATGTATGATGCGATGACCGTGCGGCCCATGAATTGTCGTCCAGCCAATGCGTTGATCGCCGCAGTGGCCTCGGAGGAACTCTGATATTTGATGAATATCTTGCCGACGCCTGCCGCTGGTGCGTCGGGCTGATCGGGGTTGTTGCGCGGGATGACGAGATCCAGGATGCTACCAAAGTTGCGGCATTCGTCGCGTACATCCTCAAGAATGTCCTCGTACTCCTCGTCGTTGTCCAGCTCGTTGACCGTCACCATGTTCAACAGCTGCACGATGGATGTCGCCTGCACGCTGGGCATCACCTGCTGCTGCTGCTGCTGCTGAGAAGTGAACGCAACCGAGGCATTTGGTGGCTGGTGGTATTGCTGTTGGTTCTGCTGCTGCTGATGATGATATTGGGACTGGTCCTGCGGATATCCGCCATTCTGCTGAATATGCGGAGGGAATGCACCGTCACTGGCAGTATTTGGCTGCGGGTAGTAGTCCTGCTGCTGCTGGCCCATGGCTGGTGGGTTCGCCCCGCCGCGGGCACCAACGCTGGCGCGCTGGACAACCAGGCGGCGGTCGCCCAGCTCCATGCCATTGAGCCCCTGGCATGCAATGTCAGTCATATTCGGATCAACGTACTCGCAAAAGGCAAAGCCACGCGACAGGCGCGACACGTTGTCCTTGACCAGATTAAACGACTTCAGCTCGCCAAAAGCACGCAGCAGCTCAGTGACCTGCTCCTCATTCAAATAAGCGGGTAAGCCGCCGACATACACCTTGTTGGGCGAGTCCGGCACGGTGTTGGACACGACTCCCGGAAGGCTAAGCACAGGTGGCTGCGGCTCAGGCTGGCCGGCAGGCGGAATGTAGTCCTTGGGCCGGCGGATCTTGAGCTTCTGGTTCTGGAACATCACGCCGTCCAGCCCCATTCCCATCGTCGCCTGCTCGGCGTCGCGGAACTCGACGAACGCATAGTTCTTGTCAAAGTTAATCTGGATGTTCTGCACCGGCATTTCGTCGGCTGGTGCAATATTCATGCGCACCATAAGGTCGTTGAAGAACGAGGCGATGCCGTCCTCGTCGATGCCATAGGGCATGTTGCCGACGTACAGTCGCCGCGCCTGCCGCGATGCCGTGCTGGGGAACTCGCGCTCGCAGCGGCTGCTAGGCCGGAATCGGTCGTTCTCCTCGCGATGCGTGTGCTCGAACAGCACGCTGGGGTTGAACGACGCCACGTTGCGCGATCCGGCCGCCTGCCCAGGCGGCGGGAACAGCCCCGATGCCTTGGCATCCAAGCAGCTGACGCTCTCGAACCCGGGCGGCGGCAGATCCCACATGCTCAGCTTCTTGGGCCGCAGGTGCAGCGCCACAACAGGCTGCTCCTCACGCCGCCCTCCCGAGGAATGCTGCAACCGCCGGGTGCTTTCGCGTGACCGGTGCCTGTGCCGGCTGCGGCTGCGGCTGCGCGACCGCCGCCGGTACGTCCGTGGCCGGTACTCGTAGTCGCGCTGATTGTCGTCGTACTCGGCTCTCCGCCGGCTGCTCCGGCTGCGGTGCCGCGAAGTGCTCGAGCGCTTGGGCGACCTGCTTGAGCGCCCACGCCGCTGCTGCTGATCGCGCTCCAACTGGTATTTGCTGCTGCTATCGCGTCCACTCCGGCTTCTGCTTGCTGACCGCTGCAGCGTCTGCTCCATGCTTTTCAAGAATGAGCTCGCCATTGCGCCTAAATTTTTTATAGTGTTTTGCCTGGGTTAGTACAGCGTTTTTTTTGCTAAAAGCATAAAAATGGGCGAGTCAAAGTTGTCAAAATTGCTTTGCATCCTTGCTGCTATTTTTTATTATTTGAAATTTACCTGCATCGGGAGACTTTTCTCTGTTTCTCTCGCTGCTGTCAACGCCCTCTTCAGCGCGCGGCGACAGTTGTACTCTAGTGGAGTCCTTGGAGCTTCTACTGGCAAATTCGCCGCTGCTCTTGTCGTGTGCAGTCGTGTCAGCAACACTGCTAGTAATATCGCGATTGTAAGCGTCGGCTGACATTTGCGCGAATATTATATGAGATAAATAAATACGAAAGGAATACGAGGCAAAAAAATAATAAAAGCCAAAAAATTAAAATAATAAAAAAACGCAACTGCAGCTTTGCTCATTGATGTCTCGCATGTCGGTTTTTTTACACCTGAATTTTCTTGTGCTTTGCAGCACAGTCCAAGATGGGGGCAAAAGGCTTTTGATCTGCATTGTTATTAATTTATTGATCACTAATTTCGCGTCCTACACTCTCTTTCAGCACAAATCAGGATCGCGGCGGTACGCAACCATGGCCTCGACGCGGTGCGCGTCAGTCGAGAACGAGCGCAACCGCACCTGCTCGGCATTCTTAATATGTAGCGGGTCCGAGTCCGTCCATGTGGTCGGCACCTCAGCGTCCGAATCAGCGTACACCAGAATGTTGAACGTACATTTTTCATCAATGATGGGCAAAAACGATACGCTCGCGGCAATCTGGCGGAAAATAGCCTGTATCTCCAGCTGCAACGCCCTCTCGCTCTTTGGCGCCCTCGGCTTCTCTTTCTCCTCATCTGCCTCCTGAACAAGCTGAATGTCAAACTGCCAGCGCTCGATGGTCTCTCGGGATTCGCGCGAGTTCACGGCGAGCACGAGCTTGTTGATTTTGCCTGCTGCTAGCCATTCCTCCACGGACTTCATGATTGTATTGAGGTATTTTGTCACCTGAAGATCGTTGGACACCCAGATGTCGAGCCCGTACTTTTTCTGAACTTCAAACTCTTCTACTGGGTATATCCCGCGCTGGAAGAGGATGCTGTTGATGCCGTAGATGAAAAACTCCGTGACTATGCGTGCTGAGCCCTTGAGTGTGATTTTGCCCTTTGTGAGTTGCGTTTGGACCGACATTGTAAAGTTTGAAAAGTGAAAACAAGGTGAGGCTAATTGAATTGAATTGAATTGAATTGTATAGACAAAATAAGTAGTAGAATAAAAAACGCGACGTTTTTAAACGTTTGAAAGAGCGAAAATTAAAATGAGAAAATAAAGCTTAGAGGTGAGCGCTTCCACGACAACTAACTCTGTTTACCTTATGCAAAGAAAGGTGGAACAATGAGCTTGATCAACGCACACAATTAAAAATCAAGCGAGCGAATATTATTATCCCTTGCCCTTGTTCAGCAGCAAGCTAAAAGTAAACAACGTGCAGCCAATACAAAAAAATCACTTCTGCCCACATAAATACTGTTTATTTAATTTCCTTTATTTCTACCACATACAAAAAAATATGAGCCAGCGAAGCGTCTCGCACTTGGACTCGGACTCGGACTCGGAATCCGCATGCGCCAACCCGCTTTTTTTTAAATGGGTTAATGAATGGTACAATAAAGCCTGCAAAAGCAATGCAAAAACTCAGTACACACTCAAAAAGGCACTTAACTCACTACGGCTGTACCCGCTGCGTATCGAAAACCCACAAGAAACCGTACAGCTTCAGGGAATCGGCCAGGGCATTGCCAATCGACTGACACAGAGGATGATCGCCTGGCGCAAGGAAAATGGCATCCCGGACCCAGCCGTGAACAGCATCAGCGAGCAAGCATCGGTAGCTGATGGTAGGCCGGCAGCTGGCTTGGAAAACGGTCCGAAGCAGAGTGCGCCTCGTCTGTACGTTCCTCGGTATCGCTCGGGGACGTTTGCTTTGCTCATAGGACTATTTAAGACGTATTGTTTGTACGGACCCGACTATTTTGTTCCAAAGAACCAGCTGATCCCCATGTGCGAGCAGTATACGGACACGCCGTTCCATGTGGCCGGAGGCAGTGGCGGAGGAAGCAGGGGCGGCGGCAGCAGCCATTATTCCGGCGGCCGTGGAGGCAGCGCGCAGGGAGGAAACTTTGTGCATACAGCGTGGTCAGGGATGAAAACATTGGAGACCAAGTCGTTGGTTGAGCGCCAGGGAGGAGTAAAGTTCTGTCTGACCGAAGAAGGGCTTGATATTGCAATCAAAGTTGTTGATGTTTTGCGCGTGCGCAATGAGCTGCCAGCCGACGACGAGCGTATTTTTGCATCATTTGTCAGACCTGAAGTCGAGTTGGACGCTCCCACCAATCATGACAATGTTGAGTTCGAGGACGAGATCGAGGGTGAGGACGATTGGGCTGTTGGTTTGGCGCCGCAGCCATATCTTCGAGGTGCGGGGCGGGATATGGGATTGCCACCGCCTATGCCTAGATCCACAACTGGGAGGGGCGCTTACTTGACGTCTGGCGGCAACGGTGGCCCGGCGAGACACCTGCTGCGTAACCAGTCTGCTGCATTCGGCCAATCATCCTCTCCCTCACGCTCATTCAGTCGTAACTCGTCACCCTCGATTCTGGCCGAAATTGAATTAGCGGATTTGATCCACTACCCTGTCGGCGAGTACGAAATTATTCTGATAGTTGACAACCGCGAAGTGCACTCTGTGTCCGACCGAAATCTTATTACCAAGGAGCTCGAGGAGCACCATATTAATATTGAGATTCGGCCACTGACCGTTGGCGATTACCTGTGGATTGCGCGCGCCAAGCAGTCTGGAACCTGCAAACATCTGCCAGACATTGTGTTGGACTATGTGGTCGAGCGCAAGAGGATGGATGATTTGTGCGCGAGTATACGAGATGGTCGATACAAAGAGCAGCATTCACGGATACACGGGACTGGATTCAACAACGTGCTATATATAGTCGAGGGCAATGACCCTGATGCCGTCAGCAGGCTGGGAGAGAGTGCTGTTAACTCTGCACTCAGCCAAATTCAAATCCACCACGGTTTCCATTTGAAGAGACCCAGGACCTTTGAGGCTACACTGCGGTTACTGAGGCAAACCACTTGTGTGCTGCAGGACTCATTAAAGGATGTGTATGCTGTTCCAGACCATATGATAGGGCAGAAGGGGTTTTCAAGCCTGAAAAGAGCATCCAAGCGAGGTTTCCGCATGTCCACCTGGCCATGACATTTGATGCGTATGATGTGGTGAGCAACAAAAGTGGCACGCTGACTGTTGGTGAAATATACCTGCGGATGCTCTTGACATTGCGCGGAATCAGCGCTGACAAGGCATTAGCTATTGGTTGGCAGTACCAGACACCCACCCAGTTATTTAAGGCGCTGCTTGGCGACCCTAATGATACCAATGGATCGGAAAAGCTGTTGGAGGACTTGACCATGTACGGATCCCGCCGCAAGCTGGGCCCTGCACTGGGAAAACGCATAGCGCAGTTTTGGACTGCGGAATCATTTGTCACAGACGCAAACTAATGCAGACAAATATATTTGAGTACTTGCAATATTGGCCTTATTTATTTCCGAATCGCTGGTGAGTTTTTGCAAATCCACCTTCAATATTATTCTTCTGTGGGTAAATCATAATCAATATTGGTGATTATATATAAAGCAATTCACAGTTTTACTATTATTTAATTATTATATCGTAAACAAAGGGTTTCCATTTTTTGCATATGCAAAACAAGCTGTTGCAACACACTGGACGATATGTATGTATGTATTTATTTATGTGTGTATTTATATTTACTAGTGATACATATGTGCGCGTGTACTTGTCTATCACGTGTAGCTGCCCACAGCTATAGAAAACGCTTTTGAGCAAGTACATGCATGCACAGAGCAGCCGGCCACTTAGTCTGGACTGGTGCCTTGAATCAACAACATTGTACTATCTTTCTTTCCATATAAATTGATAAAATCATTGATAGTTTTTAATTAAATGAACACGTACAATCTCTGCGGCGCACTGTCGCCACAAGCGCTGCACACACTTGCGCACAAGATCACCAGTGCGCGCAAATGCTGCTCGCAAGGCATTGCCGCCCTGGCCTCGCAGTACTGCCAGCGACTGGAGCGTGATGTCACCGATATGCCTGGAAATCCTGAGATCTCAGACTTGGTGGGATTCAGGCGGTTTGTGGACTTTTTGCAAGGCATCCACGTTCTTCATGAAGAGTTCAAGCATAAAGCTGATGGAAAAAAATCAGACTTGGCAGACTCGGCGTGGCGGGCACTAATGTTCGGCGTGTTCAATGACAGAGTGCATGCGTGGCTCGAGGAGTGGATATATGCAGCCACGTCGTGCTTACTGACGACAGCAGAGGACAGTAGTAACAATCAGCAGCAGAAGCAAACAGACGGGCTGGACATCAGTAGACCAATCTCAGGCTTGTCCAGCAGTCCGGACGACACTCGACTGTTCAATGAGGTACTGAAACAAGGGTGTCAACTGCTCACTACAATCCACGCGTTAGAGTATGTCAAATGTGCGATCAACAGCGGCGTGGGCAGGGCCATCCGAGTGCTGGTGCAAAGACAAGCAGGCCAGTGGACCACGCCCGCGCTGGACCGCCTCACATCCATTGTCAGCCAATCAGCCGGCGTCCTCTGCGCCCACCTGCCAAACGATGCATTGCGAGCAACGCACACAGCCACGCTGCGCGCGCATTTTTCGCAGCTGCGCGTGTCCGAGCTCTTCTCTATCATCACAGATTACCCAGCGTCGCTGCCAGCCATCATCGACCTGCGCGCCAGCCAGCCGCCGCTTGGCGAGATGGCCCGCTCGCTGCGTGCCTCAATGCAAAGGCGGCTGCTGCACCAGGCAGCCACCACGGCGGATATCCTGACGCAGTACATATCCACGATCCGCGTGCTGCGGCTGCTTGACCCGACCAGCACGGCGCTCGAGATCGTCGCGCGGCCATTGCGCTCCTATCTGCGCAGCCGGCCGGACACCGTGGCGTGCGTGGTCCAGGACATGGTAGCCGAGCACAGCGAGCTCTTCGAGGACCTGGCTTCTGCTGACACTGCTGCTGGTGCAAATGCAGAGCCCATGCATGGATTCAACGAGGACGGACTGTCATACGATCAGGACTACGCACTTCCGTGGGCGCCGCTGCCCAGGGAAGCGCAGGCGACGTACCGCACGGCGCAGAGGCGCGATGCAGATGTGCTCGGCCTGCTCGTCAGCATCTACGACTCGCCATCACTGTTCGTCAAGGAGTTCGAAGCGCACCTGCAGCGACGCCTGTTGGACGCTGCCGACTACGAGACGTCGAGAGAGGTGCGGCAAGTCGAGATGATGAAAATGCGCTTTGGCCCATTGGACTGCTGCGAGGTCATGCTGAAGGACGTGGCAGACTCCAAGCGCCTGAACGCGCACTGTGCGCAGGCGCTGCAGCGGTGGACAGCGGCGCCCATGCACGCGCTAGTTGTCTCCAGACAGTTCTGGCCCTCGGCAGCCGCTCCGGCGCCCTTATTCAGCTTGCCGGGCGAAATGGCCGAGATATGTGACAAGTATGCCGGTATGTACGAGTCGCTCAGACCGGCGCGCAAGCTCGAGTGGGTGATCTCGCAGGGACATGTCACTCTAGATGTTGAGCTTGGAGATAGGGCGCTCAAGATAACTGTCGGGCCGGACAAGGCTGCCCTGCTGATGGCGTTCCAGGCCACGCCGCGCATGACCGCGGCCGAGGCGGCAACGGCAATCGAATGCACGGAGGAGTTTGTCTTGCCGTTAGTGCGGTTCTGGCAGGCGCAGGGCGTGCTGCGCGAGTCTGCCGGCGCGTTCGAAGTGGCCGAGACTATCCAGGAGGAGGCCTGGGACGCAGGGTCTGAGTCGGACTCTGAACACGTCGATCTAGCTGGCGACAAGCACAAGGCGGAGGCAATGCAGATGCATGCCAACTACATAACCGGCATGCTCACCAGCATTGGTCCCTTGCCGCTGGACCGCATCCAGGGGATGCTGGCAATGTTCCTGCCCGGCGACACAACCACGCTCGACGAGTTGCGTGATCTGCTCGCGCTGATGGTCCGTAACGACCGCTTGGAGCTGGTTGGCGGCACTTACAAGCTCAAATAAATACAATTTTTTACCACATGAACCTCTGCAGCACGCCCGGCTCCGAGTCCCAGGCGAAAGGCCGGTACAGAAACACCCACAGAGTGGCGAAATTGATGCAGCCAAACCACATGATTTCCCAGAGGGCGTGTGAGGATCTCGAATGCATTCTCACAATGTAGTAAGGGATGGTAAAGTACCGGAACTCCAGCAGCGGCGACGGCACAATGACCAAACATGTACAGAGAAGCAATGAGAGCTGCCAAAGAGTGGATTCGCGAGACAGTAGTGTGTGCAGCGCCGAGCCGGCATATATGTAGAATGGTATGGCCAAATATTTGGCCGCTGGATGACGACGGAAGAAGTTTTTCCACAAGTAGAACGGATAATGCCGGTTATCGCTCAGAAGGAACGGGTGCTCGACGGTGTAATATCTGATACTGTATGTCATGGCCACGCCCAGAACCAGTCCCAGGGTAAGACTGCGCATAGGCCTACAAAACAAGATATAGCATAAACAGTCAGCCAGTGCATAAATGACAATGGTAAACTTTTTGATTAAATTATTACTTGATTTACCTTTTTGATATGCTTCGGACGAACCACAGCGGACTGACAATTGGGACCAAGGCCGGTGCCGATACTCCCACAATGTAGGCAAAGAAATATAGAATCTGCGGCAAGTGCATGCCCGCCCGGTGGTTCTCCTTGTCACCCAGCACAATGCCGCCGTTTGCCATAACAAAGCCGGCAAACAAAGCGACAACCATCGCATACGGCACCAAAACAACGGCTCGTTTGCTCAGGCACCAGAGGGCCAGTGATTTATCTGCTCGCCCACAGATCCGTGCACTTGGCGCAGCGCCACGGTGGAGGCGACAAAGACGACCCAAATGACATTTGTCTGCCGCACCCAAAGAGACAAAAATCCCAGCCCGCCCGCAGCCCAATGTCTGTCCCTCAGACTCACAGCGTACATGCCCAAAACTAGCGCCACGGACAATGTGTCCGTATAGTAGAGGTGGTTGAGGAAGAACGTCACGGGAAACAACGCCAGCGACAGACTTTTCAGCGCCAGTTGGATCCCCGGGCGCAGTTGGCCTTGCAGATCACGAATAATCCAGAATAACACTAGACTCGTTATCCAGTTTGTGTGACGCAAAAAGCTGACCGAGCACAGGTGTCCCAATATGCGGTTGAGCAGCGTCGAGAAGAGGTAGAGTCCTGGCGGCGTAGTCAGCTTGGGGTCCCAGACATGGAAGTTGCCCTGGCAGTAGTGCTGCGCCTGTGGAATGTGGAATATCTCATCCATGTAGGCGTTCGGCACGTTCATGTTGACTTGCTGTAGCACGGCGTAGCTGACCGCCGCATACGCTGCAAATATACCGCTGGTAGCCAGTATCGACAGCTGCGTCATGTGTAAGCAATAAAACGAAGAAGAGGTTTGGCAGCAGATAGTGCAAGTAAATAAATAAAGTTTTTAAATTGGAAATAGAGAGAGCAAAAAAAATTGAGTATTTTTAGATGTATTAGTTGCAGCGCGCATCGTGAAGTTGAGCGCGTGGATGGTAAATCCCAATTGGCCAGCTGCTTTTCACGAAAATAAAAACAAGCAAAAAAAAGGAGCCGAACCTTTTGAAATATGATTTGTCTTTGTTTTTTGAAGCAAGATCTTTTCCCCTTTCTTTTTTATTCTAATTGGCCCTTGCTTATATCTTTTTTATATTCTTCTATTTTACAGATTTATCGCCAGTAATTCGGTTGTCGTCGCCAATTTTTAATTCTTTTTTATTCTTTTTTCTATCGTTTATATATATATATTTTTGCTCGAATTCGCAAACAAATTGGACTAATTTCGACATCTTTATTTCTTCATTTATAATTCCATCTCTCTCTCCCTCTTTCCATTTTTGTTGCATTTCTCTTCTGTACTTGATATTATTTTCTCTAATTCTATTTATCCAGCTGTTTATCACTCGTCTCGATAATGGCCGACACAATCAAAGCGCCGGGAAACGCGGAGACTTCTTCGGCTCAGCCCTTACAGCTTACAGATGGAACGTCCATCGAGGCACCCGTAGTGCCTGCGGCCAAGAGCTCTGTTGTCACTGTTGTCGCACCCGGCCCGTTGGCATCCTGCGTTCGGTGTTCCCAACCAATCGGCGACCAGTGGGTGCCCTTCATGGATACGGTCTGTCACCCGCAGTGCTTTTGTTGCGAAGTAAGTGCTTGTAACTGCGTCCGATGTTTGGTTTTGACTTGAATGGGCGTAGACCAACAGTAGATAATACTGCTCTTCTGGCATTGCAAGCTGCTATTGCTTGAAGAACCCAACACATATTATGCTATTATATTTTTTTCCTCTTGATTTTTATTTTTCATTTTTCGCTAATTCTTTGCTCTTTTTACAAACGCTAGACTTGTGACGACAACGTAGAGGAAAAATACTGCGTCTTGGAGGACGCTGACGGCAAGAACCACCTGCTCTGCGAAAAGCACTACTTTGAGCGCACCAACATGGTCTGTCACAAATGTAAATCGCCGCTGGATACGACGTATGTGCATGCCATGGGCCGGAAATATCACCCGGACCACTTTACGTGCACGGCCTGTCCGACGATATTTGGGCCCGAAGGCACCTACTATGAGCACGAAAACGAGGCCTACTGCCTGCACCACTACACTTACCTTGTGGCGCGAAAGTGCGCCGGCTGCCAGCAGCCCATAATGAAGCTCTTTTTGCAGATGAGCAACCGCGGGGTCGAGGAGCATTGGCATCCGGAGTGCTACATGATTTACAAGTTCTGGAACGTCCGGATATGTCCCAGCATGTATGTGGGCGCCAGGGGCCGCGTCAACAAGCAGTTGCTGAAGCCACATAATTTTGTGAGCGAGCAGCAGATTTATCAGATTTGGACAGTGCTGTCATCGTTCGAGGAGTCCACTGCCGCGTGCATCTCGGACATGCTTTTGCAGGTATCGGGGGGCCATTATTTGGAAGGCCTGAGGCAGGCCGAGAGGTTCATCATGCACGTTGACGTGCTGTTTGCATCTATCGATGATCTCGAGGACGAGCTGTCACACTTTGACGATTCAACCGGTAAGTATTTTTCGTTACAGACAGAGGAGATGAAAGAGAGAGAGAGAGGGTCTATGTTTGGAATGAAGAAAAAAACAGGTTGCTTGTATTGAACTCTCTGCTAATCATTTATTTTTTGTTTATTTTTGATTTGCTCTTGTCCCAAATTTTTGTTTTCATTAGGCCTGCAGCATACACGCGAGCCCAAGCTGCTATGCAAAAAGATTGTCAGCTTCTTCTCTGTGCTCTCGCACACGCAGAGTAACGAGTCCAACGGCCTCACGCAAGAGTTGCTCTCCCTGGTAACCAGTCTCGCGCACTATCTTAAAGTGCTCACGCGCGTGGCTCTCAAGGGCGCGCTCAAGGCCCAAACCGAGTACAAATGCCCGTCCAGCATCAAGGCGCTTCTCTCCAAACTCACCGAGACCTCTGATCGGCAGAAATGGGCGCTCTTCCGGCTGTCCTACCAGGAGACCGACATCACCAGCGACCTCTGCACATCGTGCCACAGCGCCGTCGAAACCGAGTGCATAGAGCACTCGAGACGCCGCAAGCGCTGGCACCTGTACTGCTTCACGTGTGTGGTGTGCCAGAGCGAGATGCAGCAGTTTTATCCGCAGTCGGCCTTCGATGACCGGGGAGTCTACTGCCCTGGGTGCGCGCAGAAGCATGGTGTGACCAGCGGTGGGTTCAAGTTTGTGTCGCAGCTGGAGCAGTACTCGTTCTTGATGCGCGTCGCGCTGAAGCGGCTGTATGGGCTGCTCAAGATGAAGAATGCTGTGGAGAACCCCAGCGCCATGAGGTACAGGAAGGGCGAGAGCAATGTCAAGGAGTTTGCCAGCGGTGGGATCGCCGACGGATACAGGATCATGCCGCCGCCATTGTCGGGCGCAGCAGCAGCACAGGGGGAACAGAAGGTGGCACAGGACTCAGCCAACAGGGAGTTTGACGCGGCGCTGGAAAAGCTTGACAAGTTTGAGATTCAGCCAACGAGAGCCGCGGCCCTTGGGTCTGCTGGTGATCCGCAGATTGGCGATCAGATGGCCAAGCTGGCGCTCACCGACGCGTCGCCAGCGGCGGCCAATGCGGAAATGATGTGCGCTGTCAATGCCGCGGTCAAGGAGGCCAAGAGCGACAACAACGTGCATGTGGTTGAGGCTAACTCGCCAGAGCCGCCGCAAGTTCTCGCTGACCGACGCAAGCCGCGCATGGCGCACGCTACGGTGCACACAATGAAGGCGCGCATGGAGAACCGCGGATGCGCGTCGCCGCCCTCGCCGCAGGTGCCGCAGATGCGCCGTGCCGGGCAGATTGCCAACCCACTGCTGCCTCAACAGCAACAACAAGCACTACAGCAGCAGCAGGTTAAACAGCCGCAGACCAGCAGCGACGAGCACAGGGTGGCCAACGAGGCCGAGACCGTGACCAAGGTCAAGAGCATGCTGAGCCGACCGCACACCATGCGGTTCGGGTCTGACCTCAACACAGCCGAGCTGTTCTGCGCAAAGCACGTGGCGGTGTCGCGGCTGTCGGCGCTGCTGGGCGGCGGGCAGAGCGAGTTCTCGCAGGCCGACCTCGTGGCGCTCATTGGCGCGCCCAAAAAGACGTCTGCCGTAGGCATGTGGTCGCGGCTCAAGACCAATCTGAAGAAGAAGGACGGCACTGGGGGCGGCAATGTTGGCAGCGGACAGGGAGGGCAGGGCGGAAAGGACCGCATGCGCATGGCCACATTCGGCGTGCCTCTGGAGATGCTCATGGAGCGGCAGGGCGTCGAGACCGAGCTGGGCGCGCACGGCAAGCAGAATCTGCAGGTGCCGCAGTTCTTCGAGCTCATGCTCACCACACTGTCCTCCATGGACCTGGCCGTCGAGGGCATTTTCCGCAAGAACGGCAACATCCGGCGGCTGCGCGAAGTCACTGACTCTGTAGACAAGGACTACGCGCGCGTGGACCTCACCAGGGAGACGCCTGTGCAGCTCGCCGCACTGCTCAAGAAGTTTTTGCGCGAGTTGCCCGATCCGCTGATCCCCTTCCGCATGCGGCGGCTGTTCCTGGCCATCAGCAGCATTGCGCAAGCGTCCCGTCTGGATGCCTTCCGCTACGCCATTCTCCTTATGCCACAGACCAACCGTGATATGCTCAATGTGCTAGTGACGTTCCTCAACTGGGTCGCCACCTTCTCGCACGTCGACGAGCAGACTGGGTCTAAGATGGACGTGCCCAACTTGGCTACCGTCATTGCGCCCAACATCTTGAATGCCGACGTGAAGGAACCGACTAGAGACCGCGACGACACGTTCTCGTATGAGGCCTGCGCTGTCGTGCAGCAGTTTATGGAGGCCGGCGAGCTTCTGTGGTTGCTGCCCGATGCTGTTATTGCCTTTTTGCGGGATAACTCGACTGAGTTTGCCGAGGGCACGTCGGAGCTCAATACGAAGGAGCTGCTCCGGCGCTGTGAGCGTCAGGTCCAGGGAAGCGCGCCTGCGCAGGCCTTGGCTGATGTGGAGTAGAGTAGATCGAACGGCTTTCAATTGCACTACAAAATTAAAAAAATATTTTTATCACTTTTTTTGTTGGGCCCTGCCTTTTTTCCGTTGGGATTAATGCATTGAAATAAAATCCGAATCGACGCCACAGTTTTGGCTACTGGCAAAGCTTGAATTGCAGGAACACTTTTGACTGCCATTTTTGATTTTTTGTTTTCCAGTTCTATTTTATTTACAAATCCACCAATTCATTGGATTTCAACTTCAATTCGACTTGTAGCAATGAATTTCAACCTTCTTTCGAAGAAACCCGCCGCCCTGCTTTTACTTGCACGACACTCAAGATGCCTGAGCACGGTCCCACTTTCTTATACCAAAACTACAGCAGCCCCTAGCGTCAGCGCCAACCCGCCACTGCTGATCGTGCACGGGCTTTTTGGGTCAAAGCAAAACTGGCGCGCAATTGCCAACCAACTGACCCGCACGCTAAACCGAGACACCTATAGTGTCGACCTACGCAACCACGGCGAAAGCCCACACCAATCCCCACACACATACCCGGCAATGTCGCAAGACATTCAGCAATTCATCCAGGACCACCAGCTCACAAAACCCGTTCTCTTGGGTCACTCTATGGGCGGCAAAGTGGTCATGCAAGTGGCGCTGGAGCGCCCAGATCTGGTATCGCAGCTTATTGTCGACGATATAGCGCCGGTCAAGCTCAGGCTCTCACATGACTTTGACAAGTATGTGGACAAATTGAAGGAAATTGAGGCGGCCGGGGTAAAGTCGCAGAAGGTGGCTGATGAGATGCTGTGCGAGGCGGAGGAGGATTTAGGCGTGAGGCAGTTTTTGCTGACTAACATGAAACGCATCGATGGGGTGTACCGTTCCAGGGTGCCGTTGGATTTGCTACGCGATAGCTTGAGTAATGTCATGGGTTGGGAGGCTGAGGGCGTGTACACGGGGCCGACATTGTTTATTAGCGGGAAAAAGTCGCCTCACGTCAGACCTGGGGTATATGAAGAGATTAAGAAGCTTTTTCCTAACTACGAGCTTGACGAGTTGGACACTGGTCATTGGGTACATGCTGAGAAACCGAGAGAATTTATGGCGCTTGTGGAGGAGTTTATCAGAAGAAACGAATGAGCTTTTGTATTTGTTTAGAATATTTATTTAGAAAGTTTTAGAAATGGTAGAAATAATTTTTAAGAAATTGAATTGAATAGAAACTGAGTGTCAAGTAGAGACTTTTTTTGTAGCCTGTAATAAATAAAAATTATAACCCTGGTAATTGAAGCTTGCCTTGTTGAATGTGTTGTGTCGAGAAAATAAAAAATATAAGCCTGCACACTTTTATTGATGTGGTAAATCCAAACATATGGCCAGCATATCTTTGACCATACCTGTCGTGCTATCCAATACCGCGTTGGCACCATATTTTTTGTGGTGATGGAAATCACACAAGCTTGGTCGAGTTGTTAAACATGAACAAAATGAAACCAATGCCGAGTTGGCCTTCAGTCAGTTTGGATTTCTTATAAAAAGGCACATGGGAATGCTCAATGAGCTTTCTCTAGTTTTAGCTTGAATAAAAATTTACCGGACTCGTTGGTCTGAACCATCATTACAATTTTGCTTTTATTAAATCATCCATCGGGGTTTTGTTTTTTTTACTAAATGGATTTAATTTTTTCAAATTAATAACTGGATAATGGATAACCACTTTGATGTCAGTCAAATTGTAAAGAAACGTACCAGCATCTTGAATCTCTGTAAAACCACTGAGTATTTCTATATGTGTAGATTTATCTATACTAGCAATATTCTCATGTAATTGCCCAACTGTTTTTTTATTTGAAATCCTTACCTTGGCTATAGGCTTATCACTAATAAAGTTATTCTTGAATACTTCACAATCTATTAAATCGTTTTCAAGGGTACTTGTATCTGCCCGAATATCGTCTTCCATTTTTGTACTAGCAAAAGTACTTTTTATAATTTTGGAACCGCTGTCATCGCTTTTTTTTTGTTTGGGGGTATCTATACGAGCTCTTTGCATCGAGTTGATGGTACGAGCTTGTTTTTTGTTGATTTCTGAGCCAGCAAGAGCAGTTTTTTTACCTTTTTTATTGTTGGCAGCAGATCTTTCCTCAGTGTCAAGGCTCTGTTTTCCCCTAGTTTTGGTAATCAACCTATTGCTTTTCTCGTCTTTGGGGTTGACATAGACAGTTCTATCTGTGCTGCTGCAAACAATAACAGGGATTTTCTTGTCTGTTTTTATGAATTTGCTGTTTTTAGTAGCGCCAAAAGAAGAAAGCTTATTATTGGTGTCATCACCGGTTTTACTGTTAGCAGGGGGTTTGTCCGTTTGTTTAGCCAACATGGTTATGAATAAAAGTGTTAGCTTGTTGACAAATAAATAATTATATGTATAATTATATGCAAAATATGGAGAAGAGAAAGAAAAGGGTCTGGATAAAAAATTGGTTTAATTTTAAGAGAATCTTTAAGCAAGTAGACCGTGCCTTGGGTATGGAAAATATAAAGAAAAGTGCATGTGTGCATTTTATTGATGTATATCAAAACAAATTGTAAAAAAGGATAATGAGCAAAAGGTAAATGACCTGATTTTATAAAATAAAATAAAATCCAAGTCACAAATCCTTTGTATTGGCTTTGGCCTTTATGTTTAATTGAATGTACACAACAATTTATTAAAATAAACGAGAAATTAATTCTTAGGCTTAATAGTGCAGAACTATTTTTAGTTTTATTTATTTTGCAATTATAATAATTAAAGTACACTCACGATAGTTCTGCTATTTTTTAACTATTAATAAATTGTATTCCGTAAAATTCCATGCATTTTGTATTTACTACATTGTAAACACACAACAATGCATATACATTGTCCAGGTTGAGCAATTTTTCTTTTATTATTCTTTTTCATTTTACTAAGGAATATGGAACGACAAATTAAATGAAAGAAAAAATGCTAGAAAGAAACTATGGATACTGTATTGTTGTGAACAGCTTCCGCAGCAATGCCGGAATAATTCCTAAAAAATTTAGCAGGGAGGAGATTCTGAGGTTTTAGGATAACGTACATATAGACGAGACTGTCTACCACCTGTGAAAAGCTCGGTCCGGACCGAGGTCTGACTTTAACCACATGCAGGAAATACAAAAAAAATAGCTAACATAACCACCCCCTAGAACCAATGTAACTTTATTGTGTTGGGTTCGACTCTCTATCCTCGCTGAGCTCTACCCTCTTCATCTTGCCACAGCCCCAGTCTCTGTTCTGTTATGATTTGGGGGAGCACTAGTCTTCTAGTGTTGAGGTTATGTCTGGGGTTTGTTATCGTTTTTATTACCAATGGAATCAAAAGTAGAACTAGGGCCAGCCTCATCTTATATATATACCTCGTTGCCTTTATTGTGCACTTCACAAATTGTGCACCCCATTGGTGAGAGCTAGTGCCTCTGCAGACAGCCTGGTGTCTTGGCGTGTCAAGGCTATACTCTTCGTATGTGCGCGTTCAAGCATATGCATTATGGAATGGAGGGGTATATCAGAGTGCCATTATTGTATCCCCTGATTTGATCTTGTATGGTACCATCAATGCCCTGTTAATTGGCATGTTGAGGTTAAAGATCGTGGAGCGGGTCTTCATCAACATCCACTTCCATATCATCAGGCTGGTCACCAGTTCAACCTGTGACTTGAATTTATAAACTCCACAGTCTATCCTGGTCGACTGTGAAAATAAAAAATAAATGGCAGAGTGAAATAAAATTTGAGTCCACATACTTGCCAGAGAAGTAGGGGGAGGATGATCACATCACATGTGGGAGTCGAAGGGCAAAATTAAAGCGTTGATTGAATGAGAATAAATTTACTCTTGATTGATCACAGACCAAGGTTATTATCAGCGTAAGCAAATTCCCAAAAAAAAAATAACGATCGAGTTTGTCGGTGATACGAGGAAATGAAATAGGCATGATTGCTGATTGTTATTTTTTTATCTTCTCTTCTTTTTTTCTATGTTGAATTAAATAGAATTGTATTTTAAATTCAGTTATTTTATTATTATTTTTTTATCAAGCTCATTATGTCTGCATCAAAGATAAAGGGCGCGCGTATGCTATCTGCCGCAAATGCAACAGCAACCAAAACCAGCCGACTGGTGTTTGGCGCTCGCAGTCTCAGTCTCAGCTGTCGCCCACTTACTGCTACCACCGTAGTTTCCAATGCTCTGTCCCGTACACAGCAGCACACTTTACTCTCACCACGCTCATTCTCAACCAGCAGCACTCGCAAGTCTCAGTCAGCCGGCATTGCCGCCGAAGGACCGCTTACCAGCGGGCTGGAAAAGGGCCAAGAGCTGCATGGATTTAAAGTGGAGGACATACAGACGATCTCCGAGCTCAAGCTGCGTGCGATTCAGCTGCGGCACCAGCAGACCGGCGCCGAATGGCTGCATATTGAGCGCGACGACAAGAACAACGTATTCAGCATTGGATTCAACACGTCAGTGAGCGACAGCACCGGAGTCCCACATATTCTCGAACATACGACATTGTGCGGATCCGAGAAGTATCCCGTGCGCGATCCGTTTTTCAAGATGCTTAATCGGTCAATGTCAACCTTCATGAATGCTTGGACGGCGCATGATTACACGCAGTATCCATTTGCAACGCAGAATGCCAGGGATTATGAGAACTTGCAGGGTGTTTATTTGGACGCGGTGTTTAAGCCAACACTGCGGGAGGTGGATTTCAGACAAGAAGGGTGGAGGTTGGAGCGGAATCCGGATGGCGCTCTCGGGTGGCAGTTCAAGGGCGTTGTTTATAATGAGATGAAGGGTGCATTTTCGGACGCCGGCAGTCTGTATGCGACCAGGGCAGAACAGCAGCTGTTCCCGGGCACGACATACCAATATGTCAGCGGCGGTGACCCGGAGTTTATCCCGGATCTGACGCACGAGCAGCTGGTCGAGTTCCACCGGACCAGGTACCACCCGAGCAACGCGCGTATCTACTCATACGGAAACCTGCCGCTGGCGCCGCAGCTGCAGCGGGTCGCCCAGGTCATCGGGTCGTACACGCGGATTACGCCAGCCACGGTGGGGATGGACGTGGAGGAGTTTGGCGAGAAAATGGTCAGCGAGCTCGGCCCCGTGGAGAACGTCGGGACGGCAGACAAGCAGACGCGATTCTCGCTTGGATTCCTAGCCAATGACCTGCGCAACGTCTATGAGACGTTCTCCATGAGCATGTTTTCCAGCTTGCTTTTGAACGGCACATCGGCGCCAATGCACAAGGCGCTGATTGACTCGCATATTGGGCTGGACTACAGCGCTAACACCGGGTATAGCCCGTATACTAGGCGCACGTCGCTGGCGGTGGGGCTGCAGGGGATTTCAGACAGTGATATTCCGCTGGTGGAGCGCCGGATCAGGGAAACATTCGCCTTGGTGCATGAGCAAGGCTTTGAGCGGCGCCGCGTGGACGCTGCATTGGCAGGTGTGGAGCTGGCGTATAAGCACCGGACTGCGGATTTCGGGCTCAGCCTGATGAAGTCCATCAGCACCGGGTGGTTCCATGGGGTTAACCCGGTGGAGTACCTTAAGGTTAGCGAGAACGTAGCGCGCTTGCGCGCAGACATTGAGCGCGGTGGGTTCTTCGAGTCCCTCGCCGACCGCTACTTCCTCAACAGCCAGCATACGCTTAAGTACGCGATGCTGCCGGACACCAAATATAATGAGCGGCTGGATCGCAGGGAGCACGAGCTGATCCAGGGCAAGCTGGCGTCTTTGAGCAGTGCGGATCTGGCTCTGGTTGACCGCAAGAACGAGGCATTGGCGCAGGAGCAGATGCGCCAGGAGGACCTGAGCTCGCTGCCGACGCTGACGCTAGCAGATGTGCCTGCGGATGCCGGGCGCTATGCTTTGTCGATGGGCGTGGCGGGCGACGGCACGCCGGTTCCGGTGCAGTGGCGTACGACTTCGACTAATGGGATCAGCTACCTGCGCGTCATCAATGATGTGCGGGACAAGTATCCGGAGCTCCGCGCATACCTGCCCTTGTTCTGCGAGTGCCTGACGTATCTCGGCACGACATCGCGCGACATGGCGGAGATCGAGACCGATATCCGTCTGCATACCGGCGGCATTTCATTCTCACCCTTTGTGACGACGGATCTTGCGAACCTGGGTCATATTGAGGCTGGAATTTCATTCGGGTCGCATTGCTTAGACCAGCATATTGAACCCATGTACGGGTTGGTATTGGAACTCGTGCGGGAGACTAATTTTGGCAACAAGGACCGACTGAAGGCATTGCTGAATGCGCTGGCGAGCAATATGTTTAACGACGTGGCTAGCTCCGGACACGCATATGCGAGGAGACTGGCGGCATCGACGCTTGTGCCGGAGGCGGGGGCGCTGGAAACGATGAATGGGATTTCTCAGGTCAAGTTTATCAGTGACTTGGCGAGGCTCAAGGACCTGGACCCCGTGGTGGAGAAGCTTAAGCGCGTGCAGGAAGTTGTGTTCAACAAGCTGACTATGCGCACGGCAGTGACGACCAATAAGGGAAGCTCTGACGATAACCAGCGCGCGCTGGATCATTTGCTCCAGTCCTACCCCCAGCAAGGCCACCAGCAGCAGTCGAAGCAAGGGGGCTGGAAGGAGGTGGAGAAATTCACTGCAACCAGCGGTCGGTTCTTCTGCCCATTGCCTTTTGCAACTAACTACGCCGGTATGGCGACCCGCTGTGTTCCTTATAACCACGCAGACAGCGTCAAACTCCAGCTGCTGGCCAAATTCCTCACTCCCAATTACCTGCACCGGGAGATCCGCGAACGCAACGGAGCCTATGGCGGTGGCGCCGGGTATTCTGCACTCCAGGGTGTTTTCAGCTTCTTCTCGTACCGTGACCCAAGTCCCCTGACGTCCATCGAGACTTTTGCAAAGTCTATCGAGTGGATTACCGCAGAGAAACATGAGATCTCAGAGAGGGAGATGATGGAGGCCAAGCTGTCTGTGTTTGGAGATTTGGATACGCCGTTGTCTGTGGCTGAGGAGGGTATGGGGTATTTTACCACTGGGGTTACGGATGACATGAGGCAGGAACGCAGGGAGCAGTTCTTTGCTGTTACGCCGGCTGATCTGAAGGACGTTGCCTGTAGGTATTTGGCCTCGGAGAATGCCGCCAAGGTCACCTCTGTTGCGGTTATTGGAGAAGAGACCCTGGCCATTTCCGGTGACTGGGCCCAGGTACATCTGAAGTAACATAAATTATATGGCATGAAATATGTTTTTTTTATTATAGTTTATATGCGATTAGAGAATATCAAATTATCATTCTTTTTCTTTTTTCTTTTCTTCTTTTGTCCTTTGTCTTTACGTAAACACTTCGACCGGAACCAGGATCTCCTTGTCACCAAGTTTGGCGCCCAAATTCTCGTTTCTCAAGAAATTGAGCGGAATGGGCACCAAATGTCCCCTGACATTCTTCAGCATCTCCAATGTCTCAACCGTACTCTTCCCGGGCAGCGCGTGTCCATAGGGCACCTCATGTCCCGGAATAAACCTCCTATACTGCTCGAAATTTTCAATAGTGTCATCAGGCACGCACTTGAAAACATCCCTAAAAACCTCAGCATTCGTCGTCGCAGTGTTCCACCAAAGCTCCATGAAATCGTCTGATAGGGGGTCCTCAAGCACGCGGCGAGCACGCTTGCTCTCCGCAATATCCGCCTCGGACCTCTTTGTATCGATAGGCGGATTGCCCGCAAATGCCTCAAAGACATACCGCATCTGGTCGACGCTCTCCAGCAACCCCGAGTGCTCCTGGCATAGTTGCATGCGCAAGGAGTGCGCAAACTTGGCGGCCTGATATGGTCTGCCGTCCATGGTTGTGCGGATGGGCTCGGTGTCTTCAACTATCATGGCAATCTCGGAATCGCGGTTACCGACCATTGATCGGTCATTGATGTTGGCTGATCCCATGATGACGTACCGGTCGTCGACGATCATCAGCTTGCAGTGGATGTAGACGAGCTCGGACACGATTTGGTTGATTACTTCGGGCTCGACGTGGACAATTTCAGACTGGTCCGTGGTGGTGTGCGCTGTGTGCGGCGATGGCAGCGGAGGCTCGACGGTCACGGTGGGCAGCGATGCCGGTGCCGTAGATAGTGTGCTGAGAGGCGGCGGGCGCGGCAGAACGTTCAGGCGCCGCGTGCTCACCTGCTGCTGCTGCTGCTGGGATGGAATAGCAGCCTTTTTGGCGCCGCCAAATACCTCATGCTCCATAATCTGTGGACCCATGCGTGGCGGCGGTGGAAACGCTGAGGGCTTCGGCGCTAGTGTCAAAGATGACAGCACGGCAGCAGGCCTCTGCTTGCCCTCGCTAATGCGCGAACCTGTCGACATATTGCGGCCATGCGACGTCCCAGCACCGCCACCACCGGACTCGCCAGGGGTAGCGGCTATCTCTGCGTCGATCCGACGGCGCTCACGCATATACTCAGCGCCGGCAAACTCCGGCAGCACAGTATGCTGCTCGCGATCAATACCCTTGCCTCCAGCCTGCTTGGGGTGCTGGTTCGGGCCACCAAGGAAGGCTGCCTCCTCGGAAATGCGCTTGTTCTTTGGGTGCACGTAGTTGTCGACGTCATCCATGTCCACCTGCATGTGCGGCCCGCCGTACTCCGAGTCCGAGTCCCGCCGGTCCTCGGAAGTGAGCCCGTACTTGTGCATCTTCTTGTGCAGCCTGCTGCTACTCCCTTCTTTTTTGATTTTGCGGCCGGCCTTGGGCTTCTTTTGTCTGCCATACTGCTTGATGTGCTCGGTGCCGCGGACCAGGTAGCGCAACGCTGTTTTGCGCCGCCCGTCGTTGTCCAGCCGGCGCATGCCGTACCTGCTGCGGCCATCGGCCATCACGTGGTCATATTCCATATCCGAGGACGAAAGGTCAGACTCGGACGACGATGAGGAAGACGATGACGACGAAGATAACGACGACGACGACTCCGACTTGGCCGAGAACGTGCTGGTACGGTCTCCCCCTCCACCAGTCAAAAAGTTGCGAATTCCACCAGAGAACGACGATCTGCGGCGGGACAGCGGGTTGCGCGACAGGTTGAACGAGTGGCGACCAATCATGCTTGGGCGGGTCTGCGACTTTGACCGGGCCACAAGGCTGCCCTGGTCCTGCGACCGACGCCTGATCTCCTGCGACTTGCGCGCTGGATTGTTCTGCATCGGATAATTGTCCTCGGCAAAGGCCTCGTCGGGCCGCTGGAACGCAAAATCAGCGTTATGCGACGCCGGGTCGTGACTCTGGTTAAACGAAAGCGAGGGCGTGATCTGCACAGGGAACGATGCTGCGCGGTGCGTCTCGGATGGCGGCGGTAGCGGCGGCGTCGGCGTCAGCAGCTCAGCGTGCGTGGTGGCCTTCTTGGGGTTTTCTGGCGGCTGCGTGCGGTCAATAACCGGGACGCCCTGCTTGCTCAGCATGTCCTCGAAGCCGGGCGCCTCCTGCGGTGCGTTGCCGGCAATAGCCGTGATGTCCTGCTTAACAGCACCGTCGGCAAAGCGGCGGATAACATCGTAGGTGCGCAGACCGAAGAAGCGAATGTACTGGTGCATATCAATGCCCTCCTTGGCCAGCTGCGAGGCGATCGAGTGGTCGCCGCGGCAGATAGTCTGGTACTGCCAGTGCATAACCAGCTTGAGCGTGGCGGCGCCGGCCGCATTGACGTCGCCCTCAAAGGCCGGCATCAGGGGCATCAGTACAATGACACGGAACTTCTCCTCGCGGCGGTGCGCGTGCTTAATGCGGTCGACCAACGCCTCGGCAATGCGGTTCTTGATGGTGTACCCGGCATCCTCGCGCGCGCTCGAGATGAAGAACTGGTTCTCGATGTAGATGAAGTGTTTGGCATCGCGGATCATCTCGCAGTACGCCGTGTGGATGCTGCTCTCCTTGCTGATGCCCATAGACCACTCGGCCGATGACCGCAGCACCTGCGTGCGGCAAGTGCCGCGGTACTGCATATCATTGCGTGTCGCCGAGTACTCGCCCTTGGGCATCAGGAACGGCATGTGTGCCTTGGCCAGCGCCTTGGAGCCCTTGATGAAGTTCCAGCGCTGGATGAAGTGGCGCGCGACGTCCCTTGCCGGCTGGCCAATCATCGCCATGTGCACGTCGTGCCACGGCATGCGCGCCGTCGAGCATCGGTCGATCAGCGTGTCCTCGTACTCGTGCACGTTGGAAAAGTCGTGGATGCGCGCGTTGTTGTAGTCCTGGCCGAAGAAGTTCTGCAGGTGCGCAAACGGCCGGCCCTTGTGCGGCAAAAAGTAGTCGGCCAGCCGGTGGCCGTGCGTGTCGTAGCGGCCCCAGCACAGGTCCAGCCCGCCAATAAACGCAAAGGTGTTGTCCACAATTACCATCTTCTCATGGTGCGCCCAGAACATGGTTCCGCCGGCCAGATGGTCCGGGTGCCGCTGCACCATGATGTTCGGGTGCAGCGACTGCAGCTTGCGCTTGGTATACGCCGAGTTGATTGTCAGCGACACCGTGACCTCCTTGTAGATAACCACGTATATCTTAACGCCCTCCTCGGCCTTGCGCTTCAGCAGCCGGTCCAGCCGGAACTCCTCGTTCAGGTGGTACGGCCGCCGCAGGTGCAGCTCAGGTGACAGCCACCAGTCCTCGATGTAGATGCAGTCGGTCGCCTTCTCCAGCGCCTCAGACAGCGCGTAGAAATAGTCATCGCCGTCAACGAACCAGATGACGCGGCTGTTGTCGCGGATCGGCGCAAAAGATTCAAAGCGGTGCGGCACGGCCCACGCGGACAGCCGCTTCATCTCGCCAATCGAGTGGCGCCACTCATTGATAACGCGCTCGCTGTCGCTGCGCAGCTGGATGCGGCGGTACTGGTTGGACACGGTGATGCGGTACGGAAACAACGGGTTGTGGCCCGACTTTTTGCGGTACTTGATGTCAAACTGCGGGTCGGCAAACAGCACGTCGCTGGGGTACGGGTCCGAGATGTGGTTGCAGAACGCGATGAACGAGTCGCGCACCAGCACCCACTGCTTGGACCACCGCCGCAGGTCGCGCGGCGTGCACCACATGCCAGTGGTATGCTCGACGCGCCGGTCCAGGCTGCCCTCCTTGCCCTTCCAGCCGACGTCCTTGATGATCGACACGGCGCTAAGCTCGAGGAACGTGCACACCTCGTAGGCCGGCCGCATGTTGAGCGCGCGCAGCAGCTTGACCAGGTACGACTCGAGCGCCTGCTTGCGGTCAACTGTCGACTGCATGCGCCGCTCGCTGCCGCTGCCGGTGCCGCCCAGATTGAACAGCCGCGCGCGCTCGATCGCGTAGCTGATCTGCGGCGGGAACGCCGGCAGCTGCGTGACACGGCCCTGGAACTTGCGCAGCGTCAGCACCGTGTGCAGCGCCAGAAAGTCGTTGAGCCGCCGGTGGATCGACCACTTGACGTCGCCGTACTGCAGCTCGATGCGCACAATAAAGTGGTGATCCTCCTCGCTGGTCGGCACCGCGCCCGACACCATGACGCTGAGCCGGATCGCGTCAAAGATCACGGGCGGCGCGCGGTGGCCGTGCTCGTCGCGCATAAAATGGAACATTGGCACAAACATCGCGTCCTGCAAGAACGGGAAGATGCTGTTGGGCATTGCGCTCTTCATCTGCCGCTGCGGCTTGCGCCCCGTCAGCACCGTGGCCTTGATGACCGCGCGCCGCAGCTTGTGCCGCAGGTCGTCGACGCGCTTGCGCCGCCCGGCCGCCTCGTCGTCGTCGTCGTCGTCGTCGTTGTTGCCATCGGCTTTGTTGTTATGGTTGTCGTCATCGTCGTTTGAGCCGCGATGGAACAGCCGCGCGAGCAGCGGCGACTCCTTATCGTGCACGTGCTCGGATGCGCTCTCGATCTTGTCCTGTGCGCGAATGAGCTTGGCCTTAACGCCGTCGGGGCCGATGACCGGCCCCCCGCTGACATCCTTGATTGTGTACGAATGCGCGAGCGCCGTTGTCGATGTGTTTGAGCCCGTGTAGTACTGCAGTGCCGACCCAGTCGACGAGACGCCCGTGTCGGCGCGGTCGCGGCTGCCGTTGCGCTCGCCACCTGCGTTGATGTCTGTGCTGCGCGCCTGTCTGCAAGGGTAGTTGTCGTCGGACCTATGCGATTAGATTGTATTAGATTGCATTGGCATTGGCATTAATATTAGCATTGAAGATGAGCGGGGGGTGTGCTTTTTAATTGAAAGGAGCCGGGGGAAGTGGAGGGGAGGCATCTTTGCTGCAATATAGTGCATGCGCATTGAGAAATGCGCGCATCGCATTTTCAACACTTCAGCATCAAGCATTGGGCGCATCACGATCTGCAAACTCCCTTCTTCAGTCTGTGATCAGCTGAAGCAAGCCAAGCTGGGCAACGCGGAAGTAGTGCCTCAACCGAAGGAAACGAACACTGCGGGTGCAGCAAGAGGTAGAGATAGAGATGGAGATAGAGATGGAGATAGACATAGACATAGACATGGAGATAGACATAGACATAGACATAGACATAGACATAGACATAGACATAGACATAGACATAGACATAGACATAGACATAGACATAGACATAGACATGGAGATGGAGTGTGTTGAGATGTTGAGCGGAATAGCATATATCAAAACGAAACAGCGACAATAGCAACAATAGCAACAATAGCAACAATAGCAACAGCAAAACAAAAAACACCATTGCAAGCAGTAAAACACATTAAGAGCCGTACTCATACACATACTGGACGTCACCGTGAGCCAGAGAGTCCTCGCCCATCGCAGGCACCCTCAGCTCCAACTGCTGCTGCTGCTGCTGTTGTTGCTGATGCTGCTGCTCCTCTGGCTGCAGCTGCTGTTCTTTCTCAGCATAATCGCTGTCCTCTATATTGTTCTCAGCGCGCTGGGACATGTCCGAAAACAGCTTATCCCACCCGCTAACGCTCCTCCTATGGGCATACGACACCCTGTTAGTCTCCGGCTGCTGCTCTCCAGCGGTTGAAATGGGCAGTAGCGGGGATATTGGCTGAGGCGGCAAGCATTCTATGCTGCTTCGGTTGGCTGCCTGCGGGACGTTGTTTCCAGCGAGATCTATTGTGTTGCTTTTGTGGATGGGTGGCCTCTTTTGTAATGGCGAGAGCATGAGTGCCTTTGCCGCCGCCTTCCCTGCGGCTGTCGGTCTCTGTGGTGGTGGATTGGTTGGCGAAGACGAATTTCCAATGGCCGTGGTTCCCTGCACCTGCTCTTTCTCTTCTTGTTTTGTTGGGCTCATTTCACGCAGAGGTAAATAAATAAAATGGCGAATTTTACAGTAAATAAATAAAGTTTTTTTTCTTTGCAAGTAGAAAAAAATGAACAAATGAACAAATACAAAAAAAAGTGGCTGCTAAAACAGAAACGAAAAAGAAATAAAATGCAAAAAAAGAAGGCATATGCGGGGGCAAACATTACACAGTGAAATAAACACATGCTGTTTGGGTTGCAACGCGCATATCTATTTTTCCAATCAGGGGTTTTATTCAACTGAGACTTTAAAGTAGACAAACATTAGTTTTTTTATGGCAAGACAGAGATGAGGTATTTGAGATCATATTTTTTGTCATTGCAGTGACATACGTAATTTATCTAAACGGTCCAATTTTTTTTCTTATTTGTGTTGGTTTGTATTTGGGCTTGGCTTTATCCGTGAGAGATATTAAAGCAAAAGTTTGTACGTTTTGCCTATTTTGGCTTTTTCTCTTCATTAATATTTTTTCCATGGCTTTTTTCCGAATCGGTGCTGCAATGCCTGCCCCCGATGGCTATCACGCAACCTGATCGATGCCTTATTCGTTCACGTGTATCGTCACACTCGTTTGTTTTTTAAACACAAAGAGTAGAGCACGCACACGCACACGCACAGGCTTCTAAAGTAAAAAAAGCTTGCCGCTTCTGCTTAAGTTCTTTATGCGGCGTAATACATTTTTATTATGTATTCGTAATACACACCGCTCAGACAAAAAAAAATAAAGGAAGAAAAAAAAACAGGCTTGCATCACTTTTTTCTTTTTTTTCCTGCGTAGTGTTTTTGGGTCTAAAGCATGCTTGTTATTTTTTTGTTCTTGTTTGTTTGTTTTTTCTCTCGCCTCATCCTTCTCCTATTTCACACTTTACTCCCCCCATCACTTTCCCTCGCACTCCCCCCCCTCCCAAATAACTTTGCTTCTCTTTTCTTGGGTTTGACTTTTTTTATTTGAGTTTATACTTTTTTTATTCCAATCTGTGTACTCTATTTTTATTTGCATTTCTCTGTCTCGAATAATATTACCATCAACGCCGCCCCGTTGCAGAGACGCTCTTATTTTTTTGCTACCCACGCCGCCTGTCAATACAAACCAAAAACAAACCACAGCAAATACAAATATAAAATACTGAGCTCTTTTTCCAACTAGCGAAATATTCGAGTGGAAAGGCAAATGGCATCGATTCTAAAAGCGATACTGGACTGGCTTCGGAGCCTTTTCTGGAAGGAAGAGATGGAGCTTACGCTGGTCGGACTGCAAAACTCGGGCAAAACAACATTGGTAAACGTCATAGCCTCTGGCCAATTCACCGAAGACATGATTCCCACGGTGGGCTTCAACATGCGCAAGGTAACCAAGGGCAACGTCACGATGAAGCTCTGGGACATTGGCGGCCAACCGCGGTTCCGAAGCATGTGGGAGCGCTATTGTCGCGGAGTCAACGCCATTGTGTTTGTCATCGATGCCGCCGATCATAACAAGTTGGACCAGGCGAGGGCCGAGTTGTGGAGTTTGCTGGAGAAGCCGCAGTTGGCCAACATTCCAGTTTTGGTCCTGGGCAATAAGAATGACTTGGACGAGTCTCTGACTGTGGAGCAGCTCATCGAGGCTATGAACCTGCAGGCTATAACTTCGAGGGAGGTTGCTTGTTACTCTATTTCTGCCAAGAATCAGGTCAATATCGATATTACGCTCACGTGGCTCATCCAGCATTCGTCATCGGCATCGTCGCCGACCGCAGCACACGCCGAAATGCCAATGTGAACTCCTTTTATATTTCTTCTCTCCCTCTTTTTTCTTTTTGTTCGCTCGTCCCTTTTTTATATTAAACAGCAGCCAAATTCCCCCCTTGCAAAACCTCCTTTTTCCTCTTCTTCTTTCCGGTGCCTTTCTTAATTAAATTTATCAACTATATTTTATTATCGAGTGAAACTAAGTGAGAGCGAGGCCCAGAAAGATATTAATGCAAAGTCGAAACAAATCAAATGATGGCAAGGGCAAGGGCAAGGGTAAAAATATACAGCCGGGTTGGTGGAAATGAATGAAGAAAATTTAACAAGGGTTTTTTTACTTTTCTTTTGCTAATTTTTTTTAAAAAAAATTCGCGTTATATCTGATATTCTTAAATAAACTTATTACCAATATGATGGACTTAAAGGGCTCTTGCCACTGCGGCGACATTTCCTTCGAGTTCTCAAGCCAAGCGCCCGTCCCCTTTATGCGCTGCTACTGCTCGATCTGCCGCAAGACGTCCGGCGGCGGCGGCTACACGATCAACATCATCGGCCTCACCTCCACGCTAACCGTGACCCAGGGGGCCGACAAGCTGAAATCCTACCGCGCAATTAAGGACAAATCACAACCCGTCGACAAACAAGTTCTGTGCCAGAAGAGATTCTTTTGTCCCAATTGTGCATCGTATCTGTGGGCACATTCGGAGGAGTGGGAGCAGTGGATTTACCCTTATGCCTCAGCCATTGATACACCGTTGAAGGTTCCGCCGGCGACAACAAGTATTATGCTGGGGAGTGCCCCTGAGTGGACAGATCCTAGGAAGTTGCCGAGAAAAGTTGTGGATAATGAGATGTTTGAAGAGTACCCTGAGTACTCGTTGGAGATGTGGCACAAGGACCATGGCGAGCTATTGTGAATAAAAAATATTGAACCATTATGATTTTGTAGAAAAGAATATTAAAATATAGTATTTTTTCAAAGATATTCTAGGTCGTAAATATTTGTTCGCAACCCTTATTTATAGTTTTCCTTCATCGCTGTGGTTTGCCACAAACATTGACATATGCAGTTGATTTTTGACTTGGATATTTAATCTGGACCATTGGACCTTTAATTTGGCAGCGCATTAACAGGCGAGTTGTTTCAAATGGCATTTAATGTCCATATTCGAAGTATTGTCATCGCGTCGAACTAGTTTTGTGACTACTAGTGGAGCATCCAAATGGCTGTCGTTTTTTTTGCTTGATTATCGCTGTGCTCTTGTGCAACTCGCTTTGTACCCCCCCTCCCCATGGCCCCGTATCGGCGCTTGTTAACTTTGCACTTGATCCTGTATCGCTCTTGTCCTCGTTGCTGGGCTCTGGCGTACATGGATCTAAAAATGCATTGGTCAAGCCCGTAATGCCGTTATAAGTTGGCTCTTTGTTAAGGCGAACATGTCGCCCTTCAATCCTGTATTGCGGTTCAAATGATAATTCTTCGATGAATGGCGACTCGTCTCCAAATGTCATTGTCATTGATCTCAACTCAATTAGAAGTGGCTTTCACTTTTCTGGAAATTCGATTAATGATGACACGATGTGTTCGATCAGTGCCATGTTAAATCACGTCAGCAAATCTCTGAATGACATTCTCTCGATTAAAGGAACAACTGATACCAATGGGGTGCCACGAATCAATTCATAATCCATAGCCATATCTTCAGAGTTGTTTATGCGCTCGGCTCATTTGTTACTTGAAACACTCCTTCAATGTCTTCCATTCAAATATGGTTGTTCTCAGCATTAAAAATGTGCTTGGATACTGTTGACATTGATGATGATGACAGTGATGATAGCACATGTGACAATAAAAGTGATGAGGACAGTACATATTGTGATGCTGTCGAAGATGGTGCAGAATAAATGAGTCTTGCTGTCGTCTCAATCGGCAGCGGTGGAAAATCGGAGAATGAGAATGAATCAGATGATGTGGACAACAATGACGACCATGACAATGCGCTTGAAGAATGTAGTCTGTACGGCTAGGTCGAATAATCTAATATCAAATGATACTCTTACTGCGAGATGTTTTGTTTGAATAGTCTGTTTCGAATTCCGCTGCTGGTGTTTCCCTGGGTTGCCGCCGAATAAGTCCCTGCGACACATGCACTGGGCGACAAATTCTGGGCAAACCAAATAGGCTTGACACATGCACCAAAAATGCAGGCAAAGCCAGAGGCAAGACTGGCAAGATTAGCAATACCAACGTGGGTATTATCACATAGTTTTATTCAACAGGCAGCATGTAATCAAACAGCTCTACTGGCTCTTCGCTCTCATAGGGATCATCAATCTCGTCATTGTCAAATTCATGCACGCCTGTTGCAACAGCATGGCTATTGGTAATAAACAGCACAGGTGGCCTGGAAGTGTAGCTGTCTGTGGAACTATTGTCAAACATGCCATGATATTACAGGTTTTCAAAGCCCTTTGATGAGCTAAAGTTCTCGGCGCCGATATTGCTGCTGTTCCCTCCATGATCGTTATCCTTGTCGCAATATTTGTCACTTGGTGACATATTGCTCATTTGGTCTTGTTGGTCTTCCGATGCATGAAACATTATTAGCATGCTGACCTGAATGCCCTTAGACAATGGCGGACCGTTTATCATCAACAGATAATAAACCGTACCCTTGCGACTCATGTCCTCAAATGGCCCCTTTCTATAATAACAATAATCAACAACATTGACAACGTTTTCCAGGCATTTTAGGCTCACCATCTTGCCTGGCTCAAGCCAAATTGGGTTACGACTTTGGTTCACCTTTATGTTTGCTTGGCGTCTGATTTGCAAGTGAGCCTTTTCGGATTTTTTTGTGAATTCTCTCCTCCAATTCCTCAACGCTCGATGCCAGGTAGTTGACTTCGATTATTCTGTAATCCTCGCGTGCTAAAATCACTTTGTATCTACAGAACTGTTTAAGCGGAGTCATGACAATATTTGGTAAGAATTTCACAGTGTGCATAGCCACGATCTCTGGGATAAATGTTATCTAGCCTTTATTGCCCGGGTTGTCTGCGTGCAGACGACGTAGAGCGTTCTTGAACAATTCGATGGCATTCTCAGCCAAATCTAACTGCGGGTGATACCTAATCGTAAGCATGCTCAAGATGGCATTGTCGTTGACAAACTACTTGTATTTCTCTAAGTTAAACTGGGTCTCGTTATCTGACGTCATGCACAGCGACATAATATAAACGCTGCACCAATTGTCCTGTATCATGTTTATAATTGTGCGTGCCGTCATTTCTTTGACTGAATACATTTTAATGTAGCCGCTTATACCATTGTGTGCCAAGAGCGCGTCCACAGCCCAGTTTTTTGACTTTCCCATCTGTACATTTATCTGATACAGATGGGAGCGTAGCCTAGCTAAATTGGACGTGATCATCTGTGTGTATATGTGATTCTAAATGGTGTTAAGCTGGCAATTCTCTCACCATAATACCATGTTCTGTACCATAGCAGGTATGTTTTTGCACTACATGTGGTGGCATACGTAGTCAAGTACTTGCTTGTATCCAAGGTGGTGCATTAGTTTTGGGGTTTGGACGCGTAAATATGGGGATCTGGAAGTGAGCGCTTGTTGCCTCATCAATACCATACTCAAGACGAGTTGGCACAAATTTCCCGTGCGCCTCCTATGCTTTATCACTTATTGTATGTTGGATTGTGTGTGCGTGTTTTGCGCCTAGTTACATTGGGGGCTTGATTGGTCTAATGGCTGCTCGAGGCGGACATTCGCTCAGATACTCACGCATTGTAGAGTTTTCTGATATCAAGTTATAAAGCAACAAATCAAAGTGCCTGGCGCTATCCAGTTGGTAAACAATGTGGCCAGCAACGCTCTTCCCAAGTTACCGACAGATGCATTGTGTCCCAGCGTCTAAAGGCATTGTCTCGTTGGTACAAAAAATAATCTGATAGCAGGCCAATCTTTACGCGCATTTTACGAGGGTGCATGGCGGCAATGTTCGGCGCGGTCACGGAGTCAAAGTCGTTGTTGTTATTTGCGTTTTAAAGTTTGACTGCCTGCGCATCTGTCATCAACTCGACAGAAATGCCATCGGCGCAAATGTCAGCAGTTGGGTTTGTGACATATGTGCACTCATAGTCCTCATTGATAATCAGTTGGATCAAATAATCAGCATTAGCTTTTTCGTCGGTGCCTTTGACGCCTTTATTGTCAATACTGTGCCTGTCGCGGTCAACGCCATTCTTCGCAACAACTACAACTGAGCCGTTAAGTGATTGCTCAATAGAAAGTATCGTCAGATCGTTGTCTTGCTTCTGTCTAAGTTATTTATGCATAGCTAGCGTCATCAACTTAACGTCAAGTGTTACAATAAAAAGCATTTATTAAGATGAACTAAAAGAAAGCTAAGGGATGAACAGCCTTTATTGTTCATATTCATTAGTATTTATGTCCATATGAATTCCCGCATATCCAAGTAGGGAATTAACTGGCGATTGATCCATTAATCAATCACCCAGGACAAGCCGCATTTTCTTGTATCACATCAAGCTTATACAAAAAGTTACTGCCTACGGCTAATTCCCAGTCGTTTGTCAGTTTTTCAGTTACTCCCAGCTTCAACCATCTACCAGGTCCGCCGGCAATCTAGACCTGCACTGGGACTATTCCTAGTGCGCGGAATGGCTGCCGTTCCCAGAGTAACTTGAGCATTTACTGCCACTCCTCTAATATTTTAAGATACAGCCGGCTAACTGCATATGCAGTCATCAACGATATTGCGGCTTCTTGGTTAGCCATAGCCTTTACTGGATTCTCACCAATAAAGACATATCCTAGCCGAGCTCAATGTTTAGCATTATTCCTGTCCCTCGCTGTTAGACTTTGTTTAGTCAGAATGTTGTAAAATTATTACATATCAAATATATTCTTGGGCCAGCTTGTGCTCCTTTCTGAACTGACTGTGAATTGTTTGGTCCTCTCCACCCGAGGAGCGTGCAATCAACAGCGCGTTGGCGGGTGCACCACTCTCTTGGAGAGGTACATAATTAGTATTGGTGTACACCTGTGCTTTTTTCTTGAGCTACTCAACATGCCGTTTTCCAGCTGCTCAACGTCTGTTGCTCCTACTCTGTTTTGAAAAATTAAACGCCATATCTTTAATAACCATTTGATCTAGATTGTTAGCCGGCAAAATTGAAACTAAAGATTCAAGTTTTTGCCAGCGATATTCTGATCTCCTGGATGATACCTAGAATAATTGTACGGTCCACTTTTGAGTAAACACGTTTATATTGCTCCTATTGAGTTGGAAACACTGAGCTTAACTATTTAGCCATCTCGTACCTTCCACCAGAGTCGTTTCTGATTGCCACCAGGGTAAACTGAAAATGACTGACAATATTATCGCATATGCATCCATTGAATGTCTCACCCAATTTTACCTTGTTTATAACCAATTATCTCTTTGGTCTGGTCATTCAGTTTCAATTTTATTATTATTACCTTCTGACTGTTGGATACAGTAGGCAAAGATAATGCAAAAATTCACTTACTTGGCTCAGCCATTGAGTGATTGATATAATGACTTTCCTGTTCTTGTCGAGCGTAAAAGGGAATATCTGCCTTGAACAAATCCATATCCACGCTAATAACATTGGGCATGTTTGTAGCACTGCTTCCCAAGCTTGTCGTTGAGCTTTTATCTTGACTTACTGCCATTATTGCGTAATCAGAGGTATCCAAACTTATGCTTTCAAAGTCCAAGATCATAATTCAACTCAAATATAAAGTAAAAATTATTTCTGTTAAAATTCAGCATTATAGATTTAATTTAAATTATGAAAACATTTCTTCCAAAGAAAAAAAACCAGGACATTGATTCCTGGCAATGCCTCTACTATTTGATTTACTCAGTGCTATGGTTTGGCATACACATTGTCATGCGTAGCTAGCTTTGGCTTTAAAATCAAACCCATTTTGCAGCATGTACGCATACATTTACGCTCGTGTACTCTTAAATTAATGCCAATAAATTATAACGTTTTTCTTTTAACCAATTAACAACCAAAATGCTAGTAAAGTGACATAAACAAAATAGGGGCAAACGGTTAAATTAAACCAATGTTGTTTTTGGCCGCTAAGTTTATCTTTGTTACGCGTTGTATTGCGGCATTAATTAAAACGGAATACTGTAAATATGAGAGTACGCTGCGTGCTTTTGGTTTTGTTGTATTATTTGCTTGCATTTGTTTTATGTCCAGTAATATTTTTTATTTATTTTTTGGATATTATAATTTTAAGGTAAAAATGAAAATGATGAAAAATGATAATGAAAATGAAAAATAAAGTGAATTTTGTGGATCAATCAAATGACCGCGGCTGAGATCTGGTGCATTTTATATGTTCAAAAGCACGCGCCGCTTTTTGGCAGGTTTTGTATTGTCAAGCTTGAAAAGCATTTTGGAGCGCATTGCCAGCACGCCGCACTCAGCTCCCAACTCTGCAATCGACACAGAGTGAACACCGTCGGCACTGTCCAATTGAGCCTTGCGCTCGCTTATTTTTCGGCGAAGAGCGTCCATCCTAGCACCCATCATATCAATTTCCAAGCCATAATCTGCAGCCTTCTCGCTGTAATAATCGTTTTTATAGATAGCTGAATCTGCCAGCCCATACATAAGGAAAGCCTCGTTGTGCTTGGTGGTAATGCTAGCGCGAGACTCGCAGCGCAGCTTGGCTACTTCAGCGCGCAAGTCCTCAAGCTCATTGTGAGCATTTTTTGCTTTGGTGCTAGTCTTATCAAGCTCATGGCGCGGCACTTTTGCTTCAGCGTGCAACACTCCAAGCTCATTGTGAGCAGTGTTGGCTTGATTGCAGGCTTTGGCAAGTTGATGCTGCAGAGGTGCCACTTGAGCGCGCAATGTCATGAGCTCGAATTCGGCCATAATGCGGCCCAATGATTCCTGAGCGCAAGATGCGGCCAACTCGGCCTGTGCAGCCTTGGCGACCTCAAGGGCAGACTCCAGCTTGGAAAATGCGGTCCCAATGCTGTTGCAAGCAAACTCGGCCGCGCTACGGATCCCTGCTTCCTGGGCGCGAGCAGCCTCCAACTCGGCGAGATTAGCTTTGAACGCGTCTATTCCAGCGCTCAGCACAGCATTCTTGCTCTCGGCATCCGCACAGTTAGTGTCGGCCACATAACGGGCGGTGTATTCGTTGAAGTATTCAATCTCCAGCTCACAAAGCGCGTCTTCAGTCCCTTCCAATCTAGCCTCGGCTACATAACGAGCAGCGCGCTCTTCATCAAGGGCACACTGCAGCTGGTAAATAATGCCAGCAGCGTTGTCGATATCAGAGTTGACCTCAAGCTTGGTCTTGAAAACGGTACGAAAAGCGCGACGAAGCACGTTGGTCTTGCGCGGCACAATTAATGCGGTAGTAGTAGCAGTCAACGTGGTGGAAGCAGCTGCAGCGGAGGCAGGAGTAGCGGCGGCAGGATTGGCTGATATGCGCAGAATTGAGCGCAACTCGCGCGCAAAGACATTCATACGCGAAGGCATGGTTAAAAAAGATAAACAATAAAATAAGATAAAGTACTAAGGTAGTGTTAGTGATATTGGCAGTGTTGATGATGTTGGTAGTGTTGGTGGATGAAATTATGTGTGGGTGGTGTTGAAGAGAAGTTAACTAGTGGTGTTGAAGGGGAAAACAAGGGTGAGAGACGGTGGAAGGGGCGGGCGGGAAATGACTGTTTTTCTATTTTTTCGGTTTGGCAGCAATATTTTTGTCGTTCTTTTTTTTGTTCTCTGCAATTTGAAAAAATTCAGCATTGAAAATCGAGCTGCGCGTTTGAGAACGAAATGAAAAACCGAGAAGCATGTGTTTGCCATCTAACAAGCAATTTGATTGGCCAAATCCAAATCTATATTTTCAACTTTTTTAAAAAATTGAAAATGGTCATATCCTTTGCTTGATATCAACCAATCATGCCACGTGAATTTTATGAGCTTGCGTCCTTTACTATTTGTAACAACAAAACGATGAAGAACGCATCATGTTTGTATTTTTTTGCATGTCCTTTGCCCAAATGTGGATGACATTGCATGCGTGCGTATGGATTGCCAATCACTGTAGATACGCGTCGTGATAAAAGGAGAAATCAATAAAGCAGCTAAAATAACATCCGAATTTATTAAAACTCGGATAAAGATGAAAGATGTCTATTTACTATTAAGATGACTGATTTTCCAGTATGTCGGCTGCACTACCCCAAGCAGGCCCCAGCAGCAGCAGTAGTTTCAGTAGCAGTAATAGATGCTGATGTTGACATCTATATTCGTGGTGGTGACTGTGCGGGGGAGCACAGTCAAACAGGGCCCTTTTCCTTTGTTTACTTTTCTTCGCATGAATTCCAATCGAGCTTTTGCTACGCCAGAAAAAAGGCTGTCGTGTAAATAATTCACCATCTGCTTGGTTAAAATATTATCGCTATTTTTGATTTGCTTCTCTTCTTTCATCCCTTTCTGTTTTTTACGTACGCGCTGAATAAACGAGGGGGAAAACAAAAAATTGTCAACTTTTTTGTTTATGATGGGGAGAAAGGATGAAACAAAAAACAATTCAGTTATTGTTGTGCGGAAAAATAGACAATGCACCGAACAAGATGAGGGGTTAAAAAATAATCGGTGTTTTGATTATTTGACACCTTTTTCCTCCACATTCGACAGAAGAAAAAGAATAAAAGCACAATGAAAAATTGGTTTGCTGACACTCTCATTATCAGGAACAGCAAGAAAAAGGTAGCTATTGGCCTAATTAGCTCACCTTAACGGTACCAAGACAGAACAGCTCAAATTGTACAGTTGGTCTCAAACCAATGCGGATGAGTATTCGGTGTGGTGCCCAACACACATTTCAAGCCACTATCTTCCCTTTTCAAGAATCAAGATCGCCATCATGGCCACTATACACATTTCTGTTATTGCTGGCTGACATCAAGGAACACCATGATGTTTACAGTGCTGCCCACACAGCGCTGCCCCCTTTTTCAGTTAAGTAATTTTTAAGACTTGAATATATCGATTTAGACCCACATTTTTATAGAGCACGACATTCGGGGCTCGAATGCTGAATGTATCTTATTTGGCAAAAAAAAGGCAAAGAAAAGTCCCACAGACAAATTATTTTTTGAAACAGGTGGTTGCTAGCAGTCTCATTGCATGTAAACAAGCGTTGCCAAACCAGCGCTTGCTTGCTTGCTTAGTCTAGTGTTTCTTTTACTTTTGTCACGCAAATTAGTGCTTGTTTTCTTTTTTTGTCGCTTGACCTTGCTAATTCAAAAAAGTTGAATTTGGAATTTGTCGTGCTCTATAAAAATGTGGGTCTAAGTTAATATATGCAAGTCTTAAAAGTTACTTAAGAAACTGAAAAAGGGGGCAGCGCTGTAAACATCATGGTGTTCCTTGATGTCAGCTAGCAATAACAGAAATGTGTATTGGACACCACAGAATTCACATTTTCCAAAGTTCCAAAAAAACACTTTTTTGGCTCTATTGTTTTGTGTTTTTTTAATCGAGTCCTTGCACAAGCCTTGCAATCAAATCAGAAGCGCATGAAAAAAGTTAGACGACCCGCGATGAGTAGCTATAGCCATTGTACCGGAACCAGAAACAGATGGCCTGGTTGTAAGCTTTCTGCGAAGTTAGAGCAATTCTGAGGAACACTTGGTGGCCTGCGCCCTAATTGAAACCATTGGTAATTCAACACTCGCAAGCAGGCACAGTGACGGGTGCTATTTGCGCTGATCAGTACATGCAGGAAATGCAAATCAGTATTTATTTTATAGCCAAGGCCCCAATTACATTATATCCACGTGCGTTGATCAGAAATATCTTTTTTTTTGCTCCCTTTTTTCGAAATCAGCAAATAAAATTAAGAAATCTGATGGTCAGGATTCAAACTCAGAATATAACAAAAAAATATGACGTCACACGGTTAATGCTGTTGATACATATTTGTAAAAGGATTGGGTTACGCTGCCTATTCTATAAAATTTTGATGTCCTATTTTTTTGAATTCAAATTCGCTTTTTTATTTCTCACCGTTTTCTTCACTCTGCTATGCCCACTTTATGAACCATGCACAGTTTGACTTTTCTCTTACGACGCTTCTCGTCTGATACTTTAGTTCCAGCAATTAACTTTTTTATTTAGATGTTTTAAATTCAATAGATTTTGAACAAAACCTTATTATTTGACCATTCCTCTTTTACTATTTATTTGTTAAGATAGTCACTACGATCTGCACAGCAAGTATTTACCTTGGCCTGAAAACCTGGCCTTTTAAGATTTTGGTGTACTTGACCGAGCCCTCGCTTCCAAGACTGAATACAAGGCTACTTTCTCAAAAAAACAAGGTCGGCGGTAACTATTTGCACAGATGAGACAAGCATGGCAACGGGTATCAATCAGGACCGGTAAATTTGAGCTCTGTGAACACGGCTTTAATGTCAATGCCGGTGGAGCTGGTGTCGTAGCCAGTGGTCATATTGTTGTTGAGGGTATATTGCAACCCAGAATGTGCATATATGGCATGCCCTGTGCCCAGTCAGCTCGGGCCCCAGATTCAAGAGTGCCACTGCTCCAAAGCTCAAGGCTATAGAGAGCACTGCTGTTGAAGTCGAGACTGCAGTTGAGGCCGAGGGCACTCCCAAGACGCGTTTCAGCACTGCAGCCGCCGTTCCTGCTTTAGCACTGCTAGTTGCATGCGATTTTGTATTGGTTGCCCTGCTGCCATCCAGACCAACAGACTGGCCGACATGCTTCCCCCCCCACAATGGCAAGAGTTCCTCCTATGTGAAGAATGAGCTGAACGTCCGCCAGTTCTTGCACGAAGACCTTCACTTTTTCTTTGCCATTACCCAGGAGATGCACCCCATTATGCAGCCGGGGCGCTGCCTGCCCCTGCTGGCCGGACGCTTTATGGCTACCATATTCTATGAGCCCTCGTCGCACATATTGTCATTGTTCCAAGCTGCCATGCTGCGCCTGGGCAGCCAGGTGTTTGCTGCGAGTAGGAAAATGGCATTGGTTTCCAAAGGCTAAACCCTCAAGTACACTGTGTACACCTTTGCTTTGTACGCCAATATCATTTTTCTGTGCCACCTGCAGCCTGGCTCCGTTGTGGGCACCTCACGCATGTACAGTGTGCCCGTCATCAACACTGGTGACGGGATTGGTGAACACCTGTTGCAGGCCATGCTCAATGCCTTTACAATCCGCGAGGTGCTGGGCACAGTCAGCAGTCTGACCATTACCCTGGCTAGTGACCTGTGCAACGGCTGCACCATGCACTCGCTGGCCTGCGTGCTCGCCCAGTACAAAAACTTTACTTTGGGCATGGTCAGAGATGACGGTGACACATAGTCCAAGTCCATCAAGGGCAACGTTGACCTGCACGCACCCTGTGCCATGCAAAACAAGTTCACCACACTCACCGACGATGTGCTGGCCAACACCGATGTTTTGTACATTGCTTGCATGCAGAAGAAGCACTTTGATTTTCTCGAGGAGTAAGAGCAGACCAATAACGCCTACACTATTGACAACAGCCCGATGCGCAAGTGCAGACGCAACATGATTGTCATGCACCCGCTCCCTCGCGCTTCTGAGATTGCTTCCAAGGTTGAAATTGACCAGCGCGCTGCATACTTTCACCAGATGCAACATGGCATGTTTGTGCGGATGGCCCTTCTTGCGCTCATGCTTTGCCGCAATTTTAATAGTGTTTTACTAATTTATTTTATATAATCCTAAATTCTAAAACTTATTCATTAAGATGTTAATAAAAAAGAAACATCAATTTAAAAGAAATGCTCTTTAAAGCTTAAACAGGAACTCCTCGTATGCACGGTCTACGGCTGCCGCCTGGCTGCTGTCTAACTTGCCGCAGACTAGCTTGTGCAAAGCGATTCTGAATGGGTTGTCCATCTTCTCCAGCTGCTCCTTGGTGCTTTGGCTGATAGCCTGCTTGGTGTCATTGTCAATTGGTGCATCCGTCATGGACTTCTGCCGGCACTTCACGTCAACATCTAATGTATCACCCGACTCCGTCTCCGCTTGCTGCTTCAGTGCGCTTGAAAGTGGATTGTTTTCAACATCCCCAGTGTCCACCGGCAAGTCACGGCTACTGAATCATATAGGCTTGCTAATGATTTAAATGACAGAGCTGTCTTGGATCGTGCAGTTGGCCATTAGCTTGGAGTCCACCAGCCCCTTGCCGTTGAGGACCAACTGCATGCTGTTTGCAGGAATATTAGAGAGGCGCAAAAGGGTGTTTCTTCACTTGCAAAACAATGCGAATGGACGGTGTTTTCCAGCGCGAATTTGCTTACAGACACCTTGGGCGTGCGGACGTTTAGCGACAAGTTGTCCTTGCAAACTCTGGCTGACGCGACGGCCGGCTGGATGGACGGAATCTATTTGGTGGTATCATTGATTTATTTTACCCAGTCAGTGTATTATCTTATGATGTTTTTGGTTTTGAAAAAATGTGTTGGTGTTCAAATTGTGCGAATGTGCTGTGTTGAAATGTACCTTGATGTTGTTGTAATTGGCTGGCGGGAACCGAGTTTCCTTGGGGGCCCTGGTGTCTGGGTTGCATGCGCACAGCGCAGAAAGCTGCAACAGCTGGGCGATCATGGCGTCAAAGAATGAGGAGCTGGATATGATTGGGGAAGTTTTATTTACAAAAAAGAGGGTTCAATGTATAGCAATTATAAAGTGTAATGAATATTATTTTAGCATTAGAAATGAAAAGAGATACTTCTTTGGCTTTGAATCTATTGGTTGATGGCGATCAACTGATTAACCGGTCTTGGCTGTTTAGAAACACAAACAATAAGTCACACAGTGACCAAAGCAATATGCTTTCTACCCTTTACCTTTCACAGTGCATAGCACTTATTTATTAAATATACTTTATATCATTATAGTTTATCTACATGTTCATAGAACGTTCCTATATTCCAACAGGTCGATTCGGACTTGGCATTGGACCCGGTACAGCTCCAATGCCCAAGCACTTGCGCCGCCATCAATGAAACTTAGGAAGTGTTTTGCCTATCATTGTTGATGGTCAGCAGCGGCCTTTGTGTTATGTACACTTGTGCCGTTGCTTTGTCGAAATTTTTCTGGCAGTGTCGGCGGAATTGGCACAATTATGCACTATTGCCATCCGATCTCCGACCAGAAGTGCAGTGTTCAGCTAGGAGGGACTGTGTCTTTTCACGCAGGGCCTTAATCTTGTTAAACCTGCGGTTAGCCTCGATATTCGCTGAAGCGCGGACGCGATACAGATCATCCAATTCATCGCGTAAATCATTAATTTTATTGCACAAATTATCGACAGTGTCCAATGCCTCGTCACGTTCTTCCATAAGCCGATACGATTTGTCTGCTAAAACCCTGAGTCTGTTGTTGGCCTTTGCCAAAGCAATTATGCCTTCAGCACTGTTGAGCTTAAACTCCTTTCGCAAAAACTTGGCACTGGAAAGCTCGACCTCGGCCTCAACCTCGGTCTCGGCTTCGGTGGAAGTGTTGCTGGTGAGGGCCACATTCGAATTCGCCGTCCAAAGGGGCTTGTCAGCAGCTATTGACTCGGCTTGGGCAACCTTGGGTTGAAGGGGGGCGTGTACCTTAGCGCGGGTCCAGCTGAGCTGATTGCCCATAGAAACTGCAAGGTCGTAGGCAGAGTCGAGCTTTCAGTGTGCGGCAGAATTTTTGGCATATAATGTCCTAAGTCTGCACTGCATAAGACCATGAGTGGCTATGGACATGGTGAGCTGGTCGCGGGCATACTGCTTTTTAGTAATTGCTTTGTCAACCTGGGCTTGCAGATTGTTTATCTTGGCGTGCGCCATGCCAACCTTGCCACGTTGGACGCCGACCTCGGCACAAATAAAATCGAACCGCGCGCAGGATGATTCCACAAAATCAAAAGCCTCAGTGAGCTTGGAGTCGGCCACAGCGCGTGCGGTGGACTCTACTTTCAGATTGAAGATAGCCGTTAAGTGAGCGCTCTCGCAGAGAAGGGCTCTTTCAGCCGCAGCGTCTGCAAGCTCAAGTGCCTCAATGAGAAAAGCCTCCGTGCTGACGAGGCTGACCTGGCGGGCGTTGGCTCTGGCGCGCAGAGTTGCAGTTTTGCTCTCCGTCTTTGTACAAGCAGTCTCCGCCTCTGCACGAGCGGTCTCGGCTGCAAATCGGGCCTTTGTCTCCTGAGCGCAAGCAGCCCTTGATTCAGCATGCCCGTGTTGAAGGTTGCAAATTGTTGCGTGAAGAGCCGCATTTTTGTGCTCCATTTCCGCGAGCTTAGACTCGGTCATGGGACGGCTAGTAGATTGGATTGCATGGTCAAACCTCAGCTTAAAAAATGTGCAGTTAGTTTTGGTGAGGACAGACGTGATTGCAGAATGGGCAGCTGCAACTTAAAACGCCTGGCTGTCCAGCAGCTTGTTTTCAGCGCTCAACTGTGCGGCCTGCATTCCGAGAAGACCCGGTTTGGCGTCGGAAAGAGCTTGGTAGAGGCTGTAGCGCATGTGTCTTCTATGCAACAGGGCGACAGCGCTCTCGAACGTCTCGGCAGCCTCAGCGGTCTCAAAAATTTTGGCGTCAGTGTCGACGATGCCCGTGTAATCTTGGCCACAGTGTGTGGCAATGGTTGCACACATAGAAGCGCAAATTGCATGGATAGAAAAATGGATATGTAAAGGTAATATGCTAAAAGCTATAAAAGCAGAAATATAAAATATCACTCGGGGAATAAAGATAAAAAAAGCAAGAAGGACGGCGCGTTGGTTTTACAAAAAAACAATACAAGATATCAATGTGATGGTGTTGGTAGTGGTGTTGGAGAGAGATGTGCATAGGTGGTGTTGGAGAAAGCTTTGCTTGAGATGTTGGAGGGAAAAAACAAGGATGAAAGATGGTGGAAGGAGCAGGGCGGGAGATACCTAAGATTTATTTTTCTGCCATTTTTTGTTTTACGCTGTGCTGAGCTGTGCAAAATAAAAGCGAGCTTCTTTTTGCTACTCACAAAAAAAATAATGTGTACTCTTGGGTCGTCTCTTTCAGGTTCAGCTGGAGCGAAGTGCAAGTTTCAAGAGGGCTTTCTCGTTGCATGTATATTCCGTTTTTTTTGGCGAAAGCATGCCTTTTTCATGCATGTGTTATTGTTTGAAGATTGTCAATATCCGAATATACGGTATAATATTTCAAAATATGCACATATTGATCAGCGGTCACTTTTACAAAGATTTTTTAAACCACGGTTGCTAGCGGGCAGACCATGTGTGTACAGAAAAGTTGATATCAGTCAGGATAGGTTTTGCAGCCAAAAATAATTGTGGCTTTTTGTAAAAAAAAAATTGCCAGGCTCACGTTTAGGCTGGGCTGGAATATAACAAAGTAGCAGCGGTGTCGTGCTCTATAAAAATGTGGGTCTAAATCGATGTATTCAAGTCTTAAAAATTACTTACTTAACTGAAAAAGGGGGCAGCGCTGTGTGGGCAGCACTGTAAACATCATGGTGTTCCTTGATGTCAGCCAGCAATAACAGAAATGTGTATAGTGGCCATGATGGTGATCTTGATTCTTGAAAAGGGAAGATAGTGGCTTGAAATGTGTGTTGGGCACCACAAGCGGCAATATGTTTTCTTTGTTTTGTCAGTGGTAGCAGTGCGAGTAAGAAAGGTGGGTAATAGCATAATTTATTTATGTGTTGGCTAATAAATTATTCTTTTTTTTCTGGTGGATCCGCATCAACCGTGGCAGCTAAAAGGTTCATTTGCACATTGGGATACATGCACATAAAAAAGCCAAAACAAACAATGGATAAAAAAGAAGGTTTCATCCGAAACATTGAGCAAACTGCAGCCATTTCTGCCTCCACAGACTTTACAAATAGGGGGCGTTGATATCCGTGTTTCATCAAACAATGGTTGGCGGCCACCTGTAAAAACTAGGAGGGGGAGTCGAATGGGTAGTTGTTTTTTCTCACTCAGTGTCAGCAATGTCAATGGCTGACAAAAAATGAGCAAGAGAGGGGTAAACAAAGAAAGCGCGAGGTTGAATATAAAACAATGGCAAATGATGGATGCATATTAAATTGGGTTCCTCTTTTTGCAACATAGAGGCAAACAAAGGGGAGCGCAAGGTGCAAAGTTGGAGGCAGTTGCTACGGACCAGTATTTTGCAGCTCGCACAGGGGACATTTTTAATGTATCAAAAACATGAGACAAAAAAGCCACAGAAAGCCATTCCATAAGGTAGACAAATTCAAGCCATTTTGTTTTGCTTGACCTGGGACCATCATGGTCTGAAGACACGGGCATTGCTACTGTGAGCACACACAGCGCGCAATGGGGATGTGGAAAGCTCAATTTTTATTTTATTTGATAACGTGATTTCAATTGTGCTTTAATTTGAATTGTTTTCAGGTGTTTTTTTGCAAAAAAAAATACCGACCCAGAAAAAGTTTAATAGGTGGCAAATCCACTTTCGTGCATAATGAGAGTGCATTGCATATAAATTTTTTTTTTACATGCATGTGTTTTAATAATCATAAATAAAAGAAAAAATTGAATTAGAATAAACCATTTTTTCAAAGGGAAAATCCCAGGTCTGTAGACAACACGTCCATATCCCCTATTTATAGGATCTCTTCATCGCTGTTATTTGGCAAAAGCATTTTCATATTAATCAGCTGAACAGCTACAATCAGATTAATAAAATATATTTTGGCTTCTGGCTTTTGTGAAATTAAATTACCATTGACGCATACACATAGTTATTTGACAGGGCATTTGCCTTATAGTTCAGTACTTTAAGAGTATCCATCCAGATTTCCCAGAACTAGATCCAGCTCTAGCACCCACAACAATGGCTCAAACTTTCAAAACGGTCTGGCAATCATGTTTTCTTTTTCGTTTTTTTTCGCCAACGCGACCTTATCAGCAACCTTGTAAGCCTGTGGCGCCAATATCCACATTGACCCTCTTTTTCAACAATGGTCTTCCAAGCTTTGGATCATAAAGCGCCAAATGCATCGGGACCAAAGGGTTCCTCGCCTTGCACATGTGCAATAAATGACCTGTTCTCCACCAATGGGCGTAGCTCTGCCAAAACGTCCTGCACATAATACTTAACAAACCCTTTATTCTTGGATGGCAGCCGGAGGAATAATTAAAACGGGCCTTCTAGGCAAAAACAAAAACAAAAACAAAAAAATACGATGGCTTGCTGTATGAAGGCGGCAGGCAGTGGGTGAATGCAGTTCAGAGTGAGTGTGTCTTGGTGTTGCCAAAACCAATGGAGCTTATTTTGATATTGTGCTTGGTGGCGTCGACCAAGCGGATACGCACGGTGCCATTTGGCGCTGATTGTGTAACAGGCACTGGTGATCTGGCCAGTTTTTGGGGGAACAAACTTGGCGGCCAATTTGAGCGCAACCAACAGGTCGGTTCATCAGGGTCTCAAGCTCGGGTGATTATGGATGGGTTGCACAATCTGTATGTAGAATGCCATTGGATCGGATGGTGAAATGACTAGCACACCATCTTCAAGGAACTCAAAGCAGCGACAAAAGCAACGGTAGCCTTGTGGCTGTGTTTGTTGGGGGGGGGAGGTCTGCTAACTCTGCATTCAATATGAGTCTAAGTCTGAGTCCCCACATACTCTTGTTAACACGCTAGGCATACATACTCCTCAGCGACATATAGGCCGCCCCAAATGCGAGACTCTGGTTGGCACTGAGCACAACCTATAATGCAAGTAGTTTTAACATCACATAGTTGATGCACATGAGGAATACGCTCTGATTGCTGCCCGTTTGGTAAAAAAAAAGTATATATATGAATAAGTGCAATGCGTGACAATATCCGGTACATGCAGTTTTAAATTATTGTTTTTTGGGACAAGTCAGCAGATAATTAATAAAGTGCATGGCCCAGGCTTGGTTGGGAATCTATAAGGCTGCTTTTTTGTTTTAAAATATTATGTTGTTTATTTATTAAATTTTCTCGTGGCTGTGCGTTTTTTTTTGGCAACAAAATATTATGTGCAAATGTATCTTTTTTGATATAGACATCAATGCATATACACTATTGATGTATTGGGTCAAAATGAAATAAAAAACATTTGCACAGGTGACTGTGCCACTGCCTCCCACGTGCTGTACCGATAAACTGGTATTATTTCTCTCTTTTTTCGATATTTGCTGCGCACAAAATGGAAGAAAATAATTGTCGCGTTGGATAAATAGCACGTTTTTTATTTTAGTTTGGGTAACATGATTTAAAAAAAAGAGGAGGGTAAATAATCAACAGGTTTAAATATTTTATTGATCATTGGGGATTTAAGAAAGAAAGAAAAAAACTGAAAGAAATAGTATGTAGGTGGATTGAAAAAGGGAGGGTAAAAGAATTGGGCAAATCGGCAAATCCAGCCTGCGATTATTGCTATTTTTGAATGCAATGATGACGACAAATGGATAAAAAAAACATGGAATGGTTTGTTATTTTATTTTTACCAAACAAAACTGAGAGTTTAAAAAAAGGGTATAATAAAACCAGTTTAATGCCGTTTCTTTGTTGGGTTGTAGGGGAAATTAGAAAATTGTTTATTTATCTTCTAAAAAAAAAGCACTTTTTGGCCATCATCCATTCATCCATTCATCCATTCATCCATTCATCCATCCCCCCTCGCCACTGATATTTCCCCCCCTCCCATCTCTTTCATAGGGCGCCAAAAAGAAATTGGAAAAAAGAATAAGAAAAAGGACCAACCAAATAACAACAACAAAACGGTTTTTTTTTCTTTTTTTTTCTTTTTTTTAAGAAAAATAAAATAGGGTATGCTTTTTTTTTCTTTCTTTCTCTGACTTTTAAATTCCTTTGTTTTTCAATTCTTCAAATTTACATACATTTAATTCCACGCTTTCTCTCTACTCTTTTCAGTTAAATTCGTAATAGACTACATAATGACAGCAGGCCAAAGCATGAGCAGCGCAGGCCATTCAGTACAGCCGGCGGCGCCGACAACGCCCACGCCGGGCAGCCGCTCGTCCCTCGGGCTCAGCAGCCCCCCACAGGCACCCAAGGCCCTGCTCAGCACCAGCACCAGCACCAGCACCAGCACCAGCACCAGCACAGGCACAGGCACAGGCACAGGCACAGGCACAGGCACAGGCACAGGCACAGGCACAGGCACAGGCACAGGCACAGGCACAGGCACAGGCACAGGCACAAGCACAGGCACAAGCACGAGCACAGGCACAGGCACAGGCACAAGCGCCATGGGCAACATCCAAGAGGCCAGCCCCTTGGACAGCGCCGAGCCATTCGACACGGAAGCACTCGGCGAGAGCGGGGGCGGGTCGCGTCGGCGGCGCGCCAGCCGGCGCCAAAGCGAGGACACAATGCGCGCGATGCGGTCGCTCGACAGGCAGTACGGGCGGCGGCGCCGGCTCAACAGCGTCAACGCCGACCAGCCCCTGTCCAACGCGCCGACGGCGCTCGCAGCAGTGCTGGCGGGGGGCAGGTCCGGGGCCGCCCGGGCGCCGATGCGGCGCGGCGACTCGCGCGCGCTGTTTGCCCCGGCAATCGCGACGGCCACGGAGGTCGTCTCGGCGAGCCAGGCCGCGCCCACACTGCACTCGCCGGCCGGCTCCGCGCCGGGGGCTGGCGCCGGCGCCGGCGCCGGGGGCCCGGGCCCGGGCGCGTCGCTGGCCGGGTCGGCGCGGCTGGCGAGGCAGCTTATGCTGATGGCGGGCAGGCTGCCGCCGGTGCCGCCGCAGGGCCAGCAGGGCCAAGCGCACGCGGTGCGGCCGCGCGCGTCGATGCCGCAGATCAACGGCGCGCGCAGGCCGCCCCAGCGCACGCGGTCGCAGGCCACGCGCACCACGCGCGACGAGCTCTCGGACGCGCTCACGATGAAGTCGGTGGAGATCCGCGGCGGCCGCATCGTGCTCGACGACCCGAGCAGCAGCGGGTCCGGCAGCAGCTCCGGCGAGGACGAGCGCATGGCCGGCGCCGGGCTGCCGTACGCGCGGCTGCACCGCCCGAGCGCCGGGTCCGTCGGGTCCGTCGGGTCCGCGCGCTCGGCCGCTGCGGCGCAGGGCCCGGCGCAGGACGGCGAGGCCGCGTACTGGGAGGAGGCGCTGCGGCGCAGGTGGTACGCGCGCCGCTGCCTGGCGTCCGGCCAGCCGTTCGCGTCGGCGCACAGGCTGGCGCAGGCCGAGCATGCGGCGGACGCGGCCTTCCCGCTGCTCAACGACCTGCGCCGCGTCGTGCACGAGACGCACGCGGCCATGGAGGCGCCGGGCCGCCCGCCGGCGCCGCGCGTCGCCGTGCTGCTGTGCACCGACGCCGTGGTGCTCAGCGCGCCCGGCCAGCCGCTGCGCGCCGTCGAGCTGGACGACGCGCGCGTGGTGGCGGGCGACGACCACGTGGTGGACCTGGCCGACGGCAGCGACGGCACCGTCGTGCGGCTGCGCTTTGCCGGCGGCGCGCGCGCGTGGGCGGCGCTGGCCGTCGAGACGCAGCGGCGGCTGGGCGCCGTGCTGCAGGACCTGCGGCTGGACGAGGAGGATTTCGTCGACCGCCCGCCGCGGCCGCTGCTGCTGTCGCGCGGCCGCAGCTCAATTGCCGGCGCGCAGCCCGGCGCCGCGCACGCGCTGGGGACGCCGCAGCGGTCGCGCAACTCGGCGCAGGGCGGCGTCTACTGGGTGCCGGACGCCGAGACGGCCGTGTGCATGGTGTGCCAGAAGACGGCCTTTTCGATGATGGTGCGGCGCCACCATTGCCGCGCCTGCGGCCTGGTCATCTGCTACCGCTGCTCCAAGGTCGACCGCGACCGCCATCGCACGTGTGTCAGGTGCAGCGGCAGCGTCGCTGGCGCGCGCCGGACGGGGTCGCTGGGTGCGGTGTGTCTGGGCGCCGGCGGGCCGCAGCAGAGTGGCGTTTTGGCGCCGAAGATGTCCCCTTCGCTGCATACCCTGGGCCGACGCGCAGCGGAGTATTTGCCCGCTGGGGAGGTTGTTATGCAGATTGCAGCGCAGCGCGGAGCGGCGGGTGGTGGCGGCGGCGGTTCTGGTCCTGGGCCTGGGCCTGGGCCTGGGCCTGGGCCTGGGCCTGGGTCTGGGTCTGGGTCTGGGTCTGGTCCTGGTCCTGGTCCTGGTCCTGGTTCTGCTGCTATTTCTGCTGCGGAGATGGATGTTGGTGGGGCTTTTGCGCAGATGGCGGTGGCGGCGGCGGCGGCGGACGCTGGGCCCGCCGATGGCTTTGCGCAGATGCCGGTGGAGCCCGGCCGCCCGGCGCGCGTCGTCCGCGACCAGCAGAGCCGCCTCGCGCGCCGCCCGCTCTCGGCGCTGTTCCCCCATTGACAAAATATCGCCGAGAGCGACGCCTGGCCAAAACATAGGCGCCTAAGCCATTCCAAAGCATAGGCGCCTAAACCATTAATCTAATCTGATATTATTTAATAAAGCGAATTCTTTAATACTTGTAATTCTATCTCAATTCCGCCTGGCCAGCAGCGCCGCAAACGCCGCCAGAATCGTCCACTTGCGGTTCTCCGCCTCCTGGAACACGACCGAGCGATCCGAGTAGAAGACCTCATCGGTGACTTCCTCGGGCTTGCGCGGCAGGCAGTGCATGAATGTCCAGTCGCGCTTCGCGCCGCCGCTCTCTGCCATCTCCATCGACACCTGGTATCCCGCAAAGTCGCTCATCCTCTGCGCCTTCTCAGCCTCCTGGCCCATGCTCACCCAAGTGTCCGTAACAATGATATCCGCATCCTTAACCGCCAGCTTCGGGTCCGTGAAAAACTCGACCTGGACATTGGCTGCCTTGGCATCGGCATCCGCCTGCATGCGCACAGCCTCCGGCACCGGGTACTTTGCCGGCGTGCACACGCTCATGTCGAGACCACACTTGGGCATGGCCGCGAGCATCTCGTAAACGACGTTGTTGGCGTCGCCGACCCAGGCAACGCGCAGCCCGCGGAAGACCTCGAGCATTGATTGTGCGCGGGGCCGCCGCGCGCCGTAGATTTCCCAGATCGTCAGCAGGTCGGCGAGGATCTGCGTCGGGTGGTTCTCGTCGCACAGCGCGTTGATCACCGGCACCGAGGAGTGCTCCGCCAGGGCGGTGATTTCGCTATGCGCGCCGACGCGCGCAAAAATCCCCGAGACCATGCTGGAAATCACCTCTGCGCTATCGCGCAATGACTCATTGACGCCCAGCTGGATATCCTCCTTTCCGAGGAACATCGCGTGCCCGCCGAGATATGCGATGGAGGTTTCGCTGGCGACGCGGGTGCGCGTGGACCGTTTGGAGAAGAGTAGGGCGATTGATTGGCCGCGGAGGGGAGCGTCCGGGTGGAATGATTGTCCTTCGTGCTTGGTCTTGCGCTTGAACTCGGCGGCGGATTCAACGAGGGCGGCGATTTGCTCGGCGCTGTAATCGTTGAGGCTGATCAGATCGCGCGGCAAAGTGCTGAGCGCCGCTGCGTGGTGCAGAGTGCGGACTGATGATCCTGTGCTGGTGGAAGAGACAATCGTGGGTGCGAGACGAGACATTGACGAAGTAAACAAGCTTTTGAGTGCAAAGGGTCTGAACATTATAATGTATTAAAAAAGAAGATGATAATGAAAATGAAAGAGAAAGAGAAAGAAGAGAAGGTTTGTGTGGGAAAAAAAAGAAGAAAAAGTTCTAGTAGTTATCGTGGTCTAGACACTGATAATGAAAAAAGACGAAATTTTGTTTTAGGAAGGAACCAAGCGATGAATGCCGCAAAAAAAAAAAAAAAAAAGTAACCTTTGTGAATGCGTTCGTCGTCCACATCACCGACACTTTATAGCATTTAGGGATCGGCTTGGTGACTTAGTCGGAAGTAGCATTGCGCTAAGCAAAAAGGCTGGTAGTGAGAGGAAAAGGAAATCGGGGAAAAGCAAGTGTTAAAAATCATGAGTCATTTTCCCAGCCCAAAACACGCATTAGTGGGGGAAAAAAAAAAGAGGGGAAAAAAACCACACTCACTTTCTCTCTCCTCCCGCCCTCACATGCACTCAAGTTGAACCTTCATTTAGTACTTTGGGAGATTGGGGATGGTACGGGGTGTGATACAAGATGGCTTGCTGGTTCCGCACCCCTACTTGAGAGCTGAAAAGGAAACAAAAATTAAAAATTAAAAATTAAAAACGCAATCGACCAACTGCCAAACTGTCTGTCTGACCGAAAGAGCTTTTTCAAAGCTTTTATTTTATTTTCTTCAGTGTTATTCTCCCACGCGTTCAATAGATCTATTTCCCCTCTTGCTGCGCTTTTCTCTTTTCAACACACTCATAAATGAACGAAAAGCAATTTTGTACATGGAAGGATGGTTCCAAATAAATAAATAAATAAATAAATAAATAAATAAATAAATAAATAAATGTATCGTATAAAAAATCGTCGAGTCTAAAAATTGCCTTTATTTGAAATAAATATTTAAATATTTAAATATCGTCAATGTCGATGTTGGTCAGATCATAGTCGCGGTACACCTCAACATCGCTATCGTCATCATCGCCATTCTCCGAATCGTAATCCTCGTTAAACTCAATATTGCCCTCATCGCCATCATCCGCACCACCATCCGTATCCCGCTGAACCTTGACATCAGGGATCTCCCCATACCGCTTAAGCTGCGCCTCTTCGTCATCGTTATACTTGAGAATAAGGTCGACGTTCCTCACTGTGTCCTCCTTGACAGTCTCAAACTCACGAGCAGACACCAGAACAAGGTTTCCAGGCGTAATCCACACCTTCTTGCGCAGCTTACCGCGAATGCTGACGCGGAGGATTTCTCCCGTCATGCTGGTAGCTTGGAGGTGTCCGTGCCCGAGCATTTTTGTCACATATGCGTACTCCTGCTCGTCATCCTTAAAGTTCAGCTCGCGTTTCTCTCCCTCTGTGTCGTTCTTTCCGCGACGGCGTGTTTTTCCTCCCTATTAAAAAGAAAAAAAGAAAAAAAAAGTTGGTTTTTAATTAAGGCGTGCTTTTTTAAATTGCTATCGATTGAGAAATCCAGCGGTTTTGCCATATGTTTTCTTCGAAATCAGCGACTGTTGGACGTACTTTTCCCTTGTTCTTCATTATATACTGATGGCTTAATTGCGATTAATAAATGCAACTATATATAAAAAAAGGCGATTGAAATAAACAAAAATTCAAAAAAAGAAAGAAAAGAAAAGAAAAAGGGGGGGGGGGAGAATAAGTGTGCAACCTGTAGAGCCCAATTTTTTTCTTCTTTTTGCTAGCATGAAAAAATTTTCCCCAACAATTTCTCCATCACTTGGTTTTCTTTTTTGGCATACGCTTTTAACGCATAATGGATAAATATTCCCTTGTCTTTATTTTTTGAAAAGCCACGCTCTACGTATTATGCCAAAAAGGACTATCTCTTTTCGATTTATTTTGTCTGTGACCACACATTGATAATATCTCCATTTTTTACTCTCTCTGTAGAGCAATAGTAGTATTGTTGCTGTGCAAAAAAAAAAAAAAAAAAAAAAAAAAAGTATAATGAAACAAAACAAAAAGGAAACTATACTCACGTGTCATCTTTCAACACGTTATAAAACAACTGCTCCGCACTGAGCCTCGTTATCATTTCAACAGAAAAACGTGATTACGCACCACCGACGATGATGTTGTTGATGGGGATGTGAATGAGCTTAGTGAAGTATCCAACAAAGCCCATGACCAAAAATCCCATGACCACCGCCTGCACGATCTTCAGGTACTCCTTTCTGTTGGGTTTGGCGCACCGGCGCAGAATCCAAGTCGCCTCCTTGACAAGCTGCTTGGGCGCATCTATAATGAAATTGCCACCCGGAATGTTTGTTCCTGACTGCTGCTCCTGCTTATCCATTTTCTTAGTTAGAGTTTAAGATTGTAGATGTGAATAGAGATGGATTGCGTTAAATGAAAAATAATGGAAATAAAGAAAGCAAAGTGTATTTTTTTGTTTTGTAAAAGATAATAGAATATTATTAATATGTAAAATATTGTATAGGAAATAAAAAAAGGAGTTGCAAATGGTCGCGGTTTTTTTTTTGGCGAGGCATACAGCAGCAGCTTTTTCAGTCTTTGAGACCAACAAACACTCTTATTTTTCATTCTCTCTCTCATCATTATTTTGGTTGCCTTTTTGAGTCTATCCAATCGCGCCGCAGTACGTCGTCGCCAGCCTTTTTTTTTGAAGGCCACAACTGCCTTTTCCATTTTCTTCTTTCGAGTATTTAAAATGTGATGAGAAATAAAATGGCTCGTCGGCTCTATGGCTCGACCTGCTCAGCTCACTCAGCCAACGTTGACAAAAATAAAAAAAAATAAAAGTAAAAACAATAGAATCGGTCATGTCTCATTTTTGTATCTTTGTATGTGGTATATATTTTATAAATTTGTTTTACTTAGCTTTATTCCAAACCCTCAATGTAGCTGGAATAATATCGAAAGCAAGATTGAACAGATCGAAACATTAATAAAAAAGAACTCAGCTGCTGGCCTCTGCCTGACGCTGCGCACGCTTCTCCAACAGATATTCCCTGCGCTTCTCAATAAGCTGACCCTCGTACTGCTTAAACTCATAGTACTTGAATCCAATGTAACAACCGGCTGCCGTGAAAATCGCATAGCTCAGGTGAGCTACAAAATAAGAAGAAAAAAAGTAAAAGAAAAAACACTTAATACCAGTTTCAGTTCGTGTGGGCTTTAATGTACAACCCACAACCTCATATATAAAATATATTAAAAGCTCCTTTGTTTGTCTCTCCCCTATCCTCTCCTCTTGTTCATTCTCCTACTTACGCTTCACGACTGTGCGTCCCCGCAGACCCATTGAGTACATTCCCGTAATCAGACCGACTGTGCCGCCAACAAGTGTGGTGAAGATAGGCGCCATTCCAAAAACTGTGTACAAGTGTGTATGTTTGTGTTTGTGTTTGTGTTTGTGTTTATAACGAATCCGCTGATTGTAAATATATTCGATTAATGAGAGAGAAAAGTACAAGTGTAGAAAAAAGAATTATAAACACTGATTAAAATTGAAAGTACAAAATAAAAAAGAAATAAATGCGCTTGAATTTTTTTAAAGGGCAGTTTGACATTATTATCTTGTTGTTTGTGATCATATCAGCTTGATCTTTAATTCGGAATGCGGAGTGCAGATCAAAAAAAGAATACTAGCGTGATTAATCGTGCGAACGAGCGCATTTTTCAATCTTTAGCGATTTCTCCAGCAGGCAAGTTACTGATAAAAAAAATACCTCCCACCCACCGAATTTTTTTCCGTCCTTTCTTTCCTGAAATTCATTTTCCGTTTTTATTTCTATTTCTATTCTATTGAATTTCATATTTCTCTCTTTATATATTTATTTCCACACCTTTAACTTATCACAATGAACACCAGTATGGCGTGCCTGTGGCCACAATGTAGGCGGATTCTACAAGGCAGTCTTTTCAGAGCAAACTCTGCACATAAACAATGGGTGGAGGCCATCTCAACAATACCCGCACAACGGACAATAATAAGACATATCAGCGATGCTACCAAATACAATCTGCGCAAGCTGAGCAATATCGAGTCCAAAGACATTGAAAATAAAATACAAGACTACGGAAAACAGACCAAACAACCAGCCAACGACCTGGCACCAGCGGACACCAAACCTACCACTACCATAGCCAATAACACCAGAAGCAGCAACAGCAGTAGTAGTAGTAGTATTAGTAGTGCATCTGACTCGGTCACACTAACAGATAGTGCGATCGAGCGGCTAAAGTACCTATCGGAGAAGCGCCAAAAGACACAGTATTTGCGCTTGCGGGTGGATTCCGGTGGCTGCTACGGGTTCTCATATATGCTGGACATGACCGAGGAGCCAGAGGTAAACGATGTGATTTTGGACCGGAGCGGCGCCAAAATGGTCATTGATGATTTCTCGTTGCCGCTGGTGCGCGGGGCGACTATTGATTGGCAGGATAGGCTTATTGGTCAGGCATTTTTGGTTGTGGCTAATCCGCAAGCGAGCGGCGGATGCGGGTGCGGAGCATCGTTTGAGATAAAATTAGATTAGATCGTTTTATTCTTGGCTGCTGTTGCTGAATTATACTTGCTGCGATAAAAGTTATAAAAGATTTCTTATTTTGAGCTAATATTATTGTGTATTTACACACATACAAATTTGAATTATTTTTGTCCAATCAATCAAGCGAGTGAGTGACTGAGCTTTTTGCACGAGGCCATTACTTACTGTAATCACAGCTGACCGTGAACAAACAATGTTCAAATGGCAACGGCGTTCGGTGAATTCCGGATATAACACAAAAATGAGAATATGTTATGACTGATATGCGTAATCCCGCTGGTACTTTCGGGTAAAAATAAATCAGAAAGCGCAATTTTGACTGGTATTCCGGTGGGCTCCACGAGTCATGTTATATTTTCCACCGTTAATAATATGTGTCCATATGGCCGCAATACTTTCTAAAGATTTATCACAGCCAAAAAAAATTGACCCTGGCGGAGATGCTAGTATATAGTTGAACCTTTGTTTTTCTCTCTCTCTCTCTCGCAAATAACACTTTTTTCACTTATCATTAAATATTTTTTCGTCTCATCTCACAAATTGTCCTACGCACAATAAATATAGACCACAATCACTATGCCTATCGCCATTTATTCATCTTCGTCCTTGCTGCTCCGCACTGCTGCTTCATCGGTCCGTCCGATCAGTATTCACGCTGCCGCTGCTGCTGCCTTATATGGCAGACCAGCTGCAGGCCTGCAGATACGCGCATTCGGCATCAAGACCACGCTCAAAGCCCAAGAGTACATGGCCAAAATCATCAAGGCTGACAAGTCCGCTGCTGCCAAAAAAGAGACCGAATCCAAGGGGCCCAAGCCGCAAGTCGACTCGTACCTAAACGAAATGCCGCCGGAACTGCGCTCGCCCTTGTTCCCCGAGCCCATGCGCGCTGAGACTATGGACCGTAAGTGGAAGTCATCCGACCTGGAGGAGCTAGACATTGGAATCACCAAGCACCGGGTCCCCAATAGGTTCAGCGACAAGGTTGCACTGTGGGCAGTCAAGAGCGCGCGCAAACCGACGGACCTGCTTTTTCGCAACAAGTATCTCCACCGCTCTGTCATGCTGGAGGTCATTGCCGCGGTGCCCGGAATGGTCGGCGCATTGATTCGGCATATCAAATCGCTCCAGGGCATGCGCCACGACGGCGGGTGGATTGGCCATCTCCTGCATGAGGCCGAGAACGAGCGCATGCACCTGATGACCTGGATGGAGGTCGGCAAGCCCGTCATGTGGGAGCGAGCCCTAATTGCCACCGTGCAGACCGGATTCTTTGCAATCTTCTCACTGCTGTATATGGTCAGTCCACGCACCGCCCATAGGGTCGTCGGCTACTTGGAGGAAGAGGCTGTTACCTCGTATACTCACTTTATAAGGGAGATTGATGCTGGCAGGATTGAGAATGTGAAAGCGCCGGAAATTGCCGTGGCGTATTGGAATTTGGACCCCGAGTCGGCTACTTTGCGCGATGTTGTTTTGGCCGTTAGGGCTGATGAAGCTCTGCATCGCGACTCTAACCACCATTTTAGTGACCGCATTTTGGCTGGCCGTGAGAGCTTGTTTGAAGACATGGACCACGACGAGAGCAAACCGCGTGTTAGGTACTAATAAAGGGCTGCCAAAAAAATTATTTAATAGCTTATTAGATTCGTTTTTTTATTGTTTACTAGTTTTTTCTCCGTTGAAAATCTATTCATTCAATTTTCTTTTGTATATTCGTTTATTTGCTTTATTGTTTTTCCAATCTGTTCTATTAAAACGCCTTTTATTGTGCGAATATTTCTATTCAGCTTTCTACAGTGCGCAGCATGATATTTTGTATATAAAGCACTTTGCTTTCCTTTTCTTTATTGAGCGCATGGCATGATGAAGTAGTGCTTGACACGCTGAACGCAAAATCATGACTTTGCACAATATATAAATAGCGCAATGCTAATATATAAACAAATTATATACTCCTTCATTTTTCATTTTTATTGTTGCTTCCTGTTTATTATTTATTAAAACTCGTTATATTTTATTTCACCAGCTATACATCAACTAGCACAAATGGCAAAACTCAGAATACAAGTGAACAAAGACTGTACTACACGCACGCTAATAGAAGCTATTTTCAAGGGTAATAACAACTCTAATGGTTTAAGCAGGCAAGCGCCCGTGCTTAGTCACATATTTAGACAAAACAGAAAAATCCTGTGCAGGCGCAGATTATTAGACATGAGCAAGACGCTCGTGGAGCAAGGTGTGTCTCACAACGACATAATTATTATTGGTAGCTGTAATAGGGTGTTGATAAAGTTTAAACCCAGTGTTTGCAACAAAATCCAACATTCCATTTATCCAACAAACAACTGCAAAGCGGCGAAAACAGAATTGTGCTAATATTACTTGCTGCTGAAATTTTTAACTGCACCTTTTCACTTAATTTTATAATACATTTTTTATTCAACGTTATTTTACTTTAAATTTCAAGTTGTTGAGCAGTCTGATAATATGGAAGTGGATGTCGAGGTTGAGGATCGTGAAACGGGTTTTCATCAACATGCCGATTGACAGGGCATAGATGTTACTATGTAGGATTAAATCAGGGGAGATAACAATGACATCTTGATATGCCCCCGTTTAATAATGTACACGTACGGATGCGTACATGCAAAAAGTATAACCTTGATACGCCAAGACTCCAGTCTGCCTAGAGAAGAACCAGTTCTCGCCAACGGAGTGCACAACCAATGAAGTGCACAATAAAGGAAAAGAGGCATATATAAGGCGAGGTCGGCCTCAGTTATGCTTTTGATTCCATTGATAATAAAAACCTCTATAAACTGACACCCCATCTTTTAATACTACATTGTTATAATAAGAGGGTGTGTGTGTGTGGAGCACTACAAAGTGGTGTGACACTATTTTTCGTGACTTTAAACATTGAAAATCAATGAACAAGACAAATTTAATAAACTAATTAAGGTTGTTGATAAAGTATTGTTATGATTTTGATGGGGGGCACTAGTTACCTAGTGTTAAAAGTATGTATGAGTTTTGTCATAGTTTTTATTATTAAGGGAATCAAAAGTAGAACTGTAAGTGTATTCGACATATTTATGTGTCGCGTTGCCTTTGTTGTGCACTTTTTCAGTTGCACACTCCGTTGGCAAGAATTGGTTCTTCTGCGAGCAGATCAGTATCTTGGAGTGGTAATGTTGTGCTCTTTGCATATGCGCGCTCGTGTGTGTACGTTATAAAGTGGGGAGCATATCCGGATGTAATTATTGTATCCCCTGATTTGCCCTCACATAGTCCCACCTATGCCCTATCAATCGGCATGTGGACAGAGACTCATTTCACGATTTTCAGCCTCAGCATCCAATTCCATATCCTCGGGTTGCGCAACATTACTTTATTGATAAATTTATGAACATTAGGCTTATACCAAAAATTATAAAAGGTAATCTAAAAAAATGTTTGTGGGGTTTTATAATGATTCTAATGTTTATGGGTTTATGGATATATAAGTTTAGAGATTGCCGCGCTGCAAGAAAAAGTAGTTTATTATTTAATTGTACTCTGGCGAGCGGAATGAGCCTTCACATGTGAGCTGCTTAGGCTGTCCTTTGTTGTCGAGAATATCAACCCAACCATTTATACCATCTTCGCTCCAATTATATCGTTCTGCACTAATAATACTTTTGAAAGACTTGATGTTGATTTTCTTACCGTGGCTATCTTTACTTTCTCTGACCTCGAGGAACATATTTAGCCATTCAATTTCGTCAACAGAGTAGCCATTAACTTTGATAGTACTATTTGATTTTCCAGGAATATCTTTGGTCACTTTCTTGTTGGTTGTTTTAATAATGCCACCTAGACTTGATGAGCCCTCGCCTGCCCCAAGTGACACACCAGTGTCATACAAGGCTGCCATACTGACAGAATGCTGGAGACCAAGCTTACTGGCTTCAAGTTGGGATGGGAGCACATACAAGTTGTTAAAGACAAGATCTTGCGCATTTCTAAACAAGACATCTTTGACTGATGCCTTCCACACGTCACAGAATCCCTCAAGACCAGATATTGAACCACTTTTTGATGCAGCCTTTTCTTGCAAGGCATTACCATATATGGAAAAATCATTCATCTCATTTTTTGCATCGTGATAGGCACTAATGACATCCCAGGTATCCCCTGAACGGGTGTTGAAGTTTACAATACCAGATGATATGCCGCTCCCCGAGGTGTCCACATGACAATTATCGTACTGGAACAAGTGGCTTCCAGTTTGGAAGATGTTGGTTAGCTGATAGGTCAGATTGACTTCACATACATTAAGCCAGGCATTAGCGGAGCTTGAGAAGAAGAATGTGGCAATGGCCAGTACAGGCAGGCGTTTAACAGTGAGAAGCATGCTTAATGAAAAACTAAAAGATTGGTAAATATTGTGAGTAAAAGCAGTGTAATGGAAAGTGGATTATTTGGGTGTTTTCAAGGTCGCCTTTTATATGGTTAACAAAATTGGTGTTTCTACTGTTTACCATACTAAAAAGCACAAGAAATTTTAACATGCAAGTACTCTAGGCGTTATTTTATAAAAAGAAAAGATGTGCACAAGCAATCTTAAATATCCAATCAAACACAATTTACTATTCCACGCTCGCTATTGGTATTCATTTTTCTATAAATATAATTATATTTATATATAGCCCTCATATATTTAAAAGACAAATTGTTTCTTTTGTTTCTTTGGCGCTCTTTATTTACTGATATACAAAATAAACAACAAAAAGAAAACATGTGTGCCCCATGTGGTTGTCACAAAACTAACAAAGGCTAGAGTTGGTGTTTGGTCTATTTATAGGATTTAAAACAAAATTAGAATAAAGAAATGATAATAATAAAAAGTATTGGTGATGAGATATTTTGTTTTACAATGCAATAAATGTTTACTGCTACCTGTTTGTTATGCAAGAGGGGGGTGGGGAGCACAACTGTAATAGTGTTAAAGAATGGGTGTGAAATTATAAAGGTTTTTATTACTAGCGTTTCTAAAGTGCTACTATCGCCGGCCTCGCCTTATATATATCTCCTTGTCTTTGTGGCACTCACTGGCAGCTGTGTCGTCTGTTTGCAAGGACTGATCCTTATGAAAGTAACCCAGGTCTCTGATATAGCATTATTGACATGTCTGTATTCTTGCGCCTAGCACATCCATTTTGGGACAGGCAGTATGTTCGGATGTCAATTGTGGCACCTAATTTGATCCCCTGTGATTTGGCCCATATCGGATCCATCTGTTAGCTGACGAGAGTCTGTCCCATGATTTTCGCCCTCAGCATCTACCTCCATATCGTTGGGCTAGCTAACATGTCTAAACACAAAACTTAAATATATATTGTAAAAATAAATGTGAATAGTTTAATATTGTTTTACTCCACTGTTTGCAAAACACTTTAGCGACAATACTAAACAACAGAGGCTGTAAGATTATGAATGTTCTATGAACGGGATATTAATAGCTGTACTGCAAATTAAATCACTATCTCGCTTGACATTTTCACTGCGCATCTTAGCAGCTTTCTTTGCCATGGACGTTAAAAAGCAATGAGGATGACACCATGTATGTCTTTATAAAATAGCCACGTTTTCATTTATTTTTGCATTTTATAAATGTGCAACGGATGACACAAATATAAAACAAAATTATGCAGATTGTGGAAAAGAGATTTTTCCATTGCAAATTAAAATGTGCGAGTAAATAAAAAATTGTAAAATATTTATATTGAAATTTAGGCGGGCCTTCCACATATAATACCAACATTATTATCATTTAATTTTTTGCTATTACTTATATATTATATCATTAACTATACATTGTTCAGTACAAATGGCAAAACTCAGAATACGAGTGAACAAAGACTGTACTACACACACGCTAATAGAAACTATTTGCAAGGGTAATAACAACTCTAATGGTTTAAGCAGGCAAGCGCCTGTGCTTAGTCACACATTTAGACAAAACAAAAAAGCCTGTACAGGCGCAGATTATTAGACATGAGCAAGACGCTCGTGGAGCAAGGCGTGTCTCACAACAACACAATTATTATTGGTAATTACAATGAATTGTTAATAAAGTTTAAACCCAATATTTGCAATAAATCCTAACATTAAATCCATATAGTGCAGGTAGCCAAAACAACAACATTAGCAGCTGCACACTAACACATCATTAAAATCCGTTTTATTGTATTTTTAACATAATTATTCTTATATTAATACTTTTTTACTAATTAATTTATAATCAATATATTTAACTAACAAACAAATACAATTAAAAGCAACATGCAGCTGCCGTTTGACAATATTTGCAAAGTACCGTTATACTCTTGTCGTTTTATATACCAGCACTTTCAAAAATTAAAAATAATAATTGAAAAGGGCTGCCAGACCACCCAGAGCCAGTACATACGGTCCGTAGCTATTTATTCCACTGGCAGAGCTGGAAAATGATTTATACTTGCTGCTTCCAAGCTCTGAGCACGAGTTTCCACACGCGACAAGTGGTTGGGCAATTTGCTCCGATTGTGAATTATAAGAATTGTCACAGGTAATATTTCCAGGCTGACCTCCATTCTCAAGAATGCTAATATTGTGTTTCCAAGAATACTCTTTCTGCTCAATGATGTACTTGTACGACTTGATGTTTACAGCTGCTCCAATATTGTCGTAATTGGCCCTGACGTCCAAAAACATATTCAGCCACTCTATTTCGTCGACGGTATAGTCATTAATCTTGAGGCTGCTTTTGGAGTCGCCTTGCTTGTTACCAGTCACTTTTTCATTGGTTTCCTTGATGATGCCGCCCAAGGTGCCTACATAGTCGCCAGCACCCCGTAAAATGGCAGTGTCATACATGGCAGCCTGGCTGACACTGAGCTTTAGCCCAAGCTCATCAGCAAATATTTGGGATGGCTTGAAGTAAAGCTCATCATAGACCGCGTCTTGCGCGGTAATAAAATTTTTGTTTGTCGAAGCATTCTGCCATACCTCACAAAAGCCCTCAAGCCCAACAACTGACCCGTCCTTGTCTTCTGCTCTTTTGGCCAGCACAGAGTCGTACTTTGAAAACTCGTCGTTTCCACCCGTAAGGTAGTGGTAGGCCATTATTACAGGCCAAGTGTCGCTGGTGCCGGTACAAAAATTTGCAATACCAGATGCGTAACCGTAGCCTTCGTTGTCCAGCTCACAGTTGCTATACTGAAACTTGATGTCGCCAATTTGGAAGATGTTGGTCAACTGGATAGCCAAATTCTTCGGGCAACCAGATAAACCGGCGTCGACAAAGCTTGACAGAAAAAATGTAACCACAGCTACAGCAGATAGACGCCTAATGGTTGAAAGCATGCTAAAAAGTATATTTTAATTATAAAAATAATACTAATATAAGACAGTGAGAATAAAGATGAAGAAAAGCGAATGTAACACCACATACCTTATTTCTAGTTTTAGCCTTTGTTACTCCCTCCAACATGTGTTCAACACAATGGTGCACAAGTTTCTTTAGACTAAAACCTTCAAAGAGCAAACAAAAATTGTTTGTTGACTGCAACTATTTTTTTCTTTCAACCGAAAAAAATATTCCATAAAGGAGCAACCATTCGGTCGCAAAGCCTTTAAAATAGAAAACTTTACATAGGGTTACAAACAAAATACAAGCCAGGGGGTAATTATATTGTGCATACATTTTATAAGCGCGAGTGAATGAGTGCGCGCGTCCATGCAATGTTTAGCGGCGCTTTCTGCCATGTTTGTTACCGCCAGAATTGTTCTTTCCTTTGCTCTTGCCCTTGCCGCCCTTCGACTTTCCCACTCTGCCGGGGGTCTTTCCCGACCCGTTAACGCGGTCAATATGGCTTTTAGATATGTGAAGCACGCCGTCCTTAAACTTCCCTTCTCCGATTCTCAATCCACGATCACCCATCTTGAGCTTGGGCTTTCTCTGCTCGGTCTCTTGGGCTTTGCCCAAATACTTGACCTCCAACTCGCGCTTGACCGTGGCATTCAACACGCCCCTGTCCTTGGCATCCTTTATGGAATCTGCTGCCCGCTTCTCGCGATTCCGCTGGGCGTTGAAAAACTGATCTGCTGGAAGGTTGCTCTTGGTTTTGATCTTCATTCCAAGCTTCATAAGCTTCTGGGTATTGTGGTTGTGACGGTCCTTTCCGGTGAGCTGTGATTCATGAAGCTTCTCGATCATCAGCTTTCCTTCGAGAAGATCGTTCAGTTCACGGTCGTTCTGGCGCGACTCTTGCTCCTCCTTCTGCGCTTCCTTGCTGATCTTGGGCGGCTTAGCGTTGATTTTGGTTATTTTGGCCGACATGAAGCTCTTGTACTGTGCCTTGCTGGCTGTTTTGGCTGTTGATTTGGTCAAGGACGACGCGTCAAAGACGACCACCTCGGGAGCGGACCTTTTTAGTTTTGTGATAGGAACCATTTTGGGCACTTTTATGTATATATATGTTTATATAGAATTGAATTAAACAGAAATTAATTGAACTGAGAACTGAGAATTGCAAGACGAATAAAATAGTTGGACTTCTTTTCTTTTACCACTGTGTGGTGGACGTCAACCCAAAAATACAAAAAAAATGCAATCGGTGATTAACAAACAGATCAAATTAAAATATGTGCGGAGTAGGCCCATGCAAATGCAACGTTTTTCGGGGGAAATTTTTACGCTGTGTTGTGCGTCAAGATTATGTCAAGTGCAAATCGTGCGCTTTAGAATCCTTTCCATCAATTTTGCCTTTGCGTTCCTACCGCCTCACTTGCCTCCTTTTACCTTTTTATTTACGCTTCTTTTGTCCCTCTTTCTCATTCAATTTTTTAGGTTTTATTCTACACCCTTTTTTACCATTCTAAGGTGGATGAATTCCGCACAGATACTCTTTCGCATAACCGCGGGGCAACGGTGTTTAATTCAACCACTGGCCAGACACACCCACACTTCCATTCTCTTCAAGCAGTTTAAATTGGCAAACATGGCGTCCGAGACACTCAGACAGCGGTACAGGGAATTTAACAGCACTGCAGTTACCTCCGAGTCGCAGAAACCCGCCGGTGATAGCGAAAAGGAGACAGAGCTCGGAAACAAGACACCCGGGTCAAAGCGGTCGCTGACCATTGCTATTGCCGGTGTGCTTGCTCTCCTCAGCGTCACTGGATACAGCTTTATGCGCCAGCCATCTGGAGTGCCTGCAGTTGCACTGACTACAGTAGCGACACCAACAGAGACTGCGCTTCAGTCAGTAGCAACCAAGCGCAGTGACGCACAGAAGCGCTTAGAGGGAATGACAAAAGTTGAGAGGCGCAAGGAGGTCAACCGCCTGCCCATTCTCACGGACGACGAGGTCGACGCTGTACTGCGTGCCAATGAAAAATCATGGCAGGCGATCAATGGAGCCTTGCGCATAGATACTGACCAGGTGTCGTCCAACGAGCCCATCGAGGACTACTTGGCGACTGGTGACATACATGGCGGATCACGATACATGGTGGGCGTATTCGACGGGCATGCCGGGTTTATGTGTGCTGAGCAATTGGCTGCGCGCATGCAGCCGATGATTGACGCGGCGCTACAGGAAATCGAGGGCACCAACAAGACGATCAGTGCCCCGCTTTCGGATGCTGTGGTGAGGCTGCAGCGTGATGTCGGACGCGGGTGGGACACGGTTCCGATGGCTCTGACAGCCGCATTCATGGCAATGGATAATGAGCTGGTGCATGCTTCGCTGGCCGAGTACCAGCGTCTAGCGGACCCATCGCAGATGAGCCGTCTGCTGGGCCCCGCCGTCTCTGGCAGCTGTGGTCTGGTTGCCCTGGTTGACACCGACGCAAACGAGGTTGTGGTGGCCAACACTGGCGACAGCCGCGCGCTTCTCGGCGTGCGTCTCGCCAATGGCACATGGAAGGCTGTGCGGCTCAGCCAGGACCACACGGCAGGGAACCAAAATGAGCTGAGCCGTTTGGCCCGCGAACATCCAGGCGAAACAGTCATAAGGTCTGGTCGCATATTGGGCGGTCTCATGCCCACACGTGCATTTGGTGACTCCCGTTACAAATGGCCGATTGGTGTTCAGCGTGCGCTGTTCCCGCAGCTGCTGGCCAACGGTCACAAGTATGCAACGTCGCCGCCTGATCTTCTGTCGCCGCCATATGTCACGGCGCATCCCGTCATTGTCCGGCACAAGCTTGGAAAGGGCGATCGGTTTATTGTGGTGGCGTCAGATGGGCTTTATGACCAGATGGCCGATGCCGATATTGTACAAGTTGTTGCTCAGTGGTACGAGGCCAGGGATCCGGCCAGCGGCTTGGTCACCAAAGATAAGAATGCGGCTACGCATTTGATTCGGGCTGCGTTATCTACCGATGGCAATGGAAATCGCAGGGATGAGATTATTCGCTACATGTTGGCCATCCCACCACCGGTCTCACGCCGCTACCGTGATGACATTTCGGTTGCTGTGATTACGCTTAACGAAGCAAATTAAATTCAACCCCCGATATTATATTTTAGGCTATTTTTCACAATCTGTCCAGTCCATATATATATTTTTTACTTTGCACATATTTATTTGGACGGAATAAATGGAAACGCTCGTTTATATTGATTCATTTATGAGGCTTGGCTACATCCCACTTTTGCCAGCAATAATATCATTTTGCAAAGCTCATGTTGCAAATTAAATACGTGCCCATTTACATTTTTGATTTGTGCATTCCGTTTTCTAAATGGGGAATGGAAAAAGGCGTATTCAATGGTACCGCATGCATGCTGAACAATTGATCAATGCAGTTAGTGTTGATCTGGTATTGCATGTTGCTTTTCCACGCGGTAATCATCCCAATCGATATACAAATGCCAAATTCAATTGCTCTATTAGGGGGCTTGTTCAAGAATAAAAACCCTGATCAGCATGCATATCAGCATATCCTCGTGTTTCATTGTTGGATTTGTGTGTTGCTGCTTGGCTGCTTGGCTGCTTGCCTCGTCAACGCTCTCAATAAAATATTTTCTCCCTTAATTCCAACCCCTCCCTTGCTCGTCCTCTCACACTCGCACTCCTCCCAGTGGCCTTATTTCCATATAAACTGACCAAGGCGGCTGCGAAGAAAACCATCTTTTTTCTATTGACATTTTCAATTGAAATACTCCCAGCCTTTGAATGCTGACATATTCTACTTTGCACTCTTGCTCTTTCATCCATCCATCTCTCCGTTTTTTACGCTCTCTCGCTTACTTTAACTCTCAACCTTAACTTGTACTTTTAAGCACTCGCATATTGTTTTCTGCTTTGCTTTTTTTTACCACTCTTGTTCACTACGACTCGCAGTGAAAGCTTTCTATTTCTTATTTCTCTTGTTCACTACGACTTGCAGCAAAAACTTTCTGTTGCTTTTTTTTCTTATTTCAAATACGCCTTCTCTATTTTTATTTTTATTTCTCTAAACGCGTATTTACGATGGACAACAGCACTATCGCCAACAACAGCGGATTGGGCGCGCCGGCCGCCAAAAATGCTGGGCCACAGTCTTACACAGAGGTAGCTTCTGAGGTATGTTTGCAAATACACTGCTCACACATGAGTTTTATTGGTGGTATTTGCTTTGGTATGTTTTTTGCACACATTAAACTACTCTACTAAAAGTGTATTGTATTTGTTTGTTTGTTTACAATTGTCAATTTAGAAAGGCTGGCCCGAGGCTCCGCGTGGTAGGCTTATGGCGGAAGACGCTGTGACTCTCAAGCGCCAGCTGCTGCTCGGCCAGCAGCTTCGCGGTAACGCGCACTCGCTGCATGTTCACGAACTTGCTACGTTATTTAATTGGGGCGCCAATCATTATGACGAGCACAAGGAACGGTGTGAGCCGGTCTTCCGCGACATGGAAAATAAGTTCCCAATGCTTTGCGAAGGTTTTGTTGTCATGCCCGACGGCACATGCGCGATAGGCACCGCTGGCGAGGTTGCCCGTGCTATTGGCAACATATACCATCAGCTGTATGACGCCTACCATGGCGCCTTCCCTTCTGAAGACCCTTGCAGCCCTCTCGTGTATGGCCCGCGCACGTTGACCAAGGACAGAACGCCGATGTTTGAGCCAGCAAACGTGTTCACCTACAGCGGGTACGCCGCAAATCAGCTCGATGCAGTGCACCTGTATGTAGAGGCAAGCCTGGAGTTCTACGAAAACAGGGATTTTCCAGCCGATATCATTGGGAGGTTGGGCGAGCGGATCATGATGACATGGGATGTCCAACCCCTGCGTCAATTTGTCCCGGTTGCCTTTGTGCACGGCATGGCGGTCGACATTCTCCTGTTTACGCGAGAAGGCTATGTTTGCGTACCATGCGGCACAGTTTTTGACAGCGCCTACGAAGAGATCTCAAATGACTGGAGTCAGCGCCTTGGCTTGCTTAATTTTTGGTACATCATGATGCAACCCGCACACAAGTTTGGCCACATTGTCAACATGGCTAGCCAGCCGCGGTACCTGGAGTTTAGCATCGGCGCCATGCAAGCAGCTAAAGTCACAGCAATCAGTGAGCGCACGACTTCTGCCGTCGATATCAGCAATGGTGTGCAGCCAGCCATTGGTATGCGTCCACGCGGGCCGTACACGATCAAGGTGCTGTTTGGCATAAAAAAAAAGCCTGCCACTCTCAAGCTTTGCTGGACTCCAGTTGATAGTGTGCCCGAGGGGGTTTTCTACGATATACTCGCGGAGAGTGGCGTGCCGGGTATTCCAGAAGTTCTTGGGAGTGGTGTCCTTGTCGGCAACTTTTTGGGCTACCGTTTCGAGTTCCTTGTCCTGAAGGACATTGGTGAGTCGATTGGTGCGCGTTTCCAGTCGCTTGCCAACCAGCCATATGATTGCAATAGGCTGTGCAGGCTTATGAGGGATGAAATTGTTCAGGTCCTCAAATGCCTCGTTAAGGCTAAGGAAGCAGGCGTCTTCCACCGCAACCTCACGCCGGACAACATCTCCAAGCGCAATACAACGGCATTTGTCTCTGACTGGGGCTGCGCAAAGCTCGGCCCAAACGTGTGCCCCAGGGTCAAAGCCAGAGTGTCAAGGAAATGGGGTCTTAATATTGACAATCTGTCGCACGCCAGCAGAAACCGCTACATAGCCGAGAGTATGCCCTGCTTTGCCAGCATCCGCATGCTGAGGGGGCATTTGGATCACACCATTTTAGACGATGCTGAGTCGCTTCTATATGTCATGACTGCTGCCTTCTCGGCTCTCGACACGGGCAGAATTGACATTAACACATTTGCATTCCAAAACGTGCACAGGAGCGCCCTGGCTATACTCAAGGCCGGCGCAATATCCAATGCCATCGAGCTCCCACTTTGCTTTGGCGTCTCTGAGATCAACACAATCCGAGCTTTCAGTATTCTTAACCCACTGCATCGGCTTCTGTTCTATCATGACAACAACTACATCGGGAACATGCTTTTAAGCACTGGGACAGACATGCGCACAGTCAGCGACAAGCAGATATGTGGTGTTTACGAGTGGTATGATTACAGGGAGAACGGCTGCTACGCTGCGGACTTGCCTAAGGAGCCATCCGATAGCGCCAATTATTCGATTGCATGCTCCTCGCTGCCCCCGGAAGCGTTGGCTTTTTTTGATGCTTTGGGTAATATGGCACCCACCTCATCCCCACAGCCTCAAACCTCCGTTTTCTCCTCTCCAGTTGGAAATTGGCTCAAAACCTCGCCGGCCCCGCAGCCGTCGACATCGACGTCGCATGGTAGTTCGAATGGCGCAGCTTCTGCCTCAGCTATGCAGTCAAAGCCCGCTGTTTCTTTTATTTCGGTTGGTAATTGGTCCAATGCCTTGCCAGCCCAGCAGCCGTCGACGTCAACGCTGGTGCTGCATAATGGTTTGAATGGCGCGGCTCCTGTCTCATCCCCGCAACCTCAACCCTTTGTCTTTTCCCCTCCAATTGGAAAGTGGGCCAATGCCTCGCCGGCCCCGCAGCCGTCGATATCAACCTCGCATGGTAGTTTGAATGGCGCAGTTTTTCCCTCAGCTTTGCAAGCAAAGTCTGCTGTTGCTTTTATTCCGGTCGGAAATTTGCTGAGTAGCTGGGCCAGTCTGCCGCCGGTGCAATCAGACAACAGTCCGCATGTTTCTACTCCAACTGCGAATTTGCCTCAGCAGCTGTCTTTGAATCCAGTTGACAATTCATCGACAACTCTGTCTCAAGACCCGCTGGCATTGCCTTCAAACGATAATCCAGATGATTCAACTCTAGCTCTGCCCCCGCCTTTGTCAGCTGTTCATGGTATCACAAACTCATCTAACGACGCACCGCATCTTCTGCCATTGGATAAGAATAGAGCATACTATCCGATTCCAACTGACTCAACCTCAGCCCCAGCCCCAGCCCTAGACCTAGCTCCAGCTCCAGCTCCAGCTCCAGCTCCAGCTTCAGTTCCAGTTTCAAATCCAGATCCAACTTCAGCTCTATCTCCGCTGTTGTTCGATAACACTCCCACTTTGTACGACACGCATCAGGCCCCGCAGGGTGCTGACAATGCTAGTAATTCTCTGACAGGCGCAGCGGAATTGCTCCAGCCATCACCAGTGCCGACAGTTCAAGAGACAGGCGACGCGTCTCTGCCGAAAACCCAGAGCTCAGAGAAAACCCCACCGGCGTCGCAGACCACAGACCACGCAAGTGCAAATCCGGACACCGGCTTGGACTACTCTGGTGGGTCGGCACACACTTCAGACAAAAATACGAGTTCCAGTACTAAGACCAATGCGCCAAGCGAGCCTAGTAGGGGAACCAAGCGCAAGCGCCAGCTAGAATGCAGCGAGTCTGAAGAGAACGACGACGACTATGGTTGCACAAAGCTTGTGATGTTTAGGCCGCGCAAGATTATTAGGATATGCTAGTTTAATGGCAGCGGGAAAGCCATTTTACTTTAAGAAAACCGGGACGCCGGCGGTTATAAATTTGGCATTGAACCATTCCGAGTTTGTTATCATTTTTGTTTCCAATAACCGCCGAGCCTAGTTTTTTTGTAACAACATTCTTTATTTTAATATTAAATTCAAAATATACTTTATTCTGTTCACTTCACTTTGCTGATGCATTGGATTCAAAGTAAAGCGTGTATTGTCAAACCAGCATGGCTTGTTCTACAGGCAAAATTAACGCATTCATAAAATGGAAATACGAGTTAATAGATATAATCAAATAAGTGCGCCATATTGTAAATACTAGAGACCAATAATATTTATAAATTAATATCAATATTCAGCGTGCGTAATGCGCACACGGCAGTTGACCAACGGATTGATTGGTCCACATGTATTATAAGCAAGCCCGGGAATCTCTACAGGAATGCCATTCTTAATCCTGTGCGGGCCGTACGGAGCGTCTTCGGGTAATTCAAAGTTGTATTTGCGCAGCAGATTAGCCAGCACCGTGTAGATCTCAATCAATGCAAGATTACGGCCTATACATGCACGCACTCCGGCACTAAAGGCCAGCAGCTCACTTGATTTTGCCTCTCCGTCGGCGCCCATGAACCTCTCTGGATCAAAACCATCCGGATTAGCCCACACAGTTGGGCTGCGGTGGCTGGCAGCAAGGGATATGCATATGTGCGCGCCTGGCGGGACTCTATACTGGCCACAGAGAGTGGTACCCTCAGGAGGCACGCTGCGTGGAAAATATCCAGGCGCTGCAGAGTTTAAGCGCATCGATTCGTGAAGTACAGCCGTGAGGTAGGGCAGCTGTGCCTTGGCCTCATCGTATCGAATGGGGTTGGTTTTATCTGGAAAGGTGCGGCGGATGTCTTGACGGAGGCGGCGTTGCACTGGAGGGTGATGAAGAATGTACATCATGGTCCACGAAAGAGTGTTGGCAGTAGTTTCCGTGCCTGCGCTTAACATTAACATAATTTCAGCTGATTGTTGGGAATGGCTTAATGTCTGGCCGGTCTTGGGGTCCTTGGCGTCGATGATCTTCTGCAGAATATCAGCGTGAGCTACTTGTGCGTTCGTGTTGCTGATATCTTGCTTGCGTCGCGCAACCGCCGCTTGAGACATGGCAATAAGGCTGTTTCTTGCGGCAAACAAGTCTTTGAATAGCCAAGTAAACCGTTTCAAAGCAGGAAAAATAGTGACAACAGCACTAAGGGTAATTATTTTTTTTATGTTGTTGGTTACAGTTGTGTCATTTCCCCTGAGCATGTCAAAGCTCTTTCCGTACCCGAGCATTCCGATAACGTCAAAAGCTATGCCGTTAAATCCATAAAAGTAATTGACGTCTGCGCCCTTTTTGATTTCGGCATCCCAGAATTCAATTAGAGATATCACGCCATGTTCCAGGATGGCGTCCTCCAAAGTACGCATATGGGTCATCGAGTACGTGTTGCCCATCTGGCGCCTCCTGGTCTTGTTGAGCTCTGGATCCGTGATTGAAAACATTGTTTGAACGGGGAGCACACCAGTATTGTAGGCTTCTCCTTTACGGAAAGAGTGCGTAGCCAGAACACGGCGGAGCTCGGAACCATTGGCCAACGACACCTGGTCATGGCCAACGCGCACTGTATCGCCATATTTAGCGTGCAAAGAAATGGTATACTTGTGGTATTGGCCGCGGGCTGTGTGGTAGTACAGGGGCAGGTTGGAGATGGAGTTTAGGAGGGGGCCGGGTATTTTGGAGAGCGGGGTAAAATATGCTCGCTTAAAGATGGTACCAACAACCAAGAGGGATAGCAGCGTCGAAACAAGCAGTAGCAGCGTGCTTGACAAATCAAAACTGTAAATGGTATTTAGCATGGCAAATAATTTTGTAGTGTGAAATAAAAAATGAAACGGCAGAAAATAAGGAATTGACTAGCTGGTGCTTGCCTTTTAGACATTTTGAACGACAATAGTACAATATTTCAATATTTCAATTTGCGTCTGTTTGACATCAGTTAATTGTTTTTATGCAAATGTGACAGTCGACCAACTTTAAATGCTGCATGTGTGCACAAGTAGATAGGTGAACAAAGGTTTTTTGTATTGCTTCTGCTGAGATGTTTGTGGAAAGCAGTGTGAATAAGGCGATTTTATTGATGGCGTATTTAAAGCCAGTGAAAAATATCGTGGGAACGTGACTTACTCCACTTGCCATTGTGCCACACCTGCATCCCCAATTTGCAGTATTGCAAGAAAGGCTACCATGCGCTTGTGTTTTTGTTATCATTTCAATTCACCAATGTTTTCTTAAATCAAACATTCCAACGATTAAAATTACAGCCAAATGAGCAAATGTAGTATTTTTCAGGTGGTGCTGCCAGCCATGCGTTGTTTTTGCAGTTCCTCTCCCCCAAAGATATTTGCATTTTCTAAAAACACACATCAAATGCTCAATATGATATGGCTAGGCGTCAGCAAGACACATAGTGGGGAGCAGGCCAGCAACAATGGCAAATATTCCAAGCAAGAAAACCAATGGCTGCTCAAAAAGTTTAATGTGATTTCGCTTCTGATGACTGCTCAAATTGCTTTCAGGGCATAAATCTCGAATAAATAGACAATTGATAGACAACAAAACAGCTTTGGTGATGATGAAATTAATTATATTACCAGCGTGGGATCAATGGGAATTTGAAAAATGTCCACCCAATGATTCATCCCTAAGAAATTAAAAAAAAACCAAAAATGGTAAACAATTAAAACTAATGGTGTTATCTAAAATGTATTCTGCCCGTTGCAGCACATCGCAGCCTTCTGATTATTGAGCGGCGAGCTCAATACGTTTGTCGCACAGAACAACATCGCCAAGCACAGCTTTGAAGGCGGGCTCGGCAGTTATGGTCGTAAAGTAGCGGGTGAGGTCGGGGTACTTATCGCGGTCCTCGCTGGTCAAATACATCTGGAATGAATAGAGCAAGTCGCAGGCAACAACGACATCGGCAATGGTCAGGCGCTCGCCAACAACAAAAGTGCGGTTGATGAGCTGGGTGTTTAGGACATCAATAAAGCGGAAAAACTGCTCTTCAGCTTGCTGGTGAGCGGGCTTGAAGAACTTGGCATGTCCCATTAGGGGTGCCAATGTACCTATGAGGGCGGGCACAAAATCAGCCTCTGCAAAGAGGATAAACTGGAGAATCTCAGCAGTCTCCTCGGCGGTCTGGCCGAGCAGGGTAGACTCACTGCCAGCCTTTGCAGCAATGTAGTAGGCAATAGCGCTTGAGTCGCTCACACTGAAGCCGTCAGCGCCCTCGAAAACAGGAACCTTGCCGGCGGGGTACTTGGCCAAGTACTCGGGAGTCTTGTTGTCAACGCCCATCTGGAAATCGGGGGTGGTGCCAAGCTCAAGCCCGGTAATGACAGCAACAATGCGGGCCTTGAAGTTGCGGGGGTTAGGCATGGGGCCAATGAGAGTGCCGAGAGGAGCCATTTTGAGTGTATGTGTAGGTTCAAGTGTAAGTTCAAGTGGGAGGCTAGTTGTTTTTTGTATGGATGATATTGATTGGACAAAGTTGTGATGAGAAAAAAAGCGAGAAGATATGGTGAGAAGTAATGGAGTATTTATACCAAATTCATAAATTTACATTAATGCCATTTTGCCACGCGCTCCCTTCGCTCATCCCCCCTATACATGCCAAGATCTGCTTGCGCACATTCAGGGGACAACAAAATGCATTAGTAATGTCGAAAATTGGTATTGAGCAGAACATAATAGAACAAAATCAAAGATTTGTATTTGTAATCCTTTATATATATCACAAAGCGCAGTGATTATTTTTCCGCACGACCTACGTAAATACTCAAATGCGGACTTTTAATCGGAATTGCTGATTTGTATATGGAAATCCCATTTGGTTAATGCAACCTGTCGTGCTCTATAAAAATGTGGGTCTAAATCGATATATTCAAGTCTTAAAAATTACTTAACTGAAAAAGGGGGCAGCGCTGTGTGGGCAGCACTGTAAACATCATGGTATTCCTTGATGTCAGCCAGCAATAACAGAAATGTGTATAGTGGCCATGATGGCGATCTTGATTCTTGAAAAGGGAAGATAGTGGCTTGAAATGTGTGTTGGGCACCACACAACCAACGTATACTTTCAGATTGGTTGGTAACGGTCCGCATATCTTTTGCAAACAGTTGCAGCTATTATTCTCGCACATCAAACACCCAGGTCGCATATGTGTATATATTATTTGAATAAATAAAATTTAATTGTGCTGCAGGCGAGACAGATTGTTCATCGACTCGGTGACTTTCACGTACTCGGCCAAATGCGCAGCCATAGCCGCGTTCTTCCCGCGCAGCTCCTCACCCACAGCACGCTCAGCCAAAGCCTGCATCTCCAAAATGCGTAAGCGAGCCACAGCATCCCCTAGCGCGCGCTCCAAACCGCCGACGTTTTCCCTCAGCGCCGCAACCTCCCTTGCCTTTTCCTCGGCTGTCTCAAGCAGCCCTCGAGTCTCAACACACTCGCGCTTCCACTCAGATGCATCCGACTCAGTATTTTGCAGCCGAGCAGACAGCTCCATGAGTTCCTGCTTTGCTTGCTCCTGAAGATAACTGGCTGATGCCATTTTTTGCTGCAACTCGGTTATTTCTTCTTCGGTCTCTTCGCGGGCCTCTTGCTCGCTCAAAAGTAGGGCCGTGTAATCAGACTGCAGCTGGTGCGCGGCTACGGCATGTCTGTGGCGCAGAGCCTGTGTAGCCGCGATTCCAAGTTGCAGAGCATCCAATCCACCCAAAAGGCTGCGACGCGCCTGGTCAACAACGCTGTAAACAGTAGGTGCCATGGGATCGAGAGAGATCACTCTGGCGGCAATCTCGGCTTCGCTAATGCGCAGCCACTGCTTTAGCACAACGCTCTGAAGAACATCGGCGGTGTTGTCCGGAAATTCGTCCACATCAGCAACTGGCTCTGGAAGATTAGCTGCACGCATGGCATCAATGCCAATGACCATGGGCACCAACGTCGTCGCAGGCGGCTGCGGAGAGGCGGTACCCGACGACGAGTGGGTAGACGCAGCAGGCGTGGCAACATTAGGCACAACAACAGCTGCAGGAATGCTAAGCTTGCTGTTTGCTGCCACAGATATATCGTCAGATACAGAGGCATTCATAATATCCCGGTGGATTGCCTGGCTGAGTATCTCCTGTGGGCACTCTGTCACAGTGCGACACACCTCGGCAGCCCACTTGCCAGCATCCGCCTCGTTCAGCCACGGCACCCAGAATGTCTCAAACTGGGGCGACACTCGAGCCAGCTCTATGGCCAATTCCAGCACCGGCCTTACAGTCCAGTAGTGCATGCCCAGCAGATTCTTGATTGTCGCCACATCCTCTTCGCCCTGAGTGCGCCAGAAGCCAATCGATCTGGATTCCAATACCTGCGCTATGGCCTGCATGAGCTCCCTCACGTTGCCGCTTCCGCTCCCTTGCGCCTCACAGCTCAAGCGCAGCGCATTCGCAAGAAACTCAATTACACCCTGCCTCTGCCTCACAGTGCTTTGCACGAGCCATCCGCCGCCGCTCTCGTCGCTGGATACCCTGGGCCATGTCTGCTGTTGGCCTCCCGCTGATGCTGCCAAGCCAAAGTGCGGCTGCGTGTACGGGATGTCCTCGATGCCTGACCCCACAATATCAAACACCTCAGCGACAATTGACCCCGCGAAATCATCGCCTCTGTCCGTGCACATCGCCACAACCAGTGGCGACGACCCGCCCTCCCTGACAACATGGTTGATTATACTCACCAGCGGATGGATGTACCGGCGGTCAATGCGCGCCACCCCCACAAGGTGATCCAGCGCCCTGGCCATCTCCGTCATCTCAAAGAACCCGCGTCTATCAGCTGCACTCTGACTCTGCGCAACACACGCTATAATCCCACTGGCAGCTTCCAGCACCAAAAAGTCCTCCTGCTTGTCGCTGCCGTTGCAGTTCTGACACAGGTCAGAGACGAGTAGGACGGTGCGGGCCAGGTGCGCCTCGTCAAAGAGCTTTCCACGCAAACTGTCGCCCAAAATGCTCAGCGTAGTCGGCCTTCCGCTTACCACGGGGGTGAGAAGGAGTCGGGCAAGCACGTGTAGTGCGGGGGCGGATACTGCCGGATGCGAATCACTCAATAGCTTGATAACGTGCCGTGCCATTCGCCGCAGCGAATCAACGGATGACATGACCCGAAGGGCATATGCACTATAGTCTTCGAGCAGCTGGGCTAGCAAGCAGAGCAGCTGGGAGCTTCTCCGCAACGCCTGCCCTTGAATGTCATTATCCGCCAGCTCAACTATGGCCTCACACACCACTACTAGAAGGCTGTCAAGCCACGGGCCCTCGCGCATCCCCGTTGCCCTGAGCAACTGGCGCAATGCTTCCGTCTCCTTGCTTTCCCCAACCCTGGTTGCCAAAACTTGGCCTACTATTCTTCCCAGGCGCGTGCATATTCCTTCACTGTCGCTCAGCTGATCCACGCAGTCTGCGAGCACCCATGCAGCTGCTGCTTCCGCTTCCAGTGTCATCGGCGCCTCTTCCTGCATTGCTATTTCGGAAAGCTTTTGCAAAAGCCCCTTTTGTGAACTCAGTATGCTGCTAGTCTCGTGTGAGTCTTTGTTTGTGGATTGAGCGTGCAGGAAACTGAGAACATCGAGGTAGGCTGTGTCGAAGAGGCGGAGGCTGCCTCGGATGTCGGAGGACTCTGTGTGGAGCTTACATACTTGCTCGACAGCGTCGTGCTCTGAGGACAGCACTATGCTTAGTTGTGAGAGCGGGTCGTCCATGGCCGGAGTCAACGACGGCGGCAGTGGTGGTGTTGCTATTGTTGTTTGGGTATAATCCATATGAGAAAAATAATAAATAATAGTGCAAAAAATGGATGCGTTTGCAGTGTGAGAATGTCTTGCAATGTGTAAATAAAAAAAGAATAAAAAAGGAATAAAATGAAACTTTGACAATGTGCCTTCACCGTAATTTTTTTTACAAGAAACAAATACTTGAGAACAAAGAGCAGCCTGAGTTCACACCAGTCAATTGCTCTTTAATGTCAACAAACCCCCGAAAGGTCAATAATTTTTCACTATAGAAAAAAATGGCTCGTTATAAAAAAACATGACTGCAGCTCGAGCCGAAGTCATCAATTGAGAGATCACGAGATGTTTTAAAACTCAGAGTGGGGGAGAAGATTTGAAACAAACACTTTGCCCAAATTGAGCGGCGTGATCAGCACCATGTTTTTTTGGCCAGTGTTTGCAGCACCTAATCCCGGCCAAATAAAAAACCAATTTTACTACTTTTTTTGTCCTCTATTTTTCATAACTAAGAAAAATGTAAAAAGTCTGGGTTTTTTATTCTTTTTTTTATCAAGTGAATTACAGTTCAATTGCACACGACCGCTTTTATAACTTCTACTTTTTTATTTATATATATTTTTAAACCACACCACCCCCTATTTTTACTGGCTTTCTTGCGTTTACCTTGTTTGTTTTCGAGAAGAGTACTGGGCGCATCTATCCATTTTAACAAACTGCAATTCGATTCGGCACTGTCAACTTAAAATACATCAGCAATGCTTCCGGCAAGACAGCAGAAAGTGGACCTCAGCGTATGTTTCTTCTTTTTCTATCATTACAGGCTTGAGTACGAAATAAGGGCACGTCATATTTTTTTGTTACTAACTGATTTTTATCCTTGTCTTTGTATATGTAGAAGCTCACGCCAGAGGAGCAGACGCAGTTTAAAAAATACGGCAAGCTGCCGATGAACAAGAATGTTCTGACGCAAAAGATTAAAGTAAGCACAAAGCACATACACACACAAACCAGTGCCTATCCACCCTCTCCCAAATGACAAAAAAACTAACGGTATACCAAAAAAAATTCACATTGACAATAGGAGCGCAAGTACTTTGACAGCGGCGACTACGCAATGTCCAAGGCCGGAAAGACAGACGAACAAGTGGGTGACGAGCACCCTTCGGTTGACACCATCCCGCACTCTCAGACGCCGATCAACCCAGGCACTCTTGCGAGTTCGCCCACTACAGAGGCCGGCGGAGCCATCCCGGTTTCCGGTGGTGCCTCTGGAGTCATCCCCTCGTGTTCGATGGTACATCCGACGGCGTTCTCGCCGCCCAAGGAGTACAGCATGGGTGCTCCGGCTCTGTCCCCTGTAGTCGAAGACTCAGTGGCCGGTGATTGCAAGGCTCAGCCGTTGAGTGCTCAGAACCCGCTGTTGCGGGATCCCATCGGTGCCGCTGCTGCTGGCCCGGAGGCCGGTGGTCCTCCTATGCCGCGCTTTGTTCGTCGCGCTTCCAATCTCACCAGTGGCGCTCAGATCCGCATCAAGGACCAGGGAAACGGCCTTTAAAATAGACTACGGAACTGAAAGACGAACTTCCACTTAGCAGGGGGATAGTTTTTTATTCTTTTCAAACATGTTTTCTCTCTTTTTTCCATTTTATAATTTCCATATATTCTCTCCTTTGAATCATTTGCCATGTGTCGTGCTGTATCGTGCCGTGCTCTTGTAAAGTGCAAAACAATAATAGTTTTATAATATTGCAAATATCAGACTGAAATCAAACAGTCGTTATTTTTGCTCACAGCGCATCGAAATTGATGGAATGCAGTGCGCGCTGCTTTTCGCGCTGGTCAGCCTTGCGCTCCATAGCGCCCAGCGCAAACACAGTGATGGCCAGCAAGCCCATAGACGACAGCAGCGTGGCCAAAATATACGGCGTCGACTCGGACCTATTCATATACAGCTCCAGTCTCCACTCGGATGTGGTGTTGACCGGGAAAACAATAACCTGCGAATTGGGAATCAGCCCTTCAAACGACCTCTCATGCACGCCCAGCTGGCTCGACGATCCAACAGAAAAGTCTTCAATGTAGTTGTTTGTCCGCCCAATCCCAATAATAGTGTAGGGTGTAAACAGCGCGCGGTACGCCGACTGCGGCGCCTGAACCGACTGCGCCACGTGCTTTTCCCCAGAATCGCTGACAACAAGGTACTTGAAGGTTGCGCCGGGCAGGAAGCCGGAGTATGAGCGCACGTGCTTCTCGTTAGTCGGGCATGCCAGCGCCTTGATGAAAAACGCATCGGTGAAAAAGTTGTTGTAGATGGCAGACACCCGCCTGCTGCCTGCCGAGTCGAGGTAGTGCACGAGTAGGTCAGCTGTGCCGCTGCCGTCAATATCAAAGAAGGCCACATCCTGCGGCCGCCCCAGCGTCTCCAAAACAGACACGCCCTCTTTGATTGCTACAAACGACCGGTAGTCCAGCTGGGCGCCACCTGAGATCTTGCAGTCAGGGCAAAGCTCCGAGCGCAGCATCCGCACGTGCGACTCATCTTTGCCCTTGTGCGTGACAAATGCCATGTCTGGATATCCGTCCAGATCAACGTCCGTCAAGCGCACGGCCGGCGGCACTGTCACGGAAGTCTGGAAGTCCGCCAGCGAATCCGAAAGGGTCTCCCCCGGCCACATCTTTTCAATATCAACGACCTGCGCGTCCTTCAGTGAAAAGGAAAATGCGTCGTCGGCTTCGCAGATGCGGCTAAACTTGCGGCAGCCCTCCTGCTTGCGCGATCCGACGCACAACGGCCGCTGCTCGTTGTAAACAATGTATATCTGCGACTTGCCCACTATTGGGATGACCATGTCCATGCTGCCATCAGAGTTCATGTCGGCAAAGGAGACGGGCCCAGCGTTTGACGGCAGTTTTCCAGTCTGCGAGTACTCGAAGCCCGTCTTGGAGTTTGTCCAGATTTGGTACTCTTCGTTTCCGTGGCACACGAGAAATAGGTCCGGGAGGCAATCACCGTTTAGATCCACAAAGGCGCTTGAGTGTGGGCTGGCAGGGCTGCACATGGCCACGGTCAAGTTTCCCACGCCAAAATTGCGCAGCTCAAACAGCTCTGCATCATCGCGTTTCACCAGGGTGCTATCTCTGGTGCTGACTACATTGCTGCTTGCCGTCGTCTTTGCCGCCGGCGGCTTGGATGAGGGATCGGCGTCTACATGCAACCACACCCGTACACCCGAATCCGAATCGTCCTTGTGATCCCACGCCGCGCCCAGCAGATCCACCCTTCCGCTGCCGCTCCAGTCAAACGCAAAAGGAAGCGCACCATTTGCCGATGGCAGCTGTCCGCTATCACTAAACCCGTTCACCCCATCGCCCAAATAGCACCGCATAACAACCTCGTTGCTCCCCTTGCTCTGTCCCTGCACAATAACATCCAATTTGCCGTCCATGTTAAAGTCACCCACTATTACATTGCTCAAAATGACCCCAGGCACCGTAATGTCAGCCGAGTCGAGGTGCGCAAATTGCTTGAGGTCGCTTTCCCACACCCAAAGCTGAATGGTTGTTTGGTCTGGAGATATTACAAACAGGTCGCTGTGTTGGTTGGAATTGAAATCTCCAAAGGCTGCGGGCGTACCGCGCAGACCATCTAGCCCAATTCCAACCTCGTAAAGCTGATTGAGCTTGAACCGGAATTTACTGCCCGAGAGTGCGAGACAAGGCTGCACCGACGACAGCATTCCCACCCAGACCAATGCTGTGTATAGTTTCATTTTTAATATATGAAATGTAAAAAATAGGGTGATTGCAATAGCAATTAATAAAAAAAAGTACAATTTGAAGTGACAGAACAGAAAAATGCAGTCTGGATCTTCAAGCCTGAAAAACGCAATTTTGCATTTCCAATCCTTGGGCATGGATTTAAAAAATGACTGGAGAAAAATTGGATTCGAGTGATAGATGATGATGTCAGAACCATTTAAAAATCAAAGGTGGCCTGGGGAATCAAAAGTTTCGAATTTTAAAGCTCGACTCATCCCTGTTGCTTTATTCAGCAATATTCATTAATTTTTGAATTAAATCGTCTCTATTCTTGAGCCATATATATTTTTTAACCATTTGATAATGCTGCAAGTACAGAGCACTCTGCCTGTAAATGCGCTCACACGCATATTCGAGTACCTCTTCTGGCAGGGCGCTCCTGGCCACAACACGCTTAGCTCCTTGCCCACAGGCCATCTCTCTATCGTTGCCAGCCTACAAGTCAGCCATGCTTGGCGCAAACGTGCAGCCCGGCTTTTTTACGGCACCGCAGCCATCATCATCAATGACGATGACAATGATGACCCTCAAATAATGGAACATCACAAAAACAGCTCAGACTCGTTTATTCACTGTGTGCGTACAAATATTCAGCTGATTCTAGAGAGTGGCTACGCGCCCAAAACCTTTTGTCTCCTGGTATGCATGCGCGCACCTTCGAATGCCACGAGCATATTCAGAGCACTTGAGTACAGCCAGTTTGTGGGCTTTGAATGGCCATCTATCCACACCTTGTATTACTACGACCCACATTTGCCCAAGAGTCCCAATAAATGGAGTGAGCTGGAGCATGATCAAGCTATAATCCAAATAAGCCATGTGTTGACTCGGAGCATGCCCATACTACGGAACATTTGTGCGTTGTCAGCGATGCACGATAGCTTTGGGTTGTTTGTACTTGAGGATCTGGTTTCTGTCAGACAACACCAACTTCAGAAACTCGAGGCACTGGCCATATCAACTCAGATGCTTTTCTTTGTTCCAAAAATACAGGAACTGCCGATGGATCTGACACATCTTACCATACGCGCACCTCAAAGCCACACTGTTCTACAAGTGCCATTGACCATGGCCAAGTCGCTCAAATGGCTGGACATTGGCCCTATTGCCGCCGACTCTATCTGGTCATCATTTTTTAGCGGCTCCGAGGATATATTCGAGAGCCTTTATCATTTGCGACTTGAATTTGGCCAGAGTCCCAGACACAAGCAAGGCTGGCTAAGGCATCAACACACAGAGTCTGGCATCATTGAATCGGTTGTAGGCAATATTTACCCGCTTTTTCCCAAGCTCCATTCATTAGATGTAAGTACCTACCCACACAATGTTGCACGCTTTTTGGAAAACTTTCCGCGTGCACAGCTCCGCCAGCTTTCTATCGACAAGTGCCCGGGGACATGCGACCAGCTGTCGCTTGAGCCCTTCACAGGGCTTGTATTCTGCCGCATTGACATTGCTAAAAAAGGCTTGACAGGCGAAGTAGACAAGCATTCGGCCGAGCACTGGGTTTGTAATACAATGTCGCTGAAGCTTCCACGCCTTGCTTCACTCACAGTTACCACGCCAACAACCGATTTCGATATGGAAATCGGAGTACCCTCAGGATCAACGCTCACTTCACTGAAATACCTCACCTTGGACATTGGCCTGCGCCTGGATGAGCTGGAGGAGCTTCTTATCAGCCTGCCTCTTCTCACACACCTCTGGGTAACTGTTGCAGAAGTGCCAACCAAGGCGCATGAGTACTTAAGCCGCAAGACAAGACATAAAAAATATCCACATGGGGGAGACAAAATGTTTAGCAAACACAGGGTGATTAGCACCAGCTTGGAGTTTTTGTTGGTGAGGATGTCCAAGTCGCTAATTTCCGGTCGTCGCCGAAACAGGGCATTGGCTAAAACTGCGTGGTTGATGGCGAGGATTCCTTCGATTTTGCGTTTTGCCATACATCCCGAGCTAGAGCATGAGATGCAAGAGTGTGTCAAGCAGGCAGCGGCTGATGCTACGGGTCCACTGGATACAGGGCATTTAGCAAAATTGCAAATTGTTTTTATATAGACTATTAGTAGGACATGTGCGAGATTAGTGAATAATAAAATTTAAACAATCAACTTTTTATTTATTCAAATAATATATACACATATGCGACCTGGGTGTTTGATGTGCGAGAATAATAGCTGCAACTGTTTGCAAAAGATATGCGGACCGTTACCAACCAATCTGAAAGTATACGTTGGTTGTGTGGTGCCCAACACACATTTCAAGCCACTATCTTCCCTTTTCAAGAATCAAGATCGCCATCATGGCCACTATACACATTTCTGTTATTGCTGGCTGACATCAAGGAATACCATGATGTTTACAGTGCTGCCCACACAGCGCTGCCCCCTTTTTCAGTTAAGTAATTTTTAAGACTTGAATATATCGATTTAGACCCACATTTTTATAGAGCACGACAGGTTGCATTAACCAAATGGGATTTCCATATACAAATCAGCAATTCCGATTAAAAGTCCGCATTTGAGTATTTACGTAGGTCGTGCGGAAAAATAATCACTGCGCTTTGTGATATATATAAAGGATTACAAATACAAATCTTTGATTTTGTTCTATTATGTTCTGCTCAATACCAATTTTCGACATTACTAATGCATTTTGTTGTCCCCTGAATGTGCGCAAGCAGATCTTGGCATGTATAGGGGGGATGAGCGAAGGGAGCGCGTGGCAAAATGGCATTAATGTAAATTTATGAATTTGGTATAAATACTCCATTACTTCTCACCATATCTTCTCGCTTTTTTTCTCATCACAACTTTGTCCAATCAATATCATCCATACAAAAAACAACTAGCCTCCCACTTGAACTTACACTTGAACCTACACATACACTCAAAATGGCTCCTCTCGGCACTCTCATTGGCCCCATGCCTAACCCCCGCAACTTCAAGGCCCGCATTGTTGCTGTCATTACCGGGCTTGAGCTTGGCACCACCCCCGATTTCCAGATGGGCGTTGACAACAAGACTCCCGAGTACTTGGCCAAGTACCCCGCCGGCAAGGTTCCTGTTTTCGAGGGCGCTGACGGCTTCAGTGTGAGCGACTCAAGCGCTATTGCCTACTACATTGCTGCAAAGGCTGGCAGTGAGTCTACCCTGCTCGGCCAGACCGCCGAGGAGACTGCTGAGATTCTCCAGTTTATCCTCTTTGCAGAGGCTGATTTTGTGCCCGCCCTCATAGGTACATTGGCACCCCTAATGGGACATGCCAAGTTCTTCAAGCCCGCTCACCAGCAAGCTGAAGAGCAGTTTTTCCGCTTTATTGATGTCCTAAACACCCAGCTCATCAACCGCACTTTTGTTGTTGGCGAGCGCCTGACCATTGCCGATGTCGTTGTTGCCTGCGACTTGCTCTATTCATTCCAGCTGTATTTGACCAGCGAGGACCGCGATAAGTACCCCGACCTCACCCGCTACTTTACGACCATAACTGCCGAGCCCGCCTTCAAAGCTGTGCTTGGCGATGTTGTATATTGCGAGAAGCGCATTGAGCTTGCTGCTTCCGCCAAAAAATAAAAGGCCGAGAAGAAGCTCGCTGCCGAGAAGCTCAAGAAGGCTGAAAAGCCCGTCGTGGACGACGACGAGGAGGTCGAGGTTGCCGCCCCCAAGCCCAAGAGCAAGCTCGATCTACTGCCTAAACCCAACATGAGTCTCGACGACTGAAAGCGCTTCTACTCAAACAACGAAACCAAGCCCACCGCCATGAGCTGGCTCTGGGAGCACTTTGATGCTGAGGGTTACTCTTTCTTGAAGGTCGAGTACAAGTACAATGATGAGCTGACCAAGCTATTCATGACCAACAATCTCATCAGCGGATTCTTTAACCGCCTCGAGCGCGCTCGCAAATACGCTTTTGGTAACCTGCTCACTCTGGGTAAGGATGACGACAACATGATCTGGGGGTACTTTATTGTCCGCGGCCTGGAGGTCCCTGAGGAGGTCACCGACGCTGCTGATTATGAGTCCTACAACTGGACCGCTGCCGACCACAACGACTCTAAGACCCGTGCTGAGATTGAGGATTGCTTTGCCTGGGAGGGTCCTTCCCTGCCCCGCGAGTGCTACGACGGCAAGACCTACAAGTAAACCTTTGATTGCTTGTTTAATTAATTGTTTTCTATATATTGGTAGTGAATACCATTCATGGTATACATATCATTATATGCCTTTTCACAGGTTTATAGAACGCTCAAAATTTAAAGGTGTACTAATGTGCATGTTGGATGTCAAAAATGTAAATTTTAAAATGGATAATAAAATTAACTAATTTAAAATTAGCATTTTCAGCATTTAAATAAACGTTCTTAGGTTGGCAGTAACTAATAAAAGATTGTGATATGTTATTCAATAAAAAACAATATGAAAAAATGAATAATTATGAGAAAAAATTTCATGCGGGCAGAGCATAGATAAATTGTCTCTACGCATATGGGCATCTGATTTTGTTTTACCACAAAAGAAAAAGGCAGGAAAGGCAGCAGGTGGACTGCCACTCCAGACTTAAAATGCTAATATACCCAGAATGTTCTTATATCCGCCAGGGAATGCATAATGCGCAATCGTTTTTTGGGATTTTTAACAAATGAGTTTTGAGAACACTGAACAATGATTCAAATGAGGTAAATGAGGCAAAAACAAAGGGAAAATGTTGGGAAGCAACTCAAACGCCCCAATAGTGTCTTTGTTTCTGTCAATTGACACGTATATATATAAAAGTTGCAAAAACAAAGAAAAATTTTTCTTTGCATCCCTCATGGCAATTTATTTTTATTTTTATTTTACATATCGGGGGCATCACGCAATCCAGATACAAAGATGAAAAATGTTCTTTCGCATCAGCACTAGTAAAAATTTCTTTAATTTTTTGTAGTTTAGCCTCAAGGCTCATTTGCAGAAAAAAATACCATGCAAGAGATTGGAAAAATTGCTATAGATAAAATAAAAAAAGCAAAGGCGCAGTTGACATATATTTAAACACCCAACCTGTGGCGCTATCAGCAAAAAAAACCTTTTACATTTTTAGCTATTCATATGCATTTTTTAATTTTATTCATTTATTTCAAACACAACTACCAAAACATAATTTCCATATATTTTAAATAATGTCTGCATCAAATAAGTACGAATTGTTAGGCGTTGAAGACGTAATTGCAGCCATCAATGAAAGAAACAAATGGGCATTCGTCGTCTCCGGCCAATGGATACGCACAATCCAAACGCTCTCTATAATTTCCTTAATTTCGTCTCTCTGTGTTCTTACAGCCATGGCCCACATATTCATGCGGCACAAACGGTACCTCGCTCGTTTATCCATCCGTGTCTCCGGATGCGTTGCTGTCTGCGACATACTCAGCTCCATAACACAGCTCCTCCTCCTGCAAAACAACTTTATGAACCGGCAGGGCACGCATGGGCTGCGGTTTATTCTTTGGCTTTCAATGTTCAGCACCTTATCGTTTGTGTTTCTCACCTTGTCCATATCCACCCAGCTCCACCTAAGCACACTGACCAAAGTGCGTGTGACCACGTATATGCGTTTGGAAAAGTTTTACGTACCTCTTAGTCTGATTTTGGCCGCAGTATTTCCAGCCATAGCCGTGGTCCAGATGAAGGGCATATACTGGGTCCCCCACTTGCACGCTTTCAATTGGCCCAGCACCACTGCGTTGGCACGCCGTCTAGTCCTGTGGATGTGCAACTATTTGTGGATCGTATTGACCATAGTGTACTGTGCCGGTGTGGCCTTGGTTCTGTCGCTGCGTATCTGGTCAATGTGGAGAGATTCAGTCGATGTCATTTCGGAGCCGCGCATGCCTGAAAAATGGGATTGGAACAGCCTCATAAAGCGCGAACGGCCGAGCCAGGGCACAATGGCAAGCAGCTCCATGGATACGCTCTACCATCACCACAAGGAAAGTTCACAGTCGGATCAGTTGTCGGTGACCAGCACGGTATCCAACCAGCAAATGCCATCGGATCCCTCTGAGCCCGCCCAAACAGTTGGGCGTAGTGGCCATATGGCTGGGTCATGCGGGCGCGGGTACCTGGTGACAATGACAGTCCCGGACCGGCAGGATGGGCAGCTTGTGGTTGTGCGCTCATACGTGGATAAGAGTCAGTTTTTGCGGTCGATTCAGCGCCTGGCGTGTTACCCGCTGGTTCCCGTGCTGACGCAACTCGGCGTTGTGGCAATGAACATGACAGAGTACCCGTCCAAGAGCCTGTACATATTCGGAACCGTCATGGCAACAACCAGTGGACTACTTAATTTTCTCGTCTTTACGCTCAACCCTGCTTTGCCGGATATCTGGAAACAGGATGTTCGTGACTCTCTTTGAAACTCCGAAAGTTAAACGAGTTGGATGAACTTGCTCCCGTCTATCTTTATTATTTTATATCGAAAATCATTTTGTTAGTCAATCGGATAAAACTAAACATAAAAATAAAGTAATTCGACCATAAAAAGGAATGAAAACCCATTTTATCTTTATTTATTTTCCACCGTTTCTAATTCGTTCGAATTGAGGCTTTGCCTATTTTGGACACTTGTTTTCCAATATTGGCAAACAGATCCAAGATAAAACCTGTACAAAAAAAACGAACAAGAAAGCAAATTATTTTATGCAGTGCCAATCTCATGGTCTCGAACATATTTACCACTTTTTTGCACCTTTTCTTTTTTTTCTACAGATGAATGAATAAAAAAATTAAGGAAAAAGCCACTATTTCCGCATTTAAAGTAAAAAAGAATGACACCACTAAGCAAACAAAAAACTATGGCTGATATTGCCACAGCCGCTTCCCCTCACCTTATTTTCATTTCTTTTTTCATTTGTTTGCTCTTTTTTGTTTAGTATATTTGCCTTGCACTTTATTGTCACTTTTGCACATTGTCTTTTCTTTTCAACCTGTTCAATTTTTTTTGTCTAAAACCGCCTCCCCCCAATAGAAAAAAGTAGTGCTCGCTTGCAATAAACAAAAAACAAACAAGAAATAATTATAAAACACAGGTGTAGCCCCTTCTCTTACGCATTCCATCCTTACGTTAATCTGTCTGTTCCTTTCTAATTTTTTCCTTTCTTTTATTTCCTTGCATTCTCACTTCCCTTTTCTTTTTTCTACCTCTTTGCACCTTATTTTTCTATTCAACTAATAATTAACCGCATTCCTTTACCTGTCCGCCTCGCATACCCGTTTTACTGCGCTCCTTTTTATTATAATTATCTTATTCTCTTTATTTATTTCAGTTCAACACATATATCGGCCATATATGACTTCCAGTAGTCGCGCAAAAGAGTATACGGAACTTGGCAACGCTCGGATAAAGCCCAAGGCAGCACGATTGCTTGGACTAGCTTCGCCCACAATGTCTATGGCATCCCGGTCAAGCAACACACTGGTGACAACTAGAAGCAGGAGCAGAAGTAAAGCTAGAAGCACCAGCATCAGTATCAGTATTGGCAGCGATGACGAGCTTTTGAAGCATGCCGAAGCACTGCACGAACCGTTGACCCCGCAGTCGCCTTTATCCCTAACAGCAGAGATACACGTGTCAAAGTGGGTTCCAGAGTGGCCCGAGCCAGACAACGAGTATGTCGAGACAATGATGCGGCGGCGACCATCAATGGCTGCGTACAAGCACAATGTGCTCCAGGATTCCCAGGCACTGCAAATAGATGATTTGGAAGATCCCTTGACTGTGTGGCAGCATAAGGCGTTGTTGCCGAGATCTGCCAGTGTTCCTAAAGGCGCAACCAACCAGTGGGTTCGCAGATGCGGTTGGCAGTTACCGATGGACCCGTTGTTTGTAATGCAATGGGTTGTGTCGCTGACACTGTCAACAGGGTACTTTGCCTTTATCCGCCCGCTATCCTCTATAGCTAGCGGCAGTTCTACTTCCGATTCGTGGGTTTTTACAGCGGGCAACGCATTGGGTGCGGCGTTTATAATTACCGCCCATATTTTCAACATTACAACCTCTTGCATTAATCCGCAGGCACCCGAGGTGTTGGCGCAGGGCGTGGACCGCAACCTGTACTATAAGCAGACCTGGGGCACGCCGACTATTGATCCTATGACAACCACATGCCGTGTCTGCCGCGTCCACACCAAACTGTTGACGCGGCACTGCAAGCGGTGCAATAAGTGCGTGGCAGGCCTGGATCACCACTGCAGGTGGCTTAATACATGTATTGGAACGCGCAACTACATGCATTTTTTCTTATCCGTTGGCTGTGCCTTTGTAGGGCTGGCTTTTGTGCTTGCTTATTCCCTGCGCTTGGTCTACATTGCCGGGTTGAGAGAGTCCGACTTTGACACTATGGTTGGACAAATGTTTGGCTTAGTGAATAATGGGGATACGGTGTCAGCGCCAGGTATTGCTGTAATGTGTGGGTTGGCGTTTTATACGGTGATGACTGCCGCTTTTTTTGTTGCCATGGGCCAGCTGTTGGTTTTGCATGTGCGGCTATCTATTACTGGCACAACCACTATTGATTATGCCGCCCAAACACAGAATTCGAGCAAGGCGATGTGCGGAAAAGATAAGGATGAGGTTTTTAGTTATGACAACCGGATGATTCCAATGACGTCTATTGGGAATTCTCAAGACACCCTTGCTTCGACTGGATTGCAGAGGTTTGATGGGATATGTGATTTGGACCCTGGGACTGTTAGTGAATCACGTATTGCAACTGGTCGCATCTGGCAGTACTTTGGCCGTTTTCAATCAAGCGCCAAGTATAGCAAGATTGGGACCGGTAATAGCCTGGTATGACAAGCTTGCATTGCTAAAATTGACGTCAGCTGCCAATGTTGTATGACATTTTTACAATAATAAAATATTTATTTATTTAAATTCTGCTTGTCTCTGGGCCAGTTTTTTTTAATATTTTTACACGTGTGTATATGTATGTAACAAAAAAACCAATGGATATTAGGGTATAAAGTTTTTTAAAATAAAAATATCAGCAGGTTTAAACAATCAGGGCTTTTTACTTTTTAGCGGCAAATTTTTATTTGTACAAATGTATCTTTGCTGCTACTTTTTGTTCTATTATGTATCATTTGTATAAATAAATTTATTGATTATAATTGCACAGTGACTTGGTCAAGTGAGCGCACAATTTTTTTGTGTTTTATTTTATATAAAACAATTTTTAAAATAAATGAACACGGAGCAGCCTGCAACAAGTAAATAAATCCACAATCTCGGTCTACTCCACATTTCTCTTCCACAATTTTCAATACCCTATTATTTATTTAATACTTGGTTTTTTTGCACAAATTTTGACAACACGTATTATTTTTGTTATATTTACTGACTGTTTCACAAAAATAGTAAACCCACTAGAATGTTTAGGTTTTAAAAAGGATAAAGGGGACACGAATACCAACAATGTTAAATCTAGCAAAAAGCCACAGGGAAAGCCCAATTTCTGTAATATATTTAAAAAAATCAACATTAAACCCACCTACTGCAAGCATTTGACATTAAGCCCAGGTGTATATGCGTCCCATGTCAATCTTGAACCTATCCCACCTTTATCCAGTTCAGTATCAAAACATTCATTGAAATAAAGCTTTCATTAGACATTTCATCCATAGATAATGTTTGACTTTGAGTTATGCTAACTTTAAAAACATGGATAGAACGCTCATAGTCTGCCATACTTTTCATTTATTAGATTTGAGCTTGAGGTTGGCTTGCACACATATTTTTTATTTAAATTTATAGTATGCAGTAATTATTTTTTTGGTACTTTATTTACAGGAATACGGCCCAATTTATTTATGAACAATAAAATAATTAAAACAATGTGCACATACACTCAACCCGCCTCTTGTTGACAAGGCCTGTCATTACTCGTCTAACCCTGTCACTACTCGGACAACATGCTACTTGTTAGCAAGATTGTCATATTTCAACCTGGATTGTCACTTGCCATCCATCCCCCCTCCCAATACGATTATTTAGTCGATGTGCATAAAAAAGCATACTTTTTACAAAGCTATTGGTTAATGGCGATCAACTGATTAATCAGTCTTGGCTATTCTAGCCAAACACACAATCATCAATAAGTCCACACAGTGACCAAATAAAGTAATATATGGTTTTCACCTTATAGCACATATATTCAATACACTTTTGTACATATAATTTTTTATCTCTACGCGTTCACAGAACGCCTACTCTCCCAGAATTCAACAGCTCTTCACCACTCCCTCTCATAACACGACTTTGAAAATGGTTAGTTATGTATGGAGTTATTCCCTCATTTTTTTTATTGCTTCAACTATTAAAAAAAATTGATTTTCACATTTTTCTATATAAATATATTTACTCTGTTAAAGTCCATGTTTAACAAATAAATCCCACACCCAATTTTTTTGGTGTTATTTTTCATATTTAAATAGACAATAACACATTATATTATATTAAATATAATAAAAACACACACTTGCTAACTACTCATTATCCAAATGTGCATTTAACTTTCTACACTCCTCCTCAACCTCTTCTCCAATAACCACTACCCTCACACCCTTCTCCCTCAACATCTGCACTCCGGTACATTTTACAAAATTATCTGGCTCCTTCACCCCAACAACCACCGAACCAATACCCGCTTCCAATATTCTCTCAACACACGGTTTGTTTCCAGACAATCTCTCCGAACACGGCTCCATAGTAGTATACATAACTAGATCTTTATAGTCCGGAATAGAGTTGGTGGTGGTAAGGAGCGTTTGGAGGGCGCATTGTTCTGCGTGGGTGTTGCCTGGGAATTGACGCGAGTAACCGGTGCTAAGGATTCGGCCGTGGGGGTCAGTTATGAGGGCTCCGACGTTGAAGGCGGTTGGCGTGGGCGTGCAGAGACGCGCTTGGGCAATGGCTTGGCGCATAAGAGTAACGTCCTTGGCGGTATATGAATCGGTCATATTTGAATTTATTAAAAAGAAATTAGTTAATGGTGATGTCTTGTTTTATTTTTTTATGTTTGAAAGAAAATATAATTTTTTATGGGGGGGGATGGTTGGTTGGTTGGTTGGTTATTAATAAAGAGAACAAATATAAAGGACTATGGTTTAAAAATGTGCTTATGTTTGTGTTATTTGTTTTGTTTAAGAGTGTATTTTCCCAAGTTCCTCAACCACAGCGTCAAATTTTTCCCCCACACATCCCTCCCCCTCATTCCCACCTACTTCCGCCATATACTCGTAAAACGGATTACATACCAGAGCAATATACGCGGCATGCAGCTGCTGAAAGACCAATATAATCTCACCCTTCACACCCCCCACAGTGCCCCCACCTGCTGCCACCGCCAATGATGACGTAGTGGCGGTAGGGTCTTCAGAGACTATAAGTACAAATCTGGCTCCGGTATTCAACACATAGCCGTAGATATTCAGTCCCTCAGTGGTTTGTAAGAGACCAAGGTAGAGATCAGATGAGACTTTGGGCGTGGGGTTAGCTAGGCGCTCGTCGATTAGGTCGCAGGAAGTGTGTGCCAAATAGGTGTATTTCGTCGAGGGGTCGGGTGTCTGGTCTGTGATCGGATCATAGGTATGGTGGTAAAGCGGGTTGCCATGGCGGTTAAGCACGAAAAGCGAATGCAGCTTCATTGGAATGATTTTTTTCTCTATTGTCAAAAAAAAGAGAAAAAAAGAGATATTTTGATATTTTTATTTTTATAATAAAAGGCTTTGCTCGGCAAAAAAAAAAAAATTACTTGATTTGCATACGTCATAAGTACAATTTAGATATGGGGGAAAAGTTCAAAACGCACGTGCTCCCCACCTAAAAGCTCTTCTTAATCATCCTCGCCCTCGGGGGTCTCGTAATTCTCATCGTACTCCTCCGGCACATCACTCTCGCTTTCCGCAACAAAGTCCTCATCCTCGCTGGACTCATCCTCGCTTCCACCAGCAACCCCTCCGCCCAACGAAACCTGTGGCTGCTGCTTCCCAAAGCCGCCTCCATTCTCGCGATCAGAGTCCACATCCATCCCCTTATAGCCCCCCGCCGCACCCGCCGTACCCAGCCCAGCACCGCCAGCACCGCCACCGGCCGCCTCACTGATGATCTTAAGCCCATGTTCAGCAGCATACGCTTCGAGCGCAGCATGCTCCTCGCGGTTAATGCTGACAAACTGGTACTCCGGCGCCCCGACCATGTTTATCCTGAGGTCAAAGGTGCGCATTTTGTTCGAGCTCGAAGCCTCGACGCGCGAAAACACCACGCTGAGGATGTCCGCGTGCGGAATATAAATGGGCGGCTTGGGCGCGAACAGCAGACCCTTGTCCAGGGGGTACAAGGTGCCCTCGCTGGCCTTGAGCGAGGCCTTGAGGCCCTGGGACCCGTGGTATCCGCGGAAGTTCCCTCCCTCGATGAGCTTCTTGTCCGTCACACCCTTGAACACATTGGCGACAATGCGGTAGAGCGGCTCGTCGTAGTGGGCGCGCAGGCGGCCCTCCAGCGCGCGCGCCTGGTCGTCGACCTGGAGATTAAGGTCAACGGCGGACTCCTCGTCGCGCACGAACTGCAGCACAAGGTACGGGTAGCGGGTCTGGCCCTGGCGGATCGGCGGGTTGAGGCCGACGAGGAACATCATGTGCAGCTCGTCCGGCTTGCTGACGAGGAACAGCCGCTGGACATTCTCGTACGGGATCTTGTAGTCGTAGGTTTTGCCGCGCAGGCGCAGAAAGTGCGAGAACATGTCGATGTGGTAGCGGCCGCGGGGGGTCAGGCAGAGGATCTCGGGGAACTGCACAATGCTGTCGCCGCTCACTTGCCCGAGGTCTGCGCGCTCCTTGATGGTATCGTGGAAGACCGATGCGGCGCTGACTTCGTCGTCGGCGTTGCTCTGCTCGTCGTTGTCCGACTGTCCAGCGGCGTCCTCTGGGCGCGCGGCCGCGGCTGCTGCTGCAAGCGTAGTGCCGGGCACGTAGAAGCGGATCTCCACCAGCTCGTCCGACGCCTTGCGCTTCGCAGCCCTGCCCCGAGGCGGCTGGAACTCGACGCTGACCTCGTTCTTGTTCGCCAGATTTGTGTTGGACACGTAGCCCATTGGCAGGTCGAACATCGGGCGGTTGTCCACTTTGAAGGTCATGTTTGTGCCCTCAAAGTCGGTCTTGCCCCAGTTCCAGCCCTTCAAACTAATGTCACGCACTTCCAGCGTGAGCCCATGAAACAGCCTCTTGATGCCATCCCGCAGCGGCTCAAAGTCGTCTGCCGTGAATCCGTCCAGCTTATGCATGGTGCCGCTGCGCGTGTAGATCCGCAGCCCGTAGCCGCGCGCTACGCGCTGCCATTGGATGCGCCGCAGGTCCTCCTTTTGCAGCGCAAGCATGCCTGCTGGCAGGGTGAGCCCAGGCACCGTGATGCCCTGGAGAGCCTCGGCCTGGCCCTCGGCTGCCTTCCACCCGATCCCGGACGCGCCCATGCGCACCTGGCCTGTGGCCTTGCAGTACGGCTCCGTGGCGAGGTAGATTTCGCTGAACTGGAGTCGAGCCTCGCTCATGATTGAAGTTGGAAATTTGATTGCGAAATAAAGGGAGGGTGCGAATTCAAAATAAAATAAAATAAAATCGGTAGAATAAAATAGAACAGACGCGTATCGCCAAAAAAAGGAAGACGACGAACAAAGCCAAGCCAAGCCAGGTCAGTGTTTTTTTTTTTTTTTTTTAATTTCTTCATTTGTGCGCGTATATCATATGTTTTGTGGAAAGTGCCGCTTGATCCCTGATCCCCGATCCTTGATTTTCTGGCCTACCCCCGGGTACGATCAAGATTAACAGCGCCTTGTTTGTATGCCCCTCCCCCCCCCCTACTCCCTAAAGCTACACATGCGATAAAACAAACAGCTAAAAAAAGAAAAGAAATAAAGCTAAAAAGCGCGCATAGAACGAAATGGCGCTTGCTCTCCATTTTCCATATCCGCTGGCCTTGGCCGTATTCTCCCTCCAGCATACACACAACTCGCGCATTGACTCAATCAGCCCTTTTGAATAAGTAATCCCGCAAATTCAGCACAAAATGGCCACCGCCTCATTACCAGCGACATCAGCCACAGCAGCGACGGCAGCGACGGCAGCGACAGCAGTGACATCGGCCACACCGGCCACACCAGTCACAACAGCGACACCAGTCACAACAGCGACACCAGTCACAACAGCAACACCAGTCACAGCAGCGACGGCAGCGACGGCAGCGACAGCAGTGACATCGGCCACACCACCCACACCACCCACACCACCCACACCGGCCCCGCAGGGCATCCCCAGGGGCACCGCCCTCCAGGTGCACAAGCACACCACGCCCCACTACGACGCATTCGTGCAGGGCTTCCTCAGCCACGCCCACCCGCAGCCAACGGTCCAGCTGGCGCGCAAGCTCTGCGCAACCTGGCCTCTCCCCTCGCGCAGCGCGCCCAAAACGCTCAACATCGGCATCATGGACAGCTCGTTCAACCCGCCGCACTACTGCCACGGCGCCTACCTCGAGTGCCTGGGCACGCAGCAGATGCGCAGCCGCGCAGGCGACGCGCAGCTGCCCGAAATCACGGCCTACCTGCTGCTCCTAGGCGCGCGCAACGCAGACAAGCGGCTGGCCGACGCGTCGCTGGAGCAGCGCATGCGGATGGTCGACATGCTTGCGCACACGGTGGCCGTGGACAACGCCGCGGACACCTGGCACGTGTGGAAGACCAGGGAGCAGTTCCACGCGTCGGCGCTGCAGAACATGGCCTTCGGCATGGTCAGCGCGCCGCGCTTCGTCGACAAGTGCGAGGCCGTGCGCCGGGTGGCGCTGGCGGAGCTTGGGGACGAGGGGGCGCAGGGCGTTGACGTCAGGTGCTTCTTCGCCATGGGCTGGGACACCCTGATCCGCTTCTTCGACCCCAAGTACTACGGCGACTGCCAGGCCGAGGTCGCGCGCTTCTTCGCCATGGGCGGGCGCATCGCCTTTGCGCGCCGCGCAGGCTACGGCGGCGACGTCGACGTCGACAGCTTCTTCGCGAGTGCGCGGGTGGCGCCGTTCCTGCGGTTCATCTTCGAGCTGGACCTGCCCAAGCGCGTGCGCCACATCAGCTCGACCGACGTGCGGCTGGCCGTGCGCAACAGCACGATGGGCGTCCGGGACATCCCGCCGCGCATCCTCGACTTCATCAACAGCTCGCAGCTGTACCGCGACAAGAACGCCAAAAAGACGCGCAAGGAGATGGCGAGGCAGGTGGCGTCCGCGCCGCAGAGCAGAAAGCCCGCTGCCGGCTTAATTTAATTCTTCAACTTGTTCGTTTATTAATCACCTTCTGTGCGCCAGCGTGGCGGATGCCTGGCCGCTGGCCAAAAGAACAACGTCGGCGACGACGCAGCGCGGGTGGCGCGACGCCGCGAAGACCACCGACTCGGCCACGTCGCCGGCCGTCATCGGCTCGATGCCGCGGTACACCTCGCCGGCGCGGTCGCGGTCGCCGCCGAACCGCACGACAGAAAACTCGGTCTCGACCATGCCCGGCCTGATGTCGGTAACCCTGATTGGCACGCCAATGGTCTCCGCACGCAGGGCCTCGGAGATCGCGTGCACGGCGCTCTTCGTCGCGCAGTACACGGATCCGCCCTGGTAGCCGGCCATGCCGGCAATCGACCCCATCATAATCACATGCCCGCTCCCACGCGCCTTCATCCCGCGCACAACCGCGCGCGTCACATACAAAAGGCCCTTGACGTTCGTATCAACCATTGCGTCGATGACGCTGTCCGCCACGTCGCTGACGTGGTCGACGCCCATGGCCAGCCCGGCGTTGTTGACAAGGACGTCGATGGATGACAGCGCTTCGGGAATGCTGCTGATCGCCTGGTCGACTGCGTGGCTGCTCTGCACGTCGAGGCCGGCCGTGTGCACCTGGACGGAGGGCCACATGGTGTGGATCTTCTGCTGCACTTCGGCGAGCCTGTCCTTGCGCCGCGCTGTCAGGATAACGTTGGCTCCAGCGGCTGCGAATTGGTAGGCGCAGGCCTCGCCAATGCCCGAGGAGGCTCCGGTAATGAGAACGTTCTTTCCGAGAAGGCGGCTGAGCATGGTTGGAAAAGAAGAAGAAATAAAGAGCGAAGGCGTATAAAAAAAAAGCAGATTGAGGGTGCCAATGAGACAAATGCGATAAAGAAAAAAGTGATCGCAACAAGATCACCCCTCCCCCTCTTTTATATTGCTAGCAAGATGCTGCCCCCACCCTAATCCTGCTGCTCCGCCAAGGATTAGAAATCATTCGCACTACTTTTCTTATAGCTCAACTCACAAGCAAAGACGCAGCAGCTGATAGAACCTTCAATTCCAAAAAAAAAACAGAAAATCATGTCAAAGATAGATTCTGCATGCGCTGGGAGCAATTGTATCATTGCTCATTTTTAAGCTTGAAATGCAAGGAATAGATGGCGCTTGCATGCATGGGGGGGGAATCATCCTTAAATCCATCCGTGCCTATTGATCGCATGTGTGGTTAGATGGACCTTCTATTTTCCTTCAGAAGCTGGGGAAATTTATATATATATATATACAAAATTTATATAGCTTGGGAAATATGTTTAAAAAATAGTATTGTTACGCAGCCCGAGGATATGGAGATAGACGCTGAGGGCGAAAATCATGAGACAGATTCTCGTCAGCTCACAGATGGATCTGATATGGGCCAAATTACAGGGGATCAAATTAGGCGCCACAATTGACATCCGGACATACTGCCTGTTCCGAAATGGATGTGCTGGGCGCAAGAATACAGACATGCCAATTATGCCATATCAGAGGCCCAGGTTACTTTCATAAGAACCAGTTCTCGCGAACGGAGCACACGACTGCCAGTGAGTGCCACAAAGACAAGGAGATATATATAAGGCGAGGCCGGCGATAATAGCACTTTAGAAACGCTAGTAATAAAACCCTTTATAATTTCACACCCATTATTTAACACTATTACAGTAGTGCTCCCCACCCCCCCCCCTTTCTTACATAACAATGAGATGAATTAAAAATTGGAGAAATGTCGGTGCTGGCCAGAGTTGCCTCTATACATAAATTGATACATTTGCTTTTGACTGCAATTTGCCCTTCACATTATTGTAAAGTAGTAATATTTATTAATACAGCATTTGCATAGCTCTGTTTTTTTATCATGCGGGCGCGCGCAGTCTGACAAGTTTGAATGGCTGTTTGTAAAAAGAAAGACACGTTTTCATTTATTTTTGTACTTTACAAATGCGCAACGCACGACGCACAAATGCAAACAAGATTATGCAGATGGGGGATAAAGGGCTTGACCAGCGCAAATTAAACAAAACTGTTTAGTATGTGCGCTAAGTGATAATATATACAAAAATACCCAGGGCCTTGAAGATCCAAGCAAGCATGTGTGCTTGGCCACACATTAACACAGCACAGAAAAAACAAGCGCTGGCGCAGATTACTGGGTACCAACAAACCGCTTGCAAAGCATGGTGTGTCTCGCAACGACACAGTTATCCGTTGTAAATGAAAAATAAACTGTTGATAAATTTTAAACCCAATGCTTGCAATACATCTCAGCATCCAGCTTATACGACTAACTGAAGCAATAACAACAGTAGAACACTATCACACCATTTGTCTGTACATTTTATATTTTGTTTAACCACTATTCAACTTGTCCTGAAATATGCCACATTCCTTAGTTTAAGACTAGGAAATTGTAGATTTGTTTTTGTAAATTATTAACCAGCACCCGGAACCCAAGTGCAGCTTTAAATAAGCAAAAAAGCAGCCAGGACACACAGAGCCATCGCATAGTGTCCGTAGTTATTTATTCCACTGGCAGAGCTCAAACGTGATTTGGACACCTTGCTTTCAACTTCCGAGCACGAGTTTCCGCACAGCGCAAGAGAGTTGATCTTCTGTCCCGGGCTGATGTCAAACGGATTATACGAGTTCTCGCAGGTGACATCTCCGGGCTTGCCCTTATTGTTCAAAACATCAATCTTGTCTACCCATGTGTACTGTTTCTGCTCAATGATGTACTTGTACGACTTGATGTTCACATTTTTGCCAATGCTGTCGTATTTGGCTCTAACGTCCAAAAACATTTTCAGCCACTCTATTTCATCGATGGTGTATCCATTAATCTTGAGGTTGCTTTTAGAGTCGCCTGTCTTGTTGCTGGTGACCTTCTTTTTGGCCTCCTTGATGATGCCGCCAAGGCTACCTGCACTGTCGCTTGAGCCACGAGAAACAGCGGTGTCATAAAAGGCCGCTAGACTGACGCTGAGCTTGAGTCCAAGTGTTTTGGCCTGCGTCTGAGACGGAGTGAAATACAGATTGTCGTAGACCGTGCCCTGTGCCGAAATAAACTTTGTGTTCAAAGCAAGGGCCTTCCACGCATCGCAAAAGCCTTCTAACCCGGCAATAGAGCCATCCCTGTTTTTTGCTCGTTCGCCAAGCACAGTGTTGTACTTTGAAAACTCGTCATTTCCGCCCGTGAGATTGTGGTAGGCCTGGATCACCTGCCAGGTGTCGCCAGCGGCAGTGTTAAAGTTTGCCACGCCAGACGAGTAGCCACTGCCGTTGGTGTCTAGCTCGCAGTTGCCATAGGGTGACTTAATGTCGCCAAACTGAAAGACGTTGGTCAGCTGGAAGGCCAGGTTCTTTGGGCAGTCGGCAAGCTCGGCGTTGACAGAGCTCAGCAAGAAGAGAGAAGCAATGGCAAGGGCAGGTAGCCGTACAATGTTTGAGAGCATGATGCAAATGTATGGAATTGTAATAGTTGTAAATAAAATGAAAAAGAGAGATGAATGTGCCAATGCTCGGGATGCAGCTTCTCTTTATTTTTTTAAAGGATAGGTTGCAGCTTTCTTTTTCCGCAGTATTCTTTCTTTGCAATAAAACCTTTCAAGACTTTTGTAATAAATGCAGCAAGCAGCGTCCTTTGAACAAAAGAAACTACCAACGCACCCAGTGCTGGTTGGCCACGCAGCCCTATGATATTTACTCGTCAACTATTAGGATATAAACTAGCTGCTTCTCTATGTTATTCTGTTTATATTATTCCATGTCTTTGCACAAATAAAAATAACAGCAAACTCGTGTTTTGTCCAGTGCATTACGCACAAAGTAGAATGCGGAGCACCGAGCAACGCTCGGCACAACGTGCCATTGCGTGGTGCAAGTAAATAAAACCCCCCACAATTTAAAGTTGTGTGTGTTGCTTGCAACAAAACAATTGCAAAAAATTTGCTTTGTAATATTTATTATAAAATACAGGCATTGAATGCAAATAAGCCAAGCGGCATGTCCGCTGTAGGTGAACACGTTTGCTGGCTCAAACATCGGCGTTCTGTCCTTGGTCAACGTGCGCGAGCCATACACAAGAGGGCTGCAAGGGTCTTCAGAAGGGAAGGCGCCATGGTAGGCGTCATACAGCTGATGGTATATGTTGCCAATAGCACGGGCAACCTCGCCAGCGGTGCCTATCGCGCATGTGCCGTCGGGCATGACAACAAAACCTTCGCAAAGCATTGGGAACTTATTTTCCATGTCGCGGAAGACCGGCTCACACCGTTCCTTGTGCTCGTCATAATGATTGGCGCCTCAATTAAATAACGTAGCAAGTTTGTGAACATGCAGCGAGTGCGCGTTACCGCGAAGCTGCTGGCCGAGCAGCAGCTGGCGCTTGAGAGTCACAGCGTCTTCCGCCATAAGCCTACCACGCAGAGCCTCGGGCCAGCCTTTCTAAATTGACAATTGTAAACAAACAAACAAACAAATACAATACACTTTTAGTAGAGTAGTTTAATGTGTGCAAAAAACATACCAAAGCAAATACCACCAATAAAACTCATGTGTGAGCAGTGTATTTGCAAACACACCTCAGAAGCTACCTCTGTGTAAGACTGTGGCCCAGCATTTTTGGCGGCCGGCGCGCCCAATCCGCTGTTGTTGGCGATAGTGCTGTTGTCCATCGTAAATACGCGTTTAGAGAAATAAAAATAAAAATAGAGAAGGCGTATTTGAAATAAGAAAAAAAAGCAACAGAAAGTTTTTGCTGCAAGTCGTAGTGAACAAGAGAAATAAGAAATAGAAAGCTTTCACTGCGAGTCGTAGTGAACAAGAGTGGTAAAAAGCAAAGCAGAAAACGATATGCGAGTGCTTAAAAGTACAAGTTAAGGTTGAGAGTTAAAGTAAGCGAGAGAGCGTAAAAAACGGAGAGATGGATGGATGAAAGAGCAAAAGTGCAAAGTAGAATATGTCAGCATTCAAAGGCTGGGAGTATTTCAATTGAAAATGTCAATAGAAAAAAGATAGTCTTCTTCGCAGCCGCCTTGGTCAGTTTATATGGAAATAAGGCCACTGGGAGGAGTGCGAGTGTGAGAGGACGAGCAAGGGAGGGGTTGGAATTAAGGGAGAAAATATTTTATTGAGAGCGTTGACGAGGCAAGCAGCCAAGCAGCCAAGCAGCAACACACAAATCCAACAATGAAATACGAGGATATGCTGATATGCATGCTGATCAGGGTTTTTATTCTTGAACAAGCCTCCTAATAGAGCAATTGAATTTGGCATTTGTATATCGATTGGGATGATTACCGCGTGGAAAAGCAACATGCAATACCAGATCAACACTAACTGCATTGATCAATTGTTCAGCATGCATGCGTGCATGATGTTAAATAGTCCTTTAAAGTGACCATTTAACAACTGATTAGGTTATTCAAAGAAGTAGATAAATTCATTTAAATCTATGCGGCTAGCTTGGTCAAATACCATTTTAAATATATATTTTCTGTTCATTTGCATAACCAATTATTTTATATATGTGAGCATGGTCACTCGTATTACCGCTGATCAACGACCTGACCTGTGTAAATTTTACTTTTAACATATTTAGTGTGCTTTGCAGGTACACTTTTTATTTATAGTTCAAAGCGACATATCAACATAATATAAAAGGACCGTTTATTAAAATGAATAAAATCATTTAAAGCTTGGCCGGAGCAGCAATCGTCACTGGCGCACTAAACTCAGCTGCAGCGTTTGAAATGGCAATTATATCACGCTCAACAATGCGAACTTGGAAAATAACCCTCTTGGGATCATCCCTGTCCACCCACACGCTGGTCTCTAGGGTCTCCCCAGGAATGACCGGAGACGAAAACCTTGCCTTCACGTTCTTCAGCCTGGCGGCGTTGTCATCCGCAGCCAGCTTGACAACATGGCGGGTGGCAAAGCCAAGTGTGCAGAGACCGTGCAAGATGGGGGTCTTGAATCCACCCAATTTGCTCATCTCGGGGTCAATGTGCAGCGGATTGTAGTCGCCCGAAAGCCTGTACAGGGCGGCCTGGTCCTCAGACGTTTTCTGTGAGTAGACTGCATCGGGCGCCCGCTGCTTCGGGACAGCGTTGGTGGACGTTGCGGCCTTGGATCTTGCGGGTGCCTCTACGTGCTTAAACCCAGGCTTGCGGCTGAACCCGCCCACACCGCGGATGAACGATGTAGACTCGCTGACCGCGATGAGGCCGCCCTGCGTGTCGGTCATCGTGAGGCGGCTGGTAATTGTCAAGCCTTTGCCCTTGTCCTGGATGTCAACTATCTGCGACATACACAGGAGCCGGCCCTCCGTGGGGATGGGCCGGTGGATCTCAACGAACTGCTCGCCGTGCAGCAGCATCATCGGGTTGAATGCCGGCAGATAGTCGGTCAAGTCGACCCGGACGTGGAAGGACGGGATAACGGCAAACGTGGGGAACGTCTGGAACTGGTCGTCGGACTGGTAGACCAGCGGCAGATCATTGCGCGATGCTCCAATTCCTAGTGCATACACGACCACGTCGCGCTTGGTGTAGTCGAACGGCTGTGCTTCGCTCTTGGCGCCATAAGCACGCGCCAGATCGATCTTGCCCTCGTCGTCATCTTCGTTATTCTGCTCTTCGCCCGTGTTGTTAGCGTTGTCGAGCAGCTCAGCCGAGCTCTGACGCGTGTCGGCGACAAAGTGCGCGCGGCCATCGTCAAAGTTGTTGATCTCATGCCAGCGCGCCGAGATGGCCTCGGGCGTCAGTGGTGCGGAGAGCGGGAAGCCGACGCCGCCGGAGCGTTGGCGACGGATCTCCGAAATCCAGCACGAGCCAACCTGGAACAGCTTGCCCGTGTGCGGGCAAGACTCGTGCGCGAGGTAGCCAATAAGCGGCGCAACGTACTCAGGTTTGAGCATCTCGACAATCTCTTGCGGCATCACCGTGGCGGTCATCGCCGTGCCGGCGTTAGGCGCAATGGCGTTGACGCGGATGCCGTACTTGGCGCCCTCCAGGGCCAGCGTGTTGGTCAGACCTTGGATTCCGGCCTTGGCGGCCGCGTAGTTGGTCTGCCCAAAGTTGCCAAAGATGCCAACGGCCGAGTTGGTATTGATAATGGAGCCGCCTTTTTGCTTCAAAAAGTGGGGCCATGCGGCCTTGCTCACCTTGTACGTGCCACGCAGGTGCACGCGGTACACAAGGTCCCAGTCTTCGGGCGAGGCGTTAGCAAAGGCCTTGTCGCGCAGAATGCCCGCGTTGTTGACGACAATGTCCACACGGCCAAAAGCGTCAATGGCAGTCTTCACTAGCAGCTCGCCGTCCTCGACCGAGCTGTAGTTGGCCACAGCCTGTCCGCCGGCCCGCTTGATTTCTTCGACAACCAGGTCGGCCGCACGCACCTTTTTGCCATTGTGCTCGACGCTTCCCAGGTCATTGACAACGACCCGAGCGCCAAACCGCGCAAACATCAGCGCGTAGGCGCGGCCCAGCCCGTTTCCCGCGCCAGTGACCAGGGCAACTTTGCTGTCAAACCGCAGCTGCTGTTGCTGTTGCTGCTGTTGCTTCTGGCCGGCATCAGTCGACTTGAGCGCCTGCGCTTCTTCCAGCTTGCCCATCCAGTCCTGGTCCTTCAGCGACGTCGGGTAGTACACGTTTTCCGAAAAGTCGTCAATCTCGGCAAACCGCGCCTTGACAGCCGCTGGAGTGAACGAGTCGTCAGCTGTAAACACTACGCCTTGCGTGCCCTCCCACCGGTGGGCAGTGATCTTGCCAGCTCCAATCTCGTACAGTCCGCCGGTCTGCTTGGTCTCTTCGTGCGTAAGGAAGGCGACTAGCGGGGCGATAAACTCTGGCTTGAGCGCGTCCAGGATCTCCTGGGGCATAACCGTGGCTGTCATGCGCGATGCCGCCAGCGGGGCAATGGCGTTTGACGTGATATTGTACTTGAAGCCCTCGTACGCCAACGAGTTACTGAATCCCACAAGCGCCTGCTTGGCTGCAGCATAGTTGGCTTGGCCAAAGTTGCCATAGATGCCGGCTGCAGACGAGGTCATGATGATGCGACCAAACTGCTGCTTGCGCATGATGGGCCATGCGGCCTTGGTGATGCGGTATGCGCCCTGCAGATGCACGTTGAGCACATCGTCCCAGTCCTTGTCCGTCATGCTCTTGAACGACTTGTCGCGCAAAATCCCCGCGTTGTTGATGACGATGTCCACGCGGCCGTATGCCTTCATAGCTGTATCGACGATCTTATCGCCTTCAAGCACGTTGTGATAGTCGGCAATGGCCTGGCCGCCGGCTTGTTTGATTTCGCTGACGACAATATCCGCCGCGCTGGCGGAGCTACCCTCGCCCTTGAGCCCCGAGCCCAGATCATTGACAACAACCTTGGCGCCGCGGGCGGCAAAGAACAGCGAGTATGCCTTGCCCAGCCCGCCGCCGGCACCCGACACGATGACGACACGGTTATCGAAGCGAAGCAGATTAGATGACATAAAGAGAACGTGTGATGTCTGGGTGAGTATAAAAGTACAAAGATAGGAGGTTATAAAAATTAAAAATGAACCTTTGTTTTGCGAAAAGCTAAAAAATGAGAAGTTTAAGGTGAAAGAGTGCAAGCGCTATAGACTCGTTTGGATTAGAATATATTGTTCAAAAAAATTTGGGTATCTGAAAAACAAAAAAAACGAGAAAAGAAAGACAGTGCGCATGTATGGTGTATTTAAGTGGCAGGAGGGGGCGAGGCATGTGAGGATCAATGCGCCATCTGCCCGCATGGCATACGAAATTGCAAGCGGCAGTAAGGGCGCCTATCGTCTTCACTGCCTCGGTGCCTCGGTGCCTCGCTACCTCGCTGTCTCATTACTCCCAACTCGGAGCTTATTATCCAAGATTAGGGCCCGAAAAAGACAATAATACTAGCGACCTGTCTTCATGTGATATTTGAAGCACAAGCCGACGCAGTGTCATGTGTAAAGTTCAATTATAAACAATAAACCCCTTTTACAATGTCCATTCGGCTTGTGAAAGTCAAAGGCTCATCAGAGCAAGTGGAAAACCCCTATCACACGTCACAAGCAAGCAAAAAAATAAAGATCAAATTTCATTAATATTAATTTCCTACCACCCCAGAAGCTAACAAGAAAACCCAAGCAAATCAAGAGATCGTGTTGGACCTTGTCGATACCGCAATGGACGCCGGTCTGGGATTGCCCTTCTTTGGCTGAATGTAGCTGACCCTCCCATCGTCGGTGACCATCAGCGCAACAGCCAAGTACGGATGCATAGCCACAGCGTCGACCCTCACTTGCTGCTGCTGCTGCTGGTGGGCCTGGTGGGCCTGGCCTCTGCCTGCATACCCGGCAAAGCTCTTCATATACGACGACGACGACGCATATGTGTGCTTAGCAGCCGTGACCACGCCAATGTTTGTGCCCCGCTGGTTCCACAGCTTGACCGTTGCATCCGACGCAGTCAGCGTCACGGGCGCGTTCTCGTGCACAATCATATGCTCCAGACGGTGGTCAGTATGCGTGTCGTTCAGCGTGAAGTACGGAGACGCGTGGCGCAGGTCCCAGTACCGGACGGTTCCGTCGGAGCTGGCCGACACGACCTCGACCTGGCCCGGCCGCATAAACACGTTGCGGACGCTGTGCGGCCGATGGTCGCTCCAGTTGGCCACCACGCTGTGGCACGCGTCCAGCCGCCGGTCGAGCACACGCACGACGCCGTCGCGGTTGCCGACGGCGAAGAAGTTGCCAGACACACCGTCTTGGCTGATACACGTGATGCCACCCATCGACGACACAGCAATTTCTTCGATGCACATCTCCGTGTTGATGTCCCACACGCGGATCTCCTTGTCGTTGCCGCCGGCAAACAGCACGCCGCTGCGCTGGTTCCACGCCGTCACCAGCGGCGTGCCGCCCGCGTCCAATGCTGCCTGATCCGACAGGATCAAATTACCAGCCGAGATCGTATTGCCCGCCGTGTGCGCACGCAGCCGCTGGCTCGAGCCCAGCAGCGTTGTCGCGCCCAGGTTGGCCACGGAGTTGGGCGCCGGCGTGGCAGCCCACGGCAGCGCGGCGAAGGCCGTCAGCAGCCGCGGCTTTGGGAACGCCGGCACGTGGCCGGCCGGTGGCGGAGAAAAGTCCGGCGCATGCGACGCGAGCACGCGCACCATTCCGTCGGCAGTGGCCACCAGCAGCCGCGCCTGGCCTAGCGGGTTAATCAAATGCAGCGAGCAGACGGCATCGGCCTTGGACCCGATGGAGTACTGTGCGACCTGTGCCTGCATCTCCCAGTCATACACCGACACGTTGCCACGGCGCGTGGCCACGATGGCGTGTGGCTCCAGCGGGTGCAATAGTGTGGCCGATGCCGGCTCGGCAATCGTCGCCACCGTCGTCGGGTCCGTCCACTTCATTGAGCCGGCCCCAGAGCATGTGATGCGCGCGTTGGTCTCCATGCGGTCGACCCGTCGGTGCCGCTCGCGGCTCTCGACCAGCGCCACGCTGCCCTGCAGCGGACCGGTGATATTGGCAAACAGCGAGATGTCGAACTCGGTGAAGTGCGCGCCGGCCCAGTCAACCAGCGTCGACTCGCAGGAGCCCGCCCGCAGCTCGCTGCGTCCCCATTCGAGCCACGCTGACTCGACCTCGGCCAGCCGCTGCGACGCGTCCATACGCTCGCTGTCGCTCATTGCTGCAAACCGGTCACGTCCGACCTGCGACTCGCGCAGAGCCGACTCCAGCCGGTGCATGTTGCCTGCGACGCCTGCCGACGGAGATCTGGTCGTCTGCTGTTGCTGCTGGTTCTGGTACTGCTGCGACTGCTGCTGCGTGAAGTGCATCGTGTACCTGTGCGACGCCACACTGCTGGGCATATCGCCGCGCGCCCGGGGGCTGCCCAGAGTCGACACCGATGAGCCATGCAGCCCCGTGTGCGCAGACTGCCGGCGCTGCGCCTGCCTCTGCTGCTGCTGCTGGATGGTCATCCTAGTCGTCTGCTGCTGATGGTTCGGCTGGAAGTGCACCGACCCGAGCTCTGGCGACAACTCGCCGCTGCCCGCACTGTGCGGCTGGTGCCCAAGAAGCGCGTCGCCAACCGCCGTGGTACGCAAAAAGCCCAAAATGGGCGTCTGTCCCGCCGCTGTGCGCGAGATCTCGACCTTGTGCAGTGCCTGGTCCAGCGCTGCCTCGTCATCAAAAACATCCGTGAGCGCGCGTAGCACTGCATCAGCACATCGCAGGCTTCGCGTGCCACCTGTGCAACGTCGGGGTGCGGATCCGTGCAAAGCCTCAGCATGATCTTGTACAGTTTGACTAACAGGTCCATTGACACCTCAGGCACGTCGTCGGGAGGAATGTCGGAACCAGCCTGCTGGTGCTGGTGCTGCTGCCGTTGCTGAATCGATGGCAGAGCTGCTTGGTTTTGCTGCTGCCTGGCGCGCCGCTGGTCGCGCAGCTCCTCGCCAACAACGCGCCCCACGGCCTCGACAGACTGGCGCATGTACGACGCAAAAACACCATTGGCTATTGCTTGCGCGACCTCGCGCCTGACCATCGGGCTGCCGTCGAGTGCCGCCTGCAAGAGCATCGGAAAGAGTTGCGCCTCGGCGTTGCGCACAATGAGCTGCACTGCTGGGTCGACGCCGAGGTTCTGCAGGTTCTGCAGCAGTGTGTTAGTCGCGTAGATGGCCGATGCCCGGACCACGGGCGACCGATGGAACGCCATCTGTATCAACAGGTCCTGCGCATCCTTGTCGTCAATGTTTTCGTCATCGGGCGTCGACGCGATGATCTCCGACAGCGACTGATCCTGATTGTCATGCTGTTGCTGCTGCATCTTCTGCGCCTGCGTGTTGCGATACGATGTGATGACGCAGAGCTTGTACGTCATTGCCATCCACTTGGCGTCCGACTGGCCTTTCCACAGCTCGGCCAGACAGAGCAGGACCCAGGTGCGCAGACAGGCGCGCTCCTCCGTGCCATTGTCGGGCTTCTGTAGGTACAACAAAAAGTAGTCCAGCACACGCTCATCAAAGCAGGCCTTCTGCGCCACTGGCATGTCCCTGCACAGCATAGTCAGCGTAAAGGCACAGGCGGCCGATACAGTGTCGCACAAACGCACCTTGTCGTCGACGGGCTCGTACTGCATGTGGATGTTACTGGCCAAGTAGGTGACAAAGTAGTTGAACTCGGAGTTCTTAAGCAGCTCCGGGTGCAGCGCCATGTCGACGGCCGAGAGCCGCGCCCAGACGAGGATCAGAATCTCGCGGATCTCTGTTGTCGTCGACCCCAGAAGCTTGGACATGTACGGGTAGATGCCGACGGCCATCGCCTGGTCCACGGCCCATGGGCCCAGGTTCATAAACCGATAGAGCAGGATAAGCGCACGGCGCCTGTACTGCTGGCTTAGCAGCACCTGCAGCACCGCCGGCAGCTCATCGGGCGGCTCCAAATCGGGTGGACACGTGCTGAGCGACTGTGGGATCTCATCGGGTTTCTGGTCTGAGACGAATTTGGACACCACCGTGGCCGCATGCTGCAGCCACACCTCGAAGGCGTAGAGCTGATTGCTATAGTACGTGCTCGAGATGTACCCTCCTCCGGCGTGACCCAGACCCAGGGAGCGCCCACCAATGCCGTCGTCGCTGCCGCTGTCGCTGGCGTCCTCGTCTTCGCTCTCGATGGCGCCGCCCAGCCCGATGCGCGGCCCGTGCCTCGACGCCATCGTGTTGAACCCACTAGCAATGGTCAGCTTAGGCACAAGCGGCAAATGGAACTCGCTCGCAGCGCTGTTGGCCGACGGATACCGTGACTGACCGCCACTGCCGCTGCCACTGCCGGTGCCGCTGCCACTTGTGCCACTGCGCCTGGCCCTCTCCTCCCGCCGCCTGCGCCGCTCATCCTCCTTGAGCAGCCGTGGCAGCTGCTGCAGACACATGTCGATCTCCAGATCCAAGCTGTCCCACAGCGGGTGCTTGTGGGTCGGCGGGATAGACGGGCTGCACTGCGGATGAACGCCGTAGAACCGCATGACGCGGTCAGCCAGCATAAAGTTGCGGTACATTGAGGCCACGACAACGTCCTGACGAAACAGCTTGCGAAACAGCTCGCGTGGCAGTGTGCTCCAGGCGATGCTGTCTGTGATCGAGGTAAAAATCCAGTTGATCTCGCCGAGTGGTGTGCGCCGGTCCTGCACCGAGCCTGGCAGCTTCTCGCACATGTCCAGAGTCACCTTGGTGTTGTTTGGATTTCGCGTTACCCAGAAGCGCAGCGCCATTTTGACGGGCGTCGTGAGGCAAGACGTGAACAAGTCGGCTGGAAGCTCGGGGTTGGTTGGGAGCAGCTCATCGGACCGCGTCGCCGCAAAGTGAATGTCCTCATGGTGCATCGACGGCAACAGTGCGAGATTAATCAGTGCTGGGTTGACCGGTGATAAATTTCCCTGCGCGCTGCCGGCTGCTGCCGATGCCGCTGATGATGATCCTGGTGCTGGTTGCTGCTGTTGCTGTTGCTGTCCATTTTGCTGGTGGGGGGCCTGGCCCTGTCCGTTAATGCTAGTGCTACCATTGGCTGCACCGGGGTGCATCGGCCCGGCCATCATTGCAGCAATATTCGACGTAATGTTGGACATGGCCCTCGGGTCCGTGCGGTCCAGCGGCAGCCTCATACCATTAGCCTCGGCAGCATGCCTGATGCGGGCAATCTCAACATCGCGCAGCTTTGCATTCTTCTCAAAGGCCTTAACAATATTCATCGCATGCGCGCAGTCCCACACGTACAAACACGGCGTGCCGATCCAGCTCATCAGCTCCATCGAGTTGACTGGAATATACTGTGTGAACTGCCTGTTGAAGACCCAGAGGTCACCGCTGGGCGTCGGGCGCGGCACGCCGTGACCATTGTAGTAGAACAGTAGCCGCTCTTCCTTGGCAACCCTGCGGAACTGCACGCAATACTTGCGCAAATCCTCCATGCAGCAGTCCAGCAGCGGCTTGTACTTGGCGTGCTTCTGGATATGCTCGAACTGTCTCAGTATGCTCTCACCAATAGCCCTCATCGGCGACCTTTCCTTCGTCGTGCTCCCGCGCTGGCCTGCCCCGTTGGCCGCCTGCAATGCAAGCTCCTCCTGCGTCGGCATATCAACGGGCGCCGTTGGGTCGACCCACGCCTCCATGACGGCTCGCTTCGACGGCTTGACGACGTCTGGCGGCTCCGTTCCCAGGTTCAAGCACACTACAAGGAGAGCGCCCACTGTGCGCAGCTTCTCGTGCGTGCGCCAGTCAGCCAGCTGGGTGTGTGCTAGCGCCAGCGAGCGCGGGTGCGTGTGAAAGTCCATTCGTGTTTCCATTAGCGATTGGTCCACAGGCTTGCGCTGGCTTCCTAGCGGATCACTGCTCAGAAGCTCGCTCATGTCTACTTTGGCCCCCGTTGCTGTTGTTGTGATTATCGTCTGGTCTCGGTCATTGCCCCGTGATGGGCCCATGGTGACGGGCGCGATGTCGTCTGAAGGCACAGCGACGGCAGATGTCATTTTATGAAGAATGCCGAAATAAGAGAAACGAAGAGTGCTATGTATATAATAAGGCAGAAAAATAATAAAAGAAAAATAAGTATGAATTGAGAGCGTCTATTTTTTTTAAAAAGGTGATTTGAGAAGAAAAATATACAGCAACGAAAGCGCTGCGTTTTAAAAAAATCGAATATGCACCTCAAAACGGGTGCTTCGGCTCAAAACCCCTGAGAAACTAAAATAAAGGCGCGTTCATGCACGTGATCCGTTTTATTTTTTATTTTTTCCTCCACAATTTAACTTCAGTGGCAGTGTGATGTCAAAGCCAACCCAAGCCCTAAAAAATCAAATTAAACGCGCAGTCATTTATTTGCTTTGCTCTCCCTTTTCCAAAAGACGCAGGCTTGTCCTTTCTTTATGTTTTGTTCAAATTACCCTTTCCCTTAAATATTTTTCTTCTTTATACAAAATCTCGAGGGCTCACTGCCTCTACTCTTTCGCATTTACTCCTTTTCATTTTATACCCACAAAATAAATTACTTTACACATTTGGCCACTTCGCACCGTTATTTCATTATTTCATTAATTTTCTCTGCATAATGTCCGACGATTTCATGTACGAGGAGGACGACGAGTTCGACTTTGAGTACGAGGAGGATGACGGCAATGACGAGGACCTCGGCCTAGAGAGTAAGTACTACAACGCCAAGGCGCAGCGCGACGACCCGGGGGCAGCGCTCAGCGAGTTCCAAGCTGTCGTGAGTGAGGACCAGGCGGCGGGCACCAGCGAGTGGGGGTTCAAGGCGACCAAGCAAATAATTAAGCTGCATTTGCAACGACCAGGCAACGACCAGCAGGTACTGTCGAGCTACGAGAAAATGCTCGACTTTGTACGCAACTCGACGGTGACCAGCAACTACGCCGAGAAGAGTATCAACAATATGCTGGAGCGTGTGGGAGGCAGAGAGGCTGAGTTTACGCGCAAGTTCTACCAGTTGACGCTGGCCGCGCTGAAGCAGGCACGTAACGACCGCCTGTGGCTGCGCACCAGCTTGCGGCTGGCCAAGCTGCTTCTGGACCAGGGCAAGTTTGCCGAGCTAGAAGCACTGTTGGCAGATCTGCGAGCTGAGTGCCGTGACGCGCAGGGTCAGATCATCCTCGAGCGCGGCACGCAGCTGCTCGAGATCAACGCCATGTACCTGGGCATGTACTCTGCGCGTAACGAGCCCAAGAAACTCAAGGACACGTACCTGCAGTGCGTCTCTGTCAAGTCAGCGTTGCCGCATCCGCGCACAATGGGATTCATCCGTGAGTGCGGTGGCAAAATGTACATGGCCGAGCGCAATTGGACCGAGGCACAGTCCAATTTTTTTGACGCCTTCAAGAACTACGACGAGGCCGGCAGTCCGCAGCGCGTTCAGGTGCTCAAGTACCTTGTGCTGGCATCGATGCTCTCTGAGACTGAGGTCAACCCGCTATCGTCGCCTGAGGCCCGGTCATACGAGAGCGACCCGGCTATTGTCGCCATGACCAGTTTGGTGCGCGCGTACGAGAGCCAGCAGGTCCATGAGTTTGAGCGGATCTTGGTCGACCATCGCGAGACTATCCTGGGCGACCCGTTCATCGCCCGGTATATTGACGACCTGCGCCGCACCTTCCGCATGCAGGCGCTGCAGGGCGCCGTGGCGCCATACACGCGCGTTAGGATTGACGTCCTCGGCAGGCGCCTCAAGGTCGAGGCCACGGAGGTCGAGGACCTGCTGGTTGCGCTGATCCTCGACAAGCGGCTCGACGCAAGCATCGACCAGGAGAACGGCATTCTGATTTTGCGGCAGGAGACGTCCGACGAGTCGCAATATGATGCTGTCAGCAAGTGGGCCACCAGCCTGGAGACTCTGATGCAGCAGTCGCTGTCGATTCTGTCGTAGCCGCTTTTTTCTTCTTATTTGTCTTTTGTTGATGATAATATGACCATTATTTATATTGTTCAATGCAGCAGTGCCTTGGTGGCGATCTCATAGACCATTTTGCGGCGCAGAAAGGCGCAGTTCTCCTGCGCAAAGTCCAGCTCAGCGCCGCGCGCAATGTGCTCAGCAAATGCGACAGCGAAAACACCACAGTCGTACCCGTTCTGCTGCCGCGGAATGTCTTTCTCGCACGTCATCGCCCACCCTTGCTCATCAAACACCTTGCCGCCACGCTTATCCCTGCTCTCCAACCGCAGGTACTCCATCAGCAACTCGAGGCATTCGGTGTTTTCGCCTAGAAGCGCGTCGTAGTACCGGATGCTGCGCTGCCCGAAATCCACGATGGCGCAGCACCAGTGCACACCCAGGTGCACGGGCACGACAACGAGGTCCATGGCAAAAACATCGATGCGCCTGGTCCACCGCTTGACGCGCGCATAGCCGTTTTCGCGCAGCGTCGAGAAGAAGAACGTATTGAACGCGTGCACCTTAGGCAGTGACGCTGCCTTTCCGCCTCCTGCATTGGCTGAGCGGCCCATAATCAGCTGCATGTAAAAGTTGATGACCTCGTCGTTCAGCCACTTGCCGGGCATCAGCGTTTGCAGGTCGCGGGCTGTAACCGGCGTGTTGTTCAGCTCGCACGTGAACCCTGGCTGCATCGCCCGATCAATCACCTGGGCTGCATTGGCCGGCAAGACAAAGGCCACGCTGCGCTGCCGCGCCCTGGCCAGCCGCTTCTCAAAAACTCCGTCGGCCTTGCAGACGCGGTCGTACGCAGGCGTGGAGACCCTCATGGCGGGCGCTGCGACAGACAAAGTCTCCTCGATTTTTTTGCGCAGACGCACGATCCACTGCTCCTCTTGCGCTTGCGCCGCCTTGCGCGTGTCAAGACTGAGCCGCCGCGTTGTCTCAGCCGCTGGTGTGCCAACTCCAAAGCTGCTTTCGTATTCTGGTGTACTGCTGTCGATGCTGATGATTGACTGCTGGTCGTCGGTTTCTTGCGAGAACGAGGAGGAAGCCGAGTATGTTTGTGAGGCGTGGCCAAGGACTTGCGGTTTGCCGCCCAGACTGATTCTGGGCATGGTAGTTGCCCAGTCCTGCAAATGTATTTGTACCTGAGTAACTCTTGGCTCTGTGTACTCACGAACCAGATCGCTGCTCCTCTCCCTGCGTAATTTACCCGACCGCACCTTTCCAGGCACCAGCGGCCTGCGGTGGCTGGCGGCTCCCCCATTGGAAGCCCTGTGGTGCCGGCGTTTTTTCCGATAGTGGTTCTGCGGCAATGGCTCTGGCCCGCGCGATTCGACCGTCCATTCGCTGCTGCTTGGCGTTAGCCTCAGTTTGCTGGGCTTTTGCTGTGGCGCGCCTGTGATCCAGTTTTTGGCTGTGACAAGTGGCTGCATGAAGTATTTGCTAAACCAGTCTTTGTTACTTTCGGGGCTTGGTCGCCGTTTTGGGCCTGATAAACGCTCGGGAAAGCTGCCTGGCATGTGGGCTGTGTCGATAGAATCAGCAGTGTCAGCTGTGCGTGTGCGCTTCTTGCCAGCAGAGCCGGAAGCCGTGCTATGCATCTGCGTCGATTAGGATTTCTTGAACAAATGAAAAAAGAGTAAAGAAAATTAAATGTGGTTGAATCGAAGGAAGATAAAAAGTGGCATTGAAACGTTAAACTTGAATAAACAAAAAGGCTCCGGAAAAAACGCACGCGTCGTGCCAAATTGCACGCGAAAATTTGACATTTCTTTCTCACTCTTCACGTGAGTCTTTTTGGCCAACATGTAAAATTCATAAGGAACCCAAAAACGCTGTGATTAAGATCAGAAATCAGTTGATTTTTGGAGATTTTTTTAGGCTGGATCCGCGATTTGTTTCTGCACGCTTCTTTTGATTTACCAAAAAAAAATTTACAGGGATCGGGGTAAGCAAAGTCAAAGGAAATACAACCCTTGTACCGATTTCTGCTCTTTAACTTCTCATTTCAATACTATTTAATTCCACATTTCAAATACCACACACTGTTTAAAATGGAGTCACAGCTGAACGAGCTTATCGACTTTTTGAAGAGCCCGCGGTCTGACGTCCGCCAGATGGCCGCCAGCTACATCGTTGGCTTCTCAAAGCCCGGCTCGGAGTACTTTGCCCTTCTCAAGGCCAACGCCGAAAGACTCGTGCGCCCGCTCTTGATAATCTGCCATGAGACGCCTATCGCCGCCAACAGTGCAATGAGCACGCTGGTCAACCTGACTACCGACACTACAGTGTGCCGTCTGCTGGCCGACGAGGACTCCCTATCAATGATTGTCACGCTGATTACCGTTCCCTCAAGCATGATCGCCGACACTACGTGCATGCTGCTGTCGAACCTGACCAAACTAGATTCAATTTGCCGCCTGCTGGACACTTTGAGTGTGAGCGAGGTGCCCGGCATCTGCAACTCGCCAAAGGCCATGGACCAACTCACCGATGTGTTTGTCAAGGGTATGGATAAGCAGTACAACAGAAACGCGCAGTTCTCATTTTTGGCCAGCGTCTTTGCCGACATGACCAACTTTCCGTTTGGCCGTCGGTATTTCCTTGAGCGCACGGCCTACGATGGCAAGCTGCCCATCACCAAAATCATGGTGTTCAGCGAGTACCCCGACATCATCCGCCGTGGCGGAGTGGACTCGACAATGAAGAACGTGTGCTTTGAGAAGGACATGCATGGCATCATCTTGGATCCCAAGGAAACCAACATGTTGCCATACATCCTGCTGCCCCTGTGTGGTCCCGAGGAATATGATATGGACGAAATGGAGAATTTGCCCGAGGAGTGCCAGCTTTTGGGAGAGGATAAGAAGAGGGAGACTGATAATAAGCTGCGCGCCTGCTTGTTGGAAGCTGTCAATCTGCTGTGCACCACGCATGCTGGTCGCGAGACCCTGCGCGCCAAGCAGGTCTATCCCATTCTGCGGGAAATGCACAAGGTCGAGGCTGACGAGACATGCTATGAGCTCAATGAGCGCGCTGTCCAGCTGCTGATGCGCGATGAGAGCAGGGATACTATTATCGATACTGTCGTTGAGGATGTTGCTGGTGCTAATGAGTTTGAAGAGATTTAGAGCAGCTAGGTAGCATAATAGATTTCAATTATATATTTGCGCAATTGTTTATATACAGCTCAATTTTAAATAAGGGTATTGGTTTGTTTGTTCATCAAGGAACATTGATTTTTCAGACTGTGTCACCCCACACAATAGCCCTCATTTTTTATTTTGGTTCCATACACAGATCTGATGTCGTCGATTATTCACAACTTCAACAGCTGCGCTTTATCCGGCATTAGCCAATTGTGAAGCTGCAATGCTATTTGGTATCAGCACCAGCTCCTGATTCTGCTCTGGAATTGACCCTACCTCTACATTTGTCGATAGGCCAAGCTGTTCCAATAAGCCTATCTCCAGCGCCAAAATGGTAGGTCTCACCCAGCAGCATGCACCATTCGACTCCAGCTGTGCATCGAGGCTTGTTCGATATTTCTGAACGTGCATCGTCAAAAACAACCGTGTCTCCGCCGCTATCACCCCCTACACAGCAACATGGGCTATTCAACTACACCAACAGTTCTTCTAGCATCGGCTGGCCGTAGATCGGAAAACATTTACGCCCTGGTACTGGCGCTAGCTTTGCCTAAGCTGCCACTAGTTAGCCAGGGCACTCACAAAGACTCCGCTCTATATATAGCGCCGCCCCTAGCTCCATTTTCACTGCCGTATGAAAGCAATTGCATTTTGAACACGTATCCAGACCTGCAGAGCGCCCACGATGCATATAATTTTTCGACATGTGCAGTGGAGTTGGCAGAACCAACGCCAGTGTTAACTGATTGGGATAATTACACCGCACAACAGGATGCGCACTGGTTCATGGAAATATTTTATTCAGCACCGCAGACTACAGGTTCAAGGTGCTAAAAGCATGTGCAAAAGCTCGCAACCATGCTGTCTGAAATGCCAGAAAGAGATAAAGAAGCCAGTCATTATCCAAACTATACCTCATACGAATATACTGTAGACATCGAGACTATGCCTGAATCTAAAGGTTCTACGCTATTCGATCTTAATTATCAAGAAAGTACAAGCGCCAGCCATAATGCAGCGATGAATATAAAAACGACAACGATGACAACTACTACAATGACGACCTTGATGTTGATGTCGATGCCGTCATATACACCGAGTATTTGAAATACAAGCCTCAAAAGATACAAAAAACAAAAATTTGTATGGCAGCGAGAAATGTCGTTTAACTTTTAAGAAACCTTGGAGCCTCGCAATTGTAAGATTGGCATTGAATAATGGCGAATTTGTATGAATTGTTATTTTGTTTACCGCCTACTCAAGTTTTATATTCTAATGACATAAATATTTTGAAATTATCAGTGTATATAAATGTGCCACTGATTTTAGGTGTTATTGTGGATTATTGCACATAAATACGGCACATCTCTAAGTGTTGCGACAACAGCTTGCTCACATTGGCACTGGAAAACTTGGTATTTTTGTTGAGACTCGAAAGCTAAAAAAATTGTCATTATTTCCGCCAAATTATTATTATTATTTGCATTCAATGCCTGTATTTTATAATAAATATTACAAAGCAAATTTTTCGCAATTGTTTTGTTGCAAGCAACACACACAACTTTAAATTGTGGGGGGTTTTATTTACTTGCACCACGCAATGGCACGTTGTGCCGAGCGTTGCTCGGTGCTCCGCATTCTACTTTGTGCGTAATGCACTGGACAAAACACGAGTTTGCTGTTATTTTTATTTGTGCAAAGACATGGAATAATATAAACAGAATAACATAGAGAAGCAGCTAGTTTATATCCTAATAGTTGACGAGTAAATATCATAGGGCTGCGTGGCCAACCAGCACTGGGTGCGTTGGTAGTTTCTTTTGTTCAAAGGACGCTGCTTGCTGCATTTATTACAAAAGTCTTGAAAGGTTTTATTGCAAAGAAAGAATACTGCGGAAAAAGAAAGCTGCAACCTATCCTTTAAAAAAATAAAGAGAAGCTGCATCCCGAGCATTGGCACATTCATCTCTCTTTTTCATTTTATTTACAACTATTACAATTCCATACATTTGCATCATGCTCTCAAACATTGTACGGCTACCTGCCCTTGCCATTGCTTCTCTCTTCTTGCTGAGCTCTGTCAACGCCGAGCTTGCCGACTGCCCAAAGAACCTGGCCTTCCAGCTGACCAACGTCTTTCAGTTTGGCGACATTAAGTCACCCTATGGCAACTGCGAGCTAGACACCAACGGCAGTGGCTACTCGTCTGGCGTGGCAAACTTTAACACTGCCGCTGGCGACACCTGGCAGGTGATCCAGGCCTACCACAATCTCACGGGCGGAAATGACGAGTTTTCAAAGTACAACACTGTGCTTGGCGAACGAGCAAAAAACAGGGATGGCTCTATTGCCGGGTTAGAAGGCTTTTGCGATGCGTGGAAGGCCCTTGCTTTGAACACAAAGTTTATTTCGGCACAGGGCACGGTCTACGACAATCTGTATTTCACTCCGTCTCAGACGCAGGCCAAAACACTTGGACTCAAGCTCAGCGTCAGTCTAGCGGCCTTTTATGACACCGCTGTTTCTCGTGGCTCAAGCGACAGTGCAGGTAGCCTTGGCGGCATCATCAAGGAGGCCAAAAAGAAGGTCACCAGCAACAAGACAGGCGACTCTAAAAGCAACCTCAAGATTAATGGATACACCATCGATGAAATAGAGTGGCTGAAAATGTTTTTGGACGTTAGAGCCAAATACGACAGCATTGGCAAAAATGTGAACATCAAGTCGTACAAGTACATCATTGAGCAGAAACAGTACACATGGGTAGACAAGATTGATGTTTTGAACAATAAGGGCAAGCCCGGAGATGTCACCTGCGAGAACTCGTATAATCCGTTTGACATCAGCCCGGGACAGAAGATCAACTCTCTTGCGCTGTGCGGAAACTCGTGCTCGGAAGTTGAAAGCAAGGTGTCCAAATCACGTTTGAGCTCTGCCAGTGGAATAAATAACTACGGACACTATGCGATGGCTCTGTGTGTCCTGGCTGCTTTTTTGCTTATTTAAAGCTGCACTTGGGTTCCGGGTGCTGGTTAATAATTTACAAAAACAAATCTACAATTTCCTAGTCTTAAACTAAGGAATGTGGCATATTTCAGGACAAGTTGAATAGTGGTTAAACAAAATATAAAATGTACAGACAAATGGTGTGATAGTGTTCTACTGTTGTTATTGCTTCAGTTAGTCGTATAAGCTGGATGCTGAGATGTATTGCAAGCATTGGGTTTAAAATTTATCAACAGTTTATTTTTCATTTACAACGGATAACTGTGTCGTTGCGAGACACACCATGCTTTGCAAGCGGTTTGTTGGTACCCAGTAATCTGCGCCAGCGCTTGTTTTTTCTGTGCTGTGTTAATGTGTGGCCAAGCATACATGCTTGCTTGGATCTTCAAGGCCATGGGTATTTTTGTATATATTATCACTTAGCGCACATACTAAACAGTTTTGTTTAATTTGCGCTGGTCAAGCCCTTTATCCCCCATCTGCATAATCTTGTTTGCATTTGTGCGTCGTGCGTTGCGCATTTGTAAAGTACAAAAATAAATGAAAACGTGTCTTTCTTTTTACAAACAGCCATTCAAACTTGTCAGACTGCGCGCGCCCGCATGATAAAAAACAGAGCTATGCAAATGCTGTATTAATAAATATTACTACTTTACAATAATGTGAAGGGCAAATTGCAGTCAAAAGCAAATGTATTAATTTATGTATAGAGGCAACTCTGGCCAGCACCGACATTTCTCCAATTTTTAATTCATTTCTTTGTTACGCAGCCCAAGGATATGGAGGTAGACGCTGAGGGCGAAAAATATAAGACAGATTCTCGTCAGCTCACAGATGGATCTGATATGGGCCAAATTACAGGGGATCAAATTAGGCGCCACAATTGACATCCGGACATACTGCCTGTTCCGAAATGGATGTGCTGGGCGCAAGAATACAGACATGCCAATTATGCCATATCAGAGGCCCAGGTTACTTTCATAAGGACCAGTTCTCGCGAACGGAGCACACGACTGCCAGTGAGTGCCACAAAGACAATGAGATATATATAAGGCGAGGCCGGCGATAATAGCACTTTAGAAACGCTAGTAATAAAACCCTTTATAATTTCACACCCATTATTTAACACTATTACAGTAGTGCTCCCCACCCCCCTTTCTTACATAACATCATTCCATCTCATCTCATCAACTGCTAACATATATTCCATTTATATACAGATAAACATATTTTGTTATTTATTCATTCAGCATGCGTCTCGTCGTCAAACTTTTGCCTGCTTTGGTGCTATGATAAAAAATATCAATTAAATGAACTATGAGAAAGCTCACCGATTAACAACCTCCACCGTTCATATTCACTAGTATTTATATTGCTCGTATGGGTATTTCCGCATATCCGAGTAGGAAACTGACTGGTTATTGATTCATTGAAAAATCACTGGGGACAAGCCGGGTTTAATTGCGTTACACCTGGTTCTTGCCACACTTTTTCCGTCATTTTCTGCTAATGCTGAGTTAATTTATTCTTACTTTCACGACACTTGTGCAAGCAACATGCTACTACTGCTAATCTTTCTCCACAAAACAGGCGCTATTAGATGGGACTTAGCAAGCTGTCAAAATTATAGCCCGGGCCACGGAATTTTAGCTGGCATTATAAACGTTAACACTGCTAATGGTGACCTATGGCAGGTAGTAGGTTCACCAGGTCTACTTCAAATATCACCCAGTTTGCAGGCTTTGGAGCTATATTGAAATAAAGAGTAGAGTCTGGAAGTAGTCCAACAAAAGAACTTGAAACATCTTGTAATATATGGAAGTCATTTGGCAAAGACATTGCTTTTAGAAATACACAATATGATATATACGAAGAGATATCTAATTGGTGCATATAAAAGTAGTTATGCACTTAATATAACACTCAGCGTCAGCAAAGCAGCTATACTAGACACTGCTGTTACATGTGAAACTGGCGGTGACAAAACCAGCCTTGGTGGCGTGATAAAGGAAACCGAAAATATGGTTATGAGCAATATGACTGGCAATTCTAGATACAATTTTCCTACTAATGGGTATCAAATAGACGAAATTAAATGACTGAAGATGTTTCTCAATGTCAGGGCCAAGTATGACAATCCTGAGAAGGCCTTTATCAAGCCAATAAAGTATATCATTGACAATAAACAGCCATACATACGGAGGTAGAATAGTAAGACATAAAATGTACTTGACAGCAATGGGTTAAAATTAAATACCTTGTGCAATTGATAACCCTTCATTAAAGTAACATTATAAAAATGTTGGCTATATTCATGCGGTTGAAATCATTAATTAGAGCTGCATACACATAATTAATCACATAAACCTACAAAAAAGACTTCTTTTTCTTCTACTTTAATTAGTATTTGTATTTGATGTTTTTATTAAAAATTATTAATGCATATTTTTACACACTGGCTTCACTTCCCTTGTCTTCTCCCTTTCTTTTATGTCCATCAAACTTTGTTTTGCGTGCATAGCGTGCATTGCCGGCTGTGGGTGACAGCTTGCGCCTACAGGACATCCTCATCTTGTTGAAAGAATAGAAATGTATGTCAATTTTACTATGTTTGATTTGATTCGATTATATTGAATTGAATTGTCAAAAATAATCATAGTTGATATTGACTGATTTATTAAATTAGAAAGAGGTGGGGGGAGGGAGGTCGGACAATTATCATATGCAGAAAACTTTCTTCTGGGTTCCACCCAATTCCAAAAGCCCATCGATCGGTCTCCTCAAAAGAAAAAAGTTGTACAAAAAAGAGATGGCGTCACAAAGTCCATTTTTCCTTTTCTTTATTTTATTTTACGATTAATTATTATATTCAATTTCCCCTCCTTCCTCTTACACATGCCTATATTTATGAATACAACTCCATATCAGCAGCAAGAGCAGTCGCTAGCACGCGCTGGCTGTAAACGCAGCCACAACAGCGATGATATTTTTTCCATATCATCACCTGGATCACCAACCGCGTGGAACAACAGCGCTCACCCTCTTGAGTCAACTCAGTCACCGCTACCGCCAAGGAAAAAAACAAAACATTTACATAATGAAATTTCACCGGGCATCCATCCGGAGGAAGACCCATTGTCATCGATGGGTCAAACAAATTTCAACAAAAAGCGGATGATGGAAGCAGATACATATGAAAAGGGGAGGAAGCGAATGAAAACTGACGCAGTGAATATGATGCCTGAAGGAGATTTGGTGGGGGCAGAGGTGGCGGACGATAGTGGGTTTGAAGAGGACAGTGTGCTGCCGAAGTACCGGGTGATTGATCTGCCTCTGTCTTTGCGCGCACACGCTTTTCTGCAGGGGTTGGCTGTTAGTGATAAGCAGCAGCCGCAAGATCAGCAGCAGCAGCGGCGGCATCAGCAGGGCCTTGGGCGGGAGCATGAGGTGAGCAATAGTAATAATAGCGACGGCGCGCTGATTCTGTACAACCCACAGCCCAACGGCTGGATTGGCGCTGCCAGAGAAGGAATGGAGAAGCCGCAGCCGCAATTGCAGCCGCAATTACAGTCGCAGGATTACTCCATGGACATCGACTGAGAGAGAAAATAGATTCATAGTCAGTCGCCTTTTGTTCAAATGAATCAATAAATGTATATAATGTTTTGTTTTGTTTTGAAAAAGAGAAAATTGAAAAAGGAAAGATATAACTGAAAAAAGAAACATTTGAAGTCTGAGAATTTTTTCTTTTTGTTTGCGGTTAACGGCGATCGTTGGAACCGATGGAGCGCTTTCCAGTAAACAGATGCTTGGGCTTCTTTGTCTGGATAGAGCGATCGGCCTCTCCGGCCTTCGCCATCAGGTTCATCTGGCGCATGGACATGGCCTTGCTCTTCTCAGTGGCGATCAACTGGCGCGCGTCCCTGAGACCCAAGGTCGACCGGTCGCGAATAGCGGACACGGCGCGGGCAGCAACGCTGGAGGACCTGGCCAGGACAGTCGCAGGATCGCGCGACTCCGAGCGGCCTCTCTTCCGACCAACACGCTGCGCAGTCTCCTCGGCAAGGCTCGGGTTGAGACCAAGCTTCTGCAGATGCTCGGCAAAGTCATCGGACGTCGACACAGCGGCCTTCTGCTTAGTGGTGAGTGTCGCGCGGTTGACATCGTTGAGGCGCGACTCCTGCGCGATAACCTGCTTGCGCGAGCGGATGCGGCGCGCGGTGCTGCGGATGCGCTTCTCCTCCTCGTCCTCAGAGTCCGACGGCGAGTCGTAGAGACCCTCAGCGGCAAGCTTCTCCTCCTCGCGCTCGAGCTCAGCCAGCTTCTCCTCGATTTCGGGGTCGATGAAATCAGCGACATTCTTGCCGTCGAGAATCTCGGGGATAATGTCGTATTTCCACTCGTCGGACGCCAGCATGTAGCGCTTCTTCAAGTCGACGTTGTAGACACCGGCGCCACCGCCCTCGAGTTCCATATCACGCTCCAGCTGCCGGTCCATCATATCCTCGTCCTCGTCCTCCTGCACCTTGCGGCGCTTAAGCACGGACTCGGGGATATGCGCCGGGCGCTGCACGGTGTCGCGACGGCCGGGCTGGGCGACGTTCAACTTGTTGAGCACGCTGGTAATCTTGTTTCCCTTGAGCTTCATCTCGACGCGCTGCTGCAGCAGCTTGTCGCAAGCCAGGTCGCGCGTCTCGGTGATGCCGGTCTCCTGGTAGGAGCTGAGCTGCGCGAGCTCGATGCCCTCCTCGCGGACAGACTCAACCAGCTGGCGCTCCTCAGGCTTGAGGTCGTCCAGAGTGCAGACATCAATCTTGGAGATGACCAGCACCGTCGGCTTGTTGGCAAACAGGGGCTTAATCGAGTTGAACAGGCTCATCTGGTCCTGGACCGAGTAGCCGCACTGCTCAGACAGATCGATGAAGAACAGCACGGCGGCGCGCAGATGCGCCAGCGCAGTGATCGACTGCATCTCAATGGTGTTGCGCTCCTCCAGAGGGTGGTCAAGGATACCGGGGGTATCGATAACCTGCCAGCGCAGGTACTTGTAGTCCATGTGGCCGACAAACAGCGACTTTGTCGTGAACGCATAGGGTTGGACGTCGACGTCGGCGCGCGTCACCTTGTTCATGAACGACGACTTGCCGACGTTGGGGTAGCCGCAGACGATTAGCGTGCGCGTGTTGGGGTCGATCGTTGGCAGACGCGCCAAATGCTGGCGCACCTGCTCAAGGTAGCTCAGCGAGTCCTTCTGCCTCTTCATGATGGTCGCCATACGACCCAGCGCCGCACGCTTCAGCTGCTTGCACCTGTACAGGGAGTCGCCAAACTTAAGCAGGCGCACGTAGTCCTTGCCGACGGAATCAATCAGATGCTTGGCGGTATTGATCTGTCCAAGCGCCAGCTTGTAATGGTCCTTGTCGTACAGCACGTTCATCAGGTCGGCGTAGAACGGGTGCACGTTGTCGAGCACGGGGAACTCGTCAAGGATCTGGCGCAGCTTCTCGTCGAAAGTCTCCTGTGTGAACTTGACCTTGCGCATGTAGAACTGCCTGATGCGCGTGATCTTGTATCCAGGGTGCACCACTGTCGGCGTCTTGCGCTGCGTCTTGGACAGGACAATATCCAGGAAGTCGCCAGCCTCAGGCACGGGCGCAATCTTCTTAAAGTTATATATCGAGGTCATTTTCTTCTACAGTAAACAAATAAATAGATGGGTTCTTTCTAAAAGAAAAATATAATATGAGGAAACAACAAGTGTGTAATATATAGAATCAACAAAAAGAAGACAAAAGGAGCGCAGAAGAAGGGGAAAAAGTGTAGAGAAAATTTGCTGTAAAGGCACTTTTATTTTTTAATTTTCTGTTGGTTGACTTGCACTCTGTATGCTGGGCTGGGCTATATGCCAAGCAGTATGTCAGTCAAGTAAAGCAAAAAAAAAAAGCGAGCTTAATTTTGGACAGTTGCTTTAAAATTTTTCTTGACAAAAAAATCACACACAGTCTGGGATCACATAATCACCCGATCAGTAATCACAGAAAAAAAACAGTTCACGTGTGTGGCTAATCTAGAAAAAAGCGGCTGGTGAGATGCAGCAGCAGCAGAAGCCAACAACAAAGGCGTCTGGTGACATGGATGGTGACAACAGTGACGATGACAAATTTGGGAGCCAATTTTGAATTTCCTATTTTGAATTTCCTATTTTCTCACTCATTCATTCAACTACAAACAGGGTTTCGCACACATACACAACTTTTTCTTCTAGATGAGCAGCTACTTGGTCGGCTTGAGTGCGGCCGTATTGGGAAACGTGGTCATTGGCACCGGGCAGTGCATGCAGAAGTACGGGCTGAATCGGCTGCAGCGCGAATGGGATACACGGCGGGCTTTTCAAATGGAGGGCAGCAGCAACAGCGCAGCAGCATACCCAGGAGCAGCCAACCCTGCCAGCAGTAACCACAGCTTGTCCTCGTCAATGTACTCGAGCGCCGTAGACATCCGGTCGCGCAGTAGCTCTACAGCAGCAGCATCGCAGCAGCCGCTTCTGCATCTTGGGGCGTCATCAAAGCGGGCAGTGGGGCCACGGCCGCGGTACACAAGCAAGGCATGGTGCCTTGGGCTCTTGATGAACTACGCCGGCGAGGTATTCGGCAATTCTCTTGCGCTGTCGTATCTCTCGGCATCGGTGGTTGCTCCGCTGGGGATCATCGCGGTGATCGTCAACTTGATCCTGGCGGAGCGGTTTTTGGGCGAGCGGATTACGGCGAATCAGCGCTTTGGGTTCATGGTGATCATGGGTGGCGTTGGCTGCATCCTGCTGGTGGCGCCGCGCAAGTCTGCAGCTGAGAATGCCATGCAGTTTGTCGACGCCGTGGCAAACTCTGGAGTGTTAGGATTGTTCGGCATTGTGTACATTGTGCAGGCGGCGCTGATTACAGCGATCCGCAAGGGCCATCAGTCGCTGTTCGCGTATGTGCTCGTGGCATCGCTGTTCGGGACGCTGAATGTTATGGCGTCGAAGATGCTGACGATGTTCGTGCGGCTACGGCTGGCATTTGGTGGCATTGCAAACCCGGCCGACATTGCGTTCTATGGCGCCACAGGGGCGGCGGAGGCAAAGCCGCTGGTGTTTGCGTTTACGGGCCCGCAGATCCTGGCGGCTGCCTGCTTAGCGTTGTCAATTGTTGGGCAGGAGTCGTTCCGGCAGCAGGCGCTGGGCAGGTACCCGGTGATGGAGTTTCAGCCAGTGTTTTTTGCTACTTTCAATGTGGTGGCGACGCTGGCTGGGTTGCTGCTGTTCCGCGAGCTGGACGGGTGGGCGCACGCTGCGGTGTTCTTCTCGGTGTTCTTCGCTGGCATTGCGCTGATCGTTTATGGCTCTCGGTTCCTGCAGCGTGCGCGCTCGGTCGAGCTGCCGTCGCACATCCGACTTCAAAAGGACAACCTCCTAGGCCACACAAAGATGATGTAGCATGGATTTATTTGAAAACGCTTTACTACCACAATTGCATTAATATATAGATATACATATCTCTCTACGCCTGCCTTAGTTTTATTTTACATTGCCGTGTCTACCTCCATCAGCATGGCGGACTCGCTCAGCGACTCGCGCACTGCCACTAGCGCGTGCGACGCAGCGTCAAGGCGGCGAAACATGTTGTCCTGGACGGACTCACGCAGTGCGCGCCACTGCATCAAGTCAGCCCTCGTCTGCTCAGAGGCCGTCAGCAGCTCGTAGTCGCAGTCCTCACGGCAGTACAGGTCCAGACTGGCCATGGCGCTGGCCAGCGTAATGCCCTGCTCAGCGCACCCCAGCGCCTCGACATCAGCGGCCACAGCCGGCGGCAGCGCCCACAGCGGTGCAGCACCCTCGGTAGGCGCAGCAAAGGCCACTGTGCCGTGGGCCAAGAAGCTGCGCGCCGCCGCCTGCATCTCGGCAATGAGCTCTGTGGGCAACAGCGGCTGCGGCTCAAACGGCTTGCACGATTCGGCCTTCCACCGGAACCAGCACGACTCATGGAACAAGATGAACTGAGCCGTGCGGCTGAACAGTCCGCGGTCGTTGGCGGCGCCGACGAGCTGGCCGGTAGCGCGCTTACGCAGATCGCGCAGCGCCGCCTGCTCCTCGTCGGTCAATGCAAAGCCGCCGGTCAGCGCTTTGTTCGTGGCCGACTCGCGCAGCACGCGCAGCCGGTCGCCGAAAGCGCCAGCACGTGGCGCACAAGAATCAGCAGCTGCAGGAGCACCTGGCACTTGACCTGCGCATCGCCCATCTGCATGCGCAGCAGCGACGGCGACGTCAGATGGCGCAGCGTCTCATTTCCCGTTGGGTCGAGTGTTATGGGCGGCGCACGCGAGCTGATCGTGCGCCGGAACTCGTCGACGGTGACCGTGGCAGCGCGAATGAACGCGGCCGCGGCGTCGCCAGTCTTGAGCATCTGCGGGTCGGCAAAGTAGCGCTGCAGCAGCCAAAAGTCGCTGTACAATGCGTCGCCGCTCACCGACTCCGAGGCGCGCGCCACGTGGCGTGTGTCCGTGTCGCCGCGCAGGTTGACGCCTGAGCGCTCCGAGAGCGCAAAGCTGTTGGCCACGAAGACCTGCACGCGGCCGGCAAACTCGCTCATGTCGGCCTGCGGGATGCGGCGCAGCAACCCGTTGCACATCTTGAGCATCACTATGCCCTTGCCGCCAGTCGCCACCACGCCGCGCCGCAGCAGCGACGCGCGCCGCTCGATGTGCCCGAAAACCGCCTGCGCAATGCCACGCCAACCGTGTCCATCGTCTCCTCGAGCAGCGTGAATGCCAGGCTGCTGTCGACCACCTCGGTTTTGCTGAGCAGCAACTCCTTGTCGCTGAGCACCGCGGCAATGTCAAGCAGCGATAGCAGCGGGACGAGCGCCTCTTCGGAGTCAATGTGCTGTGTTGCGTCGACCACGCACGTGTGTAGCACGTACTCGAGGTCGCGCTTCTGGCCGGATGTATCGTCGGCACTCTCCAGTGCCAAGCGCAGCGCCGATGTTATTTGGATGATTTCCTCGACGGCGGAGGCATCGTCTTTGTATATAATCTGCGCGTCGATGACTGCGGCAACCGCCTTTTCTACGAGCTCCCGCAGGCTGGGCTTGTCGTCCATGGTATAAAAGCGATAAAGTGTGTTTGCAGCTGTGTGGATGTGAATGAGTGAATGGAGTTGCAAACTAGAAGGTATTGTTTTTTCGCGTTTCGGCGATTTGAATACATATTGCACAGTCGCAGCCTTTTTCGGTGAATGGGCCTGCGCACGTGCATATAATATTGATTTATTGATTTATCGATTAACTTTATACGTAATTTAGGCTGTGAGCGCGGGTCAGAAGACTGGTGGGCTAAATATAGCAAAGTCAACTCTGTTCCATGCATTTTGCCACCATTGATTTTGACTGAGCATTTGCGTGCTCCCCCATTTTTAAGGCTTGAGAAGTCAGCACTGTGCCTGAAGAATTCTGGAACCCAAAAGGGAAAAAAAGAATGGGAAAGCAGGATCTAGCACGATGGGATCTGCACTCTCAGTCAAATTAAGCTTGATGGGCTGCTTGTGGACTATATTCACTCAGTCGCTCACATCGCATCGCATCGCATCGCATGGAAAAAACACATGCAATCCAAGTCCTAATTGAACGCAAAAAAAGTGGAAAATATAAATGAATACGAACTAAAAAAGGGGGGTTGACGAGATGCGATGTTTTTTCCGACAGTGAAATGTTGCCTGATGCGCTTGGAGCATGCGACGCTCTGTCCCTTTTTTGCATGGCGTGGATTTCAATTCGATTTGGCATTTCGAACCACTTTGAACTCGGAAAATTCAAGCAGTAGATACAAAGTGAGCAACCAAGAACTAAAATAAAATAAACCTGCACACACACAATAGCTTTTATTGTCAAGAAAAAAAGACTCGCTTGTGATCATCCCTTTCGCTGTGCATTTCTTTCACTTTCTTTTTTTTGGGCTATATTGGATTAGAATGACTTTCTTGCCCTTTTCCCTTTTCGCTTTTCTCTTTCGTTGCCTGTTATTTTTTCTTGCCATTTTCCGGCTCCGCTACGCTCTTTTTCTTTTTCTCTTCTTTTCCTTTTTATATTTATATCCTTTTTATTTACATATACTTCATATTGTTGCATACGACCACCATAACCAAAACCACCATTATCATCACTTGTTTTATTTTTATTATTACATAATTTACCCAATTCACACATATTTTTCTGGAAGAAAAACACGCAGATACGCGCGTCTTGACACAAACATGGCGCTAAATCCCAGAGATGGATCCTCGGATGCCAACCAGTCAGTGCTCCAAAACATTCTTGCGGGTATTTTCACCGATAACAGCCAGACCAGTCAGCAATACCTGTCGATTGTTGGCCTGCTGTACCAGGCCGGCTTCAATATTGGAGCGAGCGCGGGCGCTTTGCTTCTTTTTATCTTTCTGCGGCCGAATAACCAGCGTGTATACGCGAGGCGCTACAAAGCGCTGATTAACGACAGGTACGTTGTATGAATGTGAATATGTTTTTTTTGCAAATATGCAAGACTGGCTAGATGGACGGACGGACCATCACGACGAAAATTAAGCTTTGATGGTCTATTTTATTTTATTTGATGTCCACACTTGCAGTGCCAATCAGAACCAGAACCAGAACCAGAGCTAAAACCAAAAATAATAATAAATAAATCAATATTGTATTTTTTATTCCCTGTTTACTTTATGTTTTTTAATGTAGACGCAAGCCGCCGAAAATCAGTCGTGGACTATTTGCGTGGGTGCCTATTTTATGGCGTGCCGACGAGCAGTACCTGCTGGAAACAGTCGACATGGACTCTGTTCTCTTCTTGCGCTTTCTCAAGCTTGGAATGTGGATGATGGGCATCTTTGGCGTCCTGGGCATGTGCATAATAGTTCCAGTCAACTATTCGAGCGGCGACAACGCGAACGTCACCGGAAACTTGAAGCAGTTTGCGCTCCTATGGATCACACTGTACCACATCACCACACTGGGCGTCCTCTCGCTGCACGTTGTGGCGGCTTATATCTTCACAGCCATTTTCTTTTATTTTATTTGGCGCGAGTACAAGCACTACATTCGTATCAAGCAGGACTATTATGCGTCGCCACAGTACCTGCGCAAGCTCCAGTCGCGCACAGTTATGGTGTCCTGTGTCCCGCCCCAGATGCAAACCGACAGGGCGCTGCACGCTTTTGCTTCCAGCCAGTGTACGGCTGTGAAGCCCACGCAGGCATCAATTGCGAGAAAAATTGGCAGGCTACAGGAGCTGGTCGACAAACACGAGCAGTCCGTGCGCAAGCTCGAGAAGGTCCTGGCAAAATACCTTGCCGGTGATTACCAAAAAAGCCGCGACCCAAGATTAAGGTATCCGGTGCCATGGTCGATGCCATCGAGCACTACACTTTGGAGATCGAGTCGCTCGAATCAACCATCAACCAGACGCGCCGCGAGATGGAAACGTTCAACCCTACTAGTATCGGATTTGTGTCTTATCCAACGCCGCAGATGGCCCATGAGGCGATGAAGTTGCTGAAGTCGCTGAAGAAAGTGTCGCCGACTACGACGCAGCTGGCCCCGCACCCAAAAGACATTATCTGGAGCAACGCACAGATGCCAAAGGGCAAGCGGATCGGCCGTCTGTGGAGCGCTCGGCTTATCTCAGTTTTATTTTGTTTATCGCGTTCTGGCCGGTCGCCGCACTGACGTTCATTGGAGATGCAATCAATATCCAGGTCATCTGGCCCAAGACGCAGGGGTTTTCACTAGGCACAATACGATGACGACAATCTGGCAGTCATCGTTTTCGCCGTTGATCCTGACGCTCTACTACATATTAATCCCGCACGTCTTCCGTGCCATCAGCCGGTACCAGGGCATTTCGACGCACACAGGCGTTGAGCGGGCAGTGCTGAAGAAAATGTACGTATTCTATTTCTTGTCCAATATCTTCGTGTTCACCCTTGTCGGTGTGATTGTGCGTGGGGTTCTGGAGAAGTCGTTGAGCGGGGAGGTCATAGCATCGCTGGCGCACAATTTTGTGCAGTCGCTCAACATGAAAGCGCAGTTCTGGACCTCCTACGTGTCACTCAAGGGTTGAGCGCCATGCTTGAGTTTGCGCAGCTCATTGGGTTGATCAGAATCTTCTTCATGCGGTATACCAGGGATCTGACGCCACGCGAGCTGCGCGATCTGACAAAGCCGCCTGAGTTCGACTACTCGCCGGTGTATTCCCTGTACCTGTGGGTGTTTACCATCGGCATGTTTTACTCGCTGTACTCGCCCATCGTGCTGCCCTTTGCCTTCCTCGACTTTGTCCTGGCCTATTGGGTTTACAAGTACGCTGTCATGTACGTGTACCAGACGCGGCATGACACTGCCGGAATTATGTGGCGCAACGTCATTGACCGGATGATCGTGTCTATGGTTATCTTCCAGACTACATGATCTGCTGCCTCAAGGCACGCATGGACGAGTTTACTGACAGACTTGATGAGGTCCGCAACATGCAGCCGATCATTACATATTTATCCCGCTGCCCGTCATCACCTGTATCATTGGCTTTATGATGCACCGTTGGATTAGTCGCAAGACCAACTATATGATGGAGACCGCAGAAACGGGCAGTAAGCTCGACATAGACAATATGATTGACGAGGACGCCAACGTCGACGAGACGCTGGGCGACAGGTTCCTGCACCCGACGTTCTCGCAGCCACTGAACACGCCGATGGTCGATAAGCGCATTCGCCACCTGCTGCCCAAGATCTACCGAGGCAGAGTATCAGTGCAGGCGGTCAGCGCGACGATCCGCCGGGCACTCAAGGCAGCGGGACCGGCGGGAGACGGTGAGGTCAAATTTGCTGGCAGCTTTGGCAATGCGTCGACATTGTTTGGCTCGGATATGCCCGATACGGACACCGTGATGGACGAGCGCGACCAGCGCGATTTCGATGGCGCCACGACACCCATGCCGTTCATGAACCCAGGCTCCGCATCCACTGCGGTCAGCGGCGGGTATGGCAAAGGCTTGGTGCGCAGTTTCTCGGTCGAAAGCAACGTCACTGGGCATGACCCTATTGAGATGGTGCGGCTTGGGTATGGGAAGAAACACGGTGCCAGTGTGGAGAGTAGCCAGGCGGACCTGCTTGGTAATGCGCAAATGTCTTCGTGGTCGTCGGATATATCGGATGCCGAGGTAACGAGTTTGCAATGCACCCATGTCCAACCCGTCGATTGACCGGTACGGAAACACCTCGATGGGCTGGATTAACCATGGCGGCCAGGACTTTAACCGCGTGGATCAGTATGATAACAGCGGCAGCAGGAATGAGAGCAACGGCGAAATGTACCCTATGCTGTATATGCAGGGTAGTGTCGCTAGTTTCACGAGTAACACTGGCCCCGTTGGTCCTCGTCCGCCATCAGCACAGCGGCCGACGATTCGCCAGCCACAAGGATACAGGACTTTGCCGAATGTGTTGGTCAACAATGGCTCGGCCGAGCCGATTCAGCAGCACCAGCAGCAGCAACAGAATCCTGGTCGGTACGGGCAGCCTGTGTCGCAGGGTAGAGCAGCTGGCGTGGTCATTAACTATAATAATAACAATGGCAGCGGCGGCGGCGGCGGCGGCGCTGCTGGTGGAATTCCTGCTGCGTCTTCGTCACAGGTGCTGAGCGCGCCAAGGACTAACCATGGCCAGCAGAGCTTTATTCCTCAAGACGAGGAGTGGATCCCGATGAATTACAGCATGCAGCAGCTGGATCAGAACCAGAACCAGAACCCGAGCCAGGATTATCAACAAAACCAAAACCATCAGAACCAGCAGCAGCGCAATGTTCCTCGCTGGGAATAAAAAACACAGTCTAATTTTCTTATTCCTATCTTTTTTATTATTCCTTCACTAAATATCCATTCATTTTTTCAAGCATCAAAGCGGCAAAGCAACATGAATAAAAAATGAAAGCACAAGTGACGTGCCGAGATAAAATAAAAAAGTTTAAGTTTAGAATTTTATCCCCCCGCATCTTTTCTTGGTTATTCATCTTTTTTTGAACCTTTTTTGTTTCTATTATTGCATTTCTATTATTTTTCCCTGCTCCATTAAAACTCTCGATTTGCCACCCCCACTTCCGGACCTACTTTTGAGATGAGCAAACGTCGGTCGGCAGCCTCGCGAAATGGCGAGACAATTCCAATGCAGCGACTCGACAACAGCAGGACCTCCATCGACAGGTCGCACAGCAGCCTGTCGTCAATTGACACGCCGCTCATGGCGTCAGCATACGATTTGGACGAGCCTGAAATACACCGGGTCAATTTCGAAGATACAGCACCGTTAAACGGCAACAGCAACAGTAGCAAAAAGGGAAGACAAGGAGCAGGGAGCGCGCGCACAGAGCCGCTAAACCCACTGGACAACTCATTCAAAAAGCAGCGGTATCCGGGCAATGTCGTGAGCAACAACAAGTACAACTTCTTCACGTTTCTGCCCTTGGTCTTGTTTGAGCAGTTCAAGTTTTTCTTCAATATGTACTTTTTGCTCGTTGCTCTGTCGCAGTTTGTGCCACAGCTGCGGATCGGGTACCTGTTCACATACGTTGGCCCACTGGTGTTTGTGCTAGCAGTGACCATGGCCAAGGAGTGGCACGACGACCATGCACGCAAGAAGAGGGACAACGAGGCTAACTCACAGCGATACATGCGGCTGACGCCAGATGGGCCACAGGTCATCCCCAGCAAGAAGATCCGCGTGGGCGACCTAATCATCATCGAGAAGAACCAGCGCGTGCCGGCCGACATGGTGCTGCTGCGGACGACCGAGTCGTCAGGCGCCTGCTTTGTGCGCACCGACCAGCTTGACGGTGAGACCGACTGGAAGCTGCGCGTTGCCGTCAACGCGACGCAGAAGCTTGCCGACAACCATGATCTGTTTGCGCTGCACGGCTCCGTGTTTGCCGACGCGCCGCACAAGGACATTTATGACTTTGTTGGTACGCTGACTATCAGCGCCGGGTCCGATGACACAGCAAATTTGCCGATGACGGTGCCGCTGGGCGTCGAGAACACCATGTGGTCGAACACTACGCTGGCGTCGGGATCGGCCGTCGGGTATGTTGTCTACACCGGCAAAGACACGCGCGCGGCGATGAACACGGGCCACGCAAAGACCAAGGTTGGAATCCTGGACACTGAGGTCAACCGGCTGTCCAAGATCCTGTTTGTCGTCACGCTGGTGCTGTCACTGGCTATGGTCGCGCTCGACGGCTTCAAGGCCGTCTGGTACGTGACGCTGTTCCGCTTCCTAATTTTGTTCTCGTCGATCATCCCCATCAGTCTGCGCGTCAACCTCGACATGGGCAAGTCGTTCTACTCGATGGGCATCGAGCGCGACAATAGTATCCCTGGCTCGGTCGTGCGCAACAGCATGATCCCTGAGGAGCTCGGCCGCATTGAGTACTGCCTGACCGACAAGACCGGCACGCTGACCTGCAACGATATGGAGATGAAGCGCATTCACATGGGTGTCATGGCCTACACGCTTGAGACCTCCGATGAGGTGACCCGTCAGGTGCGCGCCAACCTACGTGACCGCGGCATCACCGGCGCCAATGCTGATTCTGTGACCGCCGGCAGCTCAACCATCGGCGCCGATGCGGATCCGGGAGGCAGCAGCAGCAAGCACTCGGCGCTGCTGGCCAGGGGCCACGGCAAGGCGCGGCGCGACATGCCGCAGCGCGTGTTCGACATGGTCGAGAGCCTTGCGCTGTGCCACAACGTCACGCCAGCCGAGGAGGACGCGCCAGAGTCGCATACGCACGATGGCCGCGTGGGCCTCGGTGTTGCCCGGCCAATGGCATACCAGGCATCGTCGCCCGACGAGGTCGCCATTGTCAAGTGGACTGAGCACGTTGGCGTTGTGCTGGCCGAGCGCACACTGAGCACCATCACGCTGCGGCTGGACGCGTTGATCCCAGAGTCGCAGGCCGGCATGGGAACGGCGCCAACGCTGACGTACGACGTTTTGCAGGTGTTCCCGTTCACCAGTGAGTCCAAGCGCATGGGCATCGTTGTGCGCAGCCGGCTGTCTGGCGAGATCCATTTTGTGCAGAAGGGTGCTGACGCCGTTATGACGCGAATTGTGCAGTACAACGACTGGCTGGACGAGGAGTGCGGCAACATGGCGCGCGATGGCCTGCGCACGCTGGTGGTTGGCCGCAAGCGGCTATCTGCTGACGCCTACGCCCGCTTTGAGACTGCGTACCAGCACGCCAAGGTCAGCATCGTCGGCCGCGCTGAAGCCATGCAGCAGATCGTCGCTGACTACCTTGAGAGCGACCTGGAGCTGCTCGGCCTGACCGGTGTCGAGGACCGGCTGCAGGACAATGTGCGTGCGACGCTCGAGCTGCTGGGCAATGCCGGTATCAAGGTGTGGATGCTGACCGGCGACAAGGTTGAGACTGCCACGTGCGTCGCTGTCTCGGCCAAGCTGGTGCGCCGTGACCAGCTAATTCACGTCATCGCCGGGCTCAAGGCTGCGCATGAGGTGTCTGACGCGTTGGAGACGCTGCGCACGCTAGGCGACTGCTGCCTGATCATCGACGGCGACTCGCTTCACTTGACGCTGGACTTTTACCGCGACGAGTTTGTGCAGCTGGCCGCAGGGCTGTCGGCTGTCGTGTGCTGCCGCTGCTCGCCGACGCAAAAGGCAGACGTTGTGCGGCTGATCCAGCGCTACACTGGCAAGCGTGTGCTGGCCGTGGGCGACGGCGGCAACGATGTGAGCATGATCCAGGCTGCAGATGTCGGCGTCGGGCTGGTCGGCAAGGAGGGCAAGCAGGCGTCACTGGCCGCAGACTTTTCAGTCAATCAGTTCTCATACCTGGGCCGTTTGCTGCTGTGGCACGGCCGCAACAGCTACAAGCGATCTGCCAAGCTGGCGCAGTTTGTCATCCACCGCGGCCTGATCATTTCCATTATGCAAGTGGTGTTCTCAGCGCTGTTCTACTTTGCGCCTATCGCATTGTTCCAGGGCTTGCTCCTGGTCGGCTACACGACCGTGTATACGATGGCGCCTGTCTTTTCGCTGGTGCTTGACCGCGACGTCACCGAGGACATTGCCATGCTGTATCCCGAGCTTTACGCTGACTTGACCAAGGGCCGATCGTTGTCGTACAAGACGTTCTTCACGTGGCTGCTTATCAGCATCTACCAGGGCGGCGCACTGATGATGATTGCCGTGTGGCTGTTTGACACCGAGTTTATCCACGTCGTATCCATTGCCTTTACAGGACTGGTGCTCAATGAGCTGCTGATGGTTGCCCTGGAGATCCGCACGTGGCACCGTTGGATGATCTGGTCTATTCTCGGATCCCTGGCCATCTACATTGCCTCGATATGGGTGCTGCCCGCGTACTTTGACGTGTCGTTCATCATGTCCAGGGCCTTTGTATGGAAGACCATTGTCATCACGGCCGTGTCCTCTGTCCCACTGTATATCATCAAGCTTCTACGCCGCATCTATGCACCTCCGTCGTATGCCAAGCTGGCTTAACAACAAAAAAATGACTATTGTAGCGAAGTAGTCAACAAAAAAGCATTTATTCTTTCGATTTCAATTTCAATTCATTTCTATGTTTTATCAGGTACGGCGGCAGGTTGTCGAGATCCCAACCGGCTCTTCGGAGGATATCCAGAATGAGCCCGGTTTTTCCAAGTTGTAGTGGTACTGGCCATTGATCCTTTCAAACCACTTCTTCGCTAGGCTGCGCTTTAGTTCGACATACTCGTTGCGTGCATCCTCGTTGTTTCGCAAATAATCCAAAAACATTTTCTTCCGCAGATGCTCGTCGCTGCCCACCTGTACCATGTGAGCGTGGTACCCGAGTTTTCTAAAATACTCGCGCCCCTCGATTCCGCACTGGCCCTTGTGCACGTAGTTGATGTGGTCCATACCCTGGATGCACTGGTTAAGCTGGCTAAAGTCATTGACCAGAATTTCAATGTCAATGATGGGCTTGGCTGCCATACCTGGGATGCTGGTGGACCCGATGTGGCCGATGCTCACGACCAAGGAGCCGATGGCTTTGTGAATGTTTTGCTGCTCGAGTTTGAAGTTTGTCGCCCATATCGGGTTATAGTCGCATACGACCAGCGGCTCTATATATTTCCTTTGTCGCGTGCGCAGAAAGTGCAATGCCATCTTATTCGTATTCAACAAGGTGAGGTGATAAAAGTAGACCAGGTCAATTTTTTTAGGACATTGCACAGGAAATAAAAAACAAACATTGATTGGACCTTATGATAAATTATCAATAACCGCGTATATTTCTTGCTTATTGGAAGTCTTGGCTAAATGTCACATGTGGATATACTCTATTCAATTTTTTCTCTCATATAGATGCTTTCGAGTCATTCCTATACTTTGTTTATTTCATTGCAAATGGTATTTATATTGGGAGTCTAGAGCCAAAAAATAGAAAATGAAAAATGAATCTGTAAAATAAAGTATACCCCTACCATTCAGTTTTGGTTCGGGTTAATATCAAGCGGGTTAAACGAGTTGGCGCAGGTGATATCTCCGACCTCTCCCTTATTATTCAGCACATCAAGCGTATCGGCCCAGTCGAATTGACCATTTTTAATAATGTACTTGAATGAGTTGATATTGGCCTTTCCGTGGGTGTCATACTTGGCTCTGACACCAAGGAACAGCTTGAGCCACTCAATTTCATCGATGGAATATCCATTAATACTGAGGTTGCTTTCAGAGTCGCCTGTCTTGTCGCTGGTCACCTTCTTGTTAGTCTCTTTGATGATGCCGCCCAGACTGGTCTTGCCGCTTCCCGCGCCACGAGAAACAGCCGTATCGTAAAATACTGCCTGGCTAACACTGTATTTGAGACCGAGTTTGTCGGCGGAATTTTGAGACGGAGTGAAATACAGACTATCGTAGACTGTGCCCTGCGCGGAAATGAACTTTGCATCCAAAGTAAGGGCCGTCCAAACATCGCAGAAGTTTTCGAGTCCAACGATGGAACCACTTCCAGACTCTGCTCTTTCGGCCAATACCTTGTCATACTTGGAAAACGCGTCCTCGTCATTGGTCAACTTGTGGTAGGCTTGAATAACATCCCAAGTGTCGCCAGAGGCAGTGTTGAAGTTTGCTATTCCAGATGAGTAGCCACTGCCGTTGCTGTCCGCCTCACAATTGCCATAAGGTGACTTGATATCGCCAAACTGGAAGACGTTGGTCAGTTGGAAGGCTAGGTTCTTGGGACAGTCTGAAAGGCCTGCTTTAACAGAGTTTGATAAAAAATAGTAGCAATGGCCAGGACTGGAAGACGAATAAAGTTGGAAAGCATTTTTTAAAATACAGGCTTAGATTTTGATAAATGTTGCAAAATATATTGGAATAAACTAAGGTATAATATGATAGATGAAGATATTTGGGGAGTTCTGAGACGCCTTCATCCCTATCTATTTATAAAACTTGGTATTCAGCTATTTTTTGTTGCTCAGAACGGTCACTTTATTTTTCAAACTGTTTATAATCATTTTCTTGTAATTGTCACGTTTTATTCCTTTTAAACAATTTTTTCAAAAAATTGTTTACTGGACAATACAAATAAATCAATAATACAAAAAGCAAAATAGCTCTGTAATAAAGATAATTGCATTGGACGTGTGTCGTATGTTTCCTTTAAACATTGTAAAAGGAAAAGCCATTCTACATTTGATTCAAAAATAAAAAGAAAAAGAAAAAGAAAAGAAAAGAAAAAATGAATAGCGGGAGTAGCTCCTTTTTTTGGCAGGTCAAAAGTGTCATGTGAGAGAGGGGGTATGTGAGCACTACTCCAGTAGTGTTAAAACTAGGGTATGGCTTTATAAAAGGGTTTTAATACCAATGTTTCTAAATTACTACCAGCGCCGGCCTTGTCTTATGTATGCATCTCGTCGCCTTTGTTGTGCACATTGCCAACTGTGCACTCTGTTGGCGAGAACTGGTTATTCTGCGAGCAGACTGGTATCTTGGGAAGTTAATGATGTGGTTTTCGCATAAGTGCACTCATGCGTGTGCATTGCAAAATGGGGAGCATGTCTGGGCATGATTATAATGCCTCCCTAATTTATGCCTGCATGATCCAATCAATGCCCTGTCAATCGGCATGCAGATGAAAACTTGTTTCGCGATTCACAACCTCAACATCCACTTCCATATCCTCGAGTTGCACAACACAAGTAAAATGCTATCAAATTAAAGATAAAATGAATATATTAGAAAATTAAGGTATTTTTACCTTCATGGCGGGAAAACCCCAATATATATCAAAAGCAACCTGTAATAAGTGCCCGGCATCTCCTGTACCGCACACATGTACACAAGTAGCAAAACAAAAGACAGCGGCAAGACAAGTGCTATTTTGATGCACCCCGAAATTGCATCAATTTCTACTATCATCAGGATCTGGGAAAAACAGGTTTAATCATAAACATCACACAACTTTGCAATTGATGTAGCTGGATCAAAGCATCAGGTGAGGTCCTGCATCTGCCTGATGCATCTGTGCGTGCCTACGTGTCTCAGCCTGGGTTGCTGGTAAAATGAGTTAAACTAATGAATGCTGCCTTGTTTACTACCGATTTAAAGGTTATTGGAATTTATTTCAAACTTAGAAGTTAAAAGTTAAAGTTCTGTTTTCCTTAGATGCCGAGGACTAGCTTTTAATTTATACCAGCTGAAAGCATTGTACGTAGTCGGGTTTGTCTAGTCAGAGACAACCATGGCAACAACCATATATAATATGTTTATTGTCATAAATGATTAAACTTGCTGCATAACACAGTGACCAATCCTGCTGCGTAACAGCTGGCCTATAGGTCACCGCCCCTCTGTGGGGTTCTCAACAATGTATTTTTTTTTTAGCTATTTATCAAAATTGTGTAGGCCAACTCCAAAACGGCATATGGTTGGCGTTGCAGTGAATGGCGCTACCGGTTATTTATTAATATGATGATCAAAGCTACAACTGAGTACCCTTCACAGTTCTAGTGTTTTAGGTATACCAGCTTGATATTTAGACTATTTCATGTGAGCGCAGTCATGTTTCAAGTTGTGTATGCCAACATAAAAAAGAGACATTTAATAAAAACAAGGTGGTTACCTGTTTGACAAGTATGTCATGTAGTTATTCTTTGGATTGCGAATTTTAAAATTTTGTTATATGAAATTGATAATAAATGAAAAACAAAAAAAAGAATAATTTTATTTATAAAATTTAATCCTTCTTCGACTCCTTCTTGGCCTTCTTAGCCTTCTTAGCCTCCTTCTCGGCCTTCTTAGCCTCCTTCTCAGCCTTCTTTACCTTTTATCGTCCTTCTCAGTCTTCTTCTCCTTCTTCTCGCTATCCGACTCCATCTCAACATCCGAATCCTCCGCAGCCTTACGCTTAATAGGCTGAGCAACATCAACTGGAGCAGCCGTAGGCATAGTAGGGGGAGCATCCGAACCACCAGCAAAGTCCACATACGATTTGGACCAATCCGCCGGAGTAGCCTCATTCTTACGACCAAACTTATCCAGCTTTCCATCCTTGATCATCTTCTTTTTCTGCTGGGCCATTGGCCCAAGTCCCCACTTACGCGGGTAGGTGTCGCGCTCCATAATGACACGCTTAATCTTGGCAACCACACCGTGGTCGCAAGTGGCCATGACAGCGGTGGTCATCTGGGCAATGGCAATAGCGATGGCTTCGCCCTTGGTGGTCATCAGGACAACCTCATCGTTGATCTCGATGTCGTCCTCGAAACGCAAGAGTCCGGGGATCATCAGACGGGCACCGTAGCAAATGGCGTTGACGGATGAGTCCTTGACAACCACGCGCTTGAACCCAGTCAGCAGCCATTCGAGAGGACGCACGACGCGACGCAGGTAGTCCTCGTTCTTGGTGTTATCATACACCCACTGAGCATCCAGCACATCGTGCATAGTCACGAGGTTATCAGACTCAGTCAGAGCACCAGACCGCACACGGCGGAGCTCCTGCATATGGCCGCCGACGCCAAGAAGAAGACCCAGGTGGACACACAGGGTACGGATATAAGTTCCGGCCTCGCAGCTCACCCAGAAGACACCCAAGTGACGATCATTGTCAAACTCGACCAGCTTGGACTCATAAATAGTGCGCACACGCAGCTGGCGCTTAACAGCGGAAATCAAAGGCGGGCGCTGGAAGAGAGCTCCGGTGAGAGTCTCGACAGCCTTGGCCAGAGCCATCTCATTATCGAGGGCGTCGTGGAGCCGCAGTACACAGACGTACTCCTTACCGGCGCTCTGCTGCGACTTAACCAGGCGCGTGGCGCGGTCAACGCAGACAATCAGACAGCCGGTGACCTTGGGATCAAGCGTGCCGGAGTGTCCGGTTTTCTCCACACGCAGGATACGCCGGATCCAGGCGACAACCTCGTGCGAGGACGGGTTGGCGGGCTTGTCCAGGTTGATGACTCCGTAGCGGACGTAGTCCTGGAGGTTACGCTTGAGCGGTGTGCTGCCAACCGGGATGGGCGTGTAGTGTCCGGTGCGCACGTGCAGCTTGTCGTAGTTTTTCAGCAGGTACGGCCACTTGGAGGTGTCGATCGGGGCAACCTTGGCCTCGGGCTTGATGCTGTAGTCGTCGCTCATTTTTTATGGAGAAAGATAAATATAAAAAATAAAAAGTGTAGAGATTTAAATATTAAACAACAAATAAAAATAGAGAAGCTGAAAGGAAAAAATAAAAAAAGTAAAAAAAAAACTTTTACTCATAAATTTCCAGGCTTTGGTGCAAGACAAAGCCAGAACTGACAGACAAGACAAGACGAACAAGCAAGCAAGACTCAAAGAAGAAGCAATTTTTTCTTTGCCAATTTTTTTTTAAATAAGACAAGGATCAAAATCATCAAAATCATCAAATTAACTGGGTGATCGAATCACATGATTAAATTTGGACCAGCGATTGCAGGCGATCGCGATTAAAATAGCATAGCAGCAGGGACCGTTGGTTGTCCAGGGACTGCTGGTCGTCCAGCGACCGATCATCGTCTAGCAATTTTTCGTCATCCAGCATGCAGCGGCAGCACTGGCAGCACTGGCAGCATCAGCATTGATGGAGTCAGTCTCGATAGAATTGTCAATGTTATCGTCATTGCCATCGCCACTGCCATCGTCATTGCCATCGTCTGCAGGCCATGTAGCAATAACATCCGTGGCGTCATACGCGGAACTACTGTTGGCAGCAGCAGCATTCGCTATACTCCCTGCCTCTTTAGTGTGAATCAGCTCAGTGGCATGGAATGGTTCAGCAGCAAGAGTTGGCTGAGCAGAATCCGAATCCAAATCCAAATCAGCATTATCAGGATCACCTTCGGCCAAGACATTCAGATCCACACAGGATGAAATCAATTTGCGCTGGTGCTCAGCAACTGACACAACTGGCAGGATCAGCGGCGGCACCTCCAACCCCAGATCACCAGTCGAGTCAAAAGCATCCATCAGGGCGACCAAAAGTAACTCTCGGTATCGCATCTCATCGACAGCACAGTCATCCCAGGAATCATCCCAGTGCATCCCAGGGACACAGGCCATGGCATCGCATAATGCAGCAGCCACAGAAACAAACGGCTGGTAATGGTGACTGCGGTCGGCAGATGCCAACCCTGAAAGGTCAAAAATACGGCGCATGGCAAAGTCTGCCGGCAGATCCTCAGCACTGGTCTGGCGCACATGCCCGAGTGCCGCGCGGGAAGCGTCCCAATGCATGTACAGCTCAGGCGTCGAGAACGCAGTTGAATCATTTTCTGCTGTCTGCAGTATGCACCACAGGGTACGCGCAGTGTCGATAAGCTGCGAGGGTATCAGTGGCAAGGAAAAAGAGGCATACGCCTGGTTGGCTGGGTACAGTGATAGCGAGTGCGCCAGGATGAGGCATGTCAAAGCATTGCCACTGCTGCTGCTGCTGCTGCTGCTTATTGGACTCGGCCAACCAGCGGCGGAGATGCGCCAGCAAGTGGCCGGCCACAGCGCGTAGCTCATCGGACACTGGCGCAGCATCAGCATTAGAAGCGGAATGCGCAGGTGCAGCGAGCAACTCAAGCGTCACCTCGAGCCGCGCCAATAGCAGCGCAGCATCCGGCAGCAACGGCGCCTGCCCAAGCACTCGGGCGCAATGTCCAAGCAGCCGCAGCGCCTGCACCAGCGCCAGAAACATCGGCGCACGCAAGCGGTCCAGCAAACAATCAAAATGCACATATGCCGCCTCCCCGACCAGCGCACGCAGCCGCTGTAAAAGCCCATAATCCACCCTTACCATACGTTGGAATGTTGCCAGCAGCCCAGCCACTCTGCCACCGGTCCGAGCACCGCTGTTGAGCGGTCGGTGGCCGTGTGCCAGCCACAGTGCGTGCGCCGCCGGGTCTGCCGCAATGGCCGCGGCCGCCTGCTCAAGCGCGCGGCTATTTGAGCCAATTCCTGCGCGCCGCGCGTGCAGCAGCCCATAGGCCAACACGTCGATCTGCTGCATCGCACACGCCGCATGCCACGCGCAGCCCAAATATGCAGCTACGCGCCGCCGCACATCAGCGATCAGCGGCCAGTTGCCCGCCGCCACAACGCCGATCAGCCGAGCCGAGCCGGAACCCCTCTGCCCTCTGCCTGCTGCGATATCACTGAGCCGTGCGACTGCGCCAATTACTTGCGCGGCGGCATCCGCTGCGTCGCCGGCCACGGCCCAGTCCAGCAGCAGCGCTTGGCGCCGCACGCCAATGGAAATCCGCACAATGCCTCGTGGGCCGCCGCGTATCCGCCGCCCATGCAGCAGCAGCGTGGCGCCGCCGTCCGCTATATGCTTGGAGATGCGGCGGCAGGTGCGTAGTTGCGCGTCGCGCAGCGCGTCGTCCAATGCGGACGCGTACGAGGCGCGCGTCAACAATGGCAAAGGCAAAGACTGCGGCCGGCCAGCCTGCATCGAGGCGCCAGCAGCAGCGAACAGTGCATGGAATAACGCGTGTGTCTCGGGTGCGTCGACAAAATTAGCCGGCAGCGCAAAACTCGCTTTCAGTCGCACAACCGCAGCCACCACATCGCCGGCTGCTGCTGCTGCTGCCGCCACTGATGCTGCGCCCTCAGAGTCTGCCTCTGGCTGCTGCTGGTTGCCCTCGAGAACGGCAAAGTGGCTCCGCAGTACCTGCATATCGGCCGCGTTAAACTGCCCTGATTCCTGCAGCCGCTGCATCCGCTGTTGAAACACGTGAATAAACTGTGCGCGGTCATTGTGCAGGTGCGCGTCCAATTTGGCCTGCATGCGCTTGGCGCGGTAAACGATGGCGCGTGCGTCGGCGCTGTCTAACACGCAGCGCACGCGGCAGTCGTGGAGCTCTGGCTCAATGTACTCGCGTGTTGATGCGTCGGTTAAAAGCAGATTGAGCGGACGGTCCGATGCCTGGGTCACCACCGCTGTGTTGGAGTGCACTGCTTCGAACATTAGCGCGAGCGCGGCTGGCCGGCAGCGGCCACCGATGCTTTTGGCGCCTTTTGTACTGCTGTCAACGATATCGCCGTCGTTGTCACTGCTGCTGTGCTGGAGCCGTGGTCGCTTGCTGGCTGGCGTCTCCTCAAGCATTGAAAACTTGAATTTACAATCAGCGTCGGAATTGAAGTACGGCGGGAAAAATGAAAAGGACAAAAAGATAAAAAGACAAAAAGGACAAAAAGGACAAAAAGGACACAGGACGAAAATAAGGCTGCGGTGCCATATCTCATCCATGTGATGGCCGCCTCTATTTTAGACCAAGCAATAATCATGATTAGATTCCATTGATCCCGCGTTATGCATTATCGACCCCGACGAGCTTTCTTTCAGGCCACACATCGAGGAGATAGATCAACAAAGGCCGCCTTCCTGGTCCACCCGCAACTTTTCCTCACTACAACCAATTCAATTCAATCCAATCCAATCCAATTCAATTTCCTCTTTTTATCCACAAAACACACACCCTCATTTCATATAGCCCAAACCCATGGTGCACTACGTCACCGTCGCCACCTGCGCGCTCAACCAATGGGCCTTGGACTTCCAGGGCAACTACGAGCGCATCACCGAAAGCATTCGCCAAGCCAAAGCCGCCGGCGCCAAGCTGCGCATCGGACCCGAGCTGGAGATCCCGGGCTACGGCTGCTACGACCATTTCCTCGAAAGCGACACAACATTGCACTCCTGGCAGATATTAGGCCGGCTCCTACAGGACCGGTCACTGGACAATGTACTGATTGACACTGGCATGCCAGTGTTGCACCGCAACACGCGGTACAACTGTCGCATCTTCATCCTCAATGGCCGCATTGTGCTGATCCGACCAAAAATGCACCTGGCCAATGACGGTAACTACCGCGAGCTGCGGTGGTTTGCGCCCTGGACTAAGCGCGCACAAGTCGATGATTTTGTGCTGCCCAGGTTTATTGCCCAGATCACCGGCCACCGCACAGTGCCATTGGGCGACGCCCTGGTGAGCACCGAGGACTCGTGCATCGGCATTGAGCTATGTGAGGAGCTGTTCACTCCACAGAGCCCGCATATCGCAATGAGCCTGGCCGGCGCCGAGATCATCGTCAATAGCAGCGGCAGCCACCACGAGCTGCGCAAGCTGCAGCGCCGCGTGGACTTGATCAGAGAGGCGACGATGAAGTGCGGCGGCATCTACCTGTACGCCAACCAGCAAGGGTGCGACGGCGACCGCCTGTACTACGACGGGTCAGCCATGGTGCTAGCCAACGGCACCGTGCTGGCCATGGGCCGCCAGTTCTCCATTGCTGACGTTGAAGTCACCCTGGCCACCGCCGACCTAGGCGCTGTTCGCGCATTCCGCGCCGCCAACTCCAGCCGCTCAATCCAGGCCTCGCACGCTGAAGTGCCCGACTACCCGCGCGTCCACGTCGCCTTCTCTTTGTCGCCCGAGCACGCGCAGCTGGACTACTCTGTGCGCCCCACTGCGCCAATGCAGCCGCGGTTCCACACGCCCGAGGAGGAGATCAACCTGGGCCCGGCCTGCTGGCTCTGGGACTACCTGCGCCGGTCACGCCAAGGCGGCTTCTTCCTGCCGCTCAGCGGCGGCATCGACAGCTGCTCGACAGCACTCATTGTTCACTCAATGTGCCGCCTTGTCGTTGCCGCCTGTGCACGCGGTGACCCCCAGGTTTTGAGCGACGTGCGCCGCTGCACCGGATCCGACATTGTGCCGCAGACGGCCCAAGATCTGGCTGGCCAGATCTTCCACACCTGCTATATGGGCACGGCCAACTCATCCCCCGATACGCGCGCGCGCGCCAAGCAGCTTGCCTCCGCCCTCGGCAGCTACCATGTTGATCTCAGCATGGACTCTGTAGTCGCAGCCATAGTTGGCCTCTTCACGCTGGTCTGCGGCAGCACCGCCACCCCACGCTACGCTGTACACGGCGGCGGCACGGCAGAAAACCTGGCACTGCAGAATATACAAGCACGCCTGCGCATGCTCCTGGCCTACCTTTTCGCCGCGTTGCTGCCCTGGGTGCGTGGCCGCACGGGTGGTGGCTCGCTGCTTGTCTTGGGGTCGTCCAACGTTGACGAGTGTCTGCGCGGATACTTCACCAAATACGACTGCTCGTCGGCCGACCTTAACCCCATCGGGTCTATCAGTAAAGCTGATCTGCGTCGCTACGTCGCCTATGCGTGCACTCATATGGATCTCCCCATGCTCTCGTCCTTTCTCGACGCTATGCCGACCGCTGAGCTTGTGCCATTTTCCAAAGACTACGTGCAGAGCGATGAGGTTGAAATGGGTATGACCTACGATGAGCTGACTGAGTTCGGGCGCCTGCGCAAGATCAGCAGGTGCGGGCCATACTCCATGTTCACACAGCTTCTGCACGTCTGGGTTGACCGCAAGCTGAGCCCGAGGGAGATTGCGGATAAAGTCAAGCGCTTTTTCTTTTACTACTCGATTAACCGCCACAAGATGACCACTATCACTCCCGCGTACCATGCTGAGACGTACAGCCCAGATGACAACCGCTTTGACATGCGTCAGTTCCTGTATAACTCGTCGTGGAGCTGGCAGTTTGCAGCCATTGACAACGCGGTTGATAGGATTGAAGCATTGGGCGAGCACCAGAACTAGTTAATTAAATCGACAAATAAATGTAATCTAACGCCATATATGTGCATACGAGCATATATTCTCACACATACCCGATTAGCTATTTGGATATTCATAGTACTATTTAATGTTGATGATATTGGTGATATTGATATTGATATTGATATATAAGAGGGAAAAACAAAAACAAAAAAGAACCAACATTTCGGCTAGCGACTGGTGCCATACGCAATGACGTCCAGCCATGCATACAGCCGGTTGAGCAATCCCGAGTGAATAAACCCAGTGGCCGGCACTCCACGCGCAAACGGCGCATCGCCAAAGCTATCAAACTCCTCGCCAGCCCTCCACAGATGCGCCTCAGTCGCTATGCCGTTACCCACAAACGACGCCCTGGCAACCCCGGGCACGTACTCCGGCACGGGCATTGGGTCCAGATCAAACTCACCCGCCATCGCCGCTGCGCCGTTCTGTCGCCTACCGGATCCGCCGTTACTGTTGCCCCAGGGCAGCCAGCTACTAAACCCAAGGCCGCGGCCAGAGCCGCTGCCGCCACTGCCATTCATCTTGAGCGGCTTCCACAGCCCACGCTCAAACAAGAATCGCTCAAGCCTGTGCCTCGGCATCGGGTAGTACGGCAGCGCCTGCGGGTACAGCGGGTTAAAGTCAACATCGTACTCGCGCATCTGCTTAACGCCACCCTGCCTTGCAGGCTTGCCGTAGCGGCGATGGAGGTCGTCCCAAAAGATATACCACGCAAACTTTACCGGGTCGTTGGATTCAGATGGCACCAGTGTGCGCAGCCGCTCGTACAGCAGCGTAATATCATCGCGGTGGTCCACCAACAGGTCGCGCATGTAGCTGTTCTCCTCGAACCTCTCAAGCCGCTCGGCCAGCTGCTCCATTGTCGGAATGTACGACAGCCGCCCGTGCTCGTCATTGTGCCACTGGCCATTCAGCGCTGGATTGCCGCCAAACAGAGCGGGCGTCGCAGGAATGATTGGCTGCGGTGCATTGGGGTTCTGCGCCGCCTGCTGGGCCATCTGCTGCACGTGGAAGGATTCAGGGCCAGGCGCAAACACGTCAATGTGGAAGCTGGGCGTCAGCCCAGTGCGCTTGCGCACAAAGCTCGCGTGGCTCTCGACCATGTGCTGGTCCAGAAGCGCGTTGACTGCCTCCAAACGCGCGTCGATAGTCTCGCTGTTCTCGTCAAACAGGGCGCGCAGCTCGGTTGTCTCGTCAAACAGGGGTGTAATGCCCAGCAGGTGGCGGTTGTTCTCGTTCAGGCGCAGCGCACGCCGGCTCTGCTGCGTAATGTTTGTGCGCACCAGCATTACCGAGTCGGGCGCATGTCCGGTCTGCCAGAACGCCAGACGGAACGCATTGTGCTCGCGGCTCAGGTTGTTGACTAGGTGCTCGTTGTCCACAATCATCTCCTCCGTCAGCGCCAGCGAACACTCGAACCCTGGAGCCACGTTGGCAGCAGCAAAGCGCCCCGCCCCACTGCTATTGCTTCCGCCAACAGCAGAGTTGGCATGCTGCTTGATTGTCACAACACCACGATACAAAATGCGGCGACGGCCAGCAAACTGCGCCAAGTACGCCTCGTTCTCGCTGGCAAAAGGCGGCAGGCAGTAGCGGTGGTGCGTGCCGTTGGGGCCTGCGTTTTCAATGTACGTCAGCGTCACATGCTGACCGTCCAAAGCGCGCAGCCGCCGGCGCACATTGCGGCGCGCCAGCACGCTGGGGTCGTCGCGGTTCTGCTGCAGGTACAGGCGCAGGAAGGCCTCGTCCGAGATCGGCACAACAACATCGGGCAGCTCGTCGTACACCATGCATACCATGAACGGGAAATGCAGGATGTACGACCGGCCAAACCACGTCTGCACCTCCGAGCGCCCAATGCCGTAAAAGTTGGTGCTGGTGCCGACTGCGCTGCCCATGCCGACAGGGTTGATGCCACTGTGCGCAGCCGTGTACGGGTTAAAGTACATGTCGGGACCGGTGAACCCGCGCGCAATCTCGTCCATCAGCCCAGACCGCTGGTCGTTGAGCCGCTCGATCTGCACCGCCTGGCAGTAGGCGTGGCGCCCGATGGCGTCGTACAGGTGCAGGTTCTCCAGATGCCGCTCGGCCGCAAACCCAATGTAGTTGACCATGTACGGCGGGTGCGCACGCGTCTTGCAGAACGCAATGCGGTGGTTCGGTAGCAGTCGGAAGTCGCGCGACGCCAGCAGTATGGCTGACCACGTGTCTTGCCACACGCGCTCAATGAGCAGCCGGCGCAGCCGCGGGTCGTACGGGCTGGTCGCCACTAGAATGCCAGGCGACAGCGTCAGCGGCTGCGACGCCCCGCGGACAACCACCTGGAAACGTGGCAGCGCGTTGGACAGCAACCACAGCAGAGCCAGGAGCACCAGCAGGTTGGCCATCACCAGCGTCACGCACAAGCCCATGTGCGTCATCGACAGCGGGTCCTCGAGCAGAAACAGCGGAAAGGCAAACACTACAGCCGCCAGCACGCCGATGCGCATGAGCAGCCCGGCCAGGTTGGCCGTCGGGTCAAAGAACGGCCGGTGCGAGTGGTGAGAGCGCAGCATCAGCAGCGCGACAAGAAGCAGCGCGGCGCAGCGCCCGGCGTCCAGCGAGTGACGCGTGCGTGATTTTGCCCAGCAGTTGTCCTTGGCCAGCACAACGGCGACGACCACCATTAGCAGCTTCCACAGCAGCATGCGCGCCGGGTCGCTTGCGTGCACCGGGTAGTTGGCCACGTACAGGAAGCGGTAGTCTGCCGTGTCAGAGTCCAGTGCGCGCCGGTACTGCACTGTGGCCAGATGGCGATTACGATGGCTCTCCTTCATGTCGCGAAGCCGCGCCTGGTACGCCTCGTCCTTTTCCATGCCCAGGTACGGGTCGCTGTTGACGCTGCCTCCGGGCCGCGCTAGCCACTTCTGCACGTGGCCCCACACGCCATTGATCAAACCGCTGACATCGCCGTTGGGACCCCCAATGCCGCCAATGCCGCCCGCGTTGTTGACCAGTCCGTACAGCATTGCCAGGTTGCCAAACACCTCGGGGTTCATGATTCCCAGCTTATCAATGCCCTGCAGCAGCGCGTTTGCATTGAGCATCGGGTTCGGGTCATCGCGCGTCAAATCGCCGTCCGCAGCGCTCCTGGTGCCGCCTCTCGCGGGCGGATCAATGGTAACGCCACGCGATGCCCTGCTGTTGGCGCGCGACGGCGCTGCCGCTGCAGCCGCCAGCGCCGAGGTTGGCCGCGACGCCTGTTTGGCCGGCGGCAGGCGGTACCCGGGCGTCTTGCCGTCAAGCCAGCCGGGCACGCGCGGCATGTGGCGCTTGGTTAGCTTGTACACCTGCACGGGCAGCACCATTCCAAGAACAATAAAGAGTAGCACGGCCAGCGGCAGCACGACAAATGCGCCATTAAAGCTGCCGTTGCGCATAGTTGTCGTGTAGCAGAACTTCTCTGGATTGCGCTGACTGCTGTCGCTGTCAGCCAAGTTCCATACCGGATCGTCGGACGTCCGGAATGGATTGGGCACTGCCCAGTAGCCCTGGCTCCACACAATGGCCTCGAGGCACAGCTTGACAACCGGTATATACAGCGTCGTCAGCACAAAGTAGATGATGTGCATGCGCTGCCGCTTGGGCACTCTGCCAAACATGCGTCCAAATATGTTGAACCGGCTGGGCACGACGGACAGCTCCTCCTCGAAGGTGATTTGCCCGCCGTCATTGGCCTCGGACTCCTGCTTGGCGCGGTCCCTGCCGCTCTGCTTGTCTGCTGCCTCGTTGTGCGAGGCGCCAGGGGCACGAGGCGGCGGCGGGCGCTCGAGGTAGATCGCGTACGACCACATCGAGAGAGCGACGGCAGCAATGGCGCCAAGAAAGATTAAAAATCCAATGCTCTTCCCCGTCGTCGTGCTCAGATCCGCCCACAGCAGGCCAAGGGTCTCGGGCACCCCGGCAACAAGCATCCACGGCCAGCGCTTGCCGATGGGCGAGTCCAGCGGCGACTTGAGGAATCCGCACGACCCAAGAACAAGGGCGATTATCTGCAGGTAATCGCGGATGATCTCGACGTGCACTGGCCACCGCGCAATCTCGTTGCTTCGCGGCTTTGCCAGCAGCTTTCTCGTTGTCTTGGAGCCGTTGTTGTCGCCGCCATTGATCCTTGCCCAGACGCTCTTGTTTTTAACCTGCTCGGTGGCAGTCGGGTACGGCGAGCTGAACTTAATCGACTCGGCAAAGCTCCACTCCGTGCCTGTGCGGTAAGGGCTGGCATCGCCAAAGATGCCGTCGCCAGGGCCCAGGCCGTTGTTTGGCGGCACGAGCTGCGAGCTCGCCGACCCGATAAACACGCGCGGCTCACCGACCCTGTGCATGATCTGGTCGACGACACGCGGCGGCAGGTGGCTGAACGGCGGAAACATGGGCGGATTGCTCGATGACTTTTCCTGATCATGCGACGAGTTGGGCACTGGAACCGGCGCCGGCGCTTGCTCGGCCGCACTACCAGAGCCACGCGCCTGTGCAGGCACTTCTGCGGCAGCAGGTTGCTCGGTGCGCCGGCCGCCAAAGAAGCGCTGCCGAAGCCCCCCACTACGAACATTGGCGCTGCCGTTGACAGGTCGCAGCTCATCCTCCTTCTCGTAGTAGCCGCCGTCGTTCTCGTGGTCAGTATAGTCAATGGTAATGTCGCGCAACTCTTCGTTGTACCGCTGATCCACAGTGGGCTCACGGCGAAGCGACAAGAGATCGGAGCCATGGTCGCTATCAGCATCTGCGTTGGAATAGGCATTGCCGTTGGTATGGGCACCAGCGTGCAGGTTGTGTGCAACAGAATCGTGGACCGATACGCGGATTAGGTCATCCTGGACGTTAACGTCAATTTCGACATCGCTGTCAATGATGCGCGAGAGGCCCTTGTTGCCAGGGCTCACGCACGCGGCCCGCTGCTGCGGCTGCGACTGGCGCTGCAATCCGCGACGCGACGGCGACGGGCCGAAACTGGCCGAGTTTTGTTGCTGCACCTGCTTGCGCTGCTGATTGCGGCTGCACAGGCCAACCAAGTACGCGCCAATATGGTGGGCCAGCAGCTGGCCGCCAGGGCC